GCTGTTGTCTGCCTCGTCTTGCTTTGCTGTTTCGGTCTAAGCACAAAAGCAACCTCTGACTCTTTGCTGATCTCCTTTCCCAACAAACAGTCCGCGCCAGCACCCAGCAGCCGAGGCTCTACGTCGGCATGGTCCTCATCCTCATCTTCGCCGAGGTCCTCGGTTTGTACGGCGTTATCGTGTCGATCCTGATGCTCACAAAGGCCCAGGTTGGCGTCACCGAGTGCCTGGCTTAGGGACAGGGCCCAGTGAGGAGGACCGAGAGTCTTCGTATCTGCTATTTCGGCTCGGGTTAGGAGCTTATACAGTTCAACTAGGACTTGATGCGGTGGGGAGCGGAATCAAGCAGAGGCACTCTTTCGTTATCAAGAACAACCAAATCGCCATAGGCATCTAGTCATGCCCATCCAAGAAATCCATAAAAATCAGCTGCTATGCACCAGTGCCATGCACCGAAGCGACTAACCCCCCCTGCGGCGTCCAAAGTGTATATACATCCTCTCCTTCCCTCCGCTCAATCCCACAACCCAGCAGCTAGTATAGCCATACACACATGCATTACATCCGGGGTATAGTCGCAATGGCGAACTCCTGCTCTCCCTCAATCCCCCTTCTTCACCAACACCCTATCGCTACTACAACGCCCATTCGGCCTTGTTCTCGTCTTCCCTCACAAACGGCTCGTCGATCATCTTGATCGCGTAATCACTGCAGAGAATACTATCCACGGCATGTTTGTCAGTTTCGTTTTGTTCACCACGCCAAGAGCCAGGGGAAGCAGAATTACAAAAACTCACCATGACGCAGCCACCAGGGCGTCCAGCTCGGCAATCATCTCCTCCTTCTTGGCGCCCGCCACGAGCCCCTTGGAGATCTGCACCTGTAGCTCCTTGATGCGGCGCGACCGGGCCACGCCGGCCTGCTCCATGACCCGGCGGCCCAGGCAGTCGGAGTGGAAGGCGTGCTGGCAGGGGAAGACGAAGAACTGGCGGCTCAGCAGCGGCAGGCCGCACGAGTAGCACTTCTCGCCCGGCTCCACGATGGCGTAGCGCCGGTCGAGCGCGGCGATGTCGACGCGGATGTTGGCCGCCGTCTGCGACGACTCCTCCATCTCGCGCTTGAGCGAGTCGATGCTACGCCCGTAGTCCTCGAGCGCCGCGCAGATCTCCTCGCGGAAGTCGTCGATGACGACAAAGTCGGGGAAGAAGGGGATCAGGTCCTCGATCCGGAGCAGGTCGCAGCGCCGCAGGAAATCGATGGCCGACCGGATCCCGCCGCCGTCGGAGCGCGAGATGACGCGCCGCGCCACCGCCAGCCACAGCCGCTTGCGCAGCGCCGGGTTCGACATGGGCCGGTCCGCCACCACAGCCGCCAGCTCGAGCTCGTCGTGCGACAGCGCCAGGTCCACCGCCTGCAAGTACTGGCCCAGGCTGGTGTAGATGTGCACGCACGAGAGCACGCGCCGGTGCTGGATGCACAGCCGTAACGCAAAGTCCGGATCGTACCGCGGCTCGTCGCCCTGCGCCTCGAGGTACGACAGCAGCGCCACCTCGTCGCGCGGGCCCGAAGAGCCCGACCCGGACGCCGCGTACATGGACACGAGCGTGTTGTGCACCGCCGCGTCGGTCGAGTTGAGCTGGTTGACCACGTACTGCAGGTAGCGGATCGCCTGGTTCTGCGCCGCCGGCCCCTTGTAGTTGCGATCGTACTCGAGCAGCGCGGGGATGAGGCTCCGGGGGTTGAGCGTCGACTGCCGCATGAGGATCTCGACCAGATCCGTAGCCACGTGTGCCATCAACACGCTGCTGTACCGGTAAAACACCTCGGCTTCAGTCTGCCTCTTGAGCACCCCAAGCGCCTCGGCCCACTTCTCACGCTGGACCCAGTACGAGAGCACGTAGTTGTAGTCGTTTACGGCGTTGGCGAAGAACAGCAGCTCCTCCTCGCGCCCATGACTGCTGACGATGGCATACACCGTCTTGCGGTCGAGGTCCGACTTGTACTTGGTCACAAAGTCCTGATACTCCCCCCTCACCGTATCCAGCCGCTCCCTGGTCTCGGCTGGACTGGCGTCTGTGGCCCCAAGCTCTGCCTTGGTGACGATGGTGTCATCAAGCGAGTTCAGCTTGGCCATGAAGACCTCGATCAGCCACGTGGCGATCATGATCCTCTGCATGACCGCCGACTTCTTGTAAGACGCAAGCTTGACCAGCAGGTACTTGCGCAGGGCATCTGCCTCCCCAGCATCGATCAAGGTGAGCGCAACCTCCTCGAAAGGCTTGCTGCTCCGGCCATAGACGCCAGCAGCCTCGGCAAAGAGCCCCTTGCCTACGAGGTAGTCGCCCGACGCGGTGGCGACGGCGTCGCGCTGTGCCGGGGTGCGCGCGTACCGCATAGCGGCGTCAAACTGCTGCGACCGCAGCATGATGCGCCAGATGTCGCGATCCTCGTCCCGCACTACGATCTCGAAGATCTCTTGGGCCGTAAAGAGCCAGAACGTGTTCTTTTGCAGATCCACACACAGGTTCGCCGCCCGCTGGCCCGGCTCCAGGATCTTTTGGTCGAGCACGATGTCGCCCGTCAGCCGGTTGGCAGCGACTATGCGCTGGCCAACGAGGCAGAGGACGTGCCACTGCGTCAGCGCCACCATCTCGACGGGCTCGGAGCCGCCCGCTGCCCTCCTCCGACCCGAGGAATCCGTCGTTGCCGCGAGCTGCGATCTCGGCAGGAGCTTCGCCTCGGCGAACACCTTGGCACCAAGCCCCGGTCCTGCCGGCCCCGTGAGCAAGGGGCCGTGAAAGACGCCCTGAGAGGAGAGCCAGGCAAAGACGCGCTCGGGAGCGGCGCCCTGCAGTGGTCGGCCCGAGTCCTGCGAATCTTGGGGGTCGGGGGACACAACGAGGCTCGAGGGGGCAGCCAGGGGAGCCGAGCGAGCGCTCGAGGACGAGGTGGGCCTGGTCAGCTCGTGAACTGTGGGCTCCTCGGCATCGAACAGGCGAGTGTAGGCAGAGCCATCGTGGTGATGCTGGCCGGTGCGACCGGCCTTGCCGACCAGATGGTACAGGCGGGAGTGGCTGGCTATCATGACGACCTTCTGGTCCGCGGCCGGTCCGCGGCCGGGCAGGGCCTCGGCCCAGAGGCCGGTGACGGGGCCCCCATCAGGCAGCTTGTGGACATTCTTGAGGTACTTCTCCTCCTTCTTGTAGAACTCGTTGGAGGTCTCGATAAAGGTCTCGTAGATGTTGCCGTCCGAGGCGCCGACGAGGATCTCGCGGGTCGAGGCGGTGGGGAGGGCGGGATTCCAGGCGATGCTCTCGATGACGACGCCGCGCAGGCGGGACAGGGGCCTCGGCTGGCGCGACTGGGCGTGGAGGTAGTAGTTCTCGCCCTGGGAGGTGCAGATGATGAGGTGGGAGGCGGTGGGGTCGAGGAACATGCGGCGGACGACGCCGGCCTCGGACGGCTTGCGGGGCAGGTCGACGTCGTCGATGTCCTGGGGGCGGTCGAGGTCGATGCGCAGGATGCGGCCGTTGGACAGGGCCAGGACCAGGACGTTGTTGGCGACCTGGGCGGCCACGAAGTCGGCGGCGACCGAGAACTCGAGGCGCACAGGCGACACGTCGAATATCGACAGGCCGGCTGCGGCGTCGTCGTCCAGCTGCAGGCCAGCCATGCCGTCGACGGCGCCCTCGAAGCCGCCCGACGGGAAGACGGAGCTGTCGGCCGCCGTGGAGCCGTTGGATGGGTAGAAGGCCATTGCGGCCGGTTCGGAGGGGATGCGGTCAGGGCGGTGGTCAGCTGTCTCCCGAGATCGTCATATGCGACATGTTTGGTCGTCGACAGCCGTATTGCACGGATCGTGGATTGTTCTCTGGTCGGAGTTGGTTTTGGCGAAGCAACTTGAGAGCTAGAGATACAGCACCCGATTGACGCCGCCGCCTGTACTGTGGTTGACTTCAATGCTGCCTGGCCACAGCGGCCTTGGGCACTAGAGGAGTGGAGCTGGAGCAGCTTAGCCCATTACGTAGCTCGCCCAGCCACTCAACGCCCATAGCTTGCTGCTCCTTGCCCAAACAAGCAACAAGCTCAAGGCTCTAAATGTGCCTCAAGCAATAGCCGGAGGTAGGAACGTTACCAGAATATCAACGCTGTGGACAGTATTGTTCTTGTTGATGTCGTTAAAACTGTATAGACACTCATACCTAGTCCGATATCAAAATTTTAATCTATCTACGCCAACAAATCCAGAGCCACTCAGAAAGGCGATAAAATAAGGGTATATCCAAGCATCATCACAATCGTGCCCTTGGAAACAGCCAACTTCAAAAAGAGCCAAGGAGCACAAAAACACCACCGCCTACGCTAGAAAGTAAGATCCCACCCGCGCACATCTTCCCCCCTCATTACCGCTGGGCTTGTGTATCCCTATCAGGCCCCAGCTTCGGACGGCTTCCTGGCAGTCGCGACCCTATACCTAATCCTAAAGTCGGCCCCGGTGTCGGGAGCGCACGCCAGTGCCTTGAGCTCGCCGCAGATCTCCTCACACGCCTCCACGACCCGCTCGGCGCTCCAGCCCGCGTACTTGGTCAGCAACCGCAGCGTGACGGCCTCGAGGCTGAAGAGGCATGCGACGAGCCAGAACTTGCCGAGCGCCGACGGTGGTGACGCCGCGCCCCCGGACGCGGGCGCCTGCTGGACCAGGCTGGCGTAGACCGAGTGGTCGCGCACCTTGACGTCGACGAAACCGCAGGCCGACAGCAGATCCGGGTCCATGTGGCCGCAGCCCCTGGCGCGCCCCGACAGGCCGTCGGCCTCATCCAGGGCAGGCAGCAGGGCGTGGACGGGGGAGTCGGGGGAGAAGTGGCGCTTGAGGCCGGCGCAGCCCGTCTCGTCGTGAAAGTCGATAATCTCCATGTAGCCACCGGGTTTGAGGCACTGGTAAGCCTGGCGGTAGATGAAGCTCCAGTCGGAAAAGGCACCGCTCATGGCGCGCAGGTGCACGAGGTCCATGGCGTCCGTGGGCCTCATCCAGTCGACCTCGGCATCGTCGAGCTCGAAGAAGACCTTATAGGGCACCGAAGTGGGCTGGACGGCCGAGATGTCGGTGCCGATGATCTCGCATTCCGGGTAGCGCTCGGCCATGCCCACGGCCCACTCGCCGGTGCCTGTTCCGATGTCGAGTATCATGGTCGGGTCGTCGAGCGGCACCGTGGTCAGCTCCATGGTGCCGAGCAGCATAAACACCTGGTGCAGAATCCGCATCCGGTCCTGCTCGCTGTCGTCGTTGGGCATGTAGTACGATCCGCAGTACCGTCGCCCGTGCTCCATTGTGTAGTAGATGTCGCCATCGTACAACGAGCGCGCCGACGAGTTGATGGTTGATCGATCCGCCTCGTGCGAACGAAAGTGCGCCGGCACCCCACGGCCGAACCGACTTGGCGAGTAGAGCGAGGCTAGGCCATCGTCGTCAAAATCCTCGTCGCCATAGCCCTCATCGTCATCGTCGAGCGAGCCATCCGTCGAGTCGCGGCCATTCGAAGGCTCTAGGTCCTCGGCGATGCTGGTCATGTCGGTATTGTGGCCTATGCTCTCAGCATGAATGCTCGCCTTGTCGTCCACCTCAAACTCAACCGCCGAAGCCTCTACCACGCCCACAGGGAACGGATCCCTCGAAACGGTATGCCCCGGTGGCGCATCAGGAGCTGGCGAGCGTCGATATTGTTTCGCGCGGGTCTTTTCCGTGACCTTGGAGGCTACACGCTCGACTATGCACGGGCTGGGGGTCGATCTGTCGGGAGAGGGCGCGACAGTGTTGCACGGCATGTTTTCCGTCAACTGCCTATTTTATCGCTTTCCTCTTGGCGGCCCCTTATTCCCGTTCCCTCGCTGGCCCTTGGTCGTCTGGCCTCGACGCCTTTCTTCCTTTGAGTCTGTTTCTTTCTCGTGCTTGGGTTTAGTCGAACTGTCCCTGTGACATTCCCAGGACAGTGGCACTGTTGGTCCGCTCCGCCACCCCAAGTCCCAGCTAGATGGTACTCTCCCTGCAGGTGCGGGGCGTGGATCCGGATAGACGACGTCCCAAGGATGTGGATGGCTGATTGGGTTCAGGATGGCGGCTGGAGGCTTCGAGCAGAGGGGCCATCGTCATACTGGACCCTAGGCAAAGGCGATGAAAATCCAGGGAGCAGAAGCAGCGCAGGACAGAGCAGGGCGGCCCCGGTGGACGGCCGACCTCGAGTCTTTTCTACGCGGCAATCAGCAGGCCCCCGAGCCCGTTGCAGCGGTCGTATGTGACATCGGGACCTGGATGCAAGGGAGCGCCAATTGCGTCGCATCCAGTTGGTCTCTGGGTCGCTGCGAGGGGGGACAGGCGGACCCCGTTGTTCACTCCTGCCTGGTTGACCGTGGCTGCAACCCCAGCACGGGGCTCCGCCACTAGTGCGCCAACCTCAACTGGGAATCGAAGCCGCCAGACCCTTGTACGCAGGCACCTGCTAGCGCTGTGGTTCTTGCACTGCGGCATGGACTCAACGCCCGGCCGGGTTTAGTTTGTCGGGGGCGGGAGCCCGTTGCTTCCGCCGCGCTGGGACTCGCCATCCATCCCTTGCCTCGTTCAACCACCCTTTGGCGAGGGCAGGTGGTGTTTTTGTTATGTCCCAGCTCGTCGTTGATGGGCTGCTCAACTTGTGGCTGCGCGATGATGGCTCATCCTGTCCAAAGTTGTGCATCGCATCAAATGTCTGGCGCAAGCTAAGCTTCTTGAGGAAAAGGAGAACAAAAAGAGGAATGTGACACTATTGAAATTATATTGAAATTGAATCTTGTAACAACAAAAAATGTCTTTCACATCAGCCGAGACAGGCGACAGCAGCGCGACAGCCCGACTCCCTGGTATTGGGTTTTGGGGATTGGACGGTGCCCTGCAGCGTGCACATGGCCAAGCCGGCAGCGACAGAACAGAGCACAGGCCCTGGCGCTAACAAAGGGGGCCCAATTAATTCCCCCGAGCTTCACCCAGCGCTATGGCAATAAGTGCGCCCGGGCCACCAAAAGGACCAGTCGGGAGCCCTGCCCGACAAGGATCCTCAGCGGGGAGGCGTGGGGGGTGGCACGGTGCTGTCGGGCACGGGCTCGGTGTGCTGGGGATTCAGCACCGAGAATAATTAGGGTCTGGAGGCGACGTCCAGGAACCCAAGATCCTATCAAATGATCGGACAGCTTGATATCCCAGACTTAGGTTGTCGCCCCTGCCTTTGTCTTCGCCATTCATGACTAAACTTGCTTTGGGTATCATGAAGTCCATTGCTACATATGCGCGCCTCCGGCAAGGAAGCAGAGCCCTACTGCGCCCGATTTTCAGGATGCTACCTAGATGTACAACAACGCAAACAGAATCCATCATCCTACCACCTTGCCAGTCAGACAACTCTCGTATTCATGACGCAGCGTGCCGGTAGCGCCCAGACATACTATCCATCATAACCAACACTACCGTTACCCCGTCTTCCATAACCCCCGCTCACAGGGCCGCCATAAAAGCCCCCGCGGCCAGGCCAAGCGCCACTCCTCCGAACCCGGCGGTGGGCACCGCGCCGTTGGGCGAGCTCGTCGTGGCCGTCGTGGCCGCACCCGCCGTCGTGGTCCCACCGCCGCCGCCGCCGCCAGCGCCGTCGTTGGCGCGCGTGCGCGAGCTGGTCGTCGACCCGGACGGCGGAGACGACGTCTCCCTCGTGGTGGCCGCCGTCGCGCCGCCCTCGATCCTGCCGGGGCCCTGGCTGTAGGTGATGGTGGCGTAGACGCTGACGTCGGTGCGGCCGCCGCCGCTGTCGGACTTGGCCGTGTTGCCCGTGGGGGCCGCCGTCATGGCCGCCGACACCGAGTTGAAGATGCCGTCGAGGTCGGCCGTCGGCGTGCCCGAGCAGAGCGCGCGGCTGACGGAGCCGATGACGGCCGCGAAGTGCGCCTCGTCGGCGGGCGAGGCCACGCCGTGCACCCGCTTGCAGCTCTGGCAGGCCACGTAGTCGGCGAAGTAGGAGCCCTTGCACATGCACTGCGCGTGCGCGTCGAGCGCCAGCGGGCTGGTCCCGTTGGCCTTGCAGATGTAGCCGAGGTCCGCGATGACGTGGCACGGCGGCCGGGGCACCGCCGTGCTGTTTGGGGGCCGGCACAGGGCGTCGACCCGGGCCTCGTCGTCTGGTGATCCGCCGTTGCCCGCTTGCGGCGAGGCGGCGGTCAGGGCGGCGAGGAGCGCCACGGAGAGCGTAGCGTGCAGCATGTTGATTGACTTGGGTGCCGACTCGGTCGTCCAAAGCAATATAATTATAAATTATCGTTTGGTTGTTTTCTTTTGGGAAGCTCTTCCTGTGCTTCGTGATGATTGAGCGCGCGCTTTTTCAACGAGCAGCCAACAGCACAACCACTCGTCAAATTTTGAGCGCAGCCGAGGCAGACGGCAGACTCGGCAGCCATCCTCCTTATTTGTACACATTCCACCGAGTTTGGCCTACTGCCATTGTAGCTACCTAAACCTCGATATAGGGCCACCAACGGCAAAGTAGTAAGTACTATTCATGCGCCCGAACGGGTCTCCCAGAGGACGAGTTCTCGGCGTCTGACGGTCCATGTTACATCCGTCATATCGCTTACCCATATGAGGAAGTCCGGATCGAAGCGAGTTGTCAGCCGTCGACCGACATGTTTAACTGGAGACCAGACTGTGAACCGGAATTCGTTCATTGTTTCCAGGGGAAGCTCATCGGCACGTAGGACGGACGGGCCGCCCAGTATGCGAGGATGCACCAATAGGGATTTCAACGCGTGCAAGAATAACAAACATGAGGTCATATTAGCTAGATGAGGTAGCACAAGCAAGTGTGGTAAAATGCAAACAAAATGGTGCTGCATTTTTCCTAGCCCTTGGTGCTGCCTTCTACATTATTTGCCAATCAGATTTTTTTTTCTTCCTCTATCGTGAATAGTTCGAGCAATGGGCGCGCTCGCAAGAAGCCGTTCCTCGGCAAATCTTTTCGACAACGATCTCCTACGAGAACCGTGCCGCCGGTTGCAGAGGAAACTCATTCGCAAGTTGGCGATGCGGAGGCCGCTTTATTACGCCATGACACCCGTCATCTCGTCGACTTTCCTCTTCTTCTCCACGGGCTCCTGAGGAGTGTCGCTGACGGGCTCCTTGTCTGACACGACCTCCTTGCCGTGGACCTCGGGGAAAGGGCTGAGGACCTTGGTGATATCACCCCACCACTTCTCGCCAAAGAGCTTGTACCACTGGACAGTGGTCTTCAGACCCTCGGCGAAGGTGGTCTTTTGGTCCCAGCCGAGCTGCCTGAGCTTGGTGCCGTCTACGGCGTACCGGTGGTCGTTGAAGGGACGGTCATGGGTGTATTTGACCCATTTTTTGAACTCCTCGGGAGTCTCGTGCGGGATACCAAGCTCTGCCAGAAGCTTACCGCACAGGTCCAGGTTGGAAATCTCGTCGTACGAACCGACGTTGTAGACCTGGCCAAGCTCTCCCTTGTGCAGGATCGTGTCAAACGCGTCTGCCGCGTCACCTGCGTACAGATACCTGCGCGTGGGACTGCCATCGCCGTGGAGGACAACCGGCTGCCCACGATGGAGCAGGCTGGAGAATTTGGGGATGATCTCTGCGAGGCGAGGTAGACGTTGTTAGCGCACAGCTGCCTTAAGAACCATCATCCGCTCTGCCGTGCAGCCTTCTCCAGAACATAGCCATGCAAAAGAACTTACTCTCCGGGTACTGATGCGGGCCATAGACGTTGTTGCTCCGGACAATGATAACGGGAAGTTTGAAGCTCTTCTGGTAAGAGTGCACCAGCATCTCGGCGGCAGCCTTGCTGGCGGCATATGGGTTCGTGGGGGCGAGGATGCTCGTCTCGAGCAGGTCATCGTCGTCATCCTTGACCTCGCCATACACCTCGTCGGTGGAGATATGGATGAAGCGCTTTATCTTGAACTTCTTGGCGCTCTCCAGCAGGACATGGGTGCCGTAGACATTGGTGTGGGTGAAGCCGTACGAGTTACCGAAGCTGAGGTCGACATGCGACTGGGCGGCGAAGTGGAAGATGGTGTCGATGTTGTAGCGCTCCAGGCAGGCACCGACCTCGGCGGGGTTTGTGATATCGCCCTGGTAGAAGCTGAAGTTCTTCTTGTCGTTGAGAGCCCGCGTGTTGTTCAGCGAGGAGCAGTAGTCGAGCTTGTCGAACGAGACGATATTGTAGGCATCCGGGTAGGTCAGGGTGAGGTGGCGGACGAGCCAGCAGGCGCTGGAGTCGCGAAGAGGCCAATGTTAGCTTTCTTGGGGAGGCCAGAATCCAAGCCTCGCAGCATGGGTTCCACGGGCAGGAAGGCGGTAAGTTTGTCCATACATGAAGCCGGCGCCGCCCGTGATCATGATGTTCTTGACATCGGGGAGCGGCTCAAACTGGGTGCTTCCCTTGAGGACGGGCGCATCCTTCCAGACGCCGAAGTCCTCGAAGAAGTTCTTCTCGTTTGATGCTGATCGGGGAGACAAACCCAAGCGTTAGCGGCTGCGAGGGGACGAATTTTTGAAGTGGTTCGCTATCTGTGAGAGGGGTAATGGAAAGCCAAGAGTACAAAGCTTAATGGCAAGTTACTTACCAGTGCCGTTGGAAGCCATGGTCGCGGATTGTCGTCCTCGTGCAGCGCAGTGGACAACAAGGTATCAGGAAGAGATCTGGCGGGTGGAGAAAATGTCGGAATGTTAGCCACGGCGCCGTTATCGCCAAAAGAAGGGCTGGCGCAAACGGGCGGGGACCAGGGCGGCCGAGTTGCATGGAAAACTGACGGCCCACTTCGCCGTCAGGGTAGGTTGGCAGCCATTGGCAGCAGGCGCCGGGCGACCGTAATTTCCGCTTGTCAACCGGCCGAGAATCAATGGTCGGCACTTACCAGAGACTGGCACACGTGTTCAGCTGCGACGGCACCGAGGTGGGTAGTGAGGCTCTAGATGAACTTCTTGGAGAGATTTTGCAGTTGCCTGGAAAATATTTCGGGAGTGGCTAGCAGCATATAACAAATCCGAGCCTGATAGATTGTTTGTAGGGTGCTTGCCTGCACAGCTCGCGCCCGACAGAGGCAGGGCAGGAGTCGTTGAGGGGCATCGACCGTATCAAAATGAGGGGCACTGCCAAATTCAGCTGTCGAGCAGCAAAAAGGGGTAGGGTCTCACCGACTTGTGGGATGATCCCCGATTCCCGCGAAGAAATACGACCTCACTGCCACAAAGTCCAGCCTCCCATTTCGTGCTCTCATCTGATCCCTGTGCCTGCTGTCAAGCCTGACAAAAATTTCTGGTATCAAAGGTTCAAAGTTAACGTATGCTGAAAAGACGGACAAACTGGAACAGGAAAGCACAGTGATATTTCCAAGTCAACCATCGTAGTTGCTTATCTCTGCTGATTCTCCCTTTGTCTTTCCACACCCCCTTCTCTCCCTTCCATGCCTCATTTCCTCTGACATCCCTTGACAGAATGCTCGCGAACGGCCAAAACAGCGGTCATCCCAATTCGCCCATCTCGACTTTCAACCAAGAAGTCTGATGTGATGGATGGAATTGCACATGAAATTCTATGCAGGGTGCTCAAGCGAGTGCCTGTCTGTTTAGGGTTTTTTTTCTCCCTCCTGTCAGCCAATGCACGACCCGGCCTCAATCTTCTCGATCCCAACCCCTTTTCCCCGCCGACGAACCTAGGGTCTGGACTCGTTGACTGTGAAGGGGGACATGCATCAACTGGATGCACCTGGCTCACAACGCTCACATATCGCGGTAGTGCACCTAGCGGCGAACGGAACTACCCCTCCCTCACCCTTGCATCCAAGATGCGGTGTCTGGATTCAAGCACGTACATAGACACTACGTGTGCCCAGCCGCCGTTCAGATCGGGGGACTGGTTTCAGCGAGACCTTTTGACGCCATTTGCGGCGTCGCATGGGCATGGCAGACTTGAAACATGACTGAATTGGCGTCCTGGACAGTCAAGGGCGGGTTCGGACGATCACTATCACGCAAGCCCCTGTGGCCCCCAAGCCGTCCTGAGTACCTGGCTCATACCACCCGGGAGCGTGAATCGACCTGGCAGACTTTTCACGCTGCGGATTAGTGTTAGATGTGCTTGTAGAACGTCCATTCATTTCAGGCCTGCCCCATCCCGCGAGGATATCCTGGCATGTGTTCGGTCAGGATACAACCAGATAGCTTATGGTGTCTGATCTGTCCTTAGCTGGTGGGTTTGCACTATTTAAAGTCTAGCCTTCTGCCCAAGTCCGTGCCTTGTCCATGGCTGGCTGGTCGAGAGCCGCGCATGCGCGGACCACGCCGGGGCGGAGCGCGAAGAGCAAGGACAGCGCTGATTTGAGCCATGGAAGACAACGACTATTATAGCTCATCCCCTCATGTTTGTCTTGCCTCGAGGTGATTAGCGCCCGGAGAAAGTGCAAGCCAAACTGCGTGGAATATTTTCAAGTGGGAGTAGTTCGAGCCATTAGGTGTGCATTGACTCTGATAAGCGCCTCCGTTTGGCATGGAATTGGTGATACCCTCCCTCCATATTCCCTCGCCTTTGTCTAGCCCAGCCACTTCCACAGTTTAATCATTGTCTAACCATTTGACTCGGGCCCGTACGACCACTACTGTGCCCGGATCTTTACAGATTATCCACGGGAATACAGTACATCCCAGGTTACGTATCATGGAAGGAGAACCCCGGTCCTGGCCTGTATTGCTTCCCTCCCCGCAGATCTAGGCAGACGTTGGTAGTCAGACGTCGTATTTCCCTGTGGTCGCAAAGGTCCATTGTGTGTGATGGCCGGCTACAGGCAGAGCCAGTTGCGTTACTTGGCGAATCCTGTGCCCCATCGAGACTTCTGACATGCATATCCACCTCTCCATTCCCCTCAGGGCTGATCGCTCGTGAAAGCACGGAGCAGGCGAGCGAGAAGTCTTCTCCCACGCAGCACCCCTGAGATGCCCCCAGCCTGCCCGATAATCGCAGCGCATCCATAAATTGTCACTGGCTATCCCCCATCGGCACTAGCGCCGTTTGTCGCTCCCTAACACGGGCCACTTTTCCGTGCATCAGGCGAACACGACCCGAGCCCGTCAAGCCTGACAAGGGGGGCCATCCCTCCTTTTTCTGGCTCACTTGCCTGGTCGCCGCTTTTTTAATTTCAGCTTTGTCACGGCCGCCAACTATCCGCCCAGGCCGGCAAAGATTTCTGTCGCTATTTCTCTTCCACCTCACCTTCGCCCAACTCGATGGTCGAGGCAGTGGCCATTGTCTCTTAACCCCTCCCCCAGCCAAGCGCCCAGACAGCCACCGAACAAGCACCATCGACAGTTCTCGCCCCCCCCCAGGCCGTTCCCTCACCCTCCTGTCGCCCTTGTTCCTCGAGAACTCGATACCTTATCCCACTTTCGCACCATGGCGGGAGCAGACGTTCGCCAGGCGCGGGCCGTCTCAGTCGCCTCGTCCAGCACCGAGAATGGACTTGACGAGCAAGAAAAGCTGGCCAAGATCGACCCTGCAGATGAGAAGCGGGATGACGTCGAGGCCGCCGACGAGCGCGAGGATGCCGCCTTCCTCGAACCGCAGGAAGGCCCTGCCAAGCCGACGGAGCCGCCCAAGTCGAGCTTCGTCACCGCGTTGATCTGGATGGTCATCAACACGCTTGCCACCATTGGAATCGTATGTTGAGTAGCCGTGGGGGATCATTTTCTGCCTTCTCTAGCCAGGCGAGAATGGGTAAGACGTGATGCTAACCTGTTTGGTTTGCCCCTCCCAGGTCTTCACCAACAAGGCAATCTTCTCGGATCCGTCGTTGAAGCTGGTACAGCTGACTTTTGCGGCCTTCCACTTCGTCGTCACATGGTTCACCCTCTTCGTCCTCTCGCGCCCGCGCTTCAACTTTTTCCAGTCGCGCCGCGTCGGCATCCGCGAGATCGCCCCGCTCGCCGTGGCCATGGCCCTCAACGTCATCCTGCCGAACCTGTCGCTGGCCTTCTCGTCCGTCACCTTCTACCAGGTCGCCCGCATCCTCCTCACGCCCTGCGTGGCTGCTATGAACTTCATCCTCTACAGGGCCACCCTCCCGCGCAACGCCCTGCTCATGCTGATCCCGGCCTGCGCCGGCGTCGGTATCGTCTCGTACTACGACTCGCTACCGTCGGGCGATGCCAACGTCAAGACGACCACGACCCTCGGCGTCATCTTCGCCTTCTCGGGAATCTTCGCCTCGTCGCTGTACACCGTCTGGATCGCCAGCTACCACCGCAAGCTCCAGATGAGCAGCATGCAGCTGCTGTTCAACCAGGCCCCCGTCTCGGCCTTCCTCCTCCTCTACGTCATTCCCTTTATCGACACCTTCCCCACCTGGAGCAACGTCCAGTTCAGCCGCTGGGTCATGATTCTCATGGTAGGTACCCCGATACCTGCGCGAGGCGCTTGCCCCCCACTGCCATGTTTTGCTAGGAGATTGGGGTCCGCACATGTACTGACCGGTAACCCAATTAGTCCGGTCTCTTTGCGTCCTTGATCAACATCTCGCAGTTCTTCATTATTGCGCAGACTGGCCCTGTGTCTAGCACGGTCGTCGGCCACGTCAAGACCTGCACTATTGTTGCGCTAGGCTGGATGACCTCTGGACGTGGTGTTGGCGACAAGTCGGTTCTTGGCGTCATGATTGCCGTTGGAGGCATTGTCGGGTAAGTAACATCATCACCCTGCCAAGCCTTGTTGAGTGTCGTCGTTCGAAACCCGGCCCAGGGGGTTTTGGCGCTTTTAAACTTTCAACGGTCTTTTGTATTAACTTTTCCCGATCCACAGGTACTCTGTCGTCATGCTCAAGGAGAACCAGAAGAAGGCCGCCCAGGGCGGAAGGTGATTTGTTGGTGGTTGATACCGATCAGTCGGCCAAGCCGCTCTGCTTAATTTCATTCTTGAGGCGATAGAGGTTTGGTGCATTTCTTTTGTTGCCTTGTTTTGATATGTGCTGCCAAGCTAGGGTCATGGATGGTTCGTAGAGGTGTAAACGTGCCAGGTAGAGCTTGATGTTTTCTGATGCCCAGGATCCTTTTATACGGTGTGTATCATTCTCACCGCGCTGCCCTCTGAAAAAATAAACAGATAAGAAAAGAAATAATCAGCTACAACCAGGCCACTCGCTCTCCCGGGTACAAGAAATGCCGCCCAATGTGCCATTCTATTCCAAGATCCTCAAAGTTTGTTTAGGATAGCGTGGTTGTTGACTCGGGTAAACCGCGCCGCATACAGATATGGCGATGGCTGCTATAGGGGGTAACCCAACAAGCCGGGTTGTGCCTCGTCGATGACGGGCGGCTTCCTGAGCATTGCTCGGTCAAGGGGTTTGGTTTCTGAACAGTCGGGGCATGGCGCCGGCCGCATTGCTACGCCCCAGCGAGCCGCTTGTCAAGTCGAGGCGGCCCCGCGATGTCGCCCATCACCCACTTGGGGTTTTGGGACGAGGCTGTTACGGAGTTCCTTGACTCTCACTCCCCTGCCCCACGCGCGCCGGAAGCAACGGTGACATTGTGGGCAAAGTGCGGACGGCGGCGTCGCCGGGCAGAATAAAACCAAGGGACTAAAAAATAAAACGCAATCAAGGTTCCTCGTCTGAACACTGCTGGAGACCGTGGCGGCGGATTTGTCCTAGTGGGTAAAATTGAAAGACCGGTTACAGGTTGAACTTTGTCCTGACCTTCTCCATCCTGGCCTTCCACTCCCACTGCACGGCATCGTCGCCGTCGCTACCTGCCCTCCCGATGCCCTTGTCGACCCTCCGCAGCTTGAGCGTGAACCTCGGCCCGATCTCTTGCAGGCCGACCCGGACGTCGGTGAAGCCCGGAATCTCCTTCCCTTCCTCGTCGACGACTGTCTTTTCCGTCTGTCTCCTTTCCCTGTACTTGTAGCGGTGTCGCCTCACAAAGAGGTAGTCTCTCTGGTTATGTATGGTCAAGACTTCTCGACCTATAGTTTAGGAGTGCGTTAGGTGGCCGTTGTTTCTCCAAGACCGCGGGACAAAGTAGAGACGTAGGACGCTTACCTGCTATCTCAGGCTGGTACGGAAATAGCCTACGGAGAAGCTGGGCCGTAAGAAGACCGAGCGGTGTGGTGAACCGATTTAGGAGAAGCTCCGGATAGAATCCCTGGTGCGATGCAGTGTAAGCATAAAACTACCCACTTGATCAGGGACTTTGGGTCGGTGTTGACGGGGGCTGTACCTGAGAGTTGCCGTGCCCGGGGAGCTTTGATCCCTCGATCCAGTTTGTTATGGTGAAGTGGAACGTCGGGCCTTCCGGCAGATGGGCGATGGTGAGGCCGGTCGGCTTCTTCTGGTCCTCGCGCACCATGACGACGGCCGTGAAGCCGCGGTTCGAGCCGAACTTGCAGATGTCGCGCAGCGAGTACTTGTGGGCGTACCTGTGGCCGCTCCTCGGGACGTAGTGAGAGTTGGGGAAGAGCGAAGCGATTATCCCGGCCTCGCGGTGTATCGTCGCCTTCAGGGATGTGGTAACCAGAATCTTGGGCTCGGGGTGGGGGCCTTCGGTGAAGAGCGTCGGAAACTTGCGCGCGATGGACGCCGGCGTCAAGTCGAGGTTCGTGCTGGTCGTCGACGGTGCGAGACTCGGGTTTCGCTGGGCGCGGATCCGCTCGAGCCGGGCCTCGTCCTCTTCGTGATCTTCATCGTCGTCGTCCAGCTCGTGATCGCTCCCGAGCATGCTGTCGATGTCATCGTCCTCGTCCGACTTCTTCTTCGTGGGGCCACCATCTGCCTCCTCAAGCGCCTGGTTCTCTTCCTCTTCTATGCGCCTCCTCTTCAGCGCAGCGAGGTCAACGACCGCGCCGAGAGAGTCATCATCGCCTTCGTCCCACACCCGCTTCTTGTCGATGCTGGACGGCTGATTCCGGGCGATGCGCTCTTTCTTCAGGCTCGGGTCCTTGTCCTCCTCCTTCTTCCTCCTGAACCTCTCGGCTCGTTTTTCTGCGCCGGCGTTCTGCTTATTTCTGACGTGAAGTCTCTGTCTCTTGAGCTTGTTGCCTGTTTTGAGGGAAAGCGACGCGCCAGAGGCGCGGCTGGTCTTCTGAGAGCCCATTACGGCCCTTTAACCTTCAGTTTGTCGTTCCTCTTCTAAATGTAGATTTTAGAGTCGCCTGGCAAAGATGACATGGACAACGGGCGCTGAATTAGCGTTGGTTGCGAAGAGCATTGAGGTTGCTTCAAGTTGTCGCAAAAAAAAAAAAAAGGCCGCCAGGGGCCGACAGGAGCTCCGCCCGCCTGCAGACGAACTTTTTTTCTGCATCTTCGGAGCAGGCCCGCAAGCTTACGCACGGTCCGCAGCTTTCTGGCACGGGGGCAATTGGACAGGCTTCCCAAGGGTTGCCCAGAATTTTGTATATTTTGTCTGAAAATTCAAAGAGGACGCGGAGGGATTCAATGGCGCACCGGACCATATGAAGATACAAAGCAGGAAACGGCTAAGGGATGAGAAGATTTGACTGGATGGGAAAAGCGAAAAGTGAATGCGAGCGGAACAGACACCCTCCTGGCTGTCGGGGCTTCTTCATCCGGTCGCACTGATAAGTGAGCCCAGCCGCACTTTTTGGAGGGGCAGCTCAATTCGTGCGGGGCAATGACAGACGGAACACGCGCCCTGACAGCCGAGTGAGGAAAAATAGCGACAACTTTGAGTGCTCAGAACCCTGAGCCGGAGGGCGAGTCACAGCTTCAGCTACAGCCCACTGCGGCACGTTTTCTGGACATAAAAAATCCCCAAGTTCGGAGTGATTCCCAGTGACTCACCTTGGACTCCTCTGGCGCACTTATGAACGCACTGCGTCGTCTCTCTTCAGCTCCGCTGCCCACACTCGGCCTCATCCATCCCTCTCGAGTAGGCACTCGCACAATCCGGACAGCTGTTGCACCTCATTGGCGCAGCCCAGTTCTGACACCACTTGCCCCGCGCGCCTTCCACAGCGACCCCCGACTGCAGAAGAAGTATATCCACACCCCGCTGACCAAAAACACGAGACGTCCCAAGCAAGAAAAGTTCAACATGGCCCCTCCCGCGACGACTCTGAAGGGCGAGCCCCTCGACCGCCCGGCATTGGACACAATGCTGCGGCGGCGCATGTTCTACACGCCGTCGTACGAGATCTACGGCGGCGTCTCGGGTCTCTACGACTATGGCCCACCCGGTTGTGCGCTGCAGGCCAACATCATTGACGCCTGGCGCAAGCACTTTGTGCTCGAGGACGACATGCTCGAGGTCGACTGCTCTGTTCTGACGCCCCACGATGTCCTGAAGACTAGCGGCCACGTCGACAAGTTCGCCGACTGGATGTGCAAGGACACCAAGACGGGCGACATCTTCCGGGCCGATCACTACGTCGAGGAGATCTTGGAGCAGAGGCTCAAGGGTGACAAGCTGGCGCGCGGCCAGAAGGTCGAGGCTGAGGAGGAGGACCCCAAAAAGAAGAAGAAGAAGCTCAAGGGTCAGGAGCAGGTCATCAAGCTCGATAATGCTGTCGTCAAGGAGTACGAGGAGGTCCTAGCGCAGATCGACAACTACGACGGTCCTGCCCTCGGCGAGTTGATCACCAAATTCGACCTCAAGAACCCCGCGACCGGCCTGCTGCCCACCCCTCCCGTCTCGTTCAACTTGATGTTCAGCACCTCCATTGGCCCCAGCAGCAACCTCCGTGGCTACCTCAGGCCCGAGACAGCTCAGGGCCAGTTCCTAAACTTCGCCAAGCTGCTCGAGTTCAACAACCAGCAGATGCCTTTCGCCTCGGCGTCCATTGGCAAGTCCTACCGTAACGAGATCTCGCCTCGCGCGGGCCTGCTCCGCGTCCGCGAATTCCTGATGGCCGAGATTGAGCACTTTGTCGACCCCGAGGGAGGCAAGAAACATACCCGTTTCAGCAGCGTCGCCGACATTGAGCTCGAGCTCCTGGACAGGGACACCCAGCTTTCGGGCAAGACGGATACCAAAAAGGTTTCCATCGGCAAGGCAGTTGCGGACGGCCTCGTGGACAACGAGACGCTTGGTTACTTCCTGGCCCGGATCCACCTGTTCCTCAAGAAGATTGGTGTCGACCAGACCAAGATCCGGTTCCGCCAGCACATGGCCAATGAGATGGCACACTACGCATGCGACTGCTGGGATGCTGAGCTCCTGACGTCGTACGGCTGGGTTGAGTGCGTTGGCTGCGCTGACCGTAGCGCCTACGACCTGAGCGTACATGCCAAGAAGACCGGAGCCCCCCTGATAGTGCGGCAGCGGCTGGAAGAGCCCAAGATCGTTGAAGAGTGGACCGTTGACATCAATCGTAAGATGTTCGGCCCCAAGTTCAAGAAGGAGGCCAGGTTTGTCGAGGGTGTTCTCATGGCAATTCCCCAAGAGCAGCTCGGCGCCCTGGCGAAGAAGCTCGATGAGGAGGGTGCTATTTCGCTAGATGTCCCTGAGGCTGCCGGCGGCAAAACCAACGTTGATAAGGAGGCGATCTCTATCAAGTGGACGAAGAGGACCGAGAATGTCAGGGAGTTTGTGCCCAACGTCATCGAGCCCTCCTTCGGAATTGGTCGAATCCTGTACTCGCTTCTGGAGCACAACTACTGGACTCGAGGCAGCGAGGGCGGTGATGAGGCTCGCGGTGTAAGTTTTCTTTTCCTGCGTACATTGCATTTCCTGCTGAACCCACGGTTCAGTTTACTATTTGGGTGATTTTGACGGCTAATCATCAATTCAGGTTCTCTCATTCACCCCGGTCGTTGCCCCGACCAAGGTTCTGATTGTTCCCCTCTCGGGCAAGGACGAGTTCCGGCCATTTGTGCAAAAGATCTCACAGAAGCTGCGTTCCGTCGGCGTGTCCAACAGGATCGACGATTCATCTGCCACGATTGGCAAGCGGTACAGCCGCAATGACGAGCTCGGCACGCCGCTGGGCATTACGATAGATTTCCAGACGGTCCAGGACAACACCATAACGCTGCGCGACCGTGACTCCACGCGGCAGGTCCGCGCGAGCGAGGATAAGATTGTGGATGCGATCCAGTCTCTCGTCTCGGGCGACAAGACATGGAAGGACATCGAGTCTGAGCTGCCGCTCTTTGAGGGCCAGGAGGTTGAGATTGCCAACCGCTAATGGACTAGGTAGCTAGCAAGGGAGAAGGGATCAGAACAAAAGAAAAGCCATTTGTATACTCCAATTAGCCATGAGCCAGGGCCTCGGTCGAGCGCAGGGTGGGTGTAGGCGAGATTTGATACATATTCGGATGAGTATGTAATAATGTTGGTATCTGCCGTCCGTCTATAAAGCGATATTCAGGAGATCTCTGTCACGGCCTCTCCCTTTGCGGGTCTTTACGCCATAAAAGAGGCATCCGATAAGCAGCAGGGCATATGTTTCAAAACAGACATGTGAAAAACCAATATGTGCATGATGGAATAGGCGGTATAGGCGAATCACACGCACATTGAGTGGCGGGTTAGTGGACGTGTTACGGGACAGCGGATGTCCTGGCGGCATGTGTGCTCTGAACTCCGAAGGGTTGGGCATCGACACATTCGCTTTGTGTGGGACAAAAGGACATGGAAACTCGGGAAGGAGCCGCATCTCGGACCACGCAACTCTGGGCAGGGCCGGTCAATTTTCTGCAGGGTTCCGGGGTGGAGGCTGGGCCCTCGACAGCCGGAGTTTTCCCCGTGGATCCTCCATGCCACGGCTCGCCGGCTCCTCCTGCATGCTCGAGTGAGCGGCATGTCGTATCGCGCGGTGAGAAAGCGAAAAAAAACGCTGCAAGGGCAACGGGGCACCTCCCAAGGAGGTTTCAAGCACATCGCCGGCTCGATGGCGATGCCAAGCAAGATCTCCCCGGCGGCCGCCCCTACTGGTCGATAGACTAAGCATTGAGCCCAAGGTCGCAGGTTTACAGCCGCCGAGACGGGGCCGGGAAAAGTCGTGGCCCGGACTGGACTTTGGCTTGCGACCTCGAATTGCTAGATTCTGGGCGGCAAGTTTTGCGATAGGATGAGAGCAAAAAGTGAGAAGGGAAGAGAGACGGACAAAGTTGCCTTCTGGAAGGAAGATGGGCGAGAAAAGCCGCGGCTTGCAGGGGTTAGGATGCGTTGAACCTGTGACGGATCCGCAATTTGGAAACAGAAAGCGCACAAGGTGGATATTTGGCGTCCAAATCCCGCCCAAGTCGTTTCGTGTCGATCACTCGGATGTTTTTTGGGGACAAGAGGATTCGGTGTCGGGCCCCGGGTAGATGCCACATCGACGTCGTAGGTGGCGGGCGGCCGGCCGGCCGGCCTGGGGGTTGGACGCGATGGAGGGGTAACACCGACGGTTGATGTCCGTCACCAGCTCTGCCTGCCGCTTCGTCCGACCGACAGCTACCCATCCCGCAGCCATTCGAGTGTCGCAAATCCAAGCCACCTGCGTCGACGAGGGACGCCCACCTACATGCACCGCATCTTGAGATTGGCACGGCGGCGAGCGAAGAGGTCGAGGGCCAGACATGGCCCCAGCCAATATAGTGTACGTGAAGCAACGGGTCGGGCTGTCGAGGCGCCTTCCAGCCCCTTAGCGCCTGCGCTCGGCTCTGAGAACCTTTTCGGCCGCCCCAAATCCTTGGAGAGCTCAAGGTGGTAGTGGATGGTAGCATTTCAATGGCCAAGACCCTGCGTCACGTTTCGTGGATCTGCAGCGCTGGATAATCGACATGCATCCAAGGCCAGCCGAACCGCAGAGACTTTTTGCCGGCAAAGCGCCGGCGGCACGCTACGAGCACGCGCGTTGGCTTGCTTTGACTCTGGTGGACGCTGCATGGCAGACACCGCACTGTGTATGCACTGCCGTCTTGGCGCCGGTCAAGGCGGCCAGGCTGGGGCACGCCAAAATGAACAAGGCTAGCAAGGCCAGAGCTGGAGACTGAGGAAAAATAACACCAGACGCGGAAGCCGAGAGGAGGGGCATGCGTCTGGGGTGAGCACTTAAAGTAACATCGGTCCACGTTAACTAATGCAGTGACAGTAGATCGATCTAAAGGATGCAGTAGAGGAGTCAGTAGGCAGCTAGGTGCACATGTATGTAGGTGATATGTATTAGTATGTGCACGCAGGCGACATGGACCCAGGTTAGAAGGCCCTCTATGGCAAGATATGTGTACCTCTGTAATACAGGCAAGGGAGTTGGGCTTCGATAGAATGGACCGGCTGATGGTAGATGCACCCATTCCCGCACCCGCACTCTCGGGAGCGTGGCGGCGACAGGGAAGCGCCGCCCACCAGCAGGCTAGAGAGGCGGCTCTGCAGAAGACTCGCAAGGCAACCTACGGCGAGCCCCACGGTCCTGACTCCTCGGCAACCGAGTGGAGGCGACAGGCAGGGTCGAATCCCGGGAAGGCAGAGAAACCGCCGTAGAAAACATGGAACGACCCCTGGCCCACAATGGTCGAAGATACCATCTGTAGGGGTAAAGAACGTTGACGTCGGCCACCGACCGGGGTCATTAGGGGGTGCAGTGCCCGCATAGTGTATTACAGTGCTTTCAACTTTTTTTTTTCTCACGCTTTTCCTTCATTTTCCCAATTCCTTTCCGTAAAATACCAGCGAAGCTGAACATGCCCAAAGCACGAACAAAAAAAAAAAAAAAAAAAAAGTAAAAAGAATTTAAGCTAATAGGATAAATTAACCGTTGTATTTGCTTTCCCAGCTGGCTAGCGCGTTTAATCCCAATACTTTTTATATCCTTTGCATTTTGGGTATTTTGCGGAAAGGAAAAAGGAAAAGGATGCTGAAGCGCAAGAAAAAAAAAAGTTGAAATCACTGTAGTACACTATGTGGGCACTGTACCCCGTAATAACCCCCAGTTGGTGGGCCGGCTTCAACGTTCTGTGCCCCTACAGATGGTACTTTGGCAGCAAGGAACCGTCAAAGCCGGGGTTGCTCGGGCGGAGAGGCGCCAAAGCCTGTGCTCCACCAGCCCAGCAGCAGCTCTCCTTTGCCGCCCCGCCGACCGTCGCACCCACTGTGCAATATCACCCCTCCCCTTGAATGAACCGCCGCAACCCGCACGGGCACTTCTTAGTCGGGCCTCACGCATCCGCACACAACACTTTAGAGCAACCACCCAACCTAGCATCACCCAAGAATCAGCCGCTCTCGCTCCATCACCGAGGCCGCAGCAAAGGCCCCCGAGTCCACTCGCTTCTTGGCCAATACTTGCGCGGCACCGTGCACAACAACGCATACGCAAGCCCACAGCCCACAGCCCACCTCCTACTTCGACCCAGGCCGTCCTCCCGACCGCCACACCCAAGAGCGGCCCTGGTCGTAGGTGGGGGCTCAATCCAACCACACTGAACCCGAGACCTCCGCTTGCCACAGGCATCTGGCTGGCACCAACACCCGCTTTCCGTGCCTGTCGGCCAAATCTAGCCTAACCACGTCTTTGTTGCCTCGGCCGTCTATTTTACAGTTTTTCGGGTTTGGCACACCAGCTGCCCGCTCTCCTGCCTGCTCCACAGTTAACAGCTACTTCCCACTCTCCCCCCTCCCCCGTCATCTCATGGGTGCTCGATCATCGCGCCGCCTCTTCCATCCTGCCTAACTTGCCCGCCGCCTGTCTCGCGGCCGTGCTGTTTGTGCCCCATTTCCGGCCTACGGCTGCTGCCATTCTCATCCCATCCCCCGCCTAGCGCGTGTTCTGTTTCAATCCACCTCGTCTCGCACGGGGTTTGGGCCGCAGGGGGGGTGGTTGAAATCCGAACCGATACCCTTCTTGCTGCTCCGTCCTGCCTAATCCCAACTAAAATACCCACCCACATCCTCTCTGGGCTCAAGGGCCGTGCCGCGAACTCAACTCTCTCCCAACTCACCGCCGCACCACTCCGTCGCTGCAAAGAGGGCCGCCGGCCTGTAAAAAAACAAATCAAAAATCAAAACAATAAACACAACATCACACGGCCCAAACCCACACCCAGACCCGGATTCCGGCGCGTCACCATTCTCGATGATTGCGACGACAATCGCCGCCCTCTTTTCTACCTGAGTCAAAGCGCGCGGCGTGCCCTTCCTCGATCTGGGCAATTGGCGCCACCCATTCTCCCTCCCTTGGCGCAGGTGATCCAAGTCACTGTGATTGGCCTCGGCCTCGAGACACGCCGATTTCTTTCCTCCTTCGCTCGAGAACGAACGCCTCGGATTCCTCAGCTATCTAGCCGCCAGCGCGCTTCTGCGCCCCCAGCCTTGACTGGTACGTTTCGGCACCCCGCGCTGGCGCTGATGAAAGCCTGAATTTCGCCCCTTCTGGCTCCCCCTCCTGACCGTGTGTTTGCCGGACGAAAAGAAAGAGCAAAAAAATAATAAAAAATCACCCCGGCCTCATCGTTTTCTGTGCCCCTCATCAAATCCCCTTGTTTGTTCTTTTGAGAGGTTTTTGTTTTCTTTTTCCCTCCTTTGCGCGACTGTGTCGACAAGGTCTTACCTAGTCGTCAAGTTCCCTCAAGGAAGGAAGGAGGAATAAAAACCGGACAACATGGCGTCGCAAAACAGGTGTGTACCACGGGGTGTTCTTTTTGAGGCTCACCGCCCCCTCGCGAATCGGAGAGAAGCAAGGTCGACCTCCGAAATCTCGCCAGCTTCCAAGGGTTGCCGGCGGCCAGTGGTCTCGACGATGCATTACCATCAAACCCCTTGGTCTCGCTCTCACTCGCGCCCAAACCCGAGCTCAGCCGCCGTTTTTGGATTCTCGATTGCCTGAACCGCGTGCCGCTTGTCGAGGGCTCTACGGCAACTTGTGATCTACCGAGCCTGAATCCACGCTGACCTGATGCCAGTATCTACACCTCGGGTCAGTTTATGAACCCTGGCCCAGCGCCACGACCCCCAACCGATCGCCCCCGCCTGGCCCTCACGCCCAATCCGAACCTGCCGGGCAACATGGCAGGCATGAGCTTGAACTCGCCCGTTGCGGCGAGGCAGCAATACGGCGGTTCGACCATATCCCTTCCCTTGGGCCGCCAAGTATCCAACACGGACGGTCTTGGCGGTGTCGCCGTCATCAAGGAGGGTTGGGCGCAGGTCAAAGAGAGCAAGAACTTCATTCAGCCATGGAAGCAGAAGTACCTTATTTTGCGCAAGGAGGCCCTCGACTTCCATAAACAAGAAGGCAGCAAGGTCTCGTATACGCTATACTTGAAAGATGTGATCAACGTCGGCCGAGTCGAAGCTGCCGGGACAATCTTCGAGGTCAAACGGCATTCCAACGGTTCCTCGACGAGCCCCGGCGATGACGATGGCACGATCCGAACCCTGCAGATCCGCGTCAAGAGCGACGACGATCTGTACGAGTGGATTGACTTTATCTACGCGCGCTGCCCCGGAATGGGTGGTGTTAGCAACCCGACCAACTTCTCCCATGCCGTCCACGTCGGTTTTGATCCACAGACGGGCGAGTTCGTCGGCCTCCCTCCAGAGTGGTCCAAGCTCCTGAACTCATCGGCCATCACCAAGGAGGACTACGAGAGGAACCCCCAGGCTGTTTTTGAAGTCCTGGACTTCTACTCCGATCTCACCAAGCGCGCCGAAAACCCTGCGCAGTATCCTAGCCTTACCCCGACCCCGCCTGCCGGGAACATGCAGAACAAGCAGCTCGGTTACAGCACGGGCGCATCGGTTGCCCCACCGCGGCAGATGCAGCCCATGCAGTCCATGCAGCAGCAGCAGCAAATACAGCAGCAACAACAGATGCAGATGCAGATGCAGCAGCAGCAGCAGCAGCAGCAACAGATGCAGCGCCAGCAAAACAACTACCCCAGCATGTCGCAACAAACATCCGGTATGCACCACCCCATGTCCGCTGAATCCAGACAGCACTGGCAGCATTTCCAGATTATTGCCGCTAACCACACGCCTTCTACAGATATGAACCGGGATGCGGAGCGCCAGAGGCAAGCCGAGGCAGCCCAACGCCAGCGCATGATGGAGATCGAAGAACAGAATCGTCGTGATCTCGAAGCGTACAACGCAGCTATTCCCAAGACGAAAACCCCGATGGCGCAACAGGAGCTCGGCGGTTATAGCGGCGGCGGCGGCTCGTCTGCAGACCGTTTCAACCCCAGCAGAGCACCGCCCCCGGCACCAAAATCGGCCGCCCAACAGGCCGCCAGCCTCCGCGCCCAACGTCCGGCACCCTCACCACCGACTGCAGGCTCCGGTGGCATGCAGCAGCGCCCCGGCATGTCGTCTCAGCAGAGCAGTTCGTCGTCGATGCGGGACCCCATGGCTCAGCAGCAACAGCAGCAGCAGCAGCAGCGCCTACCACCCCGAAACGACCAGCCCGCCCAGTCCTCCGCCCAGAGATACCCCAATGGCCCCTCCTCTCCTGCGCCCCAACAGAGGACCAACGGACAGCCGCAAGGCCAACCCCCGTCGCGGCTCCCTGCGCCGGTTAAGCCGCTTAATGTGCCAGCAAAGCCCTCGCCGCAGTCCGATGCCGTTAAGGCGGCTGAGGCGGCACTCACCGCGAAACCGCCAGCCCAGGAGAGATCGAAGGACGTCCGCATGTCCACCATGTCGGAAAGCGAGGTCATGCAGAGGCTCAAGGAGGCCGTTTCCAAGGACGACCCGAACCTGTCGTATGCGAAGCAGAAGAAGATCGGCCAGGGTGCATCTGGCTCTGTCTACGTCGCTAAGGTCAGGGAGACGGCTGTTTCCCCGATTGCGCGCAACATCCTCCGCGAACAGGGCGCCAAGGCGCAGGTTGCGATCAAGCAAATGGACCTGGCCCACCAGCCGCGCAAGGAGCTCATCGTCAACGAGATCATGGTCATGAAGGACAGCAAGCACAGGAACATTGTCAACTTCCTGGATGCCTTCCTGCGAAACAACTACTCGGAGCTCTGGCTCGTCATCGAGTACATGGAGGGTGGTGCTCTGACCGACGTTATCGACAACAACCCAGTCATCACAGAGGAGCAGATCTCCACCATTTGCCTGGAGGTGAGTCGCTGTGTGAAATGGCGTTGCGGTCTAACACTGGGAAGCAGGCCAACGAGCTCAAGCTAATTTCATACATCACAGACGTGCCGTGGCCTGCAACATCTGCACTCGCAGAGCATCATCCACCGTGATATCAAGAGTGACAACGTCCTTCTCGATGCTCGCGGTAACGTCAAGATCAGTAAGCTACCTATCTGAGGCCCCGCTTTGATGCTTCCAAGGCGGCGAAACTAACAGAACATCTCTAGCCGATTTTGGTTTCTGCGCCAAGCTCACCGAGTCCAAGTCCAAGCGCGCCACCATGGTCGGAACTCCCTACTGGATGGCACCTGAGGTCGTCAAGCAGAAGGAGTATGGGCCCAAGGTTGACATTTGGTCGCTGGGCATCATGGCGATCGAGATGATCGAGTCGGAGCCGCCCTACCTGAACGAGGAGCCTCTGAAGGCGCTGTATCTGATCGCTACTAACGGGACGCCCCGCCTGAAGAACCCGGCCAAGCTCAGCAAGGAACTGAAGGCCTTCCTTTCGGTGTGCCTGTGCGTTGACGTCAAGAGCCGAGCATCGGCCAGGGAGCTTCTCGAGCACGAATTCTTGAAGCATGGCTGCCCGACTGGCACCCTTGCCGAGCTCTTGGCTTTCAAGAAGCACGCCAAATAAGGAAACCGAGAGATGTCACCCCGCTAGACCCCACGAAACCCAAAGATCCAGCACATGTTATTGGGTACCAATCCTCAACGACGGTTTTTCCCCCCTCCGCTGCATCAGGGCGTTTCAACATCGAAGGCACGAGTTCAAAAGCTTTTCCGCACAAGCTTATGGCAGCTGAAGCCAACAGTTCCTGGACCTTATCTGGGGTACTCGGGCTCCGCGCGAGCACTAAATACCATTGGATTCTCCGAACACCCCTTCTCGCCCCTTCACGCCCTTCGCCCACGTTTTAACGGCTCCTTTTCTCTTCGCTCCCTGTTATAGCATGAAAATCTGTTTTCTTGTGGTGTCAAGTAATGCCGTCTTATATTTATTGTTTTTGAACCTTGCATAAGGGATGTCATTGTCTTTATGGGCCCCGGGCTCTGGGCGGTCTATTTTTTTTCTTGACGAATGTGTGGATGATGCTTGGGACCTACGGCGAGCTTCCAGTTAGGCAAATTAGAGGAGAAATGGTACAAAATAGGTACATGCAATGTATTCGCTCTTGACTTTGCTGATAGATGAAGCAATGTCCCAAGCCCCCTTGGCGCGGGTGGCTTTGCGACCTCGGTGCCGGAAACGGGTCATGCAGCAGTATCGAGATAGGCTTTCGGTACAGATCGGATGATTGCTGACCCTTGGGCCAAAGCTTGCCGCTGTACTCGGGTCTGAAAGGGGGACGAGGAGGCCATGGCGCGAGTGAGTTCTCCGGATCGTGCAAACCAAAAACGACGCCTCAATTGGACCACGCGCGAGCTGCATCGGGCGTCATGTGTGGCGTTGAAGAAGCACGACAGCAAGACACGGCCCCGAGCGCGACTACTCTAGAGGAAAGGAGGCTGGCCCGAACGTTCGAGTCGCTGGCGTGGTGATGCTATGGATGTGAGTTATATCAAAAATAGACGACCGGTTCATGCAGATGCAGTGCGACCTTGATGCTCCATCGGAGGGATGTATGCATGTGTGGATGGGATGTTATGATGGAAGGTTGGCGGGAGATGGTGTGCGTGCTTGTCGTTGTCTGTGCTGCTGCCGCTGGCTGCTGCGTCTGTCTGTGTGTAATGGTGTGCAGACGCAGTAAACTTCCAAGAGGCGGGGGCTTGGGTGGCACAAATCTCCGAGTGTGTGTGTGTGTGTCATGTGGTGACAATGGGATGAGGGCGGCGCATGGTGAGGCTGGGCTGGGTTGGGCAGTAGCCGCTGGGATAGGTATCTCTGACGCACAATTGCTGATATGGGGCTGAGAGGGGCTTTGTTCGTGCGCGCGCCGCCTGGCGATGGTGTTGGTGTTGGTGTTGGTGCTGGTGCTGTGGTGCTGGTGCTGGTGCTGGTGCTGGTGCTGGTGCTGGTGCTGCCTGCAGACGCGGGGTGATGGCGGCGGCGGCGGCGGTGCTTTGGACACGAGCCAAGCCTGGAGCTGAAATGAGAGCTTGACAGAGCCCGCCTCGGCTCGGTGAGCACGCCACTATCAATAGCTTGCCTCGTATGAGCAAAACAGAACCGGACTAGATCGCCGTGGCGGGACACGACGGCGGCATACTTTTTTTTTCCCTTCGTTGTCCCTCCCCCGTCAACTATCCGCGGGAGGAGCTCCGAGCCGGAACCCAATCAAGAAGACGAGCTAAGCGGGGAGCAGCCGTCACCTGCCACGCCTAGGTGCGGTCAGGAGCGCTAGCAACCAACCAGGCCGACTATGCTGTGATCACCACATAGGCTTTTAGGGGGGGGCTAGGTGACAGTGTTTCAGGACTGCGCAGTGCCACTGCAAACGCGGCTCCCTTTGCCGCGTTTGTCGTTCGATCTTCCCCTGAGAAGTGCATATTTAGCACCCTGGATTAAAGGGCTTTGCTTGATCATTGATTGTGACTTGGTGGGGAGAGCTGGAGCTGTGCCCCTCCCCCACATTACTGTGTAGATAACAGAACGGCATACTAGCAGCACAGGCAATGCAGTCATGATGCATTCTTGTTTGGACGGCGATGCGCGTTTTGTAAATAGAAACATTGCCCTGTCGCGCGGGGCTATTTGCGCCGCTTTTTTTTTTTCTTTCTCCGGGGGTCCTTTTTGGCCCTTTGATCGGATCCTTCTCCTTTTTCCTTTCTGGTCTGGCCCATCAAAACCCATCCCCCAAGGATCGTGGCTTGGCAAATCAAGCCATCTCACTCGCTCGGGTGGCAGGCAGCTCGGCGAACTGGCAGCTCGTGCTTGGATCCAGGGCGGGCTTTTGATGCGGTGGCCAAAAAGGAAACCAACTGTGCCCCCAAGTGGCGACAGACAGAAAACGCAGGTACAGGTCCCAGGGATCACAAACCCTAGTGCGGTGAATGCAAGATACATTTTCTTCCTCAGAAAACCAAGTCAAACTGATGTACCACCAGGATCCACCGTACTAAGGTTTATGATCCCTGGGACCTGTACCCAGCGGACCTAACGCAGTAAGCGCATCATGGCAGCAGGAAGGAGGAGGCTAGGGTATTTACTGCGCAATGCACAGCGGTTACGAAGGGGGCCACGCCAGGTTTCGGCTAGATTGCCCTCGGCTCTCTCTCCCCCCAAGGCCAAGGAGGGGGACGCTGTGTGCAACCATCATGGGACGACAGCCGCGCACGGCGTGGTTCCTACTCTCCTGCTCGCCCGCCCAAACCCTCTCGAACCGAGATATCAATGTGATGTTTGCGTGGCAGGTTGGCCAAGGTTGCCAGATTTGTCGCCTGTGCACGTCTCAAAACCACGTCGTTTCTCGACGACCTTCCCAGGATGGCAGCAAAACTGCCGGGTGGCCCGGACCTGGGGATGAAAAAAAGGGGGGACCACCACCACCACCACCACCACCCCTGTGCGCGGTCGTCAACGTGCTTGCTCGCTGGCGGTGGTGACAACAGCGAAGCTCGAGCTGACTGGAGCCCACTGCAACGCAGACCAAATGAGCAACCTCGAGCTGCCTCGTAAGCCCCGTAAACAGTTACAAGTCCAAGTTCCCCACACCTGCAGGTCCCGGCTCCGTTCGGGATATCACTCTGTCAGGGCGGGCGCCGGCACGGAGGGGGGGACAATGGGGCAGTTCGCTGCTGCTGGCCGCCTTCTGCCGGGACACAGGCAGAAACCTGAGGGAGGCGGCCCGACACGGCCGGGGACATCCCAGATGGCGGACGGGGTCGCCCTACGAAGGAGGCAGCAGGCCGCCGTTGCCGCCTTATTTCTTTCTTTATTGCAAGCCCCAATCAACCTGAACATCATCATCCGAGTCCCGGGCGGGCTGAGCTGGTCCATCGAGGAGGCTGCCGCCTAAGGTTAGCCAAGTCGAAAGAAACCCCAGCCCACCCCCATCCATCCATCCATCCATCCATCCATCACAAACACAGACACACAATCAATCACACCCCCTGGGAACCACGCCGCCGGGGAGGCGGGCTGGCACTGTCGGTCGCCGTGTGGGATTCGCGCGCTGCCAATCTCACGCTTGGCGCGGGCCTGGACTCTGCCCGTGAGGCAAGGATGCGTCTACACGGAGCCTGTGTCGCGTCGGATGCCTCTCCCTGCCCCCAATGACAAATCTGTTCGCCAGCAGCAGCCGAGGAGCACACATGCCATACCTACAACACATGTACCTCAAGCTATTTATGTGCAATGGAATCAAGACTCGTTCGGAGCGACGAGCCCCCGTGATCAGTGATCAGCCTTCCACCCCCGGCGTCGGCGTGTGTTGGGGTCCCAACGTGCGAGTGTGCGTTCGCCCACTCGCCCACACTACTCGTGCGGGCTAAAAGCGCCTGCAATTTAACGGTCCTCCGGAGTAAAGTGCGGCGGGGCAATTCAACGTTTTCGGGGCAATTCAACGTTTTTTTATAACATTTTTCCCCAGCCAAATTAACTGGAAACCAATGTATCGCCGAAAAAGGTAATAATTAGCCGAATTCTTATAAGCACAATGCATAACCAAAAAACCATTATAATTTTAACCCCGCCAATTTAAGCTTTGCGCTTTTAAATTTTTTAGCTAAATTTTACCGAAATGCTTAGGATTCGGTACGAAAAAAAGCGCGAAAAGGCCCGGGCTAATAAAGCCCGGGTTTTAATAACTTTGGAAGTTTTTAATTAAGGCGGTTTTAAAACCTTTGCCGTTTGCGCGCGGCAGTACGGGATAAACCCTTGCTTATTGCAAAAGCGCCGGCAAAAAAGCGCCGGCAAAATAAAAAACGGCGAACATAATAAAAAGCTAACAAAGACCGAAAATTTTGCATTGCTTGCGTGGGCTAATTGGAAGCAATTAATTGGTAAGTTAATTTAAACGGTTTTAAATGCGGTTTATTAGCAAATAAATTAACCTTTTTTAAAAAATGCCGTTACCGCAATTACCGTTGCCCAAACCGTTAATTCGATTTTCCGCCGCTAATTAACCCTTTTTTTAACGAACGCTAAAAAAAAATGGGTTTAAATTTAACTTTTGGTTTATAAAAAATTATTAAAATGGGTAAAAAAAAAGCCGCAAGCTATTAAAAAGCGCGCGGTACAAAATAAATTAATATTAAAAAAATGGTTCGATTTTTACGCGCAATGCGTAAAAAAATATTAAATTAAACCGGAAAATAAATAAAATTTTAACAAAATAAGCTTTTGGGTAAGTATATTCCAAAAAAGCTTTATTTGGTGCTATACGGATATTAAAGCTTGGTTTTAAAGCAATCCGAATTATTAAAATATCGTTACAATTGTTAAAACTTGCTTGGCCGCCGGCGCAACAATCTTTCCGTTTATTATTATGGCCGGAATTTATATTAACGAAAAACACGTGCGCAATTTTTTAAATTTAAAAATAACTTTTACTATAAACGAAAACGGTTAAACCAACGATTTAATTGTGCTTAATTGGTTTAATTATTTCGTTAAACAAGCAATGCTTTCGTTGCTTAACAAGTATTGCTTATTATTAATTAATAATTACGGATCTTATTTAACGTTGCCGTTTTAAAAAAAGTGCGAAAAAAAAGATTGTAATTTTCCTTTTTTTTCCGCATACAATTTACAAATTGTAGCCTTTTAACGTCGGTATTTTTTTAACTTTTAAAACCGCGCATTAACGGGATCTTGCACGGCAAATTAAACAAAGCGCGGTTAATTACAACCGCGCAAAGTTTTTTAACGGGCTTTACAATATGCGCCGGCGTGCTTTTAAAATTAGCATTATTAAATTAATTTAACTTAAATGCGGGCTTTAACCTTTCGATCCGGAAATTGTATTTAATAATTTGGAAAATCCGTTTATTTCGGCCACGTTAAAAGCCGTAATTACTAAAAAAATTGGTTATATTTTTAACGCAACCAAATAATTCCGCCGGATAAAGCAATAAAGCCGGTTTTTTGCCTTTTTTTTTAACAAAATTAACAAAGCTAACGAAATTTTACGTTTGTTAAAAACGCCGTTGCCTGTTTTGCTAGCCCGCAATTAAAAAAAAGCTACAATTTTAACGTTAAATTTATTAACAATCCGCCCGTACAAAAATTAGCTTTAAAAGCGCTTACAATTTTTTGCCGCAACGGGCAAGCCAATTTTGCCAACGGTAATTTACGTTGCTTTTAAAGTAAAAAAAGCTAACGAAACGGCAATATTTGCAAGCGCGCGCGCAATTAAAAAGTTTTGGCAGCGGAAAAAAACGGATATTAATCGAAAAAGGAAATTTTTTTTTAATTAATTAATTACTAAAATAAGCCCAATTTTAACGGGCAATGCACAATTGCAAGCAATTAATAACGAAAGCGCGCATTTCGCCGGTTAACGTAAAAAGCGCCGGCGCTTTCGTAGCAAAAATATTAAAATGGAATTAATAATTTTTAAACGGTGGTTAAAAAATTACAAACGAAAGGAAAACGAACGATTAAAGCAATTGCGGGCACGTTTTGTTTTGCAAAAAGCACGGCGGAACGAAATTACCGCGTTAGTGCGCTTGCAAAAAATTTTCCTTTAAAATAAGGTTAATTTTATCCGGATATATTGGTAATAACGCCGGAATTGTAATAATCGGTTTTATGCTTTTTACAAAAAGGCTTTACTTTTTGTTTGCAAACAATTTAGCAAACAAAAAAATAACGTTTTTCTTTTTTCCAATTAATAATTTACCGAAATATTTTTTTTTATACGCTTTAATAAATAATTGCTAAAAACGAAAGTACGGTTCGAAAAGTTGTACAAAATTACTAAAAAGTAAAGTACGGCTTTAATTTTGCTTTGGCCGTTTCTTTTCCAGGCAAATATATTGCGGAAAAGTACGAAATTTCGTTACCGGAAATTACGAATAACAAAAAGGAAATAAATTTAAATTATAAACCGGTTATTAATTTAACCGGCACGGATTTGCTTTAAATAGCTTTATTTTTTGCTCAATTTAATCCACGCCTTTTACTTTTAATTCCTTTATGCACCGTACAAAAAGTGGTGGGCGGCTTATTACCTTTTTCGGCGATACATTAGTTTCCAGCTAATTTGGCTGGGGAAAAATGTTACAAAAAAACGTCGAATTGCCCCGCCGCACTTTACTCCGGAGGACCGTTAAATTGCAGGCGCTTTTAGCCCGCACGAGTAGCCAGACATGCCAGCGTTCGGCTTGGGCTGTGCCCACCAACGCACGACCTTTATCCGGCCCCCCAGGCCAAGCAGGGCCTGACTCGCCTTGGAGCTCCATGAGTTGGGCGCGATGGCTCTGCCCTGCGAGGTTGGCGTCAGGAAAGAAGGAAAAGAATGAAAAGGCATCGATACTACCAGGCCATTCCCTCGCACAATGGCGGACGGGAAAAGGCAGAGAAACAGCGGTCAAACATGAGCATAGACGGAGGATAACGACAAGGAAAAAAGAAGCCAAAGAAAAAAAGAAGAAAGTCTCACAGTGCAACGAACATGCCACAACTCCCACCCCTTAATCCGCGCCGTCCTAGGTATCAATGCCCAAGACTCAGGTGCTTGTGCTGCAGGAGCAGCCGGCAAACCGAATGTACCTTAAACAAGGGCAAAACTGATATGACGGGAGGTGACATGATGGGATGGACGGCGGATGGATTGGGTGGGTTGCCCCTTTTTTGTTCCTTGTTGCGTGAGCTGAGAGGCCTGGACGTGATAGGCCTGGACCGAGGTGACCAGAGCTCCTACCAGTGGCTATACCAAGACCAAAAGAGGATAGAGCGGCGTGTTCAGGTTGTTTCCGCCTGCTTTGTTCAAGTTTCTTCTTTTCCCCCGTGTTTATTTCGTAAGGGCTTGTCTGTTCTAGCAGTGTTTGTGCGTGTGCGCGTGTGCGTGTGCGTGCGGGAAAATCCAGCCCCAGAAACATGCAGACGGACCCCAAACGAAGCAGTAAAAAAAAAAAAAAAAAAAAAAAGAGACGCATGCGTGGCATCCGTCCGTCACCCACCACCCGCCATCCGTCAATCTCTCTGGCGCTGGTGCTGGTGCTCCCCGTAATTATTAGACGAATACCACGGGAAGGAGATGTTGCAGTAATATGCCCACGCGCAGACGCGCAGACATGCACACTCGCATATTGGCCGCGGTATCTTGAGGCGACGTTGGGCGTGCTCGCGAGGGCACCTGAGAGGCTGCCCACCTCTCAGGACGATGCAGCTTGTTTCATCCTGCTTGGCTGGCCCCTCCAATCGCCCCGACTGGTGCTCCAAACACTCCACCCCCCGTCGTACGGCCCCCCTGTCGCCCTCGATTCGCCGCGAAAGTGTCAATCTTGAAGCTGGCTGCCCATGCTGCTTCGTAGGGCGGGCTTTCTGGCCGTGCTCTAGTCGTGCCTCCCCGTTCCCCACTAAAAAAAAACCGTCCTCCCTGCGTTTGCGTGACCACTGCCACCAAGACCTCCACCCGCACAGCTCCAGTCAGGCCAGTCAGTCGAATCAACCCGCCTGCACTGGGCTCTCGAGCACGACCTGTCTGGGCCGACACGAATCCTCAATCCCTCTCTTTTCCTGTCTTTTCTCTCCTCTCCCCTTTTCCTGTCCACCCCCGCTCCCCCCATCTAACGCCGTTGCGTCGTCCTCTTCTCCAGGCTCGTGAATTCTACGCCCATGACGCCTGTATATTGAACAATCCCCGTCCTTCCTTTTAGTCTACGTCTCTTGTTTTCTTTCCTTGTGAAATCGCACCCAGCCTCTCTCGTCTTCGCCCTTCCGACGAACCGCAGGTCGCCAATGAATTGGGGAGAGCGCAGGGCAGCAGGAACTGGAACCGGATTTGTTACGGCCTCTTTGGGAACGCCCTAGAGCGGAAAGCTGCACGACTGACAGTTGAGCGGCGGCGAACCTTGCCTACTCGGTCTCCTCCACGCCCCCCTGACGCTCCTTGCTCGGCCGGCCAGCTAAGCCCTCTGAGCTGTTTTTTTTTTTCCCTCTCTCTCTTTCCTCCACCTCGACTTGCCTGCAAGTCCCCTCCCATCCATCCATCCATCCGTCCCCGAGGGCTTGGACTAGACTCGACACCAGACTGTCGTCTCGTCTTCTCTAGCTTGACCTCGGCCAAGGAACGAGCCTCAGCTGCACAGCGTCGAACCCGCCCTGCATCATCTGCTCGCCACGACCCGATTGTCCCGTCGACTTTTAATTCTCTTCTGGTTTTGCTTGCAAGGAACCAAAAGGTCAATTTATTTTCGCCGTCGCAATAATCAAGGCATCAGATCGAATCCACTCCTTGATTAGCCAACGACATTTTTTTTTCTTGCTGCCCCTTGTGGTCCACACACGACACCTCTCCAATACTACCACGTTTTGGTAATCCCCAATATCGAGCCGCCCTTCGATTTCTTCTTCCATTTGCCCTGCCGACCTCGTTCGACCGGTGAGCGGAATCGAGTTCCACCACCCACACCTGCTCCGACACTGGCAGCCTGGCAAACCCAGCTGCGGTCTGCACCGTCGGCGACGCTCCTTCGACACCTCCTCTTCGGCATTTAGACGAGTCTTCCAGAAAGAACGACCAAACCAAACCAGAGACGATATCCACCGCCTCTTCAGATAAACACGTGTCGTATCTGATGAGGGTCCGGTCAGGACACGATAATCGATAATGTCCAGTTCTAGATCCGACCATTTGACAATCGGCAGCTTCGCCCAGGCTGCTGCTGGCCAGCCTCGGTCAAACTCGCCCACCGCGAGCACCTCACCCAACGACCCGTCATCGAGTGCCATCAGGTCCCCTTTCGGGCTTTCCTCGGCCAAGATGCAGGGCGCCTCCAGATCCGGCGCCGGCTCTCCGTCTCACGACATGGGTGCCGGCTCGAGCAGATTATACTCCAAGAGGTATGCACTCTGACCTGCCCACCGCCTTGGGCTTGGCATGCAACATCTCGTATGCACAAAGAAACCTGGTCGAGCTTCAGCTAACCCGACCCACAAATGCTACAGAGCCCGCGAGATTCAGGCACAGGAAGGAGTCCCTGGCCTGCCCGTGAACCCGTGGGGCGGCCCTCCAACCAGCGGCAACTCGACCCCGTTGCGCGAGAACATTCCCGAGTCTCCCACGGATGGGTTCCCCGACTTTGCCCAACTGCCGACCCCAGAGAGCCTTCCCCAGACGAGGCGGGCCCGCGCCGGGACGGTCCCCTCGCGCTTCTCTCCCGGCGGCGCCGGGAACGGCCTCCTCAACATACAAGCTCTGGCACCCAAGTCTTCGAGGCCGACACCCTCTCAAAGCCCTTTCCAGGCCCCTTCGCCTGGGCTGGACCCCCCGGAGTCGGCGCAGAACCCCTCGACGCTGCTGTCTAGGCTGCGTGCCGGTTCAATGCCGCAGCGTAGCCCCTTCGCCCAGGCTCAAATCCCAGGAACCAACTCGCCATTCGGGCCGTCCATTTTTAGTAGCTGGAACCCCACCGGTCGCGAGCGGGGCGCCACTCTGGCGAGCATTGCCAGCATCGGCTCCAACGGGCCAAGCTCGCCCGCTCAGTCCGCATTCTCGCGGGAGGGTGCTGGTGAGAACGACGTACACATGCGCACGCTGGACTACCTGGGACTCGCCGAGACGACCCCGCAGCCAGCCAGGGCACAGATCGCGACGCCCTACATCCCTACGCTTGCCGACTTCACCAAGGCCAACAACCGCTTCCGTTCCTACTCGGTAAACAACAAGGACAAGTATGCCGACGAGGAGGAAGACGACTATGACCCGGAGGAGCTTGCCGCCTACGAGGCTAGGTTGGTCGCAGCTCAGCTGCAAGATCAATTGGCTGCCACCAATGCTGCCATCCACAACCACAATCTGGCCGTTCAGCAGGCATTTGCTAGCCAGGCCGCAGTCAACCGCCCGCGTGCCAGGACTGCTGGCGTTCTTGATGCCCCTTCGCGCATGATGAGGGGCTTCTACCCTACCCCAACGCGCATGGATAGTACCATCACCGCGGCCGACATCAGGCTCTCGGATGACAAGGAGTTCGAAGAGCTTCCACAGGCTGTCGCGGCGCTCTCTCTGGGCAGGTCAAGCAGCACCAACAATGGCCTCTTGAGTGTGGAGGAGCAGGGTCTGGAGGGTCCTACGAGCGCCCTATGGCTCGGCAGCATTCCCACCTCGACCACGACGTCGACCCTGACCGAGATGTTCAAGTCGTACGGCCCCATCCTGTCTGCTAGGGTTCTCACGCACAAGAACTGTGGCTTCGTCAACTTTGAGCGCATCGACAGTGCCATCTCGGCCAAGGCGAGCATGAACGGCAAGGAGATTTTCCCCGGGGCCGGCCCCATCCGCATCAACTTTGCCAAGCCGCCCTCGGCCTCCAACACCCCCGGCCACGATGGTGCGTTCCCGTCGCCCAGCCCCGATCCCTTCTCCAAGGGTCAGGACGGCGCCCAGGCTGCGCCCACTGCGGCTGGCTCGGGCGACTCGGCAGCCCAGCTCGCCAACGTCACGCCTACCGTTCCGCCTCTGCATGAGATGATGTCGGACGTCATGTCGATTGTGAAGCAGTTTGGAGCCAACGAGGATGACACGTACCGCATTTCGCTCAGCGTGCAGCGGGCCATCCAGTTCACCAACTTTGTTGATGAGATTCCTCCCATCAAGGAGCCCGCTCACACGCGTGTGCACGATGCGCCCAAGCTTCGTGACATCCGCAAGAGGATCGACAACCAGAGCCTGTCCAACGCCGAGATTGAGAACATCGCGGTGGACATGCTCCCCGAGATCGCCGAGCTCGCGTCTGACTACCTTGGAAACACGGTGGTCCAGAAGCTCTTTGAGCACTGCTCGGATGACCTGCGCGACGCCATGCTGGCTGAGATCGCGCCGCACATGGCCGAGATCGGTGTGCACAAGAACGGCACCTGGGCCGCGCAGAAGATCATCGACGTCTGCAAGACGCCCACTCAGATGAACATGATCGTTGAGAACCTCCGCCCGTGCACGATCCCGCTCTTCCTGGACCAGTACGGCAACTACGTGCTGCAGGGCTGCCTCAAGTTTGGTGCCCCGTACAACGACTTCATCTTCGAGACGATGCTGAGCAAGATGTGGGACGTCTCGCAGGGCCGCTACGGTGCCCGTGCTATGCGGGCCTGTCTGGAGAGCCACCACTCCACCAAGGATCAGCAGCGCATGTTGGCCGCTGCCATCGCCCTCCACAGCGTTCAGCTGGCCACCAACGCCAACGGCGCCCTGCTGCTCACCTGGTTCCTCGATACGTGCACGTTCCCGCAGCGCCGCACTGTGCTCTCCCCGCAGTTGATTCCTTACCTCGTTCACCTGTGCACCCACAAGGTCGCATATCTCACCGTCCTCAAGGTCATCAACCAGAAGGCCGAAGCGGACGCCAGGGACACAATCCTCAAGGCTCTGTTCTTCACCAAGAACGACCACATCCTGGAGGCGATCCTGTCGGATCACGCCTGCGGCGCCACCCTGATCTTCAAGGTGTTGACCACACCCTTCTTTGACGAGAACATTCGGAGCCAAGTCGTCGAGAACGTCAAGGCGGTTCTTGTCCGGATCAAGGCCCAGCCTTCGCAGGGCTACAAGCGTCTCATGGACGAGGTGGGCCTCTCGACCCGCAACGGGGGCGGCTCGCGTGACCACAGCTCCAACAACGACCGCCCGCGCCCGGGCTCTAGGCAAGCCAGCATGAACTCTCATCACCGGGAGCAGCAACAATCCCAGGGCCAGCAACAACAGTCTCAGGCCCAGCACAAGCAGCAGGTTCAGGCGGCCCAGACACAGGCCCAGCAGGCTCAGCAGCAGGCGCAACAACAGACACCGCCCCAGTTCGGCGGTGCCGGCCAGCAGTTCTTCAACCCTCTGAACCCGGCTGGCGGTGCTCCCGGCTTCGAGGCCGGTTTTGGCATTCCCAGGAGCGAGAGCGCCGAGCCCGGCATGCAGCAGTTCCCGGCGTTTGGTGCTCCGCCCGGCATGTTCGCTGGTGCCAACGGCCCCATGGCGGCCGTCAGCCTGCAGCAGCTTCAGTACCAGCAGAGCTTGCTGTCCCGTGGGGCGCCCCCCATGGGCAACTACTTCCCCGCGGCCATGCAGGCTGGCTTCCCCGCCTTCAACAACTCCAGCCCGTCGTCCATGGACCAGTTTCGTAACCAGGGTGGCATGCCCAACGGCAGCCCGATCCAGACGCCGAGCGGCCAGATCCCCGGCATGCCGGCGGGCGCACCGCTCGGCCCGGTACCGTTTGGGGGCGCTCCCGGCTTCCCCATGCCAGTGGGAGCACCTGGTGCCGGTGGCGAGGGCTTTGGATACAACAGCCTTCCCGGTATGCCCAACGCCGCCGCATACATGCAGCAGGGGCAGCAAGTCAACAATGCCAGGCGAGGACGTGTAAGTAGCAACCACAATCCGCCCGAGGACTACCGGCAGTGAAGCCCAGTTATCCATATCAACCCGATCAAGAGACTGACATTTGCCTGGCTCCCCACCGATAGCAACGATGAACGCACTCGCGGGCCACTGAACAAATGTAAAACTCCCACCAGAAACTAGAGCTCTGCTTGATCAATTATCTCTTCTGTCAATCCACTCGAACTTTTTCTTCATGTTATCCATTTCAACTCCAGGTCTTTCACAGGGATTTTAGGAACGGCAAGAGGGAGGGGCGCTACGTACTTGCATTTGTTTCACTCATGACTTGTTTATGTGTGCCTCGCAGAAGAGCCTGGCCTCTACCGGGCTTCACCGTCTTCATCTTGCCTTTGCATCCAACGTCTCTTTTACCATGCTCGACAGGGCCCGGAGTTCTTCTTTCCCGCTCTCCTTATCCCCCTGTGTTCTTCTCTTCTGTTTTCTGGACCGGCAAACTAGGGGGCGGCAAAGAGAAAAAAGAAGAAAAAGCCCACCAAACATTTAGAGGAGAGACGTGCAGGCCGCTCTGACTCTTGGCGTGCACAAAACGGGAGCATCTTTTTCCTTTCTTCCTTCTATGATTAGGCCATGGAGCATACGTTGTTTTGATGTCGACATAACTCTGAACTCCTTTCCGAGTAATGTCCCTCTCGTTGTCACGTCTTGTCGAATCTGTTCCATTTTTCTTTTCACGGCCCAACTTACTTGTAAAATCGATGCCTTTTATCCGTATCAATCCGTATGATCATGATCATGTCCGTGTGGCCGTCCGAACTAGAAGCCCGTGGAGAGGGCGTGGCTTGCTGTCATGCGAGTTGAGACTGTGCTTGCTGTCTAGACTTGTGGCTGGGAATAACCACGATGAGGCTCTCCCGCAGGTGACGGCTCATGCGTTTCAAGAACGAAAATGGATGACGAGGTTGGTGACACATGACTAGGGTAAGAGGGTGATGCACTAGTCAATCAAGAAGAGTCTCTTGTGGGGGTTCTGAGCCTGATGAATCTATAAAAAGACCAGTCTTGCGATGGCTTTCTCTTTCTCCCCGCCTCAGCAAAGAGACTCGTTATCCACCACCCATCCATCTGCTCAATCCTCGTCTTCGCTCGTCACACAACTTCCCATCTCTTCCTCCCGTGAAATCTTGATATCCCCGCGCACGTTTCTTTGTGTCTAGGTGGGATGTCCGCTCACAAACAGCAACCTCGGGTGGGATAGCCGGATGGGTGGGCCTCCAAAAAGAGATAACAAGGCACACACCCCCGGACCCTCAGTAGTGAGCGGGAACCAAAAAAGAAAAAAAAGAAAAAGAAAAAAAGCGAAAATAAAGCAAGCCTTCTCTCACTGGCTGAATGGTCCTCCTGCCAAAACAAGAGAACAACAGCAACAATGAAGAGAGAGAAGGGTCGGGATGGAAGTTGAAAAGAAAAAGGACAAGTAGAAATGAAGAAACGAAAAATGCAAAGATACCATGTTCTCAGGGAGAACCAGTACGAGGCCGTGGAAGTGCAAGGCGACCACGAGAACGTGACGTTCGCCTCAGCCCTGTGCAGTTAAGTGGAAAAGGAAAAGAAAACCGAGAGGGTACACGCTATGTTACAAAAACCGTGAATTGCAGCAAACATCCTCAGGAGCCTAAAAAGGCAGAGGGATAGGCGCGCTTTGCAAGTTCTGGGTAAAAGTAGAAAGGACGAAAGTTTGTTATGCGATGGATCAAGGACGAAGGTCAGAAAGGCTAGCCCGATGTGGACCATAGATACAACCCTTGAAATCGCACCATAGCGTTCGTTCTTAAAAAAAAAAGTTCGATGTCAGCACCTGATCTTTAGTCATGAGAAGACTAAACGAGTGTCCATGATACAGGACAGCCAAGCTCGACTAGAACAAGGGAAGAACGTGGCGTAGAGCATCGAGGTCTCTGGAGACCCAAGGACGACAGTTATGCGATATCCATGCCATCTACATCTGGCGTTCTGTAGTGATCACCTCCTTGACTCGCCGGGCGCCATCCTCGGCTGGGGATGTCGAGGGAGTTGGAATCGAGTCTCCAAAGCTCGACAAGACGGCGCCGACAGCTTTTACGGACACAGCATCCGCCTTGTCGGCGAAAGTGGTAGCGCGAGGCGCAGGCATGGCCTTGACCGGCGTGATGGTCTCGGTCTCGTCAGGCACCGTGGCCATCGAGTCTGCCATGTCGACATCGTCACAGCCCAGGTCCTGCTTCACGGGGCTCGTCGGCTCCAGCTCGGTGACGGGAGTGACAACAGGGAGTTCCTCGACCTCGGGGGTCGACTTTTCCGTCCCCTCGGTCAGCTGAGGCACGGCAGCCGGGCTGTCGGCAGTGATGATGGGCGACGGCTCGTCCAGGTTCGCGCGATCGGGAATGAGGGTCGGAGGCGACGACGGCACAGAGTCTGGAGTGCCAATCATCTGCTCTACCCGGCCCGTCAACTGGGTTAGCCGAGCTAGCATAGCCTTGAGGCCGACCTTATCGAGCGTAGTAAGCCCATGGCCCTGCTCCAGGTGGACGGGGTTGGTGCGCGACATCAAGCTGATGACGTTATCGTCGGCGCCAGCGAGCATTGCGTCGATAAGGAGACCGACACTGTCCGAGGGTCCGGTTACTGCATTGGCAAGGGTCGACAGGCTGTGTGCCGCCTGGACATGATCAATGGGGCGGGTGTCGAAGTAGTCACTGCCGCTGGGCGCGGTGTGTGCGTGGTCGCAAGCAACGGCGTCGACGGTGTGCGAGGAGCCCCGCTCAGGCGCAATTGCCTTTCTGGCACGCTTCCGATGATGATCCTTGGATGAGCTTCTAACACTGTCGACAAAGTCAAGAACGAGTCCACGGACGGGCAGCCTCTGATCAGCGTTGACCGGCATGTTGGAGGTCTGCGCGTCATCGTACTCGTCATCCTCAATCTCGATGTAGCCGTTGTTCTTCAGTCCACGACTGTAAGCTGGGCGGACGACCGATGCGCCCTTGACGCGACGTCGCTTGTGTGCGGGCGCCAGAGTGGCGGGCATGATGGCCAGGAGATCGTCGACGTGGGCAGGGCACCTCCAGGTACGCAGAACAGGGGGCACGGCCAGGGGAGGATCCAGGCAGTCGAGATGCCAGTAGAGGCTGCAGCTGTTACAGGGGATGATGGCCCTGTTGGCGGCCGAGGGCGAGTCGCAGTAGTGGCACACGACAGCGTTTCCATCGGGATCGCGCACGCGGAAAAAGTCGGGAGCCTCCTCGTAGCCGCCGCGCCTCTTGGTCTTGGGAGCGGCTGGAGGCACATCCTCGTACTCTCCGTCGGGGCCAGCGCGGACGTCAACGAAGTAGTCGCGCACCTCGGCAGGGAGGCGGAAGGCGCTCGAGTTCCGCATGTTCAGGTCCGTGATGAGATACTGAAACGAGCCAGAGCGGTGGGCCATGCTGGCGGGGTTGCGCTCGCTCAGACACACGTTGCAGAACCACTCCTCTGGTAGGTTGGGTGCCTGGAGCGGCGGATCAACGCACTTGAAGTGGAAAGACCGCGAGCACGTCTCGCAGCACACCAGCTCGCCATTGCCGCTGCACGACGCGCAGTAGTCGTCGTTGTCATCCTGTCAAGAAACAGTCAGCCACGTGATTCAGGGTGTGGCTTGGTGGCTTGGGGAGCTGAAGCTCCGCGGGGGAATTGCGGCAAAGCCAACAGTGCCATTTAAGGATGGACCGGGTAGGGCCAGAAATGAATCGACATGGAGCCAGCGAGCCAGGGTGTGTCTGGCAGGACTCGACAACGGGGGGCTTGTGGTCGATCCGGGCCCCACGAAACAGACACACGGTGTCCACACGAAACATGCGGGAAGAGGCAAAAACGATGGAAGCAGAGAGGGAAGTCGGGGGGAGATGCAGCATTATCAGACATACCAGAGAGTTGGGCGCTCCAGCCGGGGCTGGGCTGCTACGCTCGCCGCTAGCACGAGGGAGTCCTGCGGAGGGGCCCGTCCGCTTCTTCATAGGACTTGACGAGGGGTAGAAACTATGTCAGCTAATGAGCACCACGAGTGAGGCCATGCGCGGTGGCAGGAAGAGAGAGGATAAAAAAAGAAAAAAAAGAAGAAAAAAATTATATATATAAGGGCGCCTGGCAGTCGGTTCATCATGCCCGCGGGAGAGTACTGCCGGCGGGCAAGGATTGCACCAAGCACAATCGAGTTGGTGGCATCTGGTACTGTGATACGCACAGCGAGAATGCCATGTGACCAAGCGCCCAGTTGCCGCCCAGAAAGCGCGACTGGAGACCAGGTGACGCAACAGCCAACAAAGCAGATTGGGCACGAGGAAAATGAAATGGCAGGGGAAAAGCACCAAACGAGAGCGCGTCCCCGAAAATGACGGTCGGATGGAGCAAATAAAAACAAAATGCGGGCACTCACGAGTTCTTGACGCGAAGGCCAGTCCGAGCCTTCTTTGCAGGCCGAGGGCCGGGGGTTCCAGCACGAGAGTTGACTGTCGACGACGGGGTAGGGGCAACCGGCGGCGGGAACGATGTCGACAGTGGCGAGAAGGTGTCGTCCTCAGCTTCCTCATGGGATCGCTTGCGCGCCGACCTGGTGCTCCGCAGCTGGTGCGCCGCTCTAGGACGCCGAAGCTGCTGGCCCGAGGAGGGCGTCGGGGTGGACACGTCGGGAACGAGGCTGTCGCCGGCATCCGGGGCCGGGGCGGGCGCGGGAGAGGACTCCTTCACGGGCTCGACGCTCAGGCTATCTCCGCGGCGAGAAAAGCTCTCCGAGATGGTGATACTGTTGGTGATGTTGCGAGCGTCCCTGCGCAGCTTAGCCTTAGGATCGTCGTCATCCAGCGTGCCCGTCTTGCTCGCAAACTTGGGCGGAGCCGACTGCGGCGGTTGCGGCGAGGATGCCTTGCTGCTGTTCGCGGCGGCGTCGCTGTTGGCGTTGTTGTTGACGCCGTCGCGGTTGTTCCTGGTTCCTCTCCTGGGAGCCGTGGCCGGGGTGTCACGGTTCTTCGCAGCAGCAGCATCAGCAGCAGCAGCAGTCTTGGAGGCAGCCGTCTTGGGAGCGACGGCAAGCATGCGGGCCTCGGGCTGGTCGGGGGTGTCGGCCGGGTTGCTGTCATGCACCGACGCGGGCGGAGAGTTTGGTGCGAGATTATTGTGAGGTGTAGGGGTGGGCGTGGGCGTGGGCGTGGGCGTGGGCGTGGGTGACACGTTCGCAGCAGTCTTTCTGGACCGGCGTCTGCTGGTCGTGATTGGCTGGTGCGCCACCCGTGCCCTGCTGCTGCTCCTCTGGGCACGCGCCGGTTCCGCCACCACGGCAGAGTCAGCGACAGCGTCAACAGCGGCGTCAGCATCGGCAGCGACCGCCTGATCCCGACTGTCCTGCTTCTGTTCCGCATGTGCCGCCGAGCGCCGGCCCTGGTTTCTCGCTCGCCTGGCTGCAGTGGGCAGAGGCGTCGGGGACGGGGGCGCGGGCGCGTCCGAGCCAAACACCCCCTCCTCCCCTACATCCTCGAGGTCCGACGGCGCCGACGACAGCGACGACGTGCTATCCACGTCAATGGAGCCGTTGCGCTTGCCACAGCGCGATGCTGGCGTCTTTGTGCCATTTGCACCGCCGCCCGGCGCTGCCGACGAGCGCGTCTTGGTTGGCGTCTTCTGATAGGCGCTCCGACCGACAGTCTTCTGCCTCTTGCTCTTGTGAGCGTCTGGATCAGGAGCGGGCACCTCGGGAGACGCGGCAGGTGGCGACGCAGGCGCACGAAGAGTCGCCAGGCTCGACGCAATTTTAGCCAGGTCCAGCTTGACCATGTCCCCGTAGGGAGCGGGCTTGGGCTTGTGGGGCGGGGGAAGCGAGTTTGTGGATGGGGGAACGAGCGCGTAGCAGGCCTTGTTGTCCTTCTTGCCCTCACGCTTTTTCTGCTTGATCATGAGGAAGAATTCGGCGAGCGAGTCCTCGGATGCCCTCTGGTTGAAAACCTGGTCGAAAAGCTCCATCACGTGAGGCATGGCGACGCTGTCATCGTAGAGCGAGCGGAGCGCCCAGGCCGTGGGGTACCGGAAATGACTGAGCGCCTGCTCCACTGCCACTTTTACTACCTCGCCGACCCTGTCTGCGACCTCTTTGTTGTCCGTCGTGGACTCCAGAGAGGAAGCAGCATCGGTGGCGGCAGCTGGTGCCCGCGCGCTGTCGCGGAAGCTGCCGCCAGCGTCGGCGTCTGCCTGTGCCATACTGAGATCTGCAGCAGAGCTGCCACTGATGCTTGCTGTGCGGTTGCGAGTGCTGACAGGGCTGTTATCACTGCTGTTGGTGCTGGCGCTGTTGGGTATGATCTTTGATCTGCGATCGCTGCGATGCGTTGGTGTAGGAGTAGTGGCTACGTGTCGAGGGGGTGGTTGTTGTTCTTGTTCTTGTTCTTGCCGCCGCTGTTGTTGTAGTGGTAGTTGTGGTGGTCGTTCCTGTTTGGTGGTGTCGTCTGGGCTTTGTGTGGCAGGCATGCTCTTGCGCGTGAACTTTACCCGGGTGGGTTTCCTCGGTTCCTGTGCTTCTTCACCTTTTGCGGATGAGGAGGGAAGTGAGCGGCGGGTGAGGTGCGAGGTGACGGCCGTCTGAGGGCCCTTCGCCGGAGCGACATCGGCCACGACCTCTGGTGCGTCCTCCACTGCAGATGCCATTATCGGCTCTGGCTCAGAATCAGCGGCCTCGTCCGAAGTCTGCGCAATATCTGCTGCTGGCTCCGTAATGTCTCCGTCTCCTTGCGGCTCTGCCCGGGCCTGGTTCTGGTTCTGAGTCTGGTTTTGGGCGCCTCCTGTCTTCAGGACAATGCGACGAAAGTGCTGCTCCTGGTTCTTTCTTGTGGCTGCGGGTTTTGGCAGAGTGCCCAGCGGTACCATATTCTCGACAACCCCGTGTCGCAGCAGGCCAGCCTCCTGATAGCTCGGGCGGTGCTGGACTGCGGGCTCCAGCCAACGTTCCATGAACGTTTGTTTCTTTGCCGAGTCAGACGACGGGTTCGCAGGCAGTTGCGGGCTTGAGATCCTCGAGCGCGTGGCCCGGGTGGTGCTGCCTGAAAACATGCTGGGCGGGTGGGAGGTGGTGGTTTGGGAAGGTTGGGGCCGACGAAGCAATTTTGGGCGGTTCGGGCGAGAGCCAACGCACGCAGGCGGACGGCCGCCCCCTTCTTTCAGCGAAAGCAGCCCTGCCCCCAAACAGCGTGCACGCTCTCCCGGTTCGGCGCCTGCGCACAATCGTTAGCAGGCTGCAAAATACTCAAAATCCACGGGTGCATCAGCTGCTACTTACTGCTCGGCGCCGGTCAGGGCATTTATCGTGGCTGGCCTTCCAGTCGTGCGGGCGTTCGCGTTGGCTTCCTCGCTGACGGGACGCGTTCTGGGGGTCGGTGGTAAGGGGTCAAGGGAAAAAAAAAAGGTTGAGAGCTTGCGCCCACGAAATTTACGAGGGCCGCTGCTCGGGGCTTGCTGTGCTGTGCTAGCAGTAACTGGAGCACACCCCCTGGCCGCCAGACTCAGAGTGCCACAGAGCGCCCACGGTCGGCCTGCCTGCAAGCTCACTGTAATGGGTAATGGAAGCCTGCAATGTGGTAAACCTGGAATCTTTAGACTTCCACGCCAGGCTTCCCTCAGAGCCTGCCTCTTGCTTGCTTGGGCTTTGCACGATTGCCGTCGCCCCTGGGCCCGACGAGACTCGCACTCTGGCTGCCTTCGTCTCCCTTCTCTTGCCTTCCGCCAGCCTACTTCTGCTTCTGTTGCTGCCTTGGAGTCGTCGAAGCTTGACTTTGGTTTGTCTTCTGCTACCTGCAAGCTCCTGTTCTTTCCTTCCGTTTGTTCCTTGGTCTCCCTTTTTATTCTCCTTCCCCCCTGCCTGCCCGGAGACACGGACGGTTCGTTCGGAGCAGGCACGCAGGCGCACACAGCATCCACTTCGACACGTAGGTCGAGTTCCCCTGCTTGCAGGTGCAGTTTCCCCATTGCTGGCAACTACGCCCGGGCGAGTCCAAATAAATAAAATCCAAAGCATATATACGGAAGCCACCTAGAAGAAGCACACCCCGACCGTCTTTTGCTGGGTCGGCTGAGGTGGCTGCCCTGAATCCTAGATCCCAAGAAGCTCGCCTGCTCCTTCCCTCTCCCGTGCCACCTTTGCGAGCTTGGGCAACAGACAGACACAGGTGCCCGCCCGCACACCCACCCGGGCTCTCACCTTTCCCCCGTTGGTCCTCGATGACACATGCCTTGTGAAAACAAACACCAAACCAGTAGGGGGCCTTGAGCAAAGACCCAAAGACCCAACACCACCCCCTTGGTGGACGTTGTTAGGCCCAGCGTCCTGAATTTGAGACCACCCAAGGCCATGCGACATGATTCTCAGGGGTTGGGTGAACAAACCCGTTTTTGTTCCTTCATTTTCATTTGCCTCCATTCTCCAATCCCCCACCGCGAACACGCATTCTCGAATGCACGGCCTTCCTAAGATGCCAGGCGCATATTCAGCACAGTGCCTTGGTATACTATAATTGGGAAGAACCCTCACCGGACGGCCAAGGGTTCTCATCGCCTCACCCCCGTTCCACGGAACGGTCAGGCGAGACGTGGGCCATCCAGATCTCACAAAGATCGCCTTTCTCGCTTTGCATGCCGGACGCCAAGGTGGAGAGTGGGGGAGATACTGTCACGTCTTCTGCGTCGGCCCTTGGGCTAACGCTGCACTGCGGCGTTTTATTGTCGGTGAAGATCTGATCGTGATTATGGAGTCAAGTTTCCCACCAACAATAATCTTCTGGGAAAACGATGCTTATCTCCATGGGGATTTTTTTTGTTTCCTTTCCTACTTTCTTATTGTTCCCCTTTGTGGCTCGTCAGTGTCGCCTTTCCCCATCGTTCTCTCCTTATCCGCCGTCAAGACTTTGCCTGTCCAGGCTGCTCGATAGCGCCCGTTGGGAGACCCTTGAATGGTAAACAAGTGGGGTGCAACGGGCGCGGTGCCTGCTGCGTCGCTCACTCCTCATCCTCGCCCTCATCATCTTCTTCCGACTTGGCCGCCGTCTTCTTGGTCGCCTTCTTCTTGGGCTTCTTCTTCTTGTTGCCCGTGTTCCGAGCAATTGGCTGCTCCAGGAGCTTCAGGATCTCCTCATCCTCAATCTTCTTCTCTGACTGGAACTTGCTCACGTCCAAGGTCGGAGGGGCACCAAGCTTGGTGATGCCGTTCTTGGTGATTGCTGCATGACTGTTAGTTGTGCATCCGTCTCACTATTTTATGCATATGGGGATCTTACCAAGGGTCGTCAGCAGCCTGGCAACCTGAGCACCATCCTTGTCGCCCACGAGCTCGTACTGGCGGAAGACGTTGCCGCGTACACACTCGACGACTCCCGACTTGGCGTCCCTCTCGTCCTCAAGCTGCCTTAAACTGAAGGGGAATGTGCCGAACTTCTTCTGCACCTCGGACAGGATCTTGCGCGATGTCGGGCGTTTTAGGCCAAAGGTTGTGGTGGTGCGGCGGTGCAGCGTGGCCCTCTGGTCTAGCTGCTTGACTTTTCCGCTACCCAGGCTCATGCCCATCTCGACACCCCAGACCTCGCCCGTCTCGGGGACACCCTCGCCCTTGGCGCCCTCGCCGGGGGCGATGACGATCTTCTTCTTGCCCTCGATCTCGTTGCGGTCGAAAAGCCATGACGTGGTGCTCTCGACGAGGCTGACATCGTAGGACTTTGCTACCTTATCCAAGAGGGACGTGATCTTGGACTGCGTGGGGGCCTTGACGGCAGCCGCCTTGGCCTTCTCCTCGTCAGTTCCTTGGGCCAGAAGTCCGGGGGGAACCATAAGGCGTAGAAGAAGTTCGTTGGCGTAGTGGTTCGCCAACATCAGGTCGGCCGTGCGACCAGAAACGACATCCTCGGCGCCAACGATGATGGTGTCGCAGAGAATGGATCCAAAGCCGTCAATCTGTGCACCAAGCTGGATCTTGACGGGCTCTCCCGCCTGCAGCTCCGTGGCGGCCTCGGCCTCGTCCGTCTTGAGCGGGGTGTAGGGTGTTACGTAGGAGCTCGGCGAGATGGTCGTGGGGTGGGAAAATCCCTTGGTGATCTTCTTTCCTCGGTAGACCTTGCCGACCTCCTCCTCGATGAGCTGGTCTCCCTTCTCGCAGATGTCTACGATCTTGGCGCCGGGAACACAGAGAGCGACAACATCCTTCAAGACCTTCTCCGAGATCTGCGCGGCAGTCTTGTACTTGGTGAGGGTATCGGGGTTGTTAAGGGTGTAGTCTGGCAGCAGAGCCGGGAGGCGTCAGCGATTGGAGCGGAGTTTGCGCGGGTGGCAGCAGAAGCTGTAGCAGTCGTAGCAGCTGTGGTCGCAGGCGAAGCACGCGAGCTCCCAAGTAGGTGGGTGCTTGTGGTTCGCGCGGCCAGCCTTGGGGAGCCACCAAAAACGGCCCAAAAAAGGGGAACCAGAGCACGAATACTGCAAAGGAGCTGGGCTCACTAACCGGTCACCTTCTCTTCGGTCGCCATACTGAATGTGGGAGCCGGGCTGGCTGGCTTGCTACAGCTAAGGAGGGTCAAAGAATGCGAGTTGGGAACGAATGAAGACACTAAAGTGACCTTGGCCGAGTCCTGGTGGTGCAAGACTGGGTGGGAAAAGTAATGTGCACAGTAGTCAATCGACGAGGAGGGGTAGGTACGGCAGGTATTTGGACCCAAGGTTAAGCTATTTCGCAGAAGCGGGGGAGGGGAGATTTCTGTGCGCTTGGGTCGGTCTTGGTGCTTTAGCCGTTTAAGGTCTGGTACCTGGCGGGGCGCTGTGTCCACAGTCAACAACTAGCGCGTTAAAGCCCACTCATGCCTTCACATCTCACCAAACGCGACCGAGCACGACAACCATTCCCTCCACCACACTATTCGTCCACCACATTGTTTGTCCACCACATTGTATCTACCACACTGTTCGTCCACTACATTGTTCGTCCATTACACTGTTCGTCCACCACACTATTCGTTTACCATACTATTCGTTTATTACACTATTCGTCCACTACATTATTCGTTCATTACATTGTTCCTTTACCACACCATTCCCACCATGTTTGAGGCCGGGAATGACCGCGCGGGCTTTCCCCCAGCAGATGTTGATAAAATGATCGCCGGGTGTCGGGATTTTACGACATAACTTGCTCGTTTCGCGAACCAGCAGCGCGATTACATAATACAACTAGGCCTGGAAGCAATCCTCCAACCCATGCTGGACAGGATGGAGGCTCGGCTTAAGGCGGACCTGACGGCCCAGCTCAACACCTTTAAAACCGAGCATACATAGGCTACGACAATGGCGATTGTTGCAAGGTATTATCCTACATTATCTAACTTCACATTTATTTTGATGGATTTTTCCTAACTAACGACCTGCTCCTTTAGCATTACCAATGCTAACATCCGTTTTTGCAATAGCCAAATCACCAACTGAAACCAACCTCTGTACCCAATTATATCGCCCACGACAGGCGAACCGATCATGGATACCACCAAATCGATCGACGAGCTCGCAAATATTTGTGCTATGTTTTGCTCCCGTTTTTTTCATTGCAAAACACCACTAAAAAAACAAATTCCACATAGAACCGCAATCGCCTGGATAATCATTTCCAAGCCATGGGCATACCCGTCGACGGAACTACTTCCGAGAAGCGACTGCGAATTATTCGGGCGATAGGGATCGTAAGCCTTTAGTTCATTGTAGCAGGCTTAGGTCCAACATGGGAGGACCACAGGGCGAGCAAGCGGTCCCAGGTGGTTTTGGCCGAGCGAAACCAAGTGCCAAATGAGATGGGCACCAAATGTACCTACCTGCCACCTAAAATACCTAGCTATATGGGTAGGTACCTGTATAAATACATGTAGATGCCGTTCTGTAAGAAACAGATACTCGTGCAGTCAGCGGTTTGGGCTGGCTTACGCAACATGGAGGTCGAGCGTGGCTGCGGCAGATTCAATTCGCCTGCTTATTTTTTATTCCCATAACAACCAGGCGCCATGGTAGAGTGGTACCAGCTGGCCCCGCAACTCCGCCCCTGAAACCGTTGTATCTTGCTAGCCCGGTTCGACGTGTCGTGCTCGCCCCTTCTCGCTCGCCATAGGCTTGACTCTCCAGCCTTCCCGACGCGGCAAGGACTTTTTTTTTTTTTTTTTTCGAAGGCAGCCAGCCTCACCGAATCGCCGCACTCCGCCCGCCCTCTCATCCATCCTAGAGCTCCCTCCAGCCTGAGGCCCGGTATTGTCTCGTCTAGAGACCCAAGGGCGGTCCAATTTGGGGATTGACTCCCGCTCTGCTGGCGTCGCGCCGCTGCGTCGACATCAATCGACCGGTCCGACAGCCTTCGAGCTACGCCATCAAGCCCCGATCGCATCGCCTCGCCCGCCTTTGCCCGCCCTCGCGGCGCCCATGAATCTCGACATGGCCACGTCTCAGGCCTTGGCTGCGTCGCCGTCCGCATCCAACCCGAACGCCACCGCAAACGCTGCCAGCCAACCGTGGCCGGCCGCGACACCCGCCGGCGCGTCTTCGTCGTCCTCATCTTCGTGCTCCTCGTCCGCTCCCCCATCAACGTCCGACCCGGCCGCCGCCAGCGATAAGCCGCCCGCCGAGCCTGCCACGACCAAGACCTTGCCAACCAGGACTCGGGACTCGCTCAATGTGCTCCTCCTCGACCAGTACACGGCGCGCGACAGTCTACACCAGGCCGCGCTAGTTCGGCAGCGCGAGACGGCCAAGGGCGCCTATGAAAGAGCCCAAGACCGTCTGCTCGACTTCCATGACGTCCGCAAACAGTACAATGCCTTCCCCGCGCGCTTGTATGGCGAAGGCTACAACGGCTTCGGCAATGGCTACACCCACACGGGTAACGCGGGCCCCCGCATCGTCTACCCCCAGGACAAGCCGCGGCCGGGCAAGCGGCAGACCCCTGGCTTCAAATGCGCTCGCAAAGACATGCGCCAGCAGGCCGAGCAGCACGAGGAGCTGGTGCCGGTCCGGATCGATGTCGAGTACGATCGGGTCAAGCTGCGCGACACCTTTACGTGGAATCTGCACGACCGCCTCGTCAACGTCGATCATTTCTCTCGTATGCTGCTCGAGGATCTCGGTCTCAAGGACCCGGCGTTGTACGCGCCAGTGCTGGACCAGGTCATTGCGCAGGTTAACGAGCAGCTGCAGGACTTTTATCCCACCGTATTCTCCGAAGAGGACGCGCTGGACCCGGAGCTGCCGTACTCAGCGTACAAGAACGACGAGATGCGCATACTGATCAAGCTCAACATTACAATTGGTCAGGTCACTCTTGTCGACCAGTTCGAGTGGGAAATCAACAACCCGCTTAACTCGCCCGAGGACTTCGCCAACAGTATGGTGCGCGACCTGGCTCTGTCAGGCGAGTTTGCCACCGCCATCGCTCACTGCATCCGCGAGCAGAGCCAGCTGTTCACCAAGAGCCTGTACAGCATAGGCCACCCATTCGACGGCCGTCCCGTGGAGGATCCGGATCTGGTCATGGCCTTTCTCCCCTCGCCCATACCCTCGGTCTTCAGGCCACAGCAGCAGGCAAAAGAGTATGCGCCGTATCTTTATGAGCTCACCGACGCAGACCTGGAGCGGAATGAGGTCACATTATCGCGCGAGCAGCGACGCCAGAAACGTTCTGTCAACCGGAGAGGTGGCCCGACACTTCCTGACCTCAAGGAGCGGCAGCGCACAATCCGGACACTCGTCGTGTCATCAGTGCTGCCCGGCGCCGCGCTCAGTGTCGACGACAGCCGTCTTTACAAGAAGACTATCACCGCAGGGCCCGGCGGGGCACGCAAGAGAGGCGTCAGGGATGGGGATCTGTCCGAATCGGACGAGAGCGACGACTCAGCACCGGACTCCCCAGCGATGGGCGCGCTCACAGGAACCGCTAGGACCCGTGGCCTTCGTGGCGCCGCCGCCACCGCACAGCAGAGGATGGCCAACATCGGCCGGTCCGAGACTCCAGAGGCGTCAGGGACAATATACCACCACCACGAAACGCGGACGTCGCGGCGCTTCGTCCCACGCGACGCGAGGGACTCGACCGAAGATCCCAACTCCCTCGTCGTCAAGCTTCACATCCCCAGCCATCGTCTGCGAAGGATATTGCAGGGAGAGAGGATCAGGCTATCGACACCAGCTGGATCGCAGACGCCCTCGCAGACACCAGCGATGCCGCCCGCCCGCGCGCCGAGCGTCTCCAATGTGCCAGGCTCTATGGGACCTCCTCCTACGACGCCGTCGGCGGCCGCGCAGAGCCTCCCTTCAGGATCTCCCACTGCTACCACTCTCCCGCAGGCTCAGCTTGGGCGTGTTCGCGCGCCTCTGCCTCCATCGGCCACGGGCGAGCCGCTGCCACAAGCTGTAAGTCCCTAAAGATCACACCATGTGGCCTCTCCCTTACTCGTTTATGCTCGTATGTACACGCTAACGCTGGATTAAAACTGCCCTAGCCCGCCGTTCCCGACTGGCTTACCGAGGCGATACGAGGCTTGGAAGAAACATACCCCGACGACTACTTCGAGGGCACCATGCGCTACTGTGCAGTCGACCGAGAGTCTAATCGGGTCGTATCGATGCCAACGACGGATCAAATACCGCCGAACATTGTGTTCTACTTTATCCCGCGCATCAAGTGTCTGGACTGTCCCGGCAAGCTCTACACGCCGGGTCCTGGCACCACGGCCGAAAATTTCGAGGTGCATCTGAAGAACCGCGCACACCGCGAAAAGGTGAACCAGCGCACAGGAAAGTGAGTTATAGCGCCTGCGTCATCTCTGCGCCACTGCTATATACACCGGCGGAGCCTCGCTGACCTAGGTGGCATCGCCTTCAAGTAGAACCCTAGAGCAGAGGCCGAAGGCCCCAAGTGAAGCCTCCTCCATCACGGCGGCCGTCACACCAGCCTCGGCTTCCCTCCCTGTTCCCGCGGCCCCAAGTCAGTCCCAGGCTTAGTTGTCCAGGGTGATGGGGCGCGACGACGACTAACACGCAAGGGGGACGCCCGTCTGGTTGCTCATGCCCGCGGCGCGGCGCGCGTCTCCAGATCTAGCGGTGTAGGCCACCGCCTGCGGATCACGGGCATGACGGCGACGGCGCGCAATGACTCTTTCGGGTGGTGTTTCCCGCGCCCGCCGTGGCCTCGCCTCGACGCGCCTCTGCTGACGCCCCCTGAAAACGGGACCGGCGATGAGCTGTGGCTAGTGTTTTGCTAGATGCGGCCCGACTCTCACACACCCCTTTGAGCGCGCATCCAACACAGCTGTAAATCCCTCTCCCTCCCCTACTCTCCCTTTGAGCGCATATCATCGCCTGCATGCGGCAAAGCTTTTTGGATTCAGGGCTTCTTGGGCGAGGGCTTGCTTAAAGCATTGCTTTGCCGTTTCTTTTTACACACATACACTCTTGGTGTAGACCTTATTATTATTATTATTTTCAGGTTACTTGTCCGTTGTATTTGAAGGCGGCGCGTTCTCCCTGGAGTCTGGGTATATATACTTTTGGTTGATGTGGGGAGGGAGCCAGCGGGACAATATCGGTTTTCGTGGCTTCGCATTCCTCCTCTGTTATTTATCTCGGTTTCTTTCGGTTCTTGAAGAGAAGAATGGTCAGGCCGACTCTCATGTCTTGTTCTGTCGCTTCGGTCCGAGTTCTTCTTTTGATACCGTGTTCATATGCGTTTTGAACAAAACAAGGATGGATATTCCCCGGCAAGCCCAAAAGGCAGACAGAATAAAAAGGAAAGCATCTTATGCCTGCTAGAGAGAAGTCGACTGCGGTTGTCGCTCTGGTTATAATAACCCATGGCCCCTCTTTCGATATATACACACAATAATGCATCGCAGCGAACTGGGCGCAAGCAATCGTCGGCAACGGGAGAGACCAATCATGCCAGCACAAGCCACCGCTCGGTGATGGCCCTCGCACCCTCTAGATCACCAGTGGTGAGGCAGTACGTCCTCATGTTCAATGCGGCCTCGAGCACCAGGTCCTCGCGGCGTCGACGGCCGCAGCCGCCAACCACAGCACCCTCCCCCTCCCCCTCGGCCTCGGCCTCGGCCAGGACCTTGCGGTAGTAGGCGACGGCGAGGTCGTGGATGCCGAGCAGGTGGTAGGCGCGGGCGACGTTGAAGTGGGCCTCCTGGCGCTCCTCGCGGCTCGCGGAGCGGGAGCGGACGTCGTGGTAGCGGAACAGGTAGGCGAGCCCCTGCATGAGCGAGTACTGGCGGTTCTGGCTCTGGCGCTTGAGCGACCAGTGCACGTAGGCCAGGGCCACGACCAGGTTGACGGCCGGGCCGTCCGGGTCCAGGGTGCGGGCGCGCAAAAAGTAGGCGAGCGCGTACTGGTAGCTCGTCGAGCTGAAGAGGATGCAGCCGTACATGACGAGCAGGCACGTGTCGACCGCGGCCGGGCCTGACGCGACGGATGCTGTTGGTGCCTGGGGCGGCTGTGGTTGGGGCTGCTGCTCCTGGTCGTGCGGTTGTTGGGTGTCGATTTCCATCATGGGCTCGGTCGCTTGTGCTGGGGGAGGAGGAGGAGGAGGAAGAGGTAGCGAAGCGCGTTCGCCTGTAGCTCCCACCGCGGTCGCCTCCCGCGCGCGCGCGGCCACAATCTCGTCCATCTGGCGGATCTGGCGCAGCATGAACTTCTGCGACGGGCCGGACTGGTACCAGGTGGACGAGGTCTGGCAGAGGCGGCAGAGGGCGGCGAAGAGCATGTAGGCGTCGGTCACGAAGGAGTTCTGGTTGATAAAGTAGCGGGCGACGGCGACGCACGTCTCCTCATCGCCAGCGTGGACGGCGCATGAGGCCCAGGCGAGGTGGATGAGCGTCATGCTGTCGCGCGCCTTGTTGTAGACGATGGAGTCGCGCGCCGACTGGCACACGGCGTAGGCGTCGCCCGTGCGGCCCTGGCGCGCCAGCCCGACGGCGTACTCGAGGAAGAGGTCGAGCCAGTCGTCGAAGGGGATGCCGCGGTGCTCGTGCCGGTCCAGCTGCTGCGGCGTCGGCTGCTCCTCGGCCTCGGCCTCGGCCGGCGCGAGCTTGCTGTGCAGCCGTTTGGCCAGGTTGGTGATGGACGCGTCCTTGGCTCCCCCGCAGCCGGCGTCGGCGGCCGCGGGCTCGCCCTCCATCTTAAAGAAGTTGCCGTAGCCCAGCGACGAGACGTATTTTTCCCACGAGTAAAAGTCGCGGAACGACCGGAAGTCGTCAACGAGCTCCTTGGCCGCCCCCATCCACTCGGCCATCATGCCGGAGCCGCCGTCGTCGCCGTCGTCACCCGCCGCCGCCATCTCGGCCTTGAGGCGTCGGCACAGCTCAAACTTTTCCCTGAGCCGCGCCGCAACCTCCTCCTCGAAGCGGCGGCGCGTCGACTTGTCGCCCAGCCGGCGCGGCCGGTACTTGCCCCTGCCCGTGGACCGCGTCAGGCCATGCCTGTACTTCCGCGGCTTCTGCACCAGCTTCCCCCTGTCGAGGATGAAGCGGTGCGTGTCGTAACTCTGCTCGCTGTGGCCGGCCTCAAGTGAGAGCGCCTCGCCGACCAGGCGGAAGGCCTCGTCGCGCTCATGGGCCTCCTCGTACATCTTGGCCAGCTCGTAACGGGCGTCGATGTTGTCCTCGTCGACCTCGAGCGCCGAGATGAAGCAGTCTTCGGCCGCCGGGCCATCCGACAGCTGCAGGTGGCACTTAGCCCGGCTAACAAAATAGCCGGCATCCAGTGGTGGCTCTGCAAGCTCTCTATACATGTCGTAGTAAGCGAGCGCGAGCTGGGGGTTATTGTTCTCGCAAAGCTCGTCAGCAATCTCCTTGGCTACGGCGGGAGTGTATGCTAGGGCTTCCCGGATGTTGAGATCCTCGGGGTCTAGCCAGGAAAGATGTCTCTGTGTACGATACATACTGTTGTTAGTTCTGTCCCCAGCCGTGTTCTCGACGGCGCAAAACCTACCATGGCCTCGTCTTCCATCTTCAACTTGAGACGGTAAACAGCGAGCTTTCCCCTGAGGTCCAGGGGCATGCCCTGGCCGTAGCTGGCTGGGCTGTAGACGTCGGCGTAGAAGCTGGGAAGGTCCTGTCGTCGCTTATCATCCAGATCCCACTCCCTGTCGTCGCCACATCCATCCCAGGCAGTGTCGTTGGGCCTCCCGAGCAGCCAGCGCGCCAGTGACATAAGCCAACCCGCGGCCTCGGCATATTGCCCCAGCGAGGCCAGTAGCTCGATGAATATCCTGATATCTATCCAGTCAAAGACCTCCTGGTCGTCGAGCGGCTTGCCGCCGCGGGAATGGTCGATGCAGCAGCGATATGCCTCGACGGCAAATTGTGTGGCCTCCTTGGCGCGGCGGGCGTTGAAGGCATGCTCGGCCAGGTTCCGTACGGCCTGGAGGTTGTGAGGCCGGGCCTTTAGGTATTCGCGGTACGCGACGACGGCCTTTCCAGAATCGCCCAGGTCAGCCAGGACGTCTGCCTTGGCGAGGCGGGCGACGAGGTTAGTCCTGTCGACCTGCAGTAGGCATGTATAACACTCCATGGCGACCCTGAGGTTCTCGGGTGAGGAGCCGGGGCCGCCAGCAGGGTCGGGGATGCGCAGGGCCAGGTCGGCAGTGGCCAACCAAAGCTGGACGTCGGTGCGGGTCAGCGAGGCCTGGATACGCTTCGCCTCGAGAGCATGGCGCCAGTCGCCGCGCTCCTCGTACACAGTGGCCAAGATCCCCCAGGCAGAGGGCACCTCGGCGTTGAGCCGGATGGTCTCCTTGGCGGCCAGCAGGGCCTCGTCGTACCGCTCCTCCAGGAAGGCATTGGTGGCGGCACTGATGAGCAGCTTGATCTCGGTCGGCAGCTCCTTGACCTTCCGAGGGGCCCTCTTTGGTGCTTTGCGGATGGCCTGGGGCGAGTGCGACTGCTCCTCTGCAGACGACGGGGCTTCCTCAAAAGTCTCTAGAAAGGCAGTCCTGTCGGCGTTTGCCTTGTCGATCTGGTCCTGCACCCTGAGGTATTCCGAGTCGGCATCCGAGACATCTGACATGCCCGCATCAGACTCGTTATCACCATCATGGATGGCCTCTGGTGGATGGTCGTATAGCCCTTGGCCGTCCATGGCTCCAGCAGCGCGATCCATGACGAGATTATGGAGATGCGGTGCCCGACCGAGAGCGTGAGGGTTTCAGCATCTTATTCTGCAGAGTTTTATCTTGCAGAGTTTTGCGCCCAATCTACGCAGGTCAATCAAACGAACCAGGAGGGTGGTCTCTGAGCGTGAGGTTGCCGCAAATTCGCTTGCTGTGAAGTGATGGGGTTGGTTCAACCAAAATGAGCGACTGGATGTTTAAATTACACAAAGGTGGTGCGTCCCAACTGAAATGCTGACCTGTATACAAATCATGCCAGCACGTTACGATGGATAGGTAGAGTACAAACTAATCGCATAGGTAAACCAACATGAAGCCCTATTTCCCTTCCGCCACCCATTTCACGCTTTCACACCCACCACCTAGCGCTTGATGTTCAGGTCACGTTCGATAGAAAAACTCCACTACCTGAGCGGTAAATCCCGCTAAATCCCTGCCAGCCAGGTCCCTCTAGCTCTACGCGGCGCCCAAACATAGGCACCGCCCATGACTTCTTCGTGGGATTCGCACCCACATGTGAAAGAAGTTCTTTGGCACACCCTGCAGCCGCAGCAGCAGCGTAATGATTCCAGGCGTCGTTCTTGTGGGAGTCTGCGTAGGAGGACACGCCACGGATAACAAGGCACGGGAACTCGCTCATGACGCCCGCCGCCTCCATTTCGAAGCAGAGTATGTCGCCCACCGCGCGACCGAAGGCGTCCCTGCTCGCAGCACTTTTCACCATGCGATCGCCCGATGCGATCAGCCCATAGTGAATCATTGCAGACTCGGCCGCACGCGGCGTCCTGCTGACTTGCGACGCAGCGTCGCACTGGCTACAGTCGGGTTGTTGTGGCGGATGCGAATATTCTGGCTTGAATAGTCTGTCGAGTGCGGCCGATGGGCGACTGTATATGGCAAGGTCAGGGCCCTTCTGCACCATCGTGGAGACGGCTGTATCGATCTGGGTTGGCTCGAGAAGGTGGTCCGACCGCATCTCCTCGACCGCAGCTCTCAAGATGGACGGCAGCGGCTGCAGGAAGCCCTTGAGAACAAATCCGCTTTCTGTATCCTTCCCTGGATCGTACTGCACCACGCCGCCGTATGTGCCCTCGGGCATGCTGACGACCACATCACCCAGGCGGATATCGTGCTTGGTGCTGGGCACGCCGCTGCCAATTCCCACGAGGAGACGCAGGCCGAGGCACGGAAATGTCCGATCCATATTGGTGGCGACGATGACTGCGGCGCCCTTCCCCTGCGTGCCTGGGAGGCAGGCAACCACGACGTTGTGGCCGCTGAGCTCGCCGAGCACGTATCTGTTTGGATCTCCCGGGTGAGTGGATGGACGGGTGTGTTCACGGTCTAGCATGTAGCGGACGGCGCTCATCTCAAACCCAGCGGCGCACACGATCCCGATCGTGTATTCTTCGTATTTGGTCATGTCTGCTGTCCTGACGATTCCGAGCCTTGTCGTGATGAACAGAATAGGAGGCTGTTGCACTCAAACATCCTCGGAGACTCCAAGTGGACATGGTAGCAACTCAGCCGCAAAGGACTGCCGCTGGGTCAACCAATAACGTCGTGCTTTTCCAGGTCAAACTGCTGTTGCAAACGCCCAACCAACAAAAAAGATATACCGAATAAGAAAAAAATGAGAGTGGAAGTGCTAGCATCGGGGCGTAATATACTCGGCGATACACATCCTCGTACAACCTACGCCATGCAAAATTTAGCTTGTTCGTGGTCCGCATTGGCCCGGCACGATGATGCATTGCAGATGACGGAAGCCTGGTTTCGGTTACAAAGCCGCGTCCTTGATTCGAATCACCCGGGCGCGCAGGGTTCTTTACGTGTGTTGAATTCGTGGAAAGGAAACTATCAAAAGTCGGTATACAGACTGACAGCGGTAGTAACAATGTTATCGGGTTTTGCTTCCATCGGATTGCTTGGCTAGCCTTGCTTCCCGTCATCTCGCGGGTAGATCCCCACTTCTATTTCTCATAGGATGCCCAACGTCCTGCGACAGCTCGCGAACGGGAAAGCGTTGCCCGCGTGTGTGGCTGCGTTTTGCCTGGTATGGTACGTGGAATCCCCTCGCATGCGTCGCGGAGGATTCTCACAATGAGGATTCAGGGCGTGAAGTTTACAGGGCTAGGTAGCGTCAGTAGTCCCGTCCGTTGGAACGGCTCTGCGGCGTAGTCAACTATGGGCGTCAGTCGAGGCCAGCAATGCTGGTGAGCTGTAGATGCAATTTGGGTTCAAACGACAGCAGGCGACATCGGACATACCAGCTAGCCGCGAATTGAGACGCGACAAACGGGCTGCAAGCACTTCCGGTTGGCGCGAGGCTCGATTTGGCTGACGTGCGTGGAAAGCCACAGCCACGTTCCAGCCGGTAACCAGTCGTCCCGGCCGACGGCGGCCCCATCCTGTCTTCCAGGGGGGCTCCCTATTGGCCACCTAGCCACAACCCCTGCCTGGAATAGTGGACTCTCCCCACGCTCTTTCGCCCGTCCCGCCTGTAGGAAGCTGGAACCTCAATCTAGTGATGGCACTTTGCGTTTGGACGGCCAGCTTGTTTTCTCCCCTCGTGCTCGCGCCGTTTCTAACCCCCGGCCAGAATAATACATCATCACAACACCACCGTATCTATTACCCCGAGGGCGTTGGGTCACAGCGGACAAGGTGACGGCGGTCGTCCTACTCGGTGGTTGCTGCCCTCTCTGACTCTCTGACTTTTCCAGGCCAGCAGCCTTTGTTCTCACCTGCAACAATCAGACGCTGAACCTTCCTCGATATTGCGCCTCCACGCGGCGCGCCCTCGAAACCTCTTCGACCGATTGTCTCAACATATTTTGCGACGAGTCCGTTTGCCCGTGGAAGCGCTGCTCGATAGCACGTAAACCTCGCCCACCTCGACGCGATGGAGACGGAACGTCAACTGGGCGTGACGCCGCCCGTGTCCGTGAGCCTGCCTTCCGAATTCGAACTGCAGGCCACCGACGCCCTGCTAGCCGAACTGCGCGCACAAAACTCGTTCGAGAGCCCGCTGGAGACAGAGAAACGGTAGGCACCCAGCTAGACCCTCTCGATGCACCGCTGCTGGTTTGTTGGTGCTGACAGTGCTTTGTTGCGCCTGCGCAGCCATCGCGTGCTCGCGTCTCTACAGACCATCGCAGACGCCTTCGTCAAGGTCGTTGCCAAGGAGCGCGAACCTCACAATGCAGTCCTCATCAAGGACGCCCGTGCCAAGGTGTTTGCCTATGGCAGTCTTCGTCTCGGCGTCTGGGGCCCGGGCTCCGATATCGATACCCTCGTTGTCGGTCCGAGATACGTCACAAGGGAAGACTACTTCCAACACTTTCCCGACCTCCTGGTTAAGATGGCCCCCCCTGGTGCCATCACCGATCTCACTGTCGTCGAGGAGGCATTTGTGCCCATCATCAAGTTCGAATACCATGGCATCAGCATCGACTTGATCTTCTCCAGGATCGCGACACTGAAGCAGTTGCCCAGCGACCCGGCCTGGGGCCTGAAGGATGACAACCTACTGCGCGGTCTGGATGAGAAGGAGCTGAGATCGGTGAACGGCACCAGGGTAACCGACGAGATCCTGAGCCTTGTCCCGGAGCAGAATATTTTCCGGACCGCCCTGCGCGCCATCAAGCTGTGGGCTCAGCGCAGGGCCATCTATGGCAACATCATGGGCTTCCCCGGAGGTGTCGCATGGGCCATGCTTGTTGCGCGAGTCTGCCAGCTATACCCCAAGGCAACATCATCAGTCATTGTCAACAAGTTTTTCAGTATCTTGTTGCAGTGGCCCTGGCCCCAGCCTGTGCTTCTCAAGCCTATTGGCGACGGGCCTCTGCAGGTTCGAGTCTGGAACCCAAGGGTATGTACCCGATCCGATCCCCTTTCCCGGCTAGGCCACGGTTGAATCCGCTAACGCAATACCGAAACAAAAAGGTCTACAAGGGCGATAGCTATCACCTCATGCCGGTCATCACCCCTGCATATCCGTCCATGTGTGCGACTTTCAATGTTACCAGGTCCTCCATGACGGTCATCAAACGCGAGCTCCAACTTGCAGCAGAGATCACGAACAACATCATGTGCAGCACAAAGCCCTGGAAGGACATGTTTGCGAAGCACACCTTCTTCACCAAGGACTTCAAGTACTACATGCAGGTGATCTCGGCTAGCAGAGATAAGGAGGCTCACAAAATATGGTCTGGTTTTGTCGAATCCAAAGTCCGTATGCTGGTGCAGTCTCTCGAGAGGCACGAATCGATAGCTGTCGCGCGCCCTTTTATCAAAGGCTTCGAGCGCTTTCACCGCTACCGCAACGGCGAGCAGTTTGCACAAATCCTTGATGGCAATCTTCAGCACGTCATCAAAGAGGGAGGCGGCGCAAGCCCTTCGCCAGATGAAATGCAGGTGAAGAAAGCGAACGAGCCATCAGTCAAAACTGAGGATGGTAACAAGGTGAAGCAAGAGAATGGTGAGGTGCCGGTGAAACAAGAAACCGCCGTGAAGGTGAAGGACGAGAAGCCCGAGGAGGTACCAATGGCCTCATTTCCCGAACATCAACCAATCGAGGCGAACGCTGATGCCAAAGCGGATGACGGAGCCCTCGAAATGTACACGACGACCCACTACATCGGTCTAGAACTCACCCCAGGTATGTGGACTTCCATCTGAGAGAGTGTGCTCGGTCGGCCAAGTTCCTCTATGGATATATGTGCTACTCCGTTTAATACTCGGTACAGGTGACTCCGCCTTGATTCTAACCACGGGATTGTCTAGCCGCCAAATCTCTTGACCTTTCATTCCAGGTCAATGACTTCAAGGCTCTGTGCCACGAGTGGGAGAAGTACAAGAATGAACTCAGTGACCGCTGCTACGTCAATATCAAGGATCTACGGAAGTAAGCAACTGCCAGCCTCGACCGATCTCCTCCGGGATCGATTTTGGGCTAATACAACCACAGCGTCGCACTCCCGGACGACCTGTTCGAGCCCGGTGACGTCAAACCAGCGAAGCCGATTAAGAGGCGGCCTGCAGCTGGCACCAACGCAATCGGCGACAAGAAGCGTCCCGCCAACGAAGTACGTCGTCGAAACTGTCCTGCCTGTGGCCCAAGGCAAACAGGACACGAGGAATGGAACCTGGATTATCAGATACCCCAAAAACCCTTCCTTAAACCCATATTCCCTCGCCCCAGACGTATCGGCCTCTTGACCCCTATAGTTGATGATGCTGACACCATCCCTAGGATAACTCAAACCCAGCGAAGCGAAGGCAGGCAGCCTCTATCGCCGCCGCCGGCTAATTACCGCACCAACCACACGCCACTGAATGGCATGGCGTGTGGGGGCTCCTATACATCGTGCCTCGGTGATGTTCCTTTTCCAAACTGACGGTGCCCCGTGATCCCGGTTCGCGGGTATCTCATCCAGTCGGCTACCCGCCGCTGTGGCCGCAGGCGACCTCCTAATATTTGGTTAGGGCAACGCCTGCCGACGACAACAATTTGGCCTACGGATATTGACAAACAGGTTTCTGCTGGCGTTGCGAGGCTTTTTTTCGGTCAATACTCCTGCCCAGCGACCCAAATCTGGCCGCAACAAACCAGTTATCCGCGACGTCGCATATGCGGTGCTAACAGACTGAAAAAGAAAACATGAAAAAAAAGAGAGAAAAAAAGAACAGAAAAAAAAACACAAAACAAAGCAAGGCATGAGACGTGAGTCTCGCAACCCCGGAACAAGGCAACCGAACCCACATGCCTCTAATGCCCATTTTTTTCAGATAAGACTTGTAGATTGAGGACGCCGTCCCCACCCCTTCCCTTCCATTTATCCTTGGGGGGAGGCGAGTAGAGTGTTGACATTTCTGAACATCACTTGAAAGTTTTCCTCAACTACCATTTAGTCTCTTTTATTCTTCAACTTTCACTTCGTCTCATTATTTTCCCTGTCTGTCTCATTCCCGTTTTTCTGTACTTTTTGTCTTTCTGCATTCATGCTCGGCGTCTCGGACAGGTCCTTCAGTTTTCATCGTGGGGGTAGTGCATTACATTTCACCAAAAACAAGTCCGGCGACAACGACAACAACAACAACACAACAACATAGAGTGTGGGATACGACCAATCGAGAGAGCGAGGGAGAGAAAGTGGGGTCTCACTTGTCAGCCGATTCCACAGCCCGCAGTGGCTCTCCGGTCACGCTGCCAATGATTTTCGGTTGGAAGGGAGACATGAGGGAGCGCTGTCGAGAGGAGACGCTCGACTTTCCGCTGTAATGTTAAATATCAGACTCAGCCGAATAAACACTCGATTAGAGGCCTCAGCGGGCCTCACCACCAACAAATTAAACTATCTGGATACTATCGGCCCTAGCAGATGTGGCAAAATGGGTGTCATGCGCAACGCAATGTGTTTCTCGTCATGAACCTCGTGCAGCTTAGATTCCGTCGGTTACTTGCCCAATATGGCCTGGACCAAGTTGTCGGGCTGATGGTAGTAGTCCAGCACCACGACTCCCAGCCTCTTGCCGGCCAGGCCCTTTAAGAAGGGCACGAGCTGATGGTTGACCCCGCCCTTTGGCGTGTACTCTGACCCGTTGCCCAGGGCCATGACCTGGGGCCAGATGGGCGGGTGGGCGGCGTCGTCCATGGCGCCGGCGAAGGTGATGAAGAGCGAGTCCGGGGCGGCCGGGCCGGCGGCCTTGAGCAGGTGCTCGGCCGTGACGTTGAACTTTACGGGCAGGACGGCGAGCGCCACGCGCGGGTCGCCGCGGTAGTTGTTGCCGTCGGCGTCGGCGCCGCTGAAGCCCAGCCCTTCGAAGCCGCCCGAGGCCGGCAGGAGCGCGGCCGGCTGGTGCAAGTCCTCGACGTAGACCGCGACGACGTTGCTGTCGCCGCCGTTGTGTTGTTGCTGCTTGATGGTGAAGCCGGGCGAGTTGACGGGCCACGCGGAGGGCGGCAGGCGCAGGCCGGGCAGCTGGTCGTCGTGGCCGGCGCCCAGGAGCGGGTCGAGAGGGGCGAAGCGGCGCAGCAGGATGATCTTGCCCCGGGCGGCGCCCAGGTTGGGCGGCAGGCCACCGTCGCCGCGGTAGAGATACCGCGTGGCCGGGTCAGACGTCAGGACGCGGTGGAGCTCCCGCTGGGCGTCACGGCGGGCGGTCGCGCCGCGGTCCCTGTTGCCGACGAGCTCGAGGGCGACGGACAGCAGCACGGCCTCGCGCGGGTGGGCGTCGAGCCAGCCGTAGAGGGCGCGCAGGGCGGCCTCGAAGCTGACGGTATCCTCGGACAGGACGAGGTCGCCCTTGTACAGCACCAGCTTGCCGTGGCCGTCCGGGTCCGTGTTGACGCGCAGGTCGAAGAAGCGGACGCCGGCGGCGAGCGAGTCGGCGATGCCGCGGTCCTGCATCCGGCACGAGCTGATGTTGAACTTGGGCGTCGCCGTCACCGTGTCCTCGGGCGCCGCGATGGACCGCGTCGTGCCGTTGCGGACGAGCCACGTGGCGCTGTCGCGCGTGCCGGGGATGTTGAGGTGCTGGATCTTGGTCGAGTCCGGGTAGGTCGCCATCCAGTTGGAGTAGGCACCCGAGGAGTCAGCGGAGGCGCCGAAGATGTCAAGCTGGACGGCGCCGGGGCTGCTGCCCCTGTCGATGGCTTTGGCGTCGGCGCCGCTGGCGACAAGGGCCAGTCCGGCGAGGCAGGCTGCCGCGGTGGCGATGGTCTTGGAGGGGAACATGATGGGCCTGCTGGCTTGTGTACCCGTTCTGCCCGTTTGCGTCTGTTCCGAGCCTCTCTGGCAAGGGGTGTGGCTGCTATACGCGGTAGAGCTGGCTCTCTACCAGACCCTCTGTTGGTTGAGGAAGGGAGTGATGTGTTGTGAGGCGAGGGTTGGCGCCCAGAAGAAATATGGGTAGGATATATGTATCCTCTCGCAGACTTTTCACCCGCCTGTCATCCCAAGTTGAGGGAAGGAGCGGGTCGGTGGCAGTTTCCCACAATAAGAAAAAGTGACGAGGCGATGGGCCAGGCAGAAGCATCTATAAAAACGGCAAATGGACCCTCAATCTCGAGCCAAGAAAAAGCCCGGGTGGTACATCAGGCGGTCAACGGCCATTGTCGTCAAACTGGAACACGTTTGCTACCTTTGTGCTATCCGAATTTCTGGGCCCTTCTCTTTCCCACATTCACCCGCCCACGCCTGCCTGCCTATTGGAGATGTAACGTGTTATGGATACGAAGGCGGAAGCAAACGGCATCCTAAAAAAGCACTTAGATACCCGGCACACACCTACCGAATGATCTTCAGTCGTCGTCGCCGTCGTCGCTGCCGCTCGACCAGCCTTCGTGGTACTCCTCGGCCATTTGTGCAAGCTCGTTACTCAGTGCCTCCCTATCCTCGACGCCGATGCTTCGGGCCACGTTGGTCCGGAGCAGCTTGAGCCTGTCCGACGTTGCACTGTCCGTGGTCAACGATCCGATGACCGGCAGCGCGCCCTTTGAGGCTTCACCCGAGGCCGTGGAGAATATCGAGGGGAAGCTGTCCGGCTGGGGGAACCTCAGGTCGGAGAAGTAGCTGCCAGTCACAGAAAGTTCGTGTTAGCCACCACAGACCCTCGACGACGGAAAAAGGAGAAAAGGGGTGGCAGAGGTGCAACAGTGTTTGTAGCGCCTCCATAGTGACTCGATCAACTAACCTCCGTACTGCAGCCTTCCCCGATCCTTGGTGCTGCCTAGCAAACCGCCGGTCCTGCGCCGGCGCGTCCTCGCTCGGTGGTATACCACGGACAGAAACCGTCTGGCCAAAAATGTGCCGGCGCGACTTGTGCCCGTTCTGGCGCGAGGGGGACGCAAACTCGTCGTGTGTCGTAAAGTCGATCGGCAGGTCCACGCCCCTGGCCCCTTCTACCGTGTCCTCGTTACCATCATACTCATCTCCGCCGTCGATGGCGTACTTCTTGAGAACATCTGGCCGCTGCCTGGGATCTGATGACGAGTCATCGGGCTCGTCATGCACAACGTCCATCTGCAGGGTCGCGATGGTCTGCTTCCCCATGACGTTGAGCCACTCGGCCATCCTATCCATGTTATCGCTGTTGGGGCCGCGCTTGAGTCTGGATGGGAGAGTAGCCGTCTCGAGGGCCGAGGCGAGTAGGGCTGACGTATGCCAGCGGGACGCAGTATCCAGTCGTGACGTCAAGGCTTTATGCGAAGCCAGAGACCGCGGCATGGAGAAAGGCACCACGATCGATGCCTGCTTGTAGAGCTCCGTCAGGGCGCGGGCCTTGTTGGACATCCTCAGGAGGCGTTTTTCCTAGACTTGCTATCAGCTTGCCTCTGCTTCTCAGCCACAGCTCTGTTAGTGATAGAACAGAAAACTCACCCTGTTCAGGCCCGGGGCGGAGTCCTGCAGACCCCAGACCCAGACGATCGACTTTGCGTATTCGTCACGCAGGCGCTCAGCGTAGCGGGCTGCGAAGCCACCCCAGGCATCGTCGATAGTGGTGAAGACCTGTATGGCCTGCATTTGGTCGGCCTCCTCGACAAACGGGCGCAGGTCGCGGTCGAGGAGGTCGTGCTCCTTGTCGAGCTCGGCAAAGAGCTCCTCGCCCGCCTGCCAGCGCTCAAAGGGCTGGATGGACGAGTTGAGCTCGTAGTCGTTGAGTTGCACGACGGAACGGGGGTGCATGAAGACGCGGTTGAAGTCGGACCAGTACCGCACCGAGCCGGGCGTCAGCTCCGCGGGCGTCTCGCCCTTTTCCAGGCTCTGTTGATACTCGGCCACTTCGATGGGAGTCTGCTTCTGGACGACAGTCTTGCCGCTCCTTTTTTTTCCAGTGTTCCCCAACCACATCTCAGTAACCATCACGTCAAAGAGAAACACGCATTTTTGAAGTGATATCAGGACTCACCACAGGGCCTGTGGGGTCTGGCCATCTTGGGCCTCGTATAGCGCGTTGATCTTGCGCATGGAGCCGAAGCCACCCTTCAGGTCATATATGACTGTCCGGGGCATGTAGGTGTCGGAGCCACCCGCCCCGATACCCGGTCTCCAGTGGACATCGTGGTTGACCGGCGACTCCTCGTCGTCAGAATAGGTGAAATATGCCTCCTGTTACTGACAATTTTTAGACACACCCCTGCTTGTCTTAGCATATGCACCCGCGCACCACACTCTTGCTCCCGACTGCGACGCTACAGTACCTGCGCATTCCAGAAGTGCGTTGCCAAATAATTGCTGGGCTGGCCCAGCTGCAGTGTTACTATCTCGTGCATCTTTTCGAGCTGCCTGCCCCTGTGGCGAAACGGAGCGTTGGGTGAAAACGGGGTGAGGCACGAATTCGATGGATGCTCAATCATGTGGATTCCATGTCGGGCAGTTCTGCGGGTTGAGTGCGGGTATAAACTGGCCCCCAGTGCCGTCCCAGACCGCCCAGGCCAGACGTCATCGTCACAACCGACCAAGCAAACGGCAAAAAACAACGACAAACCGTGCAGCCAGACGCCCTCAGATTTTGGTTTTCTTGGGACTACGAAACTACAATTGCGGCGACGATAGCGCCCATGGAGAATCTGAGGAGGTACGTCTCCCAGGAGGCGCAGTCGTACGTAGCTCCTCCCGCCAAAGAGGTCGCCGCGGCTCTGCAGCTGGGCGACAGGGCCCCAAGCTCGGCGAAGCTCCCCTTTCCCACTGGGAAGCCCACAATCGTGGTGTTTCTCCGGCACTGCGGGTGTCCTTGTAAGTCCCACCCTTCGCTAGGCTGATATCGAAGAGGGAGAAAAAGCCCGGCCCATGGATGGCATGGGCTCTTGGTCACTTACACCCGCCCACTCACCCCGCAATGCACGAATATCGTATCCATATGTACAAACAATACAAACAAACACCTGCCACTTGCTTATTCGAACAAACCCCCCAAAAAATCACAGTTGCCGAAAAGACCTTTAGGAGCCTGGCAGAGCTCTCAGACAAGCACAGGAGCATCCGCTGCATCGCCGTGTCGCACTCGTCCGAGGACACGACGGAGCGCTGGGTCGAGGAGGTGGGCGGGGAGTGGGAGGTCAGCGTGCTGGTGGACGAGGCGCGCGACCTCTACGCGGCGTGGGGGCTGGGCCTAGGCTCCTACTGGTCCGTCTGGAACCCGCGAATCATCGCGAGCGCCGTCCGGCTCTCGCAGACGGACCGCATCGCGAACCGCACCACCGAGAGCGGCTCCCGCTGGCAGACGGGCGGCGCCTTCGCCGTCGACGCCCTGGGGGTGGTGCGCTGGGCCCAGGTGGCCGGCTCGGCCGACGAGGTGCCGGACCTCAGGATGGCCCTCGTCGCGCTGCGCGTGCCGGGGGCGGGTCGCTAAGGGTCGCTAGGAGGGAACCTAGAGCTAGGGCTGGGGTGTTTTTGTGATTTGGGCGCCGGGACGGGCTGAGGGTTTAATTGTTTGCCCTCTGCCCACATGATCAGGGGGCTGCGGAGGCCCGCGTTTGCTCTGTTTGTTATCTCCATCCTGCGTCTTTGACTTCCATGATGCGCAAGCGCTTATTGCTTCCCGTGTAGACTGCAACATCAATGAAAATTCAAATGTTAGTGGACCCTCGTAAACGTGTCTTGATCCCTCCCCAACCTCCCGTGGCAATGAAGGTTGATCAATATATTGGACGGGCCTTTGTAGAAACGTGGCTGGTTGTGGTCCGTTCCCCCTTTTTTTTTCCTTTCTTGCTTTGAATTTTTTCCCTTCCTTTTTTCGCGCTGACGTCGGCCGGGCGTCCTGCCAGGAATCCGGCCTTCCATTTCTAGAGCAAGAGGGGTCAGTGGCGTCCATGCGGCGGTCATTCCCATGGTCAAAGCTCCAAGCGTCCCGTACCAGCAGGTGGGGTAGAAAAGGCGCCGTTGCCCAGCAGACAGCCAGGCTGATGGGAGAGTCTCTTGCATTCTTCTCCACCTGCTGCGCTGCCCTGCGACCAGCCCCACTTCACACGTCGTCACCTTGCAAGACGCGACCGTTTCACCGCGACGCCCACTCCACCACGCTATTCCCGTCATGTCTGAGGCTGGGGATGGAGGTGCGGGCTCTCCGCCGCCGCCAGATGTCGAAAAGACGATCGCTGTCCGCCAGCGCGGGCACGCTACGCGACAGGACCTGGCGGAAATCCTCCAGCCCATGTTCGACGATATGGAGCAGAGGCTTGAAGCGAGACTTGCAGCGAATATGGAGCAGATATTTGCGGAGATGGCGCGAGTTACGGCGATAGCGGTTCCTGCAAGGTATTGCCTGTATTGGTTAGGCTTGCATTATATCATATTTTAACTAATAGTGTGCACTTTTAGTGTTCTCAATGTCACTATCCACTCTCTCAATTCCAACGTTACAGATCGAAACCGAGCCCTTGGTCCAATTGTGTCGCTTGTAACAGGCAAGCACATTTTGGAAACCAGCAAGTCGATTGCTGAGCTTAGCAATCTTTGCGGTGTGTTATACTAGTTTTACTTATTCTCGTTTTTATTTCATTATTTTTCCTAATTCCAGTTTTTCTTTCCCTTTTTAATCGTATTCCTATTCCTTAAAAACGCATCCCATTACGAATTTTCAAAGCTAATTGTTATTTTCAATGGAAAATATTTATATATAGGCAGTAACTTGAATGACCACCTTCAAGCTATGGGCTTATCTACCAACGGAACTGTTAGGGAGAAGCAACTGCGAATTTGTCGAGAGATGGGTATTGTAAGTCTTGAGTAAATTGTAGCGGGTTTAGGTTACAGCTTGGAAGCGCAGGGGCGTAAGGCCACGGCAGGTGGCTTGGGACACAGGGACCTGGCCCAAAGGGGGGAAAGTCACGTGCGGTGTTGCTTCATAGTGGCACCCGAGTTTGCCTGTCTGTCAATTAAACAAAAAATCTCGCGAGCGCAGCGCCGACAATCGAGCCAAACTCTGATGCTGGCATCTGGGCCTGGCCAGACACACCATTCATTGTGCGCCGCCGATATCCTCGCTGCATCCGGCCTGTTTCTAAAAACTTTCATTTTTTGGTTTCGTCTTCTCCCGACTGGAGACGCCTCTCGCGATCAGCTCAGCATCCTTGAATTGCGCCCTTCCCAAGCCGAGCCGAACAGCGCGCGCCGCCAAAAACCCGGCAGGGTCAGCACAGCCAGCGACGCGCCACCAACCACGCGCTCTCGACGACCAGCCTCCAGCCCTTTCTCCCACGTCAAAATCTCTCGCAACCGCAACCGAAACCTATAGAAACGATCCTCGCACTTGTTCGCCGACGTCGGCACTTTGCGCGTTGCACGTGTTTTCTCGATTGCAGCCCCCACCATGTCTCCAACAAAGCGCTCCTCGCGAGCCCGCCGAGGCTCGGTTCGAGATGCGACCGTTGAGCGCCGAGACGATTCATCGCCCTCGCGCCCGGTGAAGCGCAGGAAACAGGTACGTTTCTGCCCCTCCTCGCCGGACCCCCATGTGCTCGACGTCAACACCCGGCTGGTGCTCCCCCCGCCGAGGCACAGCTGACGTATTCCTCAAGGCCCAGGCCAACTCTTCGGAGCACGACATCCCCGAGGAGCCCGATTCCAGTCTCGTCGCCGACACGTCCGTAGTGAACCTTCACGACGCCCTCGAAGTGGTGACCCGCGTCACGCAGAACCTGACGTCGCCGCGCGACCAGGTCCTGCAGGCGAGCAAGGACCATGCCAACGCCATACACGAAGAGAACCAGGAGGGAGTCCAGGCCTTTGCCAAAATAGCCGGCCACGACTGGACTTACTACGTCACCAAGACCACCATCAACATCGGCCGCACCTCGGACCCGCCGCCAACACACCAGGACGAGGAGAATAAAGACTTTGTCCACATCGACCTGGGCCCCAGCAAGATGATATCGCGCCAGCACGCCATGATCACCTTCAACTCCACCTGGACGCTCGAGGTCAAGGGCCGCAACGGCGTCAAGTTGGATGGCGAGCCCCAGAAGCAGGGCGTGTCGACCCCACTGACAAGCGGGAGGGTCATTGAGATTGGCGGCATCGAGATGATTTTCGTTCTCCCCCTCGATAGCGCGCCGCTGCGCATACACCCCACATATATTGAGCGGGCCGGGCTCCAGGGCACCGAGTTCTCCGGCACGGGCAAGGATTCCGAGGTTGTTGAGGACGCTCTCCGGCCCACCACCTCGTCCAGCGCCGTCCAGGCCGTGAGCGGGAGGGTCGCGCTGCCCCGTAGCCAACCATTGCCCCAGACGATCGCGCCGGCGCCCCCCGACTACAGGCGCCCAGGGACACCGCCGTCGGTGCGCAGCCGCGGCGCCGGGTCCCAGAACAGGTCGCCGCAGTTCAAGGATGGCACTATGCTCATGAACCCCAATGATGTCGACCTGAGCCTGGACGAGAACAAGCACATCAAGCCCCAGTACAGCTATGCGCAGATGATCACCCAGGCCATCATGAACACGGCCGACGACAAGCTCAACCTCAACGGCATCTACACCTTTATCATGCACAACTACTCGTACTATAGGCACCAGCAGGCTGCCGGCTGGCAGGTGAGTTGTGTCCATATCCACATGTCCTTTGATTGCACTCGTGTACTGACTGGAGTACCAGAATTCCATCCGCCATAACCTGTCCCTAAACAAGGCGTTTGAGAAGGTGGCAAGGTCGACAGACGAGCCTGGCAAGGGTATGAAGTGGCAGATCGTGCCCGAGGTCAAGGACGAGATGACAAGAAGCGCATACAAGGGAGGGCGCGGCGGCCACCGCGGCTCTTCAAACCCGTCCTCTCCGAACCAGCTCAACTATGTGAATCAGGGCCCGAGAGAGATGGCAGCCAGAGACCTCGGTTCCTCGCGAAAGCGCAAGGTCTCGCCGTCTGGCTCGCCCCAGCCCCGCTCAGCCCTTCGTGACCTGCACATGACACCGGACCGCAGCTCCCGTCGTCTCCTCCCCGGTGAGTCGGGTCTGGGGATCGATGGCAGTCCGCTACCACGCTTCCGTAAGACGGCAGCAGCAGCGGTGGCCCTGCCGTCCACAGAGGCGACAGACGAGCTGCAGCCCGAGGATAACATCCCTCGGTCACCCACTCTCACTTCCTCGTATCTCCAGGAGGACGGTGGGTCGTTCGTAACACCGGCGCCGCACCGAGTCAACCTGCGGCTCGCCCCGCCCAGCACTGCTCAGCGGCCCAGCCAACATATGCCAACGAGCTCGCCAGCGCCGTTCTGGAAGTATGCCGACATCGGAAGCACGCCATTGAGGGGCCCGTCGGCTCTAGATTTCAGCCCATCGAGGCCACGACTGGAACCTCTGCCACAGAGCAGCAGCCCTCCCCAGGGCCCGAGCAAGTCTCCTGTTCAGAGCCCAACAAGACGCACAGCGCGGCTTGGAGGGGAGCTGTTGCAACCAAAACCAGGACCACCGGAGCAGCCCCCTGCTGCAAACGAGGTTGAGGAGGATGGAGGGTTCGACCTGACAAAGTATGTAGTCTCCATCGCATTCACTATGCACCCACGCCATTCTTCGTCATGCATTGATTTGCTAACACGTCAACGCAGGGGATTCCAAAGCATCGGTTCTTATCACGCACCAGTCAGCCGTGGCTTTCAAGTCGCACCCGCTGCCAATGGCAGGTAGGGGATCGTCGCCACTATAAAAATGCCCGAGCCTAACTCCATCCATAGCATACGCATGTGTCCTATCGGATTGTCTCCCAGCCGGTGCCTCTGATCCTATCCCTCACGGGAAAGGCTCGGACTAGGTACCATCGATTCCATGCAACCCAGCCCACCCTCACGGGCACCTCTCTGATGCACTCGGGCCTTGCCCACCCCACACTCTTTTTCTTCACGTTTTCCCCTCTGCCATCGTGGAAGTCAGCCAAATCTGGCTCCCCAATCGAACAAGGCCACCACCCAGAAACCAGCGATGACGGTCTGTGCTTGCGTTCACGCCGGCGTACTATGATGGTTTCGTAGCGTACTGCATTTTTCCGCTCTCTTCTTCTCGTGTTCTTGTTGCTGCGCGCAGTGGCTTTGAGGCTCATGCGACAGCGTTGTACTCACTCTCCTTTTGCTCGGTTCCATCACGGATGACACTGCATTTAAGAGGCGAATCGGTTTCGTGGGAGGGTTGGCTGGTTGGTTTTTTTTTTTTTTTTTTTCCATTGCGTGTCCGTTCGGCAGCGTTGTACTTGTACTTTTTTTAATTTCTACCATGTCTTCTTTCCGTCTCATTTTCTTCTTTTCTCTCTTCTTTTTCTATGTTTTCGATTGATTTCCTTTTCCCCGCTCGAACCCTTGCGGAGATTTCGTCCCTGATATTTAGGGATCGTCAACACGAGCCGGCCAAGATATCCCTCCATTTCTGATGTCAAACACCAACAATCTCGCTTCCGGCCCTGGAACCCGTCACCCGTCACCCGTCCCTTGGTCCTACGACCACTCCCCCTCCGGATCATGCAGATCTACTCCGAGGCCAGGAATATGCGGGGTGGTGAGCATTCATCCATGTAGCTACCAACATATCTACGCATCTACCTAGCTTTACCTACTTAGCCACGATGAAACAGGGGAGAGAGATGAATAAAAAAATCAAAATGGGGGTTGCCGAATACTTCCGTGGCGGAAACAAAAGACACGAAATCTACCGTGAGATACAGGAGAACCTAGGTGCATGCATGGGGCGGAGGCGGACTTCACTTTCCGTCGCCCGCCCCTCCGTCCTCCCTTTCCGCCCTCGGGTCCTGCTTCCCACAAAGGTGCCTGATCCAACCATGTTGGATGGCATACAGTGTGACCGGGGGCGGCAGGCGGATGGCTGGGTCGAGGAACTCAGGCAGGGGGGGGAAGACGGGGAGTAACAAGAAAAGAAAAAAAAAGAAACTATTGGGACGGCGTCAGCAAACCCTCCAGCCCGTATCCCTCGCGTCACACGTACGGCTCGTAAGAAACTCGGGGTTGGTTATTTGATTGGCGGGTTATGATGCCTTTGTGTGTGTGTGGCGTTGTGTGCAGCGCGAAGAAGAAGGGGGAGGGGGAGGGGGAGGGGCCTAGGCTGCCTCGGAGGAGGTGGCTGAGATATTACACACGCGTTACCGCACCTGGGCCGGCCGGGCCCCTTGTTTCTGTTTTTTTTTCTCCCATGGTCGTACAGGCGTGGTTGGGGCCGAACCTGTCCCGTCGCACCTGACTGGGGGTCCTACCGGCGAGAATACGAACCGGCTTTGTCTGGCCCCCTCGGCTGGGATAGTCTCAACGTCACGACCTATCCACGTTAAATAGAACATAATCTCGGAGGAACAGAGCAAAGACGGTTTGCGTCATGCACGGGTCCAGATGTAATTGCGAAAAGGGTCTTGTCTTGGATGTCGTAAAAAGTAAACCTCTATTTCTAGGCTTCATATACACAATGTGGTGAATGATCCCCTCTAACCTCTACGCAGCAAGGAGTGTTCAAAAGAAGAAAGATATATACAAGAAATCAAAAAGATTTGGGGGCATGTCGTAGTCCTCGCCTGTTGAGGTACTTGAAGTAGAGGGGGTATTTTTCTTGTACCCTCTTGTTCCACATATTTGCGTAGAATTGCACACAAAAGGAGGCAGCGAGCGGGGGTGAGGCATTAGTCAAGAAGGTGGGAAGGATCGGAGAGAAGGATATGTCAAAGGTGGTTGGTGCAGTCGCGCACTTGCGTGCGCGTTGCCCAAGAAGCCCGACAAAAAATGAGAAGAAAAACATAAAATGGGAAGAAAAACAAAAAATGAGAAGAAAAACGAAAACAGAAGGAAGAAAAACAAAAATAGAAGGAAGAAAACATAACACGTCATCCTTTGTTCCATAGCGGCTCGCCGCTGTGTCGTCGCCTTTGGCCGAATGGCCTACCACGAAAAGGCCTCCTCAACAAAGTCGATGGTGCCGTGGTCTTGCCTGGTCCGGACAGCACGGCGAACCTCGTCGCTCAAAGCGCCGGGCCCGCAGACGGTGACGCCCATGGCGCCGACCTGGTTCTCCATCTCCATTGAGATCAGCGTCTCGATGTTGGGGCGGCCGGGGAACATCTGGACCGTGGCCGAGGGCGAATGGATCTCCTTTGTCGAGCGCGGCCTTGATACGAAGAGCATGATTCGGAGCACCTCGCGCCTCCGCTCCATGGCCAGGATCTCGGTCATCCAGGGTCGGATCCACTCGAGGTGCTCGGGCGTCTGGATGATCCAGACGAGAACCACCTTGCGCGCTGCCACGGTGCCATTGTTGTAGCCGGCGACCAGATCGCGTACGTGGGGCACCGCCTGAGTGATTCCTACACCACCTGCAAAGAGCATGCACGTGCCGTAGGAAGACATGTCATGCATGCCGCCATAAGGCCCCTCAACCAAGCAACGTGTGATGAGGTGGCCCGAGGGATTTGCGGCAGCCTTCTTGTAGAGTGATGCGGTGGCGCCGGTACGGGCGCGAATGATGAAAGACATGCTTGTCCTGCCCATGGACAGGACATCCTGGCGGTTCATGGCGAGGCCCTTGTCAGCGTCGCCAGCCAGTGCCGTCTCGCTCTCGGCACTCCATGCGACGGAGAAGGGGTGCGACTGCGTCCAGCTGATGGTGGGGAAGTAGAGGTAGGCGTGCTGGCCGGGCTTGAAGGTCCAGGGGCGGGCCATGGTGACGGTGACGCGGACGGCGTTGTCGGGGAGGGCCTCGACCATGGTCTTGGTGCCGCCGCTGCCAAAGTTGGAGTAAGCGATGCGAAGGAAGCGAGCGACACGGTCGAAAGCCCACAGAGCGATGACTGTGTAGATGTATTTAATGTGCGGGAGCTCGGCAAGGTTGCAGTGGTACCACACGCCAGCCACAGAAACAGCCGCGGCGATGATGTGCAGGATCTTGAAGGTCTCGTAAGCAGCATGGCGAATCGGGCTCCAAGCCTGAATGAAAATGACGACGAAGGCGATAGCTCCCTGTTGTTTGTTTGTTTTGGGTCAGAAACTCACTGGCACTCGGCGGACATGCAGAAGGCCACACTTACAATGAAACCCCACATGAGGAATTTCGACCCCAAGGCGACGCCGAGCGCGGCCTCCCAGCCCATCTTGTTGGACATGGGTATCAAGAAGGCCAGAGTGTGCGTAACGGCTTCGAGAACGACAATGCGGCCGAGCCACCGGTGAAGCAGGTTCATGGTGTCGAACGAGATGCCGAGCAGGTTGATTAGCGGGTTGTTGCGGCCGGCAAGGAGCCACAGGGGAACCATGTTGACCACGGCCAGGACACCGGTCCTGTTGCGCAGTTGGCTGGCGGCAGAGTCGAAGTTTGCGTGCAGCGGGATGTTGATGACACAAAAGGCAACGTTGGTAGCGACGTAGCCAGCGAGCAGGAAGAGCTGCAGACGGGTGGGCAGGGTGCCCATGTTGACGGCCGACGAGAGTTGGAACTCGCGGTTGTGGCGCTTGCTGAAGATGGGCGCATACCGCATCTCACGCTTGAACCACGAGGCCGTCGCGCCGGTCTGGGCGAAGTAGCGCTGTGTGTCGTTCTGGAGCGACGACACTGTCCGCACATAGTGTGCCATCCGGTTCCAAACCCTCCATATGATCATGACGGCGGCGAGAGATCCCAGAACGTAGTACAGGTAGTTGGCGAGAAGCTTGTTCTCCAGCGCAGGGTCGAAGGGCTTGGTGGCGCCGGCGCCGGCGCCGGCCGTGGCGTTGGTCGGCGCCGTTGCGTTGGCGGGCGCCGACATGTTTGCTGGTGCCGACATGGTGTCGAGCTGTGTAAATCGATTGTTGTGTATCTGGCTGGTCAACGGTCCCTTGTTACAAGGGGATAGACGATAACGTCTCCGTTGGGGGTGACGTCTGAAGTCACGCCAGCCGCCGTGGGAATACCTCGAGATACCGAGTAGCCAGGCTAACTAGAGAGGACCTTGCAACTGGGGATGGTGGCCAACATGAAACGGCAGGATCACCAAACTAGCAAGAGAAGAAGAGAATATGACAGTGCCGGGGATTCAAAGAGAAGTAAAGGCACGAGAGAAGAAAAGAGCCAAAGTAAAAGATGGGCTGGAATCCGGGAGATGACGACAAGGCTCGGAGTACCCTGGTCATGCAGTTGGTCCAGGTGTCTGGGTGGTGGTGACGGGCTGAGTCGATCTTGAGTCCAAAGCCAAAGCTCCTTTTCCTTGCTCTTTCTTTTGTTGTTTGGTCTGGTCTTTTCTCCAGCTAACCTTTAGATTTCCTCCGTGCGCAAAAAAATATCGACTCGGTCGTGGGTGGGTAGTAAACAAAACCAGTTGTTTATCGAAGCCGGCCAAGGCAGCGGGGAGTGTGCTTTTCAGTCCGTCGAAGGGGTGTCGTGCGTTGTGGGTAACCGGCGTCGGGCCAGGGGGGGCGGGAGCACGGCCCGAAAGAAGAAGAAAAAGAAGAAAAGCGCAAATGAGAAGGGAAGCAAAGTCAATAAGAGACAAGGCTCTTGGGAGAAGCGAAAAGTTTGTCGGAGGACGAGGCCGAAAGGAACGAGGTTCCGGTTAGGGGTGGACAGGAGAAAAGACAGGAAAGGGGAGGGGATACGCGGCCTTGTATGATATAGCATGAGCGCGGGATGGCATCCACAGATGAGCGATGGCACCTTGGGCGTCCAGCAGGCGTGGCCCCCTCCATCCGCATCGACGTGCCTGCCTTCCCTGCAATGCAGCGCAGGTCGCCCCTTGCAGCAAGCAGTGCCGTGGCCCAGTGTGATCAGCAGCTTCGCCCAGCCCAGCCAATGCCAGGGCCAAGGACCGGGGTAGGGTGGGGGCCTGTCGAACTTCACACCCACAGCCCCCTTTTCACGCCATTAATACCCCTTCCACACGCCTTCCAAATGCAGCCGGCGTGCTCTTCTTGCAGGAGCTGCCTCAGTCCCCTGCGTCGCCCACCCCCCAAGATACCAAGATAGCAGCGGAGCAGATGGAGGCAAGAGCCGATCAAGCATCTAGCGATCATGTAAGCCGAGAATTCAATCGCCTCTTGGCTGCCCCAGGCTTGCTCTACCATTTCCTCTTTGCGGACGCTTCACTCTGCGAGCGGGCAGAGAATGCGTAGAAGACAGGACGATTCGTTTCCACGAGAGTTTGATCAACCAAACAATTTCTAGATTTCTCAGCCTGCGCTCCGACGGGTTGGGCTCTGTGCTCGGCCATGTCCGCTCTGGGCGTACTGTGTATCCGCACAAGGCCGACGGACGGACTCGCGTTTCTGGCCGTGCGTGCAGCTGGCTTCCGGCACCAACAACTCCTCCTGCTCCCCTGGGCCTGCGCCATGCAGATCATTAGCGGCCAGGGCTCAAAGCCCTGCGTGTTTGCCGGTGTTTGTGCCGTTGTGGCGCTCGCGGAGAGCGAGGGGGAGGGAGAGAAAAGAAGGAAGTGAAACGAAAACAAAAATCCAGGTCAGGGCCAGTTGTCATCCGATCAAGCGACTCGCACCCACCAACCCGGAGGCCGCATAACGCCTACTCCACTTGAATTGGGCGGCCACGGCGCTGCTCGGGCTCTACTGTGTACGCGGCCACTGTAAATTGCGACATGAATTACCCTTTCAAGCCGGTTTAATTCAACAAATGGTCTGGAAAAGGGCTTCGGATGAGGTAACTCCTTTACTATCAAGCCACTGCATAAAAAGAACTTCTGCGATCCCTACTCATTTAATGTGCCTGCTGAATTAAACCGGCTTAAAAGAGTACACTTACAGCGAAGGTTTAAACGATGGACGGTTGCCGCTCCACTCATTTTGACATCTGGTTCGATCTGGCAGCCAGACAGAAAGGACCAGCTTACGAAAGCCCATACTAATCCTATTCCGATGTAACCACACAAAGGCCCAAATACACAATACTTCGATGGATCGGTAGGTACACTTCAAGGATGCATACAGCTCATATGGCTTGGTAGATGGTGCCGTGTTTGAGAAAACGTTCTCGTCCGGCGTCAGTGATGCAATTCTTCCTTCTTCTCTTGGCGCCAAGACCTGGTTGGGATGAGTGGGGCGGCCGGGCGGCAGGTGTGCGTTGGCCGACCGATTGGACGACAGACCCCTGGAAGCTCCGAGCGATGAAACACGCCACACGGCGCCCGGGACCTGGGTTCCCCATACCGCGCCTGTGATGGTGTGCTCGCTAGCTGCCGACGCGTGCGACCTTATCAATTCCATCGGCTCCGGCTGGAAAAGAAAAAAGCAAGCCCCGAGTCTGGCCGGGGAGGGGCATCAAGCCAAGAGCCAGATGCGAAAATAAAGCAACAAGTCCCGATTCGGTAATCCTGCAATCATCCCCAAACAATCGGCTAGAATCTCCTACCTGTTGGCAGCTGCCTCTTTCGCACTCGATTTAATGCGCTTGTTATTGCAAGCCCCTCATCGAGAGTTGGGGGTAGAGGGTATCGATCCTCTGCAAGATCCTATCCTTTGTAATAACGAGAGAGGACCAGGACTAGGACCAGGACCAGGAAAATCAAGGAGCACGCGGGATCCAAAATCTCACATTACCACCACCACCAGTTTACTCACCCCGTGCAAATCAAAAACCACCAGGGCAGAGCTCGCCTCGACTTGCTTTCTCGCTCGCGTATGTGGCCAGTTTAATCGACCGTGTTGATTACCGGAACCTTGCTCATGTTTCATTCCCACCGAGGTCGTGCGATCGGTCCGCACTAGTTGAGATAGAGCTGCCTGCACCCGTCCCGTCCCTGGGTGCTGAGTGGCCAGCCGTGATGTTTCGGCCGTGCCCGTCTGTCCCTCCTATTTCTCTCTCTTCTTCTCCCCCTCATCATCATCCCACGTGTTGCTGTTTGCTCCAGACAACAACAGCCGAGGAGGGCAGTGGGCTCCTTTGAGCGTCTCGGGCTGAAGCGAAGGTCCCACACACCATAATCGCCTTCCCTTGCCTTCCCGCCGCGTTGAGACTTCATCAATTCGAGGGCGGCGAGTGGCACGAGGGCAGGCCAAGCCCCGAAAAAATACTTGGATGGACGTGGTGGGATGACCGATGGGATGGGTCCCGGAGGGGGCGCAAATTAATGCGGGGTCTTGCGCACGAGTCGAAACACTAATTACCTACCGCTTGGCTGCCCGATTTCTTCAATATTCCGGGTGTTTGGCTGCCTGCATGAAAGAGGGCGCCTACATGCCGCTAGAAAACGCGCGCGTCCGGCGACCGCGTTGTGCTTTGCTTTACTTTGCTTTGCTGTCGCTGATCCGACGAGTGTTTATTTCTCTCACCTCGTCTAGTCTCAGCTTGCAGCTTTTATAGGCTCTCAATGCCCGAATAAGTCGAGAAGCAGTAATTATCCTTGTTGGTGTTAATAGATCGCCAGCGAAAGTTTGGTTACAACAAAACCATAACAGAAGAGCTGTCAAACGTCTTGGGGGTTCTCCACTAATAAGGCAAACAGCAGCTTTTGAGACACCCAAAAATAGTACGAGATACATCACATAAATATCTTTCATTATTGAGTCGTTTGATCCCCCAAAGGTAAAAAGCAACATCCAAAGTCCCCACAGATCGCCAGTGACAGGTTGATCATAGGAATAATCCCAGGAGAAGATAATTCCAACATGGGAAACAAGAAACATGCATCTTCCAAACTGCCTCAAAACACCATCATCTTCGCGACAAGGAGTCCACCAGCCGCCAAATGGAAGCCCCCAAGCGCCATCGTTACACTCGGGCAGCCGTCAAGCCCCCTCATGCGGTGACGCCAGCGTCCAACAAATCATGCGACAGACGTCTCCCGAGACGGAGCTCCTGCCGCCATCCATTCCACAGCCCACTCTCCACCGACCTGTTTGTTGACAGAGGGAGAGAGAGAGAGAGAGGTGAGACGTTTACTCAGCGATGGGTAATTCGCGCGTCAAAAGGCAACATCCCCCGAAAGGCCGACGGCGGACGGTTGTCTCGACTTGAAACTCTGTAAAATTGGAAAACCTTGCATGGGGCAACAAAAGGTCAAGGACGGGGATACCCCCTGGAGCCTGGGGTGGTTGTTTGTTGTGGTGATGGGTACCATCCCGACCAAAAGGGTCCGAGGATGCGAGGCTCTTTGCACACAAATACGATAGACTTCAGTATCTTTAAAATGACGTGACATGAGTATACGTCGCATGCGCCAACCAATGCCGGCCAGCCTACCCCTGATGGGTGTGTTGGGATATTCAACACCGTGTTGGCTCGCACAAGTGCCCGGACCCCTCAGATACCAACATCATCTCGCTGCTAGAATACAATCGTAAATTATGATTCAACAATGTCAAACAAACAAACAAACGCCTTCCGCGACGCCTCCGCCACGCCATATGGGTAAGTCCCGATAGACATGTTGGGACGGGCATCGTAGACGGTCCGTCCCTGCTCTCGCGCGCGCCGGGATATGGGTATAAATGGCCTTGGGATGGGGGAGTCCGAAGGCTTGACGTGGGTGATCGCCCTCGTCAAGAGGCTTGAAGGCTCGATGGATAGGCGCAGAATGGCATCCTCGAGACGAAAAAATAAGCGAGAAGTGAGAAGCGAGAAACGTGGAGAGCGTTTGAGTCCGCGGCTCCGTTGCCAACTTGACGGGACGCGGATGCTCGCCTCCAAGGCTAAGTGCGCAAGCGGCGAGCTCGTTCACATGCAGAGCTCGTCGTCGCTCGACTGCTCTGAATCCAAGCTTGGCCTCATTCTCTTCCTGGGGACCCCAGCGGCCGCTCCTCGCCTGTCGTTGCTGTTGCCGTGGCTCCGAAGCGACAGCATCACCGTGGTGCTGACCGGGCGACTCTCACCCACTCGGCGCGGGGGACCCCTGGCCACGACAGTGGCCGCCCTGCGCCTCTTCAGGGTCGGGTTCTTGCGGCAGTTGAAGGACGAGTCGAAAGACAGCTCGTCGTATTCGTTGCTGTCGTCGTAGCTACAGTCCTCTGCTGACGACTCTGCCGCGTCGGCTGTTTGGGAGCGGAGGGCTCGTCGCCTGCCGGCTTGTGGGGGCGTCTCGGGATGCGAGACGGCGGGAGATGCGGTGCGGCACCTCCTGGAGGTGATGCTGCCGATCCTGTTGCTACCACTGTGCGATCGAGATGCCGGTGGCATCTGCGGCTTGCGCGGCGCTGGAGTCTTGAGAACCCACTCGCTGATGCCGTCATCCCACTTATATCCCGTAAATATGTTTGGGGCTGACGACCCATCGCCCGAGGCCTCCGCCGTCTCGTCCACCAATCCGCCCGCCCCAGCTCGCGACTGGCTGAGCGTCTCCGCAAACGCAAGGTCTCGCAGGTCGTTGGTTCTGTGCGCCAGCGAGAATGCGCAGTCGGCCTCGAGCTTGTCGAAAAGCTCGCCATCCACGTCCAGAGCGTGCACCCGCCCACACAGCCCTAGGAGGTATGTCGACGACGCCGAGCTCGTGCCCCTCCCGCAGCACTGGGCGATCGAGCTGATGAGCTTGACGGCTCTGCCGTGGTGCTGTGATGTTCTGGCCCCGGACGACTCCTCCCACAGCAACTCCAGCCGCTCCCTGACGGCGGCCTCAGTTGCATCGTTCGCCAGGTCGGGACTGGTGGAGAGATATAGTGTGAGAAGCAAGAGAAAGACGCCCCCTCCAAATTGGCGGATACCCCTCCCGGTTGATGCTGCCAGTGAGGAGTGCAAGATAACTCTAACCCGTTTGGTGATAATTGCTATCTTTTCGTGCCTCGATGAGCTAGCTTCCGGCTTCGCCAGCGATTCGTGTCCCACAGTCAACATTGTTGCCAGCGAAGCCAACGACGAATCCAGCGTCCTCTCCCACGCACCGCTATTTTCGTCGTCTTGCTTAGAGCTTGATTTTCTATTCCGTCGGTTGACATGCTTGCAAATAATGTTGAGTGATACTTTTGCAAATTCCATCGCCCCCTGGCATGGCCCGTTGCTCGAGATGGCTCGCACCACAGTGGCCCAGAGCTTCCGGAACACCGAAGTGCACATCCACTCCTGGGGCAGCTTCCCACTCGACAGGAGGTTCGCCATCTCCCGCAACGCAAACGCGTCTCGCTTAGACGTTTCCGCCACCGTGAGTAGTAGCCGTACGGGAGCCAAGACAGGGCTCTCTCCGAGCGTGCTGTCAGGGCCCGTAGGTCCCGGGAACGGCGGAGCTTGCACCAGGGCTGCCCGTAGGATCTCCTCGGCCTCGGATCCGGCATTGGAGAGGAGACAGAGCCTGGCTAGGGCGGCACAGAAGGCGGCGTCGGCTAGAATACCTTGCTCAACCGCGTCGCGGAGGATGCGGATGCCGTGGGCCCTGACGACGACCCGCAGATGCCTGTACCCGGCGCCGTCGCCGGGTCCCAGCCCTTCGAGCTCGCTGTAGATGCCGAAGGAGACCTCGGAAGGGTTGAAGGCCGCCTTCTCGCCCCGGGCCTCAGCCTCCTCGCGCTCCCACTCTTGGCGGCCCGCGATGTAGGCAGGCACCTGGCGCAGACACATGGCGAAGAGTGATTTGCGCGCCACCAGGACCGGGGCCGTCGCCCGTTCCGACGCCGCTGCCGGCTCGGCGGTCGCGCGCAGGAGCGACTCAGTGGCGCGCAAGATGGCCTCGTACATGTTGAAAACGCAGGCCGGCGTGGTGCGCCGCAATCCGGCCAGATCCTCCTCCACTGCGGAACGCGCGGGCGCGGTGCTGGCCGCCCGACGACCACCCTGCAGAGGTCTATCTGCCGAGTCATCGACATCCACGGTGAACTTCGGTGGGGGTCGAGGCGGCCCCACGGGGGAAGACAGCTGGTGGTACCGGATCTTGCGGACTATGGGCGTCGGCATTGCCGTGTCGCTCCAGATACAGGCCTTGTTGGCGAAGGCCTGCGACGAGGATGATGACGGTGCTTCATTGTCGTCTGAGGATCTTGGCTGTGTCCTCTGGCCTGTGCGCTGCCTTGAGCCCCTGGTCGAGTAGGTTTGCATGTTCCTCCCTCGGCGGGCTGCAGCAGTCGAGGCGGCTGCTACCCAAGCCTGTCGAGGGGAACAAGAGGTCGGGCCGGGAGAGGGACCAGACAAAGCCTCCCGGGACGCTTCAGAGGTGACACCAGCCAAGGCGGCATCGTTGGAAGGCCAGGACATCTCCTTTTGCAGTGCGGTGATGTGTGAGAGCAGAGGTCGTATGAGGCGGTGGCACCTTGTTGCCGTCCATGGTGTCGATTCAAGGACAGACTGGGAGATGCGGGAGCGACGTTGTTTGCGGGACGGTGAGACGGATCCAGCATTTGCCGCCCCGCCACCCTCGGATATAAAAGACATCTCCAGAGTAATGTTGGCAAGTAGACGAGATGCTCAATCTAAGCAAATCAAAACAATGATTAAGCAGGTATGATAGCTCGCGTAATTCCCCAGTAAGCTAGAGGGCGGGGTGGTGTTGCAGTCTTCAGTATGGCCAAGTAGGCTCCCCGCTCTTATATATCAAGAGCTGAGGCCATTCTGAAGACGCGAGTGACGAGAGCGGCCTGGGTCGATCGATGTATTGCGAGGGCGTGCAACGATTGAGGAAGATGTAGAATGCAGCTAAGGCAGGGTTGTAGAATGGATACAGCAAAGGGATAATACTAAAGACATTGACTAAGCTAGCCGCAGGGATGTATTATGCATGTTTTGAGGTGAGCATAGCGACCTTGGAGCTGCTCCCTTGCGCTGTGTGATGTTGCAGCTTGGAAGGAATGCAAGTGGCCGCCGAGTCCGCGGTTTGTTTACAGGATTTCCTCTTCTGGACTGATAAGATAGCACCGTCCGCCCCTGAGAGCTCCATGCATTCTCGCCTCATTGGTCATCATTTCCGGGGCGGCCCCACATTCTCAGCCACGTCGCAGCTCGGGCAGGCAAGCACTCGAGCAAGTCAAGGTCGCGATCTCTGTTGACACCAATCAGGGCAGTGCCACGCGACCGACTTTGCTGCCGCCAATCGACGCCAGAAGCGTTGGTTCAATCCGAGTCGGTTAGGGTCCCTGCCCGCCTCCAAAGCCCGCCCGCCTCTAAAATCGCATGCATGGAACTGCGGAGGCGAACGGGCCACACGCACACGCACACCTTTGGGCTACCCTCTTTGGGCTGCCCTGAGCTTCTCAATTCCGAGTGCCCGAATACCTGTATTGTAGATTGCCATTGCTGTGCTAGATTGAAGTTAATGACGACAAGTGCAGCGGCTCTCCCCAACACGCGCTGTTAGCAATGCGCCGCAAGAAGACGGGCGCTGCGGTTTGGCGGCGGGTATTTCCGGCAATCGACCCCTGCACGACACGCATTTTCGACCTTCCCGCGCGCCCGGACAGGCCTCTGGTTTGCTGAAGCACCTATTCAGATGAGCTAAGAAAAATTTCATGACTACGAAACTTTTACACTGGGTCTGATCATTTTTTTTCCTGCCTCCCCCGTCCATTCATATTGGAGCTATACACACCGACGGAGGCTGCATTTTTGTTTCTCTGCTCCTTTCAGCTGCAGTCCCTTCCTTTTTTCCTGTGTAATACATAGACGAAAATATTTGGTTGGCCTTTTGCCTGGGCCGGAAAAGCACCCCTTGCTTCTAGCCCACGTCATAGCCTCCCCTCCTCCCACATGGTCGAGGCATTCCACTGCCCCTCGTGGACTTTTTAACTTCTCCCACCTCTACAATGGCTGAGACCAAGAACGACGACGCCGCCAACCAAGGTAAGCCGCAGCGGAACCTACATACAATTCTATGGGCCGCCTCACACGCCTAGAGCCACTCGTGGAGGAACAAGACGACCTCTTGCTGGTCGATATCTCATCTTTAATACCGACTGACCTCTCTCACACAGTTGCCGATCCGGCGCCGGTGGCCAATGCCCCGCCCGCAGAGGACAATGGCGAGATCGCCCCGGAGGGTAAGTAGCAGAGTGTATTGATGCCCTCGGGGCGCTCGAGAGGGGCTAACACTTACCCCTCCTCCAGACGCCGTCCTCTCGCTCTCGATAGTCCTCCCCCGGTCAGCCGAGAAGATTCAGATTGCCGTGTCTCCTCATGAGCAGGTCCACGAAGTGCGCCAGTCCATCATCGAGATGCCCACCGCCCTGCAGTACTCGTGCTTTCACCTGGAACACAAGGGCGAGCGCGTCAACGACTTTGCCACAATATCTGAGATCACCGACATCGCCGACGGCTCCGAGATCCAGCTGGTTGAGGACCCTTATACCGAGAAGGAGGCCCGTATCCATTTGATCCGTGTCCGAGAGCTGATCGGCGCCGCCGGAGATCGCACCGATGCCGTCCAGGGCATCCTCCCCGGACTCTCTGTCTACGACACCGTGGCCGCCGAGGCCAGTGACGCAACAGAGGTGGTCGAGTACGAGTTCCAGAAGCCCGTTGACCTCGCCGCCTTCCTGCCGCGAGAGACAGGCCCTCAGCCCAAGACGGTCAAGGCAATATCCGTTTCGCCCTGGAACCCCCCACCAGCCCATCTCAGGCAGAAGGGCCACCTCCTGTACCTGATCGTCACGACCAACGAGGGCGAGCAGTTCCAGATCACGGCCCACGTTGGTGGCTTCTTTGTCAACAAGTCTTCCAACAGCAAGTTCGATCCGACGCCAAAGGTTGGCAACAAGGGCTATTCGGCGCACTCCCTCCTGACCCTGATCGAGCAGCTATCGCCCTCATTCGCACAGTCCTTCCTTGAACTTCAGGAGTTCAACAACCGCCGGGAACCCCTCTCAACCTTCCAGATCACCAACGCAATCCCTGCCGCCCCCTGGCTGGTCCCTTCGGCCAGCTCGCCTACCTGCTCCCACATTTCCGACATCACGAGGACACAGGAGTCTTTTCTGATCGGCGGTGTTGAGAACACCGACACTCTGAGGGACTGGAACGAGGAGTTCCAGTCGGCCAAGGAGCTGCCCAAGGAGAATGTCCAGGATCGTGTCTTCAGGGAGCGTCTCATCTCGAAGCTTTTTGCCGACTACAACGATGCCGCTGCTCGCGGAGCTGTCCTTGTTGCTCGCGGCGAGGTTGCGCCTCTGAACCCCACCGAGGGACGAGATGCCCAGATTTTCGTTTACAACAACGTCTTCTTCTCTTTTGGTGCTGACGGTGTTGGCACCTTCACTTCGGAGGGCGGTGATGAGGCAGCACGTGTTGCCACTGCCAAGGACGTGGGAGGAGTCAAACTTGTCAACCAGCTAGATATCGACGGTCTTTACACACCCGGCACTGTGGTTGTCGACTACCTCGGTAAGCGGATTGTTGGTCAGAGTATTGTGCCTGGAATCTTCAAGCAGAGGGAGCCTGGCGAGAACCAGATCGACTATGGCGGCGTCGAGGGCAAGGACATTGTCGCGGCCGACGAGCGCTTTGTCCCGCAGTTCCAGAAGCTGTCCAAGGCGCTCAAGGTCAAGCCCCATGCCGTCTGGGACAAGGAGGGCAAGCGTTTCGACCTTGAGGGCAGCGTGGAGACCAAGGGGCTTGTGGGTACGGATGGCCGCAAGTACGTTCTGGACCTGTACCGCATCACGCCCTTGGATATCGAGTGGCAAGAGGAGGTTGAGGCGGACTCGGACAACAAGTATCCCCACCGTATGACGGTGCTGCGATCAGAGCTCGTGGACCAGTTTGCGCGCCAGAAGATGCGGGAATGGGTCACCGCCGAGGTTGCCAAGCGCGGACAGGCGAAGAAGGAGAAGGCCGAGGTAAAGGCCGAGGGGGAGGAGAAGGAGAAGGAGGAGGGAGAGCCTACCGAAGAGGGTGAGAAAAAAGAGGGAGAGACCGCCCAGGATGGCGAGAAGAAGGAGGGAGAGTCCACCGAAGAGGGCGAGAAGAAAGAGGAGGCGACCAGCGATCGGATCGACGTGTCGGACTTCAACTTCACGCTGAACCCTGATGTCTTCAGTGGCCAGGTGCCGCAGACGGACGAGGAGAAGGAGGCCATGGCTGCGGACGAGAAGGACGTGCGCGACGCATGCGCGTATCTGCGGGCAACCGCGATCCCAGACCTCCTGAACGACCTCAAGGAGTCCGAGATCAGCTTCCCCATGGACGGGCGGTCCCTCAGCCGTCTGCTGCACAAGCGCGGCATCAACCTGAGGTACCTCGGAAAGGTTGCCTCGCTCAGCGAAGAGTCCCGCCTGCAGTGCTTGCGCGACGTGTGCGCGCGTGAGATGGTTGTGAGGGGATTCAAGCATGTCGCGGCGAAATACCTGCGCTACCTGCCCCTTCCGCTCACCTCGTCCTGCATTTCGCACCTCTTGAACTGCCTCCTGGGTTTCGAGCTCAACGCGAAGCCGACGGCCGACATTGACTCATCCTTCAGGACACTTTACGATGATGCTGATCTGGCATTCGAGAACGTGACCCCCGAGATGCTGAGGGAGTCGATTCAGGAGGAGGTCAAGCAACGTTTCAGGTATACGCTCCCGGTGGACTGGCCCGTGCATATCCGCCATCTCCAGGTGCTGCGCGAGGTCTGCCTGAAGCTGGGAATCCAGATGCAACACAAGAACTACGCCTTCGCTCCTGAGTCCAGCGAGACGAACGGGGCTCCCGCAAACGGACAGGCGCCCACAGAGGAGAAGACGGCGGAGAAGAAGAAGAAAAAGAACAAGAAGGCGCGCGATGGGTCTCCTTCGTCCATCAGCTCGGCCGGCGTGCCTCACACCTTCACACCTGACGATGTTGTTAATGTGGTGCCGATAGTCAAGGACTCGGCTCCCCGCAGCGTCCTTGCTGAGGAGGCGCTAGAGGCAGGGAGAATCTCCATCCTCCAGGGCCAGAAGAAGATTGGGCAAGAGCTCTTGCTCGAGTCTCTGTCGCTGCACGAGCAGATCTACGGCATCCTGCACCCCGAGGTGGCGAGAGTGTACCATACCCTGGCCATGCTCTACTACCAGCTGGAGGAGAAGGAGGCGGCGGTGGAGCTGGCGCGCAAGGCGGTGATTGTGGCGGAGCGCACCATCGGGATCGACTCGCAGGAGACGCTGCTGGACTACCTGAACCTCAGCCTGTTCCTGTACCAGCTGGGCGAGAGCAAGCAAGCGCTTGAGTTTGCCAAGCACGCGCTTAACATGTGGAAGGTCATCTACGGACCGGACCACCCGGACACCATCACGACCATCAATAACGCGGCTGTCATGCTGCAGCAGCTCAAGGCTTACCACGAGTCGCGACGATGGTTCGAGGAGGCGCTGCGGATCTGCGAGGTGGTGTTCGGGCGGCAGTCGGTCAACAGCGCGACGCTGCTATTCCAGCTCGCCCAGGCGCTAGCCCTGGACCAGGACGCCAAGGCCGCCGTGGTCAGGATGCGCGAGAGCTACAGCATCTTCCTGGCCGAGCTGGGCCCCGAGGACAAGAACACCAAGGAGGCCGAGGGCTGGCTCGAGCAGCTCACGACCAACGCTGTCAGCCTGGCCAAGCACGCCAAGGATGTTGAGGCGCGCCGGCTGCGTGCCGGAATCCGCTTCACTCCCCGCACGGGGGCCCTGGGCTCGACGGCGGCGGGGGCGGCCAAGACGGTGACGTCGGAGGTTGGGCGGCCGGCGTCCATCGACTCGCGCAGCATCGACGAGCTGCTCAAGTTCATCGAGGGCGGCGAGAAGCAGAAGAAGCCGTCGAGCGGCGGGACCAAGAAGCGGACAGGCCGAGCCAACCCCAAGCGGAGGGGCGGCGACCCTGTGAGCACCAAAGCCTAAGCGAGGCTGGAATGGAAGGCAGTCTGCCGTCTGCCTACCTTGCAAATAAGCGGCTGTGACGGAAGGGCAGGAACGAACGGGATGAGAAACGGAAAGGAAAAGAGGAAAAAAAGGAATCAAAAGGGATGGATGGTGGTGGTTGGTTGGTCTGTTTGTTGCATATCTCATGTGTCTCATGTGTCTCTCATTCAGTGGGCGTTCCTTGCGGCTCTTCTCCCCTCTTCTCTGTTTCTATCTACTAGGGCATTTACCTCCCCATTCACGCGACACATGACGGTATATACGCCTTTTTGTTTTGGTATTCTCATGCTGCTTGAGTGGTATGAAATGCTGCGAATGCCCTCTCAAGTGATGTCCATGGGGTAACTTTTTAGTGACCCCCATTTGGGGGAGGCGCGTGATGCCGTCAGCGGTCTTGCTAAAAGTGGCAGGGGTGTGTGGATGCCTGCCGGCCCCAGTGCAACACCACAGCACAGCGGACCCCTGCTCGTCCTTGCGGGGACTGGGGCGGTGGTGTGGGCGGGCTTACTCGTTCCATTCAATTCTGCTTGCCAACGGGTACCCCGACTGATAAGAGGTAACCCCGCCCCGCCCTTGCCGCGGCCAACCGTGCGTCCGCCACGTCTGGTCCGCCAGTCCCAGCAGCAGCAGGCAGCACAACACAAAGCTGGGTGGCCAGCCTGCCCTCCCCCGACAGCCAGAAGAACAGTTCCAGCCAATAGGTTGAGGCCTAGACCTGCGCGCCTCGAACTCGCCCGACGCCTCCCCCCGCGGCCGCCCAACCAAGAGCAGGCATTGCCGTGTGCGTAATGGTGCTGCCGCTGCCGGAGCGCAGGCAGCCAGTCAACCACCTCCCCCTCGTTGGCTGATCCCGGCCGACGCACGCACGCAACACAACGCAACGCAACGCAACGCAGCGCACGTACACCCTGTCTTTACCAACTTCTGGCATCCGTCTTCTTCCCACCCGCTCTTTCCGTCCTCGTTTTTGGGCTAGACACTTGCTGGCTTCGTCTTTGTACGTCAGGAAGAAACCGAAGGAGAGAGCAACACACGATCGACACGGCATCATCGTTCCGTCCATACAGCCTAGCCTCTAGTCGACCGCGCCCTGTATCCATTGCATAGCTCCAGGTGAGTTTGGTGTAACTCGTCAGCAGCACCCAGCCCCTCTCCGCCTCTCCCACTTGATTCCACACTCGGATTCGTCGCAAGGTCGCCCCAACTTGCTAACCTCGAAACTATGCTCGGCACCCAGGCGAAACAGCAACCCAGACGGAAAGCTGAGGCGAGCGAATCCCCCGACAACTCGTCCGCGTGATCAACGGCACAGACGGAAAAAGACCAAGACAGCTTGCTGCGGACAAGCAAAGCAAGTAGCACCCTTGGGAGAAGCGTCCGGGAACCAACCGGGCTATACCCACGGAAGAAGAAAAAAATCAACAGCTTTTGTCCCAATCACCTTCTTGGATTATGAAGTTCGTGCCGCACTCGTATCAGGAGCCGAAGAAGACGACGACGACGACCATTGTCCAGGACACGCCTCCGAACGACACGGCCGCCGCCGACGGGACCGAAACGACAGACGTCCAGCCCGACAGCTGGCTCACCATCACGATGGGTCTCGCGTACAACACGTACCTCAATAGCAACAAGATCTACGGCTGCAAGAGCTGCAAGGCCCACCTGGCCAACCATGAGGACATAATCAGCCGGGTACGACGGTGACCTGGGGGATGGGACTATAAAAAGAAAGAAAGCGAGGCTGACATTGTTCCCCATATAAAATATAGAACTTCCGTGGCCAGCACGGCAAGGCCTACCTCTTCGCCTTCGTCGTCAACGTCGAGACGTGCGAGCCGAGCGAGCGCAACATGACGACGGGCCGCCACATTGTGCGCGACATAACGTGCCGCCAGTGCAAGGAGACGGTCGGCTGGAAGTACGACAAGGCCTTTGAGCCCAGCGAGAAGTACAAGGAGGGCAAGTTCATCCTCGAGGCCGAGCTGCTCTGCAACGTCTCGTGAGCGGGGGGGATGGGTGACATGTGTCTGCCTGCACGTAGGTGATTAGGCTGCTGCTTGGGGGGAGGGGAAGGTCTTTTTTTTTTTTTGGAATATCGCCGTCCGTCCATGGCTCCTCTATTTCCGCTTTCTTATGAATTCGCTATTTTTCTTTTCTCTCGTAGCCACCCTTTTGCTTCTTTGGGTCTACTAGGAGTTCCTTGTCCTTGTCGTCGAACCTTGATTTTGAATGGTTTCCTGTCTAGTCATGGGGCCGAAGCGAGTACAGCACACCTCACCTCGGGTCGTGGAGTTTTAGGGTATGCAATTTGTTTACTTTTTAACTTTGAATCCATCTCCAATTCCAAGTCCTCATTATCACAAGTGAGCGTCGTGAGTTGCACATAACCAGGGCACAATCATCATGGGGAATCTAGACATTTCTATAATATTCCCTTCTATCGATTGCTCCACCTCGCTTGTATGAGAATCGAATCCGGTTGCCAAACACCTCTAGAGCCAACGTTTACTGATTGTCTAGCCTGTGCCAAAAGATGACACACATGTGGTAAAAAAGAAAAAGAATCATCAAACTTTGGGGGATGAAAAAAAAGAAGAGAAAACGCTACGGCCAAATCCAAATCCAAAAAAAACAAGGAGAATTCAAGCGCACCAACGCCGGTCTGGACAAGTGAAAAACAAACATAAAACAAAGAACTAAAGGGATAAGAAAAACACCACCGGTGATGAGCTTGATAACCACAGTCCTCGTCATCACCGCGTTACCTCAACGAGCAAGCACATGCCGCCAATGGTCCAGGCCAGTCACAGCCCACCCTCGTCGTCTACATGTGCTCGACGGGCTCCTCGGGGAGGAGCTCCTCAATCTCCTCGTCGACCTGCAGGAACTTGAAGGGGGGCTGGACGATGCCGTTGAAGAGGAAGGTGAAGTAGACGAGGAGGACGAAGCCCAGGACCTGGAGCCACTTGAACGTCTCCCAGCCGAGGCCGAGCGAGACGACCCAGATGAAGAGGGTCCTGCACGTATCGATGGTGGACCGCGAGGTGGCGCTGACGCTCCGGGTGACCGAGAGGCCAAAGAAGTTGAAGCCGCCGATGCTGATCATGATCAGGAAGCTCGACACGAGCACCTTGGGGTGCTGCGTCATCTGCCTCCAGCCCTCCACCATGTCGAAGTAGCCGTAGCGGCCGGCGTCGGTGCGACCGATGGCCAAGTGCAGCACAATCATCCCGAAGACCGTGACCGACAGGCCGAAGAGGCCCTCCCAGCCGACGACGCGGATAGGCTCGATGGTGGAGCGCTCCAGGATCCACTCCTCGAGCACGAACTGGGTGGCAGTGAAGATCTGGGCGCCGGCGATGAGGAGCACGCCGACGACGGCGCGGAGCGAGTTGGCATCGAGCTCGGCCGTGACGGCGGCGGCGTGCGCGGCCGCCTTGACCTTGTCCGGGTAGATGGCGCCGGCGAGACCGACGATGGCGACGCCCGTGACGACGCCGAGGAGCGAGAGCCACTGGAACAGGTACAGGTGGCGGCGGAGGAAGACGACGCTGAATAGGCCGACGAACAGGACGAGGGCGCCCCGGGTCATCTGGTAGATGGATGCGGCCACCATGAGCAGGCCGGCGTTCATCAGGGTGGTACCGCAGATGTCGCAGATGGCAGGCAGGGCCAGGAGGAGGACGCGGTAGCCGGCGAGGACCGAGTCGTTACGCGGGGGCTTGGAGTGACCATTGAGGGCCGTGGTCGAGTGGATGCTCGCGTCGTCATTGTCGGCGGCGGTCTCGGAAGTGTCGACGGCCTCGTAGCCTGCCGAGTCGGCCTTGCGGGCAACGTAACGCTTGTAGAGCGACATCAGGCCGACGACCAGCCAGCAGCCCATCTCGCCGACAAACATCTGGGCCGTCTGGATGACGGGCTGCTCGAAGTGAGCGCGCTTCTTGGGGTCCGGGTCATCGCAGTTGCGGACGCATTGGTTGTCCTGGTTGGGGAAGCCGCCGTCAGCTCAGCTCTCGACTTCTATGAAGGGGACTGATGAGCAGCATACCTGAAACTTGGTCAGAAGGGTGTTGCAGACGCCGGTGAGCAGCATCATGGCCACCAGGAACGGGACGAGGGCCTTGGAGGCCATCTTGGCGGCTGTTGCGAGGCCGCGTGCGCCAGCCTATTGTGACAAGACTCAGGCCGACACCCTAATGACGAGGCGCGGATTATGGTTTCGGAACGGTCTTGGTTTGATGGGGTCGGGGCCGTATTCGGGCGGGTAGGCTGGTGATGGAGGAGACAGAAAGGAAACAGAACAGATGATGAGGGAGAGAATCAAGGATGAAAGGGGCTGTTATTTCAGTTGAGAGCGTCTGCTGGCTGGCAGACGAGGTCGTGGTTGGGCGTCAGAAGACGCTGGCTGCTATCTGCTGACTCGTCTGGCTCTTGGTGGTTAGTGGCCGCTGGGCTTACCTATCGTTTGCAGCCTAGCACGGCTGGTGAGTGCAAGGCACCGCGCTCGATCAACGCTGGGGTCGTACGGGGACAGGGGTGGTGGCCCGGTGGCCCTGGGGGCTGCTATTTGGGGCGGTGGGCAGAGCCAATGCGCGACGTCGCCAGCCAATGCACGGAGCGCCAAGCCTGGCTTTTCCAGGCAAGTCGGCAGCACCCGACCGACATCTTGCCCACCAGAATTAGTCGCAATGATTAGTCGCAATGCACAGCATCGATACCACCCGCCCTGACAGCAAGATGCTATTTGGGTGCTTGGGTTTGGTTGGAGGTCAGCTCGGATGGCGCCCTACCGAAACGGCCTGGGTGGGCTCTCAGTGTTTGGGATGCACATTGACGGTGAGAATGGTCGCCTGCCAGGTACACCGACTGGGAGGTGTTAGTACTAACTAGCCTGGAGCATCTAAATATCAATCCAACTAGATAAAAAAACATCACCAGAATTGAACCGAGCTATTGGGTCAGCAGCCAAGGGCGGGGAGGACTGGCACTGGCACTGGCACTGGACGCTCTTGAATCGGCACCCACCCGGTCAGTTCCCCACGGCAGCAGCGCTGCCTCGACTCGGGCCCCTCCTCCCTAAAACGGCAACCCACGGGCAACCGCCGCGAACACGCAAGCGAAGGCCCTGCTCCGCTGTCTGGCGTGGCTGCCTACCTACCCACTCACCACTTCAGCTCAGCCTTCACACTCCCCTCTCGTGTCTTGGTGTCTTGGAGCCTTGGTGGCATGCTCTGCCGTCCCGTGTGAGGCCTGGCCTGTTCGCTCTGTTTATCTGCTTCGTCTACAGCGCCCGCCACCGTGATGCGGTTTCATCCAAGCTCGTCACCGCCAACAGCCTGCCAAAGGGTTGGGAATCAGTTCTCATGACACACAGCCCCACCTGCCCTGTTGCTTAGACTGTTTGCGCCCAAATGGAGGCCAAGGCGTTGGTAAGCAAGGCCCTGAGGTGTGATGGACAAAACCCTCCCAGAAACAAACCCTCTAACCACACCCGTCCAGGAGCTAGAAAGGTTGGCACGCAGAGCGTCCGGCAAGGATGCCGTCAAGCACGCCATCGCTGCCGCCGAGGCTTACATGAAGGCTGCCAAGGATGCCTCCAGCCCGGCCGAGAAGAACCGGCTCAAGCACCGGTGCGAGGAGGTCATCGTCTTTGCGGAGCGCCTCAAGGGCCCACGTCAAGCCCCAGGCCTCGCCACTGACGCCCGGAAAGGATCGAGGACGGCTGCGGCCCCGGGCGGCTCCGGCTTTGCTACCGCCTGCTCTGCACTGCCGCAGGGCCCGGCCCAGTCCCGCCAGCTCCCCACGTCTGAGAAGACTATTCTTCTCCGCTCCTCCCGCCTACACGGGAACATCTTTCCGCCATGGGATACCTCGCCGTCAGATGACGGCTTTCGCCTGTCTCCTGCAGACGGGAACACCCTCTATAGCGATCCCTCGCACTTCACCCTCTCCCAGAGGCAGCAGGACATCTTTGCAGGATGGAAGAGGCCCTCGGACATGTTCTCGCCCCCCGGTGGAGCCAGTCGAGGCATCATCGGGAGGCTGCCCTCGACGCTGATGCACCCGGCAACCGAGAGTGACCTCGTGCAGGACATCACCACCGACTGCAGTGTCGTCGCCAGTCTCTGCGCCAGCATGAAGCACTTGAACTCGCCCAAGAATCCGCTGCTCGCCAACCTGATGTATCCCTTTGATGCCGCCAACGCCAGCCCCATCATGTCGGAAAACGGCAAGTACGTGTTTCGCATGTACTTCAACGGCTGCTTTCGCCAAGTCACCATCGACGACCGTCTGCCCGCCTCGAGGACTTCACGCACCCTCTTTGTGGTCGACCGGAAGAACCCCCAGCTGATATGGCCCGCCTTGATGGAGAAGGCCTACCTGAAGGTCAGGGGCGGCTACGACTTCCCAGGCAGCAACTCCGGCACCGACCTCTGGGTCCTCACCGGCTGGATCCCAGAGCAGATCTTCCTACACGCCGATGACATGGAGCCTGAACAGAGCTGGACGCGCATAAGCAAGGCCTTCCAGTTCGGCGACGTTGTCGTCACCCTGGGCACTGGGCGACTTTCATTCGAGGAGGAGGACGCGATTGGCCTTGCAGGCGAACACGACTACGCCGTGCTGGACATGAGGGTTGAGAACGGCGTACGGCGTATGCTGGTCAAAAATCCCTGGTGCGACGGCCTCGTCTGGAAAGGTGTCGGCTCATCGGCCATCCTGGAACCCAAGACAACGCCGAGCTCTCCTAGAGATGGCGTGTCGCCGCCGGACTCGGGCGAGCTTCCCACAGGCACCTTCTGGATCTCATTCGAGGACGTCGTCCAGAACTTTGAGTCCCTCTATCTGAACTGGAACCCAACTCTATTCACCCACCGCCAGGACCACCACTTTACCTGGGATGTGCCCGACAGCAAAATGGCCAACTCGTTCGCCAAAAACCCGCAGTACTCGATTTGCGCTTCGTCCGCCGGCTCTGTTTGGGTTGTTCTCAGTCGCCACTTCCAGGACGATGAGCTCGCCATCGCGAGAAACCGGTCCGCTTCTTCATGTCCGCCTATGGCAAATGGGACGGCGGCTTCGTTTGCCGAGGCGTCCGCCTACCCCACGGCCACAGATGCGGCGGGCTTGCCGAACACGCTGGGGTTCACGTCTCTATACCTTTTCCACGGCACGGATGGGACACGGATCCAGCTTCCCGACCGGCCACGGCCGCAGCATAGGCGGCCTTTCGTTGACAGCCCGCAGATGCTGCTTCGGTTCGAGGCCACCAAGGGGGAGCGCTACACCCTCGCTGTGGCGCAGTCTGGCCTTCCACTTCCCAAGTACACCTTCAGCCTCTCCCTCTTCAGTCGCTGCCCCCTCGATGTCGCCAAAGCCGAGCCCGAGCATGTCCACTACGAAACGGTGCAGGGCTCATGGACTCGACGGTCGGCAGGCGGCAACGCGTCCGAGTCCACTTATCTCTCGAACCCCCAATACTCGATCCACGTGAAGCACCCGACCGCCATCTCGCTCCTGTTGTGCGCGGACAATCCGGATCTGCCCGTGCACGTTGACCTCATGTGGGCGGGATCCGGCCGCGGCGCAGGCAAGATCGGGATAGCTGCCGAGATTACCGGCACGGCCCGCGACATTGTCGCCTCAAGCGGTGAGTATCGCCGTGGCAGCGCCCTGTGTGTCGTCTCGCCATCGTCGCCGGCATCGACGGCCACAGGAGGCGCTCCAGTGCTCCAGGAAGGCTTTTATATCGCTGTCCTGTCCACATTTGAACCGGGCCAGCTAGCGGCATACACGCTGGAGGTGGGCTCGTCGACGCGTGAGCCCGTGGTTGTGACTCCTGCTGCCCGGACCGGCGCCGCGGCCGGTCGGTTGCGCACTGCGCTCGCTCCGCTCCCACCCCCACCGGCCGTTCGCCGCACAAACAGTGACGAGGATCATCACCACAGCCACCACAGCCACCACAGCGGCAGCGGCCCTGGAGGCAGCGACCACAGCGACTCTTCTCCTCATAAGGAGGGGGAGGCGGCTCGTGTTCATCGGGCGCCGTTGCTTGTATCACGCCTCACACGCGTCAGCGCGCGCGTGGCACCTCGCTCTGGCAGTCTAGATGCCGTGCGCATACGGATACAAGTCGGCGTTGGGGCTCGAGGACGCCCACTCGCCATTGGCGGAGGGAGTGGTGGCAGCGGCGTCGACCCTCTCCTCAGCATGCAAGCCTTGGTAGAGGCCTTGGCTGACTGCGAGTTTGCTGAGGCTTCCAGGGGCGCACGCACGGCCGAGGTTGATGTCGACCCAGACCTGGCCCACAGGGGAGGTGGCCTCTGGGTCGTCGTCGAGCAGATTGGATCGACTACCGGAAACGGCGGCGCCGAAGGGCCGCTATTGAGCAGCGTTTCAGGCGGCGGCGGCATGTCGCCCAGGCTTGGGGCCGCAGTTGAGATTCTTAGCGACAACCCAGTCCAAGTCGGTGGGTGGGAGCAGGTCAAGGAATGAGAAGAGATAAGCTGATTTGGGACCATAATAACTACCATGGGGCTGTGAATACTCCGGACAAATACTGGGCAGCCAACCCTCTTGACATATAATACAGACATGGAACCTTTAAATGCCGCCAAAGCCTCGCCTTTGGTCCTGAGGACCCATTCCCCTTCCAGCTAGCGACGATGGACGTTTGGCCTTATTTGATGTGGTGACACTCGGCCTCGTTTGCATCGTTCCTAGTGTCAGTCACCAGTAGAGCCATGCAGTTCCTCCACAAACACAACTCTTCAAATCGTATCGGCGTCCGACCCGAAGCCGCCGGTCAGCAGCTTGACAGGCAGCAATATCAACACAGCCCCGATGGCCACACAGTTGCCCCCAAGACACACATACTGATGGGGCACCGATGCGCGGGGGGTGGGGGGTGGCTTTACATTGGAAGATCGCAGAAGCGCAACCTTTCCACAGTATGGAGCATGTGCGGTCGAGGGAGGAGCCGCATCGAGCCGTCTTTACGAGGGAGGCCCAAAGTGCCCACCTGACCTGGTCGTCGACGGCTGGGGACTGTCGGATCGGGGATCGCACCGGCCCTTATAAATCAGCAAGAGGGGACACCTTCAACGATAGATCATGGCAAGAATTACCGACCCCTCGATAGCAAAGACAGTATGGGACACGGAACACCACGGCATGAGACGAAACGCTGAGTAGACGGTGGATTTGTATCTCACAAGTTAAACCAAAAGAAAACAAAAAGACCAAAGACCGTGGTATCTGCGAATACGCCTGACTCCGGACTATCACCATCAGCCCATCCCATCCTGCGGAGCCTGCTGCCAGCTCCAGGATACAAAAGAAAAACGATGAATAAAAAACAATTTCGGTAAATAGGATATAAGAGAAAAAGAACAGGGCTCTCCCGGGTGGAATGAGCAGCCGATGTGGAAAGATAATGGTTCGAAATAATAAGAGAGGCTCCCAGTGGTCCCGTTTCTCCCCTGGCTAATGGTGATATCAGACACTGTTGGCCTATTTGCCAACGCCGCCTCAAAGAATTCGAAGACCCTATCCCTTTTGGATATAACATGAAGGTAAAGAGAGAAGAAGAAAAGGACGAAGCCAGACACCGAAAGGATAGTGTACGATGCTGACGGCGACACAAAAGAGCCTCGAGGCCCGTGGTCCACTGGATATCGATTCCAGCGGCAGAAGCGTATCATGTATGTACGTACCACCCAAAAAAAAAATGAGCGAAGCGGCGTCGCCCCAACGGCTGACGAGTCGCCCAGTCAATCTCGGGTTGTGGGGAGAGTTTCTATAGCCTCGTCCAGGCAGGTTCCAGAACGAAGCCCGCGGACATTTCCCAATGTAGAATGGATGGGGAAAAAAAAAGGGAGGGGAAGGCTTCGCAAGATGGAAAGTATGTGCAAGAAGCGTGAGCCAGGGCTGACTGTCGTGTTTGGAATTGGAGAGTCGAACGAGACGAAAACGCAAAACGAAGGCACGGCACCGGTCCTTATCCAGGCCCGAGCCGCCTCCGACGGCCTCGATTTGGGCCGTCGGGCCGTTGGGCCAGCACATCCCGGAGCATGGGGTCGTCCTTGTCCTTGTCGACGTGGTGGACCCTCACGTGGCGCTGCAGATTGTCAGGCCGGGGGTATTTGTGCTCCCGATCCGGACAAAAGGGGCAGATGTAACCGGGCGAGTCGTGGACGAGCCCATGGCGGATCATCTCGTTCTTGCGCTTGAACCCCTTGCCGCCCTCGCTGCGAGGGCAGCCCTTGACGGGGCAATAGTGCGGGCGCGCCGACGAGTGCACGTTCATGTGCGAGTTGAGGAGGTACTGCGTGTGGAAAGGCAGCGAGTTGCAGCCCGGCCACTTGCACACAAAGTTGCCCCCGGACGGCGGGAGCCCGGCCTCGGGTACCATGCGCCCGTCGCCTCCAGGCCCGGCAGGGGTGTGGGCGTAGTCGCCTGTGCTACCGGGCGTCTCCGTCGCGCTGCTGCTGCTGTAGTCGGTGTGCCTGGGGTAGCCGTTGGGCCCGACGTGGTGCGTATAATACGGGCTCGGAGCGCCCGACAAGTGTGCCGCAGGCGACGGGAGGTCCCCTCTCCTGAAATCTCCCGGTGATACCGGAGGCGAAGTGACCGACAGGCTTGACAGCCGCAGCATACCTGCCGAGGGCGAATGCGGCTGGTATGTGGTGCCAGTACTGCGGCGGCGGTCGGCTTGTGATGATTCTGATATGCCGAGGTTGCTGAAGGTATCCCGGAAAGAGGGCAGGGGGTTATGGCTGCCGTTCGAGTCCGAGATGGGCGATATGAAACCCTGTATGGGCGGCAGGGATGGGTTGCGCGGCACGTTCGTTGGCGACCGCAGGCCGACCTGATGGCGTCTCGGCGAGAGACTTTGTTGTAGTGGCGAGTGTGAGTATACGCTGCTGCTTTGCGGGCTGTATGGAGACGTGGCGCTGAGCGCGGTGTGTCTATCGTCCCGTTCCCTATCCTCGTCGCGTTCTCTTTCCCTATCCAGATTCAGGAGAGGGACCGGACCGTCGCGGCGGCCTCCCCTACCCCCGATAGCAGTCTTCCCCCGATCCAGCGAGCGCGTATCCAAAACGGGAGCTGTCCGGCCGGGTCCGTCGCCGACACCGCCCCCGAGGGCGATGGCGGCCATGGCGCCGGCGGCCAGAGACTGCAAGTCGCTGGCAGGCGCTGGCTGCGCATCGGCAGGGGGTGGATCGTCCACCGACATGTTGCGCCCACGATCTCGAGCTCCGGACCCAGGTGACCTTCGCCCACCAACCCCGTCGCCGTTGTTGCTGTCCGAGTCGTCGTCCCCGCCTGAAAAGTCCTGTTCAGGATCTTCCGAGGTGTCCGAGGGGAGGCCGCGTTTGAGGGCCGCGTCCACGGTTAACTGGTTGCCACCACCGGCGAGCACGGCCATCAAGACAGCATCGCCCGGATGTGGGGCGTTTTTCGAGGAGACGGATTTCCTGGAGCGCGAATTGCTGGGCGGGCTGTCCTCGGGGGCGTCGAGGTCCAGCGACGAGGATGGCGACAGGTTAATGTCCACCTTTACGTGAGCCTGGAGCAGCGGGCTGTTTCTTAATACGTATTCTTCATCGGGATAAGCTTCGCCGGCCGTACGATCGTGAGCCCAGGTATTCATCTCGTATCCGCTTCTTGTGTTCCTGCTTTGTCTACTCACGGGGGAGGCCGTCGGTTCAGTGCGCCATGGGTAGGGGGATTCGAGCCGGGCTGTGACCTGTGCGTGAGGCAGCAACCAGACTCCCGTCCAAGCCCCGAGTCCACAAAACGAACAACCTCGGGCGGATAAGTGCGACAGCGGCCGATGACGAGATGGGGGAGGGCCCTCCTCCCTTGATGGAGCGTATGCGCCTGTATCGGGCACCAAGCCTATACGCGCCGCCGTGTGCCGCCAGCAAGTCACTCCTCCCAGATGCCCTCCTCTTTTTGTCTCGCGACCAAGATGTGTCTCCCAAGGGGGTGAATAGGTCGGTAGGTAGTCGAAGTCGTTGGTGCGACCAGCAAACGGGCCGCCGGTTGGTAGGTGCGCGAGGTACAGCCTCCGTCCGAAGCTCTCTGCCTTGTGCTTGGGTCGGCAGCCGGGAGAGCGGAGCAGGCTGGTATAGCTGCTGCTGCTGCTGCTGCTGCTGCTGGCTCTGGAGCGAGGGGGTAGGCGATAGTGGCACGGCAGGCACACACTCTCACACTCACACAGCTTGCTCACTCGGGCAGGCAGACAGGCAGACAGACAGACGCGGACACGCCTTCTCCCCCGTCAGGCGTGACGTGAGGGGAGAGGTTACAGTATGATTGTGCTGGCTGGGCGCCGGCAGTGTGGGGAGAGGTGGTGTTGAGTCGGAGTCGGAGTCGGTGGAGGAGACGGCGGGATTGGATTTGGGGAAAGTGGTATGGGGTCCCGTCTTTGTTTGTATGGATGCGACGACCCTCCTGGCCGGGCTGGGGCGTCTGGGACTTGGCCTGGAGCAAGAGGAGCAGAAGGCGCAGAGTTGGATGCTGCAAGGCGTGGCGTCAAAGCGGACAGGGCCTGGGCTGGACCCCGGACGTTTGTACAAGAGCCCCAGGAAGCTAATGCGGCGGAAAGAGCAGAGGAACCTCGATGGAGGAACCTCAATGGACGGATACCTCCCTCCCTCTTGGGCAAGGTGCTCCTTGGGCACTGTGCGGGTTGGGCTGTGGGCCTGGTGGGCAGCTGGAGCACTGGGCCGGAGCTAGGTTCTTGCCTTTTGGGACCAGTTCTGGAGCCAGCTCTGGGGACCAGACGAGGCCCAGAGGCAAATGACACTGTGCGCCACTATCAAATGGCAGGTGCGGCCACGGGCAGGGTGGAGCCTCTTTGGGAGAAGCCTTTCTGAAGAGCCACAGAGCCCCCGGGGCGGTCCTTGGGTCCTTCCTTGGGTCCCTGCTTGGGTCGCAATTTGGGACGGGCCTCTGCTGGGCGGCCGCGGCCCTGCTGGACTGCCAGGCGTCCTCCCTTCTGGGACTTGCCGCGTGACGTGACTCGTTCGTGACCCGCCCGTCGATGTGAGAGCCGGCGGGGGATTTGCGTTAAAATTGGCTGCAATGCTGGGGAAAAAGAGGAGGGGGGCGGGGCCCATGCCTGGTCTGGCCCTGTCTTGTTTCGTTCCAAATCCAGGCGGGAGGAAGCAAGTCCAGTAGGTTTTTTTTTTTTGCCCTCCTGCTCCAAACAGCTCTTGGTCCGTCCGTTTAATTTGACAAAGAATCGCCCAAAACAGCCCGGTGCCACTATATTCGCCTCTACAAGCGAACGCCGCCGCCCGCCCTCGCACCGTCCGTCCGTCTGTCCGTCTGTCCGTTCAGGCAGGTCCAAGGGTGGCCGGCCGGAGACAGGAGCAGGAGTGGATGGAGGCTGAGGATGGGCTGGTGCTGTCTAGACGTACGTATGCGTGTGTATAGTGCGTGGATGGATGTATGGATGTATGGATGTATGGATGGGTGGGTGGATGCCCTTTTGGTGTGCCCGCTCTGTTCTCCAGTGTCTTTCCCTCCTGCTGTCTCAGCGCCAGAGGGGAAACGCAACTGCGCCCACCCACACCGCGCCAGTGGGCAATCACGCAGCCAGAACAAGAGCTCTCCAGGTGAGACTCGGGGGCGGACAAGGGGCCGGTGACCAGCCAGCCGAGCATCTATCGTTGGGGGAAACGGCCCTGGTCGGGGGGTGTGTGAGATGGATGGATGAGTGGAGAGCTAGTTCGTTGGTTGGTCGGTTGATTAGGGCCCGCCCTGCCGACGGGGAAGGAAGGAACAACAGAAAAACAAAAACAGAACCTTGGACCTTGGCAGCAAGACGGATGGCCGCTGACGAGCGATGGCGGCGAGATGCAGGAGGAGGATGGCAATTGAGCAGATTGAGCGTGGCTATGCTTCCCGTCGGAGCAAGGGTGGACAGGGGATGTTAAGTGGTGGTGCCCGCGAATAGACCGTTTTTTGAGGACGACCCTCACCCCCCGCCGAAAGAAGAAGAAAAAAGTCTCAAGGAAGGACAGGGCCAGCCGCGATAACAGCGTTTGTGTGTGTCGGCCATCTATCTGGTGGGAAGGGTCAGGAGGAGTACGAGCAGGCCCCAAGACCTCGATCCGATGGCACCAGACAAGTCCCCAAGCTGAGCCGCTTGACGGGAGCGAGCGGGAACACCAGCATCCATCCGTCATTGATTCGACCCCCCATGTGTACGTGTGTGTATGTGTGTACTCCTGCGACTCGACCCTGCCCGGATGAGAAGGCCCAGCCCAAGCACCACACGCACCAAGGAGGACCCCGACAAGGTTGCAGGGCAGGGAGAAAGTGGAGATGGAGGGTTATACATGAGGTTACTAACAGGAATAAGCCGCATACGTACTTGTGGCCTGTCCAGACACCGTCTGATGACAACCACAAATATGCCCGCACCACTGGTCCCCTCCTTCCTCCCTCACTCGACGTCGCGCGCTGCCCGTAACCTTGAGGCAGCAACAAAGGAAAAGCAAACAAAGGTCGAGCCCCGGAACCTCCCAAGCGCCCAGAACCGCGGCCGTTCGTCGTGAACCTTTTCTGGTCCAATCCCCCGGGCGATCCAGACAGGTTCCCAGGTATGAGGAGATGCTTTTTCGACGTCGGAGGTGAAAATCTCGGCTAGGATCAGGCACACGCACCCTTCCCGTTCTGGCTAGTCCGGAAGTGAGAACGAGAGAGCTCAGAGGGATAAAAGAAAAAGAAAAAATACGGAGCTAGCTGGTCGGCCCTTTGCGGCAACGCCACGACGCCACGACAAGGATCGAAAAAAAGAAAAAGACAAAAAGTCTGCTCGTCGTATATTGTAAGCGCAAACGCCTGACAACCACACAACCGAGGCACCCGCCTCCCTTGTCCTAGCCCTTGGTTACCTTTGGGCCCAAGGGTAAAATAAAAAAATAAAATAAAAAAAGCCATCGGTCGATGATCCCTCCCCATCGGGAGCCCTGGTCTCGCTGTTATCCTATACCGCCCGACCCGGCAGACGCGGACAGCCCCTTGTTCTCTGCCGCGCGCCTACTCACTCTTTCGTCTTGGACGACGACACGTTTTGGCTCTCTCGTATCTTCCCGGGGGACGTACTTTTTTCCGTCTCGTCAAGCAACCCGACAGGCTATGCGTGGCGGCCACCGCGGCTTGCGTTGGATGCAGTATCGTAGGTAGGTACGTGCATACATATCTACATTAGGGTAAAAAGAGGACATTTGAGAAACAGGGACAAAATACCCGCAGGTAGCCAAGAAAATTACTGGACATGCCAAAGTCTATGTGCGGTTCAGTGTCAGCCAGCTAGGCGCACTGTGTAGCTCATCTGCCCTGTGCGAGATCCAGGGGTTGGTTCTCTGCTGAGCGCGGGAGCGTCGGACCTCTGCAGCCTACCACGCAGCAACGGCAGGGCAAGCGCGGACAGCGAGTGGCCTCTCAGAGGCGCACGCCCGTGCGTGGGACAACATGTGCAAAATATGATGGGAAGGAACATTTGGAGAAACGGATCCCCCCTGTGCTACGTTGGGCTCGGGTCCATTGAAGTTGTTTGTTTCTTGGCTTACAGTTCGTTCTTGGCGGCGAGCTGAGCAAAATAAACGACGACATAAAACAGCGATCCACAACAAGGCAATTCCCTCGCCTCCCTCCACGGCACCTCTCTCCCTCTTCGCTCTGTCGGTATCCGCCCCTCCCAGAGGAGGCAAACAACAGCGCGGTCCTTGAATACGGGGCTGGCATGCAGACAAACCCCAAGACCGTGGTAGGTTAATCGTCAGCGGTCCAAGGCAGGCGATATGCTTCCCTAGAGGACCCTCGGGCTGTCCATTGGACAGTTCCGGGTCCGCACGGAGACGTGTTTGCCTCATGCGCGCGTGTCTTGTGTGGGTGGGTTGGGCTGGAGGCTCGTGTGATGGATGATTCAATCGCGCGCGCCGTGGGCTCTTTTTTTTCCTTGTCCAGTTGCATATGCAGCAGGGCGGAGGAGATGGGCACCACACAGACCAAGATGTGATAATAAGCTGATTACTCTCTCCACGCTAGTCCCTGTTGGATGTGCGGCGGCGGGAACCATGCAGCAGGGTAGAGGAGCCTCCTCTGCACCCTCGTCCCTCCTTCTCCTCCCCCTCTTCCCGTTGCGCAACCCACCAGGTCGCCTCCATGGCCGCATCTGGATACCAGTCCCTCCCGCTTATCATCTTTTGCCTTGTCGAGTCGGGCCCTGCAGCACCAACGTGCACACGCGAAACCCGCAACGCTCCACACTTGACTGGGGGGAACTAACCAAAAACGGGCAGCAGATACTGGGAGGGGCCGCCGTCGCCGCCGCCGCCATGGGAGCCCCCCTCGACCCTGGTCATCTCGCTCGCTCTGTCGCCTCGGTCTCGGCGACTCGGTGGGAGGGGAGGTATCATCCATCCGGTGGTGTTTGCTGGCCTGTCCCTTGGCGCTGCCATCTGGGGGCCCAAGTTTATCCAGTGCTAGGTAGCGAGGCAGATCGTTAGACATCAGCTCCGGCCGGTTTAGGTTGGTGTGACTAAGAAACCTAGGCCGCGTGCTCCTTCCTCACTGTCGCTGTTCTCACCGCTTTTGTTCGAGTTGAGTAAAAAGAGAGCACGCGTTGTTTTTTCTTGTTTGTTTTTGGTGTGGCATGTGTGGACGGGGCAGGGTTGCAAGTAGGCAAAGTGGGTTGGGCGTGTTTGCATATTGATTGCCTTACTTTTGTTCAATCAATACTCTCTCTCTCTCTCTCTCTCTCTCTCTCTCCATCTGCGCCCAGGCCGCCCTGCCCCGTCGTCATGACCGCAGCTGGATGCTAGGTATGCAATACGACCAGATACACACGCTACCTGCCTACCTAGGCCGTTGCCCGCCCGGACCACAGCGTGGTACCAGGCAAGGTGGCAGGCATTCGCCTCGAAAAACTTTGTTTGAAACCCTGCTCCCTCCCGAGAGAAGCCAGCAGCACAAGCAGAACAGAATAAGAAGAGGGCGGAGTGGTGGGGTGGAACATGAATCAGACAGAAGCCCGCGCACGCAGGGTGCCGACAAAGTATGCTATCGAACGTGGGCCACCTACAGCACGTGCGTGCTAAAGCCCCATCAAAGTAGTCCGTATACACACCACCAAGCTACATACAAAAATCAATACATTCCAAACGCCATATCAAATCAGAAAAAAATGCTAAAATAAAAATTCGAAATGCATTTACAAATTTGGAATTTTTATTAGTATACAAGTTAATTTTAAGTTATTTAAATATTAAAAACTTAAATTGCAGCGCGTACCAAATTAAAAAAATTAAAAAAATTTCTTTACAGCGCCTATCAGGGATGGTAAATCAATTTATAGCGGATGCATTTTAAGGTTCAATTTTAACGTATTTTCCAAAAGCATATAGTACGTTAAAAAATCCAAAAGAAAATATATGTTAAAGGCTTTGTAATTTATTATTAAAATTTATTTTTTCGTTTATTTTTACAATTTTATTTGGCTATTTTATTTGCATTCGAACGCTGTAAGTTTTGGTTGGAAACTGCGTTTTTATCCAGACTACTTTTGTGGGACTGTATTCGAGATAGACGAGTGGCTCGATGGCTGGCCTCGCTTCGCTTCCCGCGCAGGCAGGAGCAATGCGCCGACCCGAGTGGCGCCAGCGATAGCCTTCTTGGCAAGGGTCCGTCTGCTCTCTGCTCGCAGACTGGGGCGCTGTCGCATTGCAGTATCACATACCTAAAGGTATGGGTCGACGAGAAAGATTGAAAAAAAATAATATATATATATATATATATATATATATTGAAAAGAAAAGAAGAGAATAGAGCAAAAGGCCAAGTGCGGAGTGGGGCTGTTTCTATCTGGAGCTTGACAAATTACAAGTGGCTGAGCCCATTCGGCTGTCGTCGATCCATCTCCTGGCGTGGGGCCGGCGCCGTGGCTTATTGGACGTGGCTCCGAGGCTGACGAGCTTCGGCGCGACACTGCGCTGCATTTCGCATGCACAAGCAGCCCAGCCCAGCCCGGGCCCAGATTTGTCCCCTTTGGTTCTAGCCTCCCGCCCCCCCTGCCCGCCTCCTGCTTTCGTTGGGGTGTCTTCTCTTGTTTGGCGAAGCGGCAATGAGAAATGGCCAGCACATCACACACACCGCGCATGACAGGCCCGATCCAGCGGGATATTCCCAGTTTGCAGGGCTAAGGAGGGAGGAGGAGCATAGGTACGCAGGACGCATATTCCCATCGGTCCCTGCTATAGCACTACGTGGCAACACCGGCCGCCACTATATTTCCGTCTGGGCCGCACGAGATGGCCTGCCGTCCGCCCCCATATCGGCTCGGTTGCTATTGTTGCATACTAGCACATTTTACGTAGTGCGCGTGGGTTTACCTTTCTTTGGTTTTTTTTTATACCCTCCTTTATACGCCATCGATCCCTTCCACTTTACGATAACCACCGAGAGAAGTGCCGTGGCGTATGCAGGTCCCGGCGTCATTTTGATATTGCAACACGCAATTGTGACGGGGGTGAGACGGGTGGTCTTTTGTTGAGGCTCAATTTTGAGCCCCCCTTTCCCTTCTCCCCTTGCCACCGTTGGTTGGTTTGCTCACCCCAGTGAATGGGCCCAGCCTGCAAACAGAGTTGGAAACATTGACAGCGGTCTCGACAGGGGCATCCCCCTGTCTAGCGGAGCCGGAGGGCGGGCGACTCATCCAAGGTTTTACCCTTTCCGTGGCATTTTTGCCTTTTGCTTTTTCGGTACTTCCCATCCATGTCACATGAAATTGCCAGATAGCACGCCACGACCCAAGGCTTGACTCTGGCGCACTGTGTTGTAATGGATGAATGGATAGATGCTGAGGCCGATGTCATCCCTGCTGGAGCTCCATGTTGCATTTTTTGCGTGGACCTGTCTGTCTGTTTGTCTATCCCAGAACCCCAATCTCATACTCGCCGAGATAATGTCACCTGGGCTGAACTGTTGAACTGCTGAGCCACAGCAGGCTGGTCTGACTGGCCTGGCTCCAAAGACACCCTGCGGATCTCGTTGGCAGAGACAATACGAGACATACATACACACATGGACCTCTCCCCCCTCCCTGGTTGCTACCCCGACTGCTCCTGCTGCTCCTCCTGCTTCTCAGGGGCCACAGTTTTTGCTGACGTGGAACGCAGTCGCCCGCCGAAGCCGTCTCCGAGGGTGGGTGGGGTTGGATCTGATCCCGAGCTGAATGGGGACATGGTCGGGTGGGTGGGAAACGACGAGACGAACCAAGGGAGAGGGAGGGATCGAGAGCAGCGTGTTCGACCACGAGGAAGGGTGGGGGAAAGTTGGACACTGGACTGGACAAAAGACAGTGGATGGCCAACCGCTTGTCCGAGCAGGATCAGTGCTACATCCGAAGCGGCCTAGCATGGCGGCCGGCCAGCCCAGCCAGCCTCCTGAGGAGATACGCAGATGCGACCTGTGGAGCGGGCTGGTGATCGGGCGAGTGCGTGTGCGCGTGTGTGTAATCTAGCTTGCGTCCCCCTCCGTGGCACACACGTGTGCCACCATCGTGACTTTGCCAAAGCGCTGTGCGCTTCCTTCCTTTTCTGTTTTTTGATGCGACTCGAGATTGGAGCCGCTCCCCTCCCCAGAAAGCCGCGACAGCATTTTAACCGAGCCGGTTGTGCCCACTTCAGCCGCCAATAAACGGAGCCGCTGAGCCGCAATCCAGCAGGGGATGGGTTGGCGGGGGTGGGTGTGTGTGGTGCTGCCAAATTCGAAGCAACATCAACCCACCAAAGGAACCCCCAGCACGCAAGAAAAGGCTGGGGCCGGTGTGGGCCGTAAGGTTTATTGCACGCCGTCGCCCACTGGAACATGGAAGCCAAGCTGACCATTGAACGCCAGTCGATCGGCGCATCAAGCCCCTGGAAAGAATGGGAGAGCCAGGCCTGCGTGCCCGCTGCAACCTCGAGTCACTCAGCACTGGCATGCACTATATAGGTATGTGGGCGGTCCCGACTTGTGGTTTGACGGGAACGAAGGCGCATTTGCCGTGCTTCCGCTTCCAGAACCCGTGCCGCACACAAAACCCTCCCCGGGCACTTTTTTTTTTTTGCATTCATTACCACTGGGGGACACCGGATGTTAGCTTTCCATCTGCCTGCGGCGTGCCAAGACTCGCCGGGCAGCTTGCTTGTCCCTCATCCTTTTTTTTTTTTTTTTCGAGATTGCCCCAATAAACATGCATGGAGTGGGGAGGGAGGCCCTGACGCCAGAAGGCTGTTGGCTGGCACCTGCCGCAAAAGAAAAGCATGTCCGACAGGGCGAAGGTGGACTCGGAATTTGCAACTGCACCACCGTGCGAGCTCCCCCAATTCCATTGGCAGGAAAACCAACCAAGGAAGCCCCCCGGCTTTGGGTCGGCGTCCGTGGGTACCAACCAGTTTAACGAGCTCTCTGTCTCTCTCTCTCTCCCAGACGGCGGCAAGCACCTTGCTTGCGACACAGCCGCAACGCCAAGCGCCCGCGGCCATCGTCGATGCCATGCATGCGTGCGGTCACAGGAAAGGAGGCTCCGGATGATTGCCCCGCATTGTCGTCTGCTGGGCGTTGCACGCGCCGTGCATGGTGTCCGATACACACCAATCTGTCCTGCTGCTGCTTCCAAGGGCCGGACCCCTCCTCGGCAATGCGGGCACCATGATGACCCCGCGTGCTGTACACTATATTGGCAGTGAGTGGCGAGCTTTTGTAGAACGCCTTGCTCTATTTCGCCTCTTTTGGTAGACGGGTCCCCGTGCCCAGAATCTCGATGGCGCCGTAGTAGACATACGGAGCATGCCGTAGTAGCGAGGTCGCCTGACTTGCGCGTGTGTGTGTGTATCCGGAAGTCGGGGTCGGAAGCCATGCGGCTTACGTTTCATGTCGGACTCCCAGAAAGACGGATTGGAGTGGCCGGGGGGTGCCATCTTCACCTTTATCGGCGGTAGCAAGGCAGAAGCCGTCAGCTCGGAGGAACATGGTGGGGTTTTTTTTCTTCTTTCCTTCTCCTTCTCCCTCTTGTTCTTTTTTCGGTAATCTAAGCTCGTACGCGCCCGTCCCTCGTTCTTCGGTTCGCATCGAGGTGTGCGGGGGTCCCACCACAGATAGAAGGCCGGCTATCATGTGTCCTGAATCATGTGCCGCGGCCGTGTGTGGTGCATGTTTTGCCCAAAGAGCCAAAGAGGCATTTTGAGGACTTGGTGGGCGGCCCAAGTTGTGTTGCTTTTATTCCCTTTTTGGTCGACACGACGGCCCCCCCTTGTCCATCCGTCAAGACAAACCGACACTATCGACCCTCTGGTAACAGAAATGGCGGCGTCCTCCAAGACTATGAAGGCCGTCGTGTTTGACGCGCCCTACAAGGTTTCCGTCGTAGATCGGCCTGTGCCCCAGCGTAAGAAGTATTGCCACCCGCCTCTTGATAGAAGGCTGTTTGTTGACTTATCTTGTGTCTGTGGGTGGGGGCAGTCCAGCATGATACCGACATCATAGTCAAGGTGCACGCCAGTGGCCTCTGCGGATCGTATGTAGAGAGAGGAAGTTGGTTCTTTGCCTGCGTGTTGCTTCATGTCGGCTAGCTCACACAAAACCTCGGCCTTCGTGCTAGTGAGCTCCATGCGTACCGCGGCCTCGAGCCGTGTGGGAGCGGCTTCGTCATGGGCCACGAGTTCACCGGCACCGTGACGGAAGCAGGCTCCGCCGTGAAGACGCTCAAAGTAGGAGACAAGGTGGTGGCTCCCTTCACGACTTCGTGGTAGGTCACGCCAAACCCATCTCTCACTTGCTGGCGCACAAGCTGACGGCAAGGAAACTCCCCCTTATTATTATTCTCCTTTCCACAGCCTGCAGTGCTTCTACTGCCTCAAGGGCGAGACCTCCCGCTGCGAGCAGAGCCAGCTCTTCGGCTCGGCCTCCCTGGACGGCGGGCAGGCCGAGTACGTGCGCGTGCCGCTGGCCGACGGGACCGCCGTCCGGGCGCCGGCCGAGATCCGCGACGATCGCGCCCTGGTGCTCATGGCCGACATCTGGCCGACGGGCTACTACGGCGCGTCGAGCGCCCTCGCGCTCCTCGGCTGCGACCCGCGCCGGCTCCGGGACGAGGCCGTCGTGGTCGTCGTGGGCTGCGGGCCCGTCGGGCTCTGCGCCGTCGCGGCCCTGGCCGAGCTCGGCCCGCCCAAGCACCTGTTCGCCGTCGACGCCGTCGACGGCCGGCTCGAGGTCGCGCGCGCCCTCGGCGCCGAGCCGCTCAACTACGCCGCCGACCCGGAGGGCATGCTGAGGCGCGTCAGGGAGGCGGGCGGCGGGCGCGGCGCCGACGCCGTCGTCGAGGTCGTCGGCCTCAGCCCGGCGCTCCGGACCGCCTTTGATCTGCTGCGGCCGTTTGGGGTTCTGAGCAGCATCGGCGTGCACAACGGCGAGGTGGGTTCTTGTGGCCCCTGACAAAAGTTTCGTCTCTTGCTTGTCGCGCGTGCTGACTATATATATCTATACCTATCCGGCAGATCCCGTGGACTGGTGCCGAGGGATACGAGTATGTTGAATCTACCCCAAGCCTCGAGCGTGTGTAAACGCAGCACTAACAAGCAGCACAGCAAAAACCTCCGGATCCAGATGGGGAGATGCCCGGTGCGGGGGATCTTCTCGGAGGCGCTCGAGGTGCTCGCCAAGGCGCAGGACAAGCTTGGGTGCGTTCATATCCTCGAGGGTTGGTTTGCGACCCTGCTGACCATTATTCTTAACCCGCGTCTAGCTTCATGTTCGACAAAATCATGCCGCTGGATTCGGCCGTTGAGGCCTATGACATGTTTGATAAGAGAAAGGTGCAGAAAGTCATCTTTACCCCGTAAAACCGAGAGGTACATAGTGCAAATGCCCACACCGTGGGAACGGTGGATATGTCAGGAGGCTCTGGCCAACCGTGGTGGCCGCATGGAGATGGCCAAGAGTGTACATAAAAGCAAGGCGCGCGCTGGGTACAAAAAAAGAAGGAGGTAAAGAGAATAGAGAGAATATAGACCCGGGATGCGGCTGCCTGTTTAGTTCTGCCTGGGCTTGACGATGCCGTCGTGCATCACGTAATAGGACACGGTCGAGTCGTCCTGCACGATGGCGAGTATGACGCGCTTGCCCCGTCTCGGGCCCCTCCACTGCCTCCAGACCTCGGCGTCGACGTCGGCATCCAGCTCCCCACGCGCGGCGGCGGCGGCAGCGCCACCCTCCTCCTCCCCCTCCCCGGCCGCGGCGGGCCGCGGCACGGCGGCGATGGCGTCAAGGACGGCGGCGAAGCGGGCCATGGACCAGCTCTCGGCCAGGTGCATGGGTAGCACCCACTCGGCCTCGGGCGGCTGCGGCACGCGCGCGTCGCCGCCGCGCTCCCGCTCGGCCCGGATGATGGCGATCTGCTCGTCCGGGTGCACGTACATGCGCCGCGGCGGGATGCCGCGCAGCAGCGGCCGGCGGTCCGGAGACGCCTCCTCCGCCGCCGCCACCGCCGCCCCGGAGGTGGCGTGCGCCGTCGTGACGGTGTGCACCTCGACCCCGGTCCAGTCCTTCTCGAGCTCCAGGTTCTCCTGCACCGTCTTGGCCAGGTGCAGGAGCGCGGCCTGTCTGGGCGTGTCGCTTTGGTGGGCTGTCATTTCCGGGTGAGCTTGTGGTTTTTGCTCTCGAGTCTTGGCTACAGAACTCTTTGGTTTGGCTGTTCGTTGTTGTGGCATGGGATTTTTTTCGGCTTCAGTCGTCCACGTTGAGATGAGAGGAACTTTTTAGATTGAAAACATGAATCATCGAGGTTCACGATACCACATCCACACCCATCGATAGAATCACAGTCGTAAAGTGCCTACGTCAATATCTCAACCGAGTGCGTCTGTTTATGCTTCAAAGCCAAAGGTCACGTCAAATTGAATGTGCTCTACTGCTTGCTCCCAGCCAACAAAAACGCCATGCGTGTGCTCAAAGAATAATGGCAAGGATGCTCGCCCAAATGATATTTTGCTTCCCATGGCTCCCAAAGCCGAACACCAGTCGCGACATGTTCATGCGACGGCTCCCGTTCCAACCTCCAAAAGTACCCAGCATGAAAAAGATTAACGGGCCATCATATACAGCGGTGCACATGATTTGCGCAGCCCCCGCGAACCCAACAATATTTACTAAAGAATGGCAAAGTGGTATTATATGCCCGGGCCCCTGGCTGATGGGGAGCAGCGTCGTCCGTCTGCCGTCTCCTTTCCCCTGCCACACTTAGACGGGCGGTATCTTCTCCGAACTGTCGCACGGCTTCTTCTTCTCCTTGGGCGCCTTGTCCTTCTTGTTGTTGTAATGCAGGATGCCAGCCTCCTTGTCGGTCCTTAGCTTCTCCCTGTCCTCGTCCGAGAGTGCGACACCCTCGATCGCCTTGACGGAGCTGCCCTCAGAGCCCATGATCTGCCCGCCAACCATGCCGGTAAGACATCCCAGCACCACCAGCAGGGCCGTCGCGGCCGAGGGGCGGTTGTACTTGTTCATGGCCCACATGATGGAGGCGAGGCCGACTTGGAGGAATGTGTTGGAGATGAAGAGCCAGACGACTGTGTCCAGCTTCCACAGGGGGGTCGCCGGCGCCCGCACCCCCGTGAGCGGGGCAGGGGCCATTTTGGTCTCGGGGATCGGGACGGCGGCCGCAGGGGTGCCCTCGGGGATGTTGCCAACCCCGACGTCGGTTGGGAGATTCTGGGACTCGGGCAGGCGGAACCAGTCGCTGTGGATTCCGGCGAGGTGTCGCAGGCCGTCAAAGTCGCCGCTGCAGCGGTACTTGAGGAGGTAGTACAGGTCGCGGAAGCGCCAGGGGGCCAGGCCCCATGCGAGCAGACAGAAGAGGGCGTTGAGGATCTGCGAATCGATCTCGAGCCATATTTGGCGGGGCGAGGTGTCCTTGTTCTCGCAGTCGGGATCGCACATGGCGGGGCTGGCATTGCAGAGGAGGAGGAACAGCATGCCACCCCACGCGACGACGTTGAGGCAGTAGAGAGTGATGAAGAAACCCTTCCATGTCGTCACGAACGCCACCGAGATCGACCACGCGTGTGCGCATTGCGTCTTGAAGGGGTACTTGGGCGGGAAGTGGTATCCATTCTCAAAGTCTTCCGTGAGCGGTTCGAGTTCGGGTGCGATGGCTTGGTTTTTGCGGTCGACCGGCATTTCCGGAGTCGGGGCCGTCATCGCTCAACCGGAGGCGATTAACTAGCAATGGGTTTGTCGTCGAGGCAGGGATTCAGCCAATGCGCATGCTCGATATGTAGTCGACGGGAGAGGACAATAGCGTGCGCTAGTTTGTCGACACGAATTAAACCGAACGAAACTTAGGATAAATAAGCGCGGCGAGGTAGTGTAGAAAACAAGACAGCTTTAGCTGGGTATCTGATGAGAACGGGAAAATAGTCGGCGATAGTCTCACGGGAGCTCATCTGGTTTTGTTGCTGGGCCGTGAGATTTCGTTTCCTCCCGTCAATCTCGCTCGACTGGAGAGGACGTGCTGGGCATGGAGCATTCAGGGGCCTGGGGCCGCGGGCCAGGGGGCGGGCCCCGCCTTTGGCGCCCTTTGGGTTGGTTCCAGAACAGCAGCTAGCAGGCGCAAATGACGGCTCCACTTGGGGAATCGCAAGCAAAAGACAAAAGGAAGGGAGGGCCCTCGGATTCTGGACTTGCAGCAGAACTCCGCACACACCCTCTCAAGCTCGGCAGTCCCTAGCCCGTGATGATTGGCCCAGTCAGAGAGGCCTGGCTGTGGCTTGGGCGGCAGTGACGTCGCGCCGCAGCGTCACCATCGGCGCGCCGATCCTCTAACAGACGGGCAGAGAGGAAGGGACGGAAAGAACTGGGTTTTGAAAACACGTCCAGCCAAGCAGAAGCCGCAGAGCTAGCCACTCACTGACCACTCACATTGCGTGGCCCGCAGCGCCTAAAGTCATCCAATCCCGGAACCACGGGCGCGCGTTGATGCATTGGCTGCCACCCGCCTGTGAGCTGTCCGCCCCTGACGTCAATTTCCATGTCAGACCAAACCGTGGAATGCACGCCAACAGGCAAAATCCCAAGCTCTGTCAGGAACAGGCTCGGACACAGGCGCCAGTTATTACTGTCTGTCTGCGCGCTGTTTCGAGCCAACCTGATAGCTTTCGGCCCGTCTCGTCCTCGTCTCTTTGGGTGTCTGATTGTTCTCACCGGTCAGCCTCGTCTCAAAATGGCAGTACTAGTGAAGGCAACGTTGGCGATCCTCCGCCTTGAACCAGCACTTGACGATCGCAATACGTCACCGCACTCGGAATGCTCTCGCCATCGATTCCAACACTAAGATAACGCCTGATCCCTCGTGTCTAATTTCAGAGCCCTTCATTCACCCAGTCATATATATATATATATTTGTCGTAACCATCTTTGAAATTGCCAAGGTGCTTTGGTTTGTCCGGAAACCCTCCAGTGCCAAAGAATGATACAGAGTGATAGAAGTACAAAATTCTGGCGCAGACATCCTATTCCAAAATTCGTCCACGAGGTCTGAGATCGATCGGACTCAGTGGTGCCCAACCCCGTGACTTATCTAAAGAGCAAATGGCCAACGTCAGAGCAGCAAGCAAGCAAGTACTTTGGTAGTTAAACTCCCTCTGGATATATCTCTCACTGCCAGAATCCATGGTTGGGTACTTTTCCAATTTTGTGTTGCCTCCTTTGTCACCTCACAATCTTCTATCCCGGAGCCTTCCAGGCCATATAGTCAAGCCTCGTCCAGAGGTCTTCACCGAGCGACCGAACCCGACGAGTTAACACAAGTCGACCGCCGAACACTCTTAACCTTATCCAAGCCACGAATGAACCGCAAAACTTTACCTCCCGAGGTCGACAGTTCGAGTCCCGGCAGTGATCAACCGACAACCATTAAACCGGATAACCATCACACCGACAACCATTAAACCGACAACCATTAAACCGATAACCATTAAACCGATAACTATTAAACCGATAACTATTAACCTGAAGTAAAACCCTCGGGGGATTCGTAGCTGTCCACCCCCACGAGGGCTGGACAGTGAGCTTTTGTGCACATTGTTTCCAATGCCTTTTGCTATTGTCTAGTATCCGCCTTGTTCGTGTGGTTTGTAGCTACTGCTAGTCTCTGTATAGATAGGAAGTAAGCCTTAATACGGTCTCTGCAGGAGAATCTTCGAGGTTGTGTGTGCTTCGGCGCAGCGGATGTATTGGGTTGTGCATCTCCCACGGCTCGGTCGGCCGCATCATCACAGTGGACGATTGGGCTTTTACCATTCCCGGGGCTTGCATTCCATCCTCAGGACGTCCATGGAAGATCCTCAATCTTCGTGCCAGCCGGCCTGTCTGTTGGAGAACGTTTAGTTGCTATCATTCGACAGTGCCCTAGGAGAAGCTGGAGAAGTTCGATGCGCCGTGTAAGCTGGCGTTTCTGGTTGGCCGGAGTCCGCGGTCATGGCATCAATTGAATTCGCAGCCGCTCTGAATTGCCGGGGAAGCGCGGACCACCTGGCTCGGTCTGGGGGAAAAGGCGGGTCAAAGCTTGACGAAGGGGTGCCGAGGTTGACGGGCCCGGCTATCAATTCGGGGAGCGTATCATCGTTGCGCCTTGTCATGGATGGCCAGCGGGGCCAGCGCTATCTTATATACTTTCCATGGGCACTTGCTTTCAACTACTTGTTTCAATGTCCATCTCGTAACCGTCCGTCGCTGTCGGTATTTTCTTTTTCGCTGGCGTAAGCAAGAGTCCTCCTGTCGACCCCATCCACGCGCCAATTCCACATCTCACATGCCTCGGGACCAGTGAGCCGAGTCGCACACCCATCGAAAAACCGCCGCCCGGCTTCGCAACCGCCAACCCGCCAAAAGTTCCTACACCGGTTCGATTTCCTTACTCCTCGACTCCCGCAAAGACAAGACGCATTCCCAGCACGAATTGCCTAGAAGGATCAAGGACGGTCGGCCCCGGGAATACAAGCCCGTCGAGTGAAAAGGAGCCGCCCCTGCAGCGCCTTGCCTAACGCGAACCCCAAGAGATGGCTGCGCAAGCAAAGTCGGCGCCGATCGGGCCCTGGGGCCGGGCAACCGCCGGAGCCGCCGGAGCGGTCCTCGCCAACGCCCTGGTGTATCCCCTCGACATGTAGGAGTTTTCCGCGCCCCGAGACACGGAACCGCTGGGCGAAGATTGCCGCGGAGATGACCAATGTGGCTGACTGGCGCGCGCCGACAGTGTCAAGACTCGCCTCCAGGTCCAAAGCAAACCGAAGCCCGGAGACGGCTCCCTCGCCGACGCCGAGAACCCGCACTACGCCTCCACGTGGGACGCCATCACCAAGATCGTGGACAAGGACGGCCTCGAGGGCCTGTACGCGGGCATGAGCGGGGCGCTGATCGGCGTGGCCTCGACCAACTTTGCCTACTTCTACTGGTACTCGATCGTGCGGGCGCTCTACCAGCGCTCCGCCGGCGGCGCGCCGCCGTCGACGGCCGTGGAGCTGTCGCTGGGCGCCGCGGCCGGCGCCGTGGCGCAGCTGTGCACTATCCCCGTGGCCGTCGTGACGACGCGCCAGCAGACGCAGAGCAAGGAGGAGCGCAGGGGCCTCGTCGAGACGGCGCGCGAGGTCGTCGCGAGCGAGGACGGTGTCTTTGGGCTCTGGAGGGGGCTCAAGGCCAGCCTGGTCCTCGTCGTGAACCCGGCCATCACGTATGGCGCCTACGAGCGGCTCAAGGTCGTCATATTCCCCGGCAAGACCAACCTGAAGCCCTGGGAGGCGTTCGGTAAGCTTACATGACCGGGAAGTTCTGACAGCCACCAGGCAGCTTGTACTGATATGATCCGATGTGATCCATCGCAGTTCTGGGCGCCATGTCCAAGTCCCTGGCAACGCTCGTCACACAGCCGCTTATTGTCGCCAAGGTGGGTTTGCAGTCGAAGCCTCCCCCGGTCAGGAACGGCAAGCCGTTCAAGAGCTTTGTCGAGGTGATGCGCTTCATCGTCGACAATGAAGGGCTCCTAGGCCTATTCAAGGGAATTGGCCCTCAACTTCTCAAGGGCCTTCTGGTCCAGGGCTTCCTCATGATGACCAAGGAAAGGTGAGGAGAGACAAGCGAACTGAACGCCCGCCATCCCTAGAAGTGTACCCACCTAACTAACCATCATTTCTTGCCTCCCAGGGTGGAACTCATGTTCATTCTGTTCCTGCGCTATCTGCGCGGTCTCCGGTCGGCACAGCTGGCCAAAGCGAAGGAGCTGGCGGCAACAGCCAGCACAGCAGCCGCTAGCAAAGTGTCGCCCATCGTCGTGAAATAGCGGCGCCATGGGTTTGGGTAAGCGTGCAGACTAGAGAGGTGTCTGGTCTTGGTTTTCTTTTCTTTGTGGTTTAATCTGTGCATCTTCTCTGTCCACATAAGCTAGAGAGCGAGTAGATCATTTGGCGCATACAATCTAGTACATCGTAAAATGCATATCTCGCTAGGCGAGAATCTGCAGTCGTTTGAAAAGGAACTTCTCCATCTTTTGGTTCTGACGGCACATGAAAACATGCATTGTGAATAGCATCACCTTCCTCAGTCGGCACGTCAGTGGGTCATTCGCAGGGCTTGTGTCGCCCCGTGAAGTGTGGCTTGACCCAGTCCAGTCAATGGAGTCCAGCGAGGCCCGTGCGTCGCCGCACAGCCACATTAGGGCCGAATTTTGCAACCACCACGCCCACAGATTGCTGCAATTCCTGCGACCGCGACAACTCAATCTTCGACCAGAAGACTCCCCACCTCCGAAATCCCTTGAGAAGATCGGAAGCACACATTCACAATGGCCAGTATGTATATCCCTCTGCTCTTGGATGCTTTTCTGCTTGCGAAGATCTCCTGGGTTCGCTGACATTTTGGCGCTTCCCTTTTCTGCAGAGTCCAAGAACTCGTCCCAGCACAACCAGTCGCGGAAGGCGCACCGCAACGGGTAGGTTTGACGAAACCCCGACGACCTCACACCTCCCACTTCCCATCGAGTCACATTGCGACGAGACAAAATCGAGCTGGGCGATTCCAAATGGACCGGAGGGTGGTTGATTTGGAATAGGGCGCTGCGGGCGCAATCTATCCCCAGACCGCTGGCTAACAGTCCCGATCGCACTGCAGTATCAAAAAGCCCAAGACTTCAAGATACCCGTCGCTGAAGGGTGTCGACCCCAAGTTCCGCCGCAACCACAGGCATGCCCTGCACGGCACGGCCAAGGCCCTGGTAAGGGAGTCCATCACGGGCCAAGCTTTCCGCACAGCCTGGCCCTCGTCCCCTCCAAGATTGGCTAGTCTTTGCTGACCCACGCTGCAGAAAGAGTTCAAGGAGGGCAAGCGGGAGACGGCGTGATTTTCCTCTTCGGGAAACGAAAGATACCTGGCGAGATGATGGACGACGACTAACGGCAAACAACGGGAAACCTGGAACGGAATAAAAGGCATGGGGCGGCGGGCACTCATGGGTTTTCTTCCCGCCTCACCTGGAGTTTTTGACGAGCTTTTTTCTCTCTTAGGGGCAAACAAACTTGCATTTCTGAGAAGTTCGCCGTCGTGCGGATGCCGCTTGACCCGAGCGCTGCAGACTCCTGCCCAGGTAGGCTGGTCAGCGCATGGTGATGTCGACAACTCCCGACCCCTTGATATCCCCTTGCCACCAATCCCCTCAACATCCCACCCCCGACCCCCGACAAAGGGTCACCTTCCTGGAAGGTGAACTCTCGAAGACGGCATTAGTGTGTACAGCACAGAGCCTATTTCCATGCTCGCCTTGCTGAAGGAAAATTATCGTGCCAAGATCAAACCCCAAGTCCGCCTATTACCAAACACTTCAGGCTGCAGTTCGTCTCCACGGCCGCGGTGCATGAATGGCGGACTACATATATCACCAAACTCTCCCCTCTTGACATGTTCTGCGTGACCGACGCTTCCACGACTCATCGTGGACAAATTTGGAACAGCAGGATGCACGGCTCGTCAGGCCATAGTATCTTGCTGATGATAGAGTGAAATAAATGAATGATAACATTATTTTACACACCTAGCCTTGAGATACACGGGAATGAAAATGGTTGATATCTGAGTTCGGGTGATTCTAAGGTCATAGCTTTCGTTTCTATGCATCTTGTCTGATCGGAGAAGACATGCCAAAGCAAGAGAGACTATCAAAACATCAATGGATAGAACAAGAACATATACCGGCAAGACACGTACGTAGCAGACACCTTGTCATTAGGCCTGTCACAAACATCTTAGAATCAGGAGTTGTCTCAGCTGGAGGCAGGGTAGTTGAATGGAACCAGGACACCACTAGGAAAGGGCTTCGAGTCATCTGAGTCGAGAGCGTCCGTAGACTTCATCTGCCGATGGTTCCTCGGCAACTGGTGCGCAACCCCCCAACTCGGCATCACAGAGGTTGGTATCTCAGGCTCAGCTAGGGATGTCTCTGAGGCTCGGGGCCGCAGTGCACGTAGGTACATGTAGTACGAAGCCGACGGGACACATGGAGAAACACAGCATCATTTCGTTGCGACGACTGAACTGGCCGGGTTGCTACATGGGCATGTTGAAACCTGCAATACAACTCGGTGCGTATCAGGCCATCTCGGAGAATTTCCTGTCGGAACAGCCATACGTGGCGTTCTTCCAGATTTGAGGACTGCGGCTCCATTTAGGGGAGGACGGTACACGGACCTCCAGCTCAACGTGGACTGCATGGTGGTCGAGTCGGGGGATAGTCCAAGGCCCACACCCACCTGTCCGGCTGACACGGCATCAGATTTGACCCCCGTGAGCAACAAGCAGCAGCGGGCGGGCAGACGGCCAGCCAGTTCTTCCTCGGCCGCGCGAGTGATGGATGGATTGATTTGGTCGGATGCACGCAGCCCCCTCCTCGGGAAGCGGTGCGGCACACTTTTAGCGCCGCATGGAAGCCTTCGCTTCAGCCCGAGGGCACACCACCCAATCTGTCTGCGCCCGTCGCCCTTTCCCCCACGCCAGCCAGTCCGGCGAGGTGAGACGAGAGCTTGGTTTGCAGGCCGCAGGTTTCCGATAGGGCGGGTGGTGGCGAACCGATGCTGGACCGGCTCGGCCAATTGTATTGAACTGTCGTCCCCTCTCCCCTTACCAGAGACAATGGGAAATAGGAGGCGAGGAGGTCCCGGGCAGGCCGCCCGCTGGAGGCTCAGCAAACAAAACGGACTGGTTTGGGTCGGGCAAAGTTAAAAAAAATATGGGATGAGGCCCTGGCTCGATAGGTATATTTTAATCGCCCCCCTGGCGAATATCAAGCAGAGGTGGCTGGAGACGCGAGGCGCGTTTGGCTTGCTTTGACGTCGGTCCTGGACGGCGGCACGTTTGGCACGTTTGGCACGCGGATTTCCGCCCGTCTGCCTGGGCCCGTGTTCTGGCATTTCTGGCCTTTCGTGTCCCTTTCGAGACGTGCGCCTACTGGTGGGTGGGGAGAGGGTCTGTGAGGCATGTAGAGTTAAGGGGTGGGAGGAGGGCTTGATGCCTCTTCAGGCAGTCTTCTCGAATCAAAACCTTGCTCTAACCGGAGCTACCGCCAACCACCGGCTCTTTCCACTCTGCCTTCCATCTGACGCTCGCTCCACCTGCGCTGCATCCACGCGGAGGAGCTCCGATGTAGGTAGGTGGTGGGAAGGTGTGTGTCGGTGGACAGCTGGTACCTCTAGGTAGGCAGGTAGGTACGTACCAGGCGCCCAGCACCAACGCAGGAAGGTTCGCCGTCGCTCGCCAGGACTGTGGTTAAGATAAAGCCTCGCTAACTTTATAACGATACACACAGCCAGCGAGACTAGGCCCCCGAGACGATATCTATCAATAGAAACCTTGGGCGTTTGCCCTCGGCGCGCCTTGAGACGCCCGCGCGATCGCAGGAGCACGCACCACCCCCTGGCGCGCCCCTAAGTCTTTGCCCGTATTGGAACCGTTTACCCACCGGGCCAACCCATCCCAGTCCCAAAAAGGCACCAACCCCAGTCGTGCTCCCCTTCAATTTTTCTCTTCGCAGGCCCCCGCAGCCCCTCTCGCGCGCTCCACCCTCAGGCGGCTTACCTTAGCACGCTGGGCCCCTGGAACGGACTCGTAGCTTCAACCAACCCTCCGTCCCTCGCTCTCTTTTCTTTTGCCGACTCCCTCCTCCCGCCGTTCTTCTGCAACGTCGCAGGCGCTTCGGCACGCAGTCAACCGTCAGAGTACCGATAGAAAGTATCACTGCCGAGCGTCTCAGGACCTCGAGTTCCTTTCTTCCTTCTTTTTGGGACCAGGCTCCTTTGAGGTCAGCCGCTGGCTGCTGCAGGAGTGCTTGGTTTCGTTTTTTTCTTCTTTTCTTTCTGTCTATGCGGCTCTTCTCAGCTCTCGCACGCAGGATTAAGAGCAAAAAAAAAAGATCACCCAACAACCCCTCTTGGTATTTAATACAGACGACCGCGCGCACCGCACCGCTTCCCGAGACAACCTTTTAATTTATACTCGCCCATCCCGCAACCACCACGAGGCACGCCGGTACCCCGAGGTCCGCAGCCTGGGTACACCCGGATCGGCCATCTTTCTTGGATTGGTTTGGTTCCATGCCGGAGCATTGATCGATCTGGAGTGTCACAGCGAAACAAGTAGAGTGTCTTGTCACGGCCCCAACAGCCTACACCCTCCGCCAATTTCTCGAACAGCCTTCCCACGCTGTTTCATATGCTGCCCACCGCAGCTCGGCCCTAACCCGACCCGCTTCGACCCTCCCTCACCCGCCTGTCACCAACACTCCCCTGCCCTTCCCGTCCTGAACTCCCTCAGAGAGCCCAGTGTGTGCCTTGACTCCCGGACACGACACTCCTTATCCGCCACAACCTCGCCCTCACGCCCATCTCTCTTCGTCGAGCTGCCGGCACAAGAGGTTACCGACCATGTCAAACCCTCATCTAGCCAGCAACCGGATGAGCACACCCGAGGCCTCCAGCACTCATAGCGCCAGCAACAGGATGTCTACCCCCGAGGCATCCAACATCTCTTCGCTGCGCCCTCCCTCGGCGCGCGCCGTCGGCACTGCCTCGCACCTTCGCGCCTCAGCCGACGTCGCCGCCCTGACGGGTTCGTCGGCCGTCCGCGCCGGCAATGTCCGCCCCTCGTCCGACTTCTACGCTGGAGCGGGCACCGAGATCGATCCTCAAGACAAGATCGCCCAGCAGTGGATCGCCGACATCGACCAGTATGAGACCACGCTCGAAGAGATGGCTGCGGCAACATTGGACCAAGACTTCAAGGATGAGCTGAGCGCCATAGAACAGTGGTTCCGTGTCCTTAGCGAGGCTGAGCGGACCGCTGCTCTCTACGCACTGCTGCAGCAGACCACCCAGGTTCAGATTCGCTTCTTCATCCAGGTTCTGCAGCAGATGGGCAAGAACCACCCCATGTCTGGCGTTCTCTCTCCGGCAAGCTTCGACAAGGGTATGTCAACCACCAGGCCCCCTTGGGGCCGTCGAGCCTTCGCGCTATGCCATGTTGCAGCAGCTGACGCAGAACGAGCACAGATCCCATGTCGAACCGCCTTAGTGATGCCATGAACAAGTTGAATGTTGGCGGCGACTCTGCCCGGAACTCGATGGCGCGGGCTCCCGCCTCGCAGGCTGCTAAGCGCCAGTCGGGCCTCGATGCCTCGACTGTTAACGCCATGTTCCCAGATGCCGCTGCTGCCATCGCTGCTGAGAAGGCTAAGTTCACTCAGCAGACAGGCAACCAGCCGCCCTCGAACCGCAACAGCACCGTGGACAACCGCAGCTCGCTCGTCGCGAACGCTGCCGAGACTGGTGAGGCCGGTACCCCGGGCCAGAACCCCGCGTCCCCCTGGGGCAGCGATCCGTCTCGCGCCAAGCCGGCCGCTGCCGGCCAGACCCCCATGGGTCAGTTTGTGCAGCCACCACCTTCCATTGGGGCTACGCTGCGGTCCCCGCGCCCTGGTCCGCTCACGGGCAACTCGATCCAGAACACGACCCTCACGGCCGGTGACAAGTCGGCTGCCGAACTGGGAGTTGCCTCTCCGTTTGGTGGCCCCAGCGGCGGCAACTGGGCTTCCATGGTCAACACCCCCATGAACCCCAACTTCCCTCAGGGTCAGGGTGGAGTAGGCCAGGCCGACATGCTTGCCAACGCTACTGCCATGAAGCTTGCCGCCATGTCTACCGTGAACAACCGCTTCGCGCTCGACGATGTCCGGAAGTACCGCCGCGCCCGCTCCAACGACGCCCCCGGCAATGGGCAGGGCGGCCTCTCTCCTGGCATGCAGGTTCCTGGTGCCAACGTCGTTATGATCGATGAGCACGGCAGGGTCTTGAACCGCGACCAGATCCTGGCCATGCAGGGCCAGCAGAACATGTCGTTCAGCAACCGGTCCCGCCCCAACTCTCCTGGCATTGCGCTCCAGCAAGCTGGCTTTGGAGGCATGGCTTTCTCGCCCTCGAACAATGGCTTCCTTCTCAACCCCATGAGCGGCGGTCTTACTCCTCTCCCTCTCGGCCACATGGGTATTATGCCTCCTGAGGGCTACCTCTCGGATCACTCCGAGATGACTCGTGGTCGCTCGCCGCGCGGTCGCCGGGGTAGCTCCAAGCCCCCAGAAGACCCTACCGACCCCACCCTTCTCCAGGACATCCCGGCCTGGCTGCGGAGTCTGCGCCTGCACAAGTACACGGATAATCTCAAGGACATGAAGTGGGTCGATCTCATTGAGCTTGACGACAAGCAACTGGAGGACCGCGGTGTCAATGCTCTTGGGGCCCGGCGGAAGATGCTCAAGGTGTTCGAGCAAGTCAAGGGTAAGATCACCCCACAACCCGCTCCCCCCGCTCACTCGGCCCTTGTATCGGTCAAAGTTTGCTAACATACGCATCTATTCCCTTCTCTACAGAGGCCAAGACAGAGGGCCGCCTGGCTACTTAAGCTTGCTATCGTCTTTGCGTGTACTCGTTATACTCTTTATTTACCCCTTTTCAATATATCATAGACAGCACAGCGATTTACTCTTCCACCCCATTACTATTCGTATTCTATCTTCTCTTCTGGCATCCGCACTCTCATACAGACGATGGCATTAACACACGGCGTCCCTCGAGGTCGTTCGGTCATCTCACCTCTTTGCCGAGCATGGGGGTCCCTAGCATGACCTTGTATACCCTTCCAAAAATTCTTGGCTTCACCACCTCATCGTCGTTTGGTCGAGGTGGCTGCAACTTTGGGGAGCCACTCACCTTTTCGATTATATGCGAATGCGGGGGTCGCGACTGGAAACTTTGCCGGCGCAGAGACGTCTCGCGTCCTTCTCGCACTTACCCAGGCGTCCTTCACACATTTTGTGCGCTCGTCGAAGACTCGTCTTGTCACTTTTGTGCTGGAAAGAAGGAAGTTGGTTTCGGATCTCTGGGACGCATCACGATCGGGGAATGGCGTGGGCGGGAAAGAGCGGAAAAACAAGGGGGGAAATGGTGCCATCTATTGGTGATCTTGGGTGCTTATTCCTGTTCCCTGTGAGGAAAGGAAGCGAAAATAGCGGACTCGGCGGCAAACGAATATTATACGGTGGATGGAGTCGATGATGATGGCATGGACGGAAAACGTTTCTCTTTGGCTTAGGTTCATTTTCTTGGTCACCTACCCTAGCGTGTATCTGGCGATAGCTTCCATGTTGCTCCCGAGTTCGCATGGCTGAAATCTAGAACCTCTTTTTGTCTATGGAACTCGAGCTGCGTGTTGGAGCAGCCGAGCTGTGCCTACACAAACTAAACATGTCGCTTTGACTTGAGTGTGTTTTGGCTCCTCCCACCTGCTCCGATGCAAGGCTCGTGGACAACACGTATCCCAAGAATAGAGGCTCAACTGGATCCGTTCGCCCCCATGTCAGCTTTGAACACAAACGCCCCCCTTTCTGTTCCTCGATACCCCCACCCACCCGCTCACACCCAAAAAGATGAGGATACCTATCAACTGCCACCGTTTGTCGCCTCGTCCGAGGCTGGTGCGCGCTACGTCGTCACTAGCAGCCGAGAGGAGAAACGAAAAAAAAAAAAATATAAAAAAAAATATGAGAGCGACAGACAAGGGGGGAAAAAATGACAAAAAAGATCCCTGGGGCAAGGGTCGATATTTTTGGATGATGCGCACTAGGGGTCCCGCCCTTTGCCGTGGCCCCAGGGCAGCTTGGCGACAAAGGTGTGACAGAGTTCCGCAAGCGCGACCCCTGACGACGACAGACGGGATCGGCCACCTTGGGCATAAAAACTATTATTATCATCCGGCTGCGTGGCCCATATCCGTGCACACGCCATTTCATTTACATAAAGCCGAATGTGGCGGGTTGTTTCTAACTATGACCTATCTGGGAACGCTCTGGTGGAGGACCATCGCTTCCCCCAGTGGGATAAGGGTTGGACACAGAGCAGAAGGCGGATCAAGATGGAAAAAAAAAGAGGAAGTAAGAAAGAAGAGAGATGAAGGAGTGCTAGAATCTAATTACAATGCATCAGTCTCACGCTCGGCGCCATCTTGTGTTACAGCCCCTGAACTGAAAAGCAGGGGGAAACAGCTCCCCCGTCCCCATCCTCCCGCTTCAATCGCCACACAGCCTCCCAACTATCCAGTCGTAGTAATAGGCGTGCCAGTACCGGCCCGTGGCCCAGAGCGCCAGACCTCCAAGGACTCCTATACTCCCCAGGACCTCGAGTGCAACCCAGCCCTTAGCTCGGAATTCGGCCACCAGTTCGATCAGGCCCAGCGGGTCTGCGGCGTCTGGGGGCGAGGGGCGGCGCCTCATGATCTTTGTCGGACCCGGGGATGCACTAAACGCGGAAGTGGACGCTAACGCACTGCTGAGATGTTGCGGGTATCGAAGGGCACTTCTGCCATGGTTGTTGCCGACGCCAGCGTTGCCAACCCTGCCACCACGCACTGGCGCCAAAGTGCCATCCTGGACACACTCTCCTAGACGCTCGGTCAGCCAGACAGCGCGCTCCCCCCGTGCGATGTTTTCGTAGCGTGCCCGCTCATTGGCTAGACTTCGCTGGAGGTCTGCGGCCCAGCTGGCCAGTCGCACCTGAGCCAGCTGCTCCTCGCGCTTGTTTGCGGGGAGGAGAGCCATTGCTGTCTCTGAGCCTGATCCGGCCGGGCCAAGGAGTGCCCGCTGCTGGCTGTTTCTGTAGTCTGCCGTGGCCATACCCCCAGTTGGAGGAGCTCCAGGGACACTCTGGGACGGATTTGGACGTGGGGTAGCGGGTACAGCTGCAGGTGCCGGGGGCCATTGGTGCAGGGGCCGGTACAATGCCTGCGGCTTGGATGCGTGCTCGCCCGAGCGCCACTGAAGGTACTTCCGCGCCGCCGAGTGTCGTAGCCACGAGGCCCCGTCCGAACTGAAAGCCTGCCGGACTAGCACATCTAGCTCCGATGGTAGCAAAGGTTGGACATAGTCTGGGCTCATAAGCAGGCTCGCTTCCATGACGTCATTGTCGGAGCCGGTGGCGCTGGATACCGCATAAGGGAGTTGGGCACCTGCGTCGAGAGGCGACGCCGAAAAGTCGAATGGCCGCACCCCGGCAGCCTGTAGCTGGCTCACAATCCGGTCTTTGCTGGGTACAAGCTGGCCCAGGGGAACGGTGTCTGAGCGAGCCAGCAGCGGTATAACGTTTGTCAGGGGGGCGAGCAGCCGAAGATATTGCAGATCAGCCGGTTTTATATCTGACAATGGGTCCGATAGGTGGTTAGAGATAGGTATGGGGTTGGCATATTGAGCTGGAGGAGGTGGTGGATATCCGCAGGCTTACCACGGGAAATCAAATAGAACACGACATCGACCTGAGAGCCACCTTCGCCGCCCAGCAAGGCAAGCAGGTCCGAGTCGCTGAGCGAGTTGGACGACATGCGCTCTAGGTGGGACTCGACATATTGCACCACAGGCATAACGTTTTGCAAAGACTGTTGGACGGTTGTACCAAGAGTTAGCAGGGATCCGGCTGGCCGGTACGGGGATACCAGCATCAACGGTATGAAATGGGGCAGGGACCGATGATCACTAACCTGGGATGAGCCGGCTCGGAACCCAGGGGTATCAACAAAGCAAATATTACGATCCAGGACGCTGTCACCTAGGCCCTTTCTCAGTTTCTGCACACGGGACGGGTCGTCGCCCAAATCGGTCCACCAGTCTGGGTACGCCTTGGTGCTGCCATATATCTCGGTCACGCGGTCGGTGCTGCCGCTGGAAGTCTTTGATTGTGAAGATTGAGACTTGGATTTGGCACCCCTGGAAGTAGTCACATCGGCCGAAATAGCATCAGGAACGTGAGGGTTGATGGGGTCCACGTGGACGATGTGCTCGCATATCTGCACAATGGCTTTGATCAAGGATGTCTTGCCGATGCCTGTGCCGTATCATCAGAAATTAGCTTTGGTTAATCCGCACGTTGAAATCGAGGGGCTATAATTGCGAAGGCGAGGCCGAATGTCGGTGAGGCATACCAGATTCGCCAGCAATTAGGATCTTGAGCCGGCCGATTGCCTTGCCCTCTGGAGAAAAGGGCCTACGACTGGGCATCTTGATGCTGGGCATAACAAGCTGCGGAGAGCTACCGTTGTCCTCCATGCTGGCGATGCCATCAGGGGCCTCCTGCACGCTAGCACTGGCACCATCGTCTGCCACGTCATAGGCCTCGTTGGTGTCAGCGATACTGGCGATGTCGGCCTCGGAAAACTCGGAAAACGAGTTGCGGCGAGAGGATATGCCGCTAAAAGCCGAGGCGGGGCCCGAGAGGCCGGGCGCGGAGAATGGCGTCAGGGGGCGCGACGAAGGCGGCTGGGATGACTTGTGCGGGGAGGAGGTGGGCGAGGCCAGTGTGCGTGACAGCATGTCGTGCAGGGGCTCAAGAAGGGGAGGGGAGGCGGAGCGGGAGGACCCGTACCTGCCGCCGAAGCCGAAGCCGAAGCCGAAGCCGGGGCCGGGGCGGGAGGGGGGCAGCGGAGTCGTGTCGGCGGGTGGGACGGAGCGGGGTGGGAGCGCTGGCGGTGGCGGACCCCCGGGGGAGTGGGGAGGATACTCGTGGGGGTGGTGGTGGTGCGTGTCCTTGGCGGCCATGTCGGAGCGTTTGCGCAGGTCGTGCCTCGGCCTGGTGAAGGCGGCAAGCGACTGCTCGAGCGACGCGTTCAGGGCGGCCTCGTCGGCAAGGCAGTACGACATGGACTGCGGGCCCGAGACCGAGTGGAACGAGGACATTCCAAGCAGCGCGTCGTCGTCCGTCGACGAGCGGGCGGGGGACCGCCCAAAACCGTCCGTCGGGCGCATCTTGTGAGGATCTGAGGGGGGCGGTAATTTGTGTTTATTGACAGTGAATATTGAGGTAATGCGATTGGAAGCGCGGCAGAGTCTACATGGTTTTTCTTTTGGGTTTGGCTGCTGTGGCGGTTCTGAACAGCAGGCAAAGGGGCAGGAGGAAGTTTGTTGGGGAGATGAAGGAACACCGAGAGCACTCCTTGGGAGAGGTGAAGTCGAAAGCGACGCCGGCCGCTAGCGTGTCAAGGAATCAGCACGCAGCCACCCCGTCGTCGCTGCTCACTGTGATTCGCAGTGCCACGGCAGCGGGTTATCGGCTGATGTGCGACCGCGTGAGGGGTTGGCAGAGCTCCGAATGGGAAGCCGCGACCCTGGCAATGGCAAAGCTTGGGGCGCCATAGGAGGTGACGCTGCTGCCCGCCCGCTGAGTGGCCGCGCCCACCCCGTCCGTCGGTGGGGCCCGCGCTGCATCATGCCTAATTCATGCGCGCTTGCCATTTCAGGCTTGATGTCAGGTCAGCTGGGCCGCTCTTTCCGAAGATCTCTTTGTGCTAATCTCTGGGCACCAACTGTGCCAGGCGGAGGGAGGAGGCACCGGCGGAGGAGCGGTGGGCAGCAATGGCAAGTGGAATGGGAACAAGAGAAAGAAATAGGAAGTGCATGTTGTGAATGACCATTGATTTATTCGGGAGTGTAACGAGACCTGCATAGTCGACAGCGGCCACTTCCCACCAATGGCGGCCGACCGACCCTCTTAGTCTGGGCCAGCTTGGGTTATGTACATCGAGGATTCTTTGTAGCAGTATTATCAACAGGTACAAAGGTGAGCGCTGTGGAGCTGCTTGAATCTTCCTAGATCCTTATTCAAGGAGCCGGCTGGTCGGGCCGGCCCTCACCGCGGCCATCATTTCCATCGTGCCCCCTCGCGCTCCGCCTCGAGCCGCCGCATGCGATCCTCCTCGTCGCCGACCGAGACGACCTCGCCCCGTCGTCCCTTGCGCCGGCTCCGCTTGCTGCTCGAGTCGCCGCCATCGTCGCCCCCGCCGCGGCTGCGCTTGCTACCGCTGCTGCCGCCGCCCGCGAGCCCGGCCAGCTTCTGCGCCTCCTTCATGAGCCTCTCGCGGTTCCGCTTCTCGCGCTCCTCGGCGTGCACGTCCCGTGCCGCCGTCTTCGCGCCCGATGCTGACACCTGCGAGTCCCGACGAGAGGCGTGGTCGCGGTCTCCACTCCCAACTGTCGCGCTTTTGGAGCTGACGCCCTTGATCTCGAAGCTGCGCGCTTTGCCGCCCATCAACGGCGGTGCCTCCACAGCGCTGCTGGGTGCCGACCGGCTCTCGCGGTGGCGGTGGCGGTCACGCTCCCTGTCCCGACCCTCGTCGCCGCGCTCGCGATCGCCCTTGCCGTCGCGGTCCCGGGCACGCTCACGATCTTTGGTGTCGCGGTCTTTGCCCCGGTCCTTGGCCCTATCCCGACCCTTGTCCCTGTCGTGGTCTCGGTCCCGCCGGGACGACGTCTTATGCCTGTCTCGGCCGCCTCTATCGCGATCTCGGTCTCGATCTCGGTCCCTATCCCGATCACGGTCCCTATCACGGTCCCTGTCGCGTTCCCGGTCACGATCCTTGGTGTCGCGGTCCCTTCGCCTATCGGAATCTCGCTCTCTGCGGCTGCTGCGGTGTCCAGAACGACGGGAGTCATCAGGTGATGCCGACCTTGACCGCGAGTCTGGTCTTGACTCGGCCAAATCGTCAAATTTCCCGTCGCGGGATCTCGCAGACTTGGGCTCATCCTCAAATCCGTTTGAGATACTGTCCTTGTGCCCGTGCCGATGACTGGAGCGCCCGCCATCGGCCGTCGCGGGCGGTGAGCCAGAGCGATGCCGCCTGCTGCTACGCTTGTGGCCACCCTCCTTGCGGTCCCGGCTCCGGCTCCGGCTCTTGCTGGATCGTGAGATGGACCGAGCTCCTCTCCTTTCACGCTCTCGGTGGTTGTCTCTTTCCTCCGTCGGGTTGGTGACATCGCCTTGGGAGTCACGGTCGCGTAGCTCTCGGTTTCGGTCCCGTTCTTTTGACGATCGGCGGCTCCTGTTGTAGCGGTCTTCCTTACTGTCACGACCGCTATCCCGCGGTTGCTGGTCGGTAGTGGTGTTCCGTCTCGGGTCGAGTGACCCGCTACGGGACCTCAGTTTGTCACCACCACAACCAACCGGACTTGCCTGCCCATTGGCCATCATTGGGTTTTGTGGGCTATCATCAGGGCCAATGAGCCCACGGGCCTTGAGGTGGAGGAGGCTCGTGTTAGGCAAGCCTTGCCTCATGGCTTTCGGCCCCGAGGGCGCATTCAATGGCACATGGGGAGCGGAGGGTCCTGGCCGGTGCGGGAACTGCGCGCCATAAGAATCACTTAGAGCGGGAACAGGTCGGAGAACACCGTCCGAGGTTTTGTTGTCGCCCACGGCCGACCCGTTGGGGGCGCCAGTGGCGTCCGAGACATCGTTACCGGCCATGCTAGAGCCCCCTCCGCCGTCACCACCACCTTGCCCCTCTCCGTTGTCGGATTTGCCCGGCTGCTCAGATCCTTGGTTGGTCCCCTCGTCCGGAGCGGTGCTACCGTCACCTTCGGGCTTTTGACTCGCGGGGCGTATGTTGCGACCAAACTCGTCGACTCCGGAGCCCGTCAGCTCCTTAGCAGCAGAGTCACGTCTCTGACCCGCGGGGTACCCGCCATTTGCGTCTTGCTGACCCATGCCCATGCCCTGGCTGTAGCCTTGCCCTGAGAAGTGCTGCTGCGCATTATAGCCACCATTCTGGTGGTTCTGGAAGCCGTCGTTCGCGGGACCGTTGCCGAAGCCGTTTCCGCCATAGCCGAAGTTCCCGCCACCCCGGCCGTACCCATATCCGGCGTTGTTGCCGTTGTTGAAAAACCCTCGGCCTCGGCCGCCTCTGCCACCACGGTGGAAGTTGTTCTGGCGGTAATTAGTGTATTGGTTCTGGTGACCATAGTTACCCTGATTATAGCCAGAGTTGAAGCCGGCCGAGTTCAAGTTGTTTCCATAATCACCATTGCTCATGCCCGAAGCATTCGGATGACTGAAATTATCTTGGCCGCCACCATTCCACGACTGCTGCTGCTGTTGCCAGTTATCATTGGATCCAGAGCCGGCGCCCATGCCGCCGCCACCGTTGAAACCGCCCATGCCCATGCCGTGCATCCCCACGCCTTGCGGCCCGAAGTTACCGTTCATGTACATCATGGGGTCCATGCCGGACATGCCTAGATGGGTGCCGGGGTTCTTGTCAGCACACGAGCGCATGGGTGCGTTGGGTGAGGAGGCCATATTTCCGGTGTGTCCTCCGAGTTGCACGGGGCGGGGGTAGGAGAAGGATGGGAGTGCTGGTGATGGTGACGGGGTCCATGTCGAGGGGGTCTGACCCATCATTGAGAAGCCGCCAAATCCAGATGGCATCATGCCGTTCTGCATCGCCATCATCATTTGCATCTGATTCATATCGGCGCCGCCAAAGTTCATGTTTGGGAACCCTCCATTCCCGAGCCCGAAGCTAGGATTGAGATTACTCGACATTTGTGTAGTCCCCTCTCCGTCCTCAGCGCTCTGCTTTGACGGCTGTGCGCCCTCTCCCTTGGAGTCTTCTTTCGATGCCTCTTCGTTATCTTTCTCGGGCTCGGCTGCCTGTGTGTCTTGGCCGGCCGCTGGTCTCGTCTCGGGGTCGGCGTCCTGCGTCTCGCTGTCAGTACTTGCTCACACTTGTCGAGGGCGGGCCAGAGGCGCGTTGGGCGGAACATGGGCTTACATTGCGCTCTGGGGCATCAGCACTATCGGTCGCGCCTGCCTGGGACTCCTCCTTTGCAAAGGGAGCCCCGGCTTGCGGGGTTGCCGTTTCGGATTTCGCGGATGGCGCAGGTCCATCGCCGTTGACTCCTCCAGCTAACGGGGCGGGGGCAGCAGGCCTCTGAGAGTCAGGCTTCGTATCGATGGGGGTTGGCGGCGCAGACTCTTGGGTGTCCTTGGACCTGGGCGCCTCGCGCTTCTTTTCCTCGGTACGGACGAAGAGCTTGATGGTGGTCCTGAGAGCCTTGTTTGGTTTGCAATCGTCCGCTGACAGTGGCGAATGCTCGCAGACGGGGCACGACGTGGGCAGTGTGGATTGGCCTGCAGTGCGTTAGCAGGCAATTCAAGAATGGGCAACGGGCCCGTCCAGACCGCAAGGTTGGGGCTGCTTACAGCTCTCGCAGATCGCCTGGTCGCAGCAAGGCAGCTTGAAAGCATTGATAGCAAGCTTGCTGCAGATGGCGCATCGAAGCTTGATAGGTATCTCGTCCTGGCTCAAAGAGCTGAATGGTGGGCCGAAGGTCAGTCAAGAGGCGGCTACGCGATGGGAGGCACGTGCCTAGGGAGAAGGCAGGCACCAACCTGACGAGCTCCGCCTGCGCCGGCGTGAGGGATAGAGGAGCCGCCATGGCGAGTTGCGGCGCGATCAATGCAGTGTCGTTGGCATGAGGATGTCGGGGGCGACAGGAACAAGGCGACGACGCGACAAAGTCGGGTGGGAGGTGGGAGGATTTGCGCCACAGCGTGCGGTCAATCACCGAGGTCGGCGCGGTTTGAGTGACTTGCTGGTGCGGCTGTCGTCGCGCAGAAAAAGCCGGCAGTGGACAGGGTGGCGGGAGGACAGGTGGCGCCCCCGAAGCCGCAGACGCTGTGCTAAAATGAACAATGGGAGCGCTGCTCGCGATGCGCGTTCGATGGCGGAGAAAAAAAATCGGCCAGGTTGGTTGATCGAATCGAGAGTGCCTGGCTCAAGCAGAGGCCCGCGTTTCCACAAGAGAGCTGGGCCCCGCAATTACCAATGTCACGTGGAGACAGTTGCGCCAGGCTATTTCACGATGTGCGACACAGTCCGCGGAGGCACGAGTTTGTCTCTACCTAGGCAGTTTGTGCGGGTGTAAAATGCGGCATCTATGAATGTACTAGAATAGGAAAGAATTTCGGAAGCGAGAAAGTTACATATTAGGAGCGCCTTAGGTATTCGGGTGGTCCCATTAGCTTTGTCCAAGTCCTCTGTCGCGACTCCGAGTATTTCCAAGTTCGTATTGGTACCTAAATCTAGATAGATCAAACAAAAGCAGGATGACGCATCGGTTCTCAAATCTCTATTACCAAAACTGGCTGTAGTCCTGGCGGAAAAAAACGACCAAGTACAGAAGAGAAAGAAAGTATCAAGAGCAAGCATTACGCCCCGTTAAGCCCGAAAGACGTGCCCCTTATGACCGGCTTAAGAAATGCAGAAAAAAAAGGAAACCCGCACATCGTTCTGTGTCCCAACAACTATCCCGAGGCCTCAGTCATGTGAGACAATATGAGGAGCTGCCGCTTGCCCAACACAAGCGCGACACCTCCAGCCCGCATCGTCATGGACTGCCTGCCCTCCACCCTCTCATCGAACCGGAATTAACAAGCACAGTTATCCTTGTCCCCCTGGTCCTGCCCGCTGCCTAGGTTGACGCGTTGATCATTATCCCCACGACCAGCCGCCGCGGAAGGCCCGCGCGCACTCTTGAGCGACGTCTCGGGGATGGCGTTGGCTATGGCGGTGAAGACCTCGGTGACGTTGACGCCCGTCTTGGCACTCGTCTCGAAGAATAGCAAGCTCTCCTCCTCTGCGTACCCCTTGGCCTCCTCGGTCGAGATCTTGCGGGCGTCGCCACCGGCCGCGTCATCTGCACCATCGTCCGCATCCGCGACGGCATCGCCGCCGTCGCTGGTCAGGTCCAGCTTGTTGCCGACGAGCGCGATGACGATCCCCGGCGAAGCCTGCCGCTGCAGCTCAGCGACCCAGTGCTTCGCCTTGACGAGTGATGCCGGCTTGGTGAGATCGTAGACGACGAGCGCGGCCTGCGCGTTGCGGTAGTACATGGGCGCCAGCGAGGCAAAGCGCTCCTGTCCGGCGGTATCCCATATCTCAAACTTGATGGTCCGGGTTGGTAGATTACATTTTTGCGTCAAGAAGGCAGCTGCAGTCGATGCATGTGTCAGTGGCGGGGAATATGGAGAACCAGGGCAGGGCTTTTCCCCCCTTACCTCCTATGGTTGGTTCTTTATTCTCTTGGAAATCGTTGTTGACGAATCTCAAAACGAGCGACGACTGCAGTGGCGGGACGGGTTAGGGGCTGCGGTGCAGGAGACGAGGCGGCGCTTGGGGGGATGACTTGCCTTGCCAACTGCTGCTTCGCCCAGAAGCACCAGCTTCACGCTGCTGCTGGGCTTTGCGGCTGCGTCGGCCATGGCGATAAACTGGGGGCGCACGCGCAGATATAATCTGAAAAGGGCAATGAGTCGAACGGGGTTGGGCGCGGTGGTTTGCGGACTGGACGCGGGTGTTTGCTGCGTTGAAATGCCTCTGGTTTGGTCGGTGCCTTGGCCGTGGTGACGTGATGAGGGAATGGAGGCCGACGGCCGAAAGCGACGCAAAGCCAACAGCGGGCTGTCCAAGCACTGCGACCTCCGACAGGAAGCGCGCTAGCACCAATCTGGTCACGCCTGGCTCGTGCTCATGCGCGCATTCCAACCCCGCTGGCGAGCGTTTGTGCTCGCCTCACTGTGCAGCATCAGTGGAGCCCCGACGTTATGCTTGCCTTGTTGATGTGTGGGCCGCCGCTCCGGCAGCCAAACGACGGGCGGGAGTAAAGGTGGGCAATTGGATGGCAGAAAAAAAAGTTGCCTGACCGCCGACGCCGCCCCAGCGTGCTTCCTCGCTCTTCTTTTTGCGCAGGAGCCATACCATCCGCCTCACCGTGGTCGAGAAAGCAACACCTCAAAATGGCGGGCTCGGTCGCTGCCCAGGGCTCTCCCAGCGCCAGCAGCGATTCGCTTGACCAAGTCGAGTGCAACATCATCGAGCGCAAGCCCGGCGAACCATCCAAGAAAAAGTCCCTCTTTGAAGACGACGATAACGAGAGCTCGGGGAGCGATGATGATTCGGAGGATGGCGGCGCAAAGCTAGCCGACGGTTCGGCTGTCCTCAAGATCAACGAGGAGTTTGCCCGCAGGTTCGAGCACAACAAAAAGCGCGAAGAGCTGCAAAAACGTTGGTCTCCCATGTTACCTTGGTGGCAGCCCCGCCCACATCCCCTAGTGGCCTTCCAACTTACTTACTAACACTCAATTGCAAGTGGAGGAGAAGCATGGACGAGCGCTCGCCAATGGGAAGACTGGAGATGACGACTCCGAGTCGTCGGACGACGAGACCGAGGATGAGGAGGGCTTCCTAGCTACTGAAGACCTCGACGCTGAAATCTCGGCAACCCTCCAGGCCATCAAGAACAAGGATCCCAGGATCTATGACGAGGGCACAACCTTCTACCGGTCGATTGGCGAGGCTTCGACCGCTGCATCCAAGCCATCCAAGGAGAAGGCCGTTACCCTGAAAGATTACCACCGGGAAAGGTACATGAAAGGGGATGTGGGCGCCGATTTTGAGGACGACTCCGAAGCCGCCGCGCCGCCGCAAAAGACCTACGTTCAGGAGCAGGAAGACCTCAAAAAGTCAATCATGAACGAGATCAACGCCCTTGCCGAGGGCGGCTCCGACGACGAGAGCGATGATGGTACTTTTATGAAGAAAAAGGCCAAGCAGCCCAAAGACGAGACCCCTGCTGCCAGCGGCGTGCACCCTTCCAGGGCTTCCAAGACCCAGCTCACCGAAGCGGACGTCGCCACCGCGGATAAGGACCCAGAGCTTTTCCTCTCCAACTTTATGACCTCGCGCGCTTGGCTTCCTCCAGAGGGCTCCAGGTGGGAGGCGTTTGAATCGGATGATGAGGATAAGGACAACGTCAACTTTGCCGAGGAGTTTGAGAACGCGTATAACATGAGATTCGAGGACCCAGAGAAGAGCAACGAGGTTCTCAAGTCATACTCGCGCTCGCTCGTCGCCGAGAAGTCGGTGCGACGGGAGGAGAAGAAGGGCAGGAAGCGGCAGCGAGAGCTCGAGAAGGAGCGCAAGGAGGCCGAGAAGCAGGAGAGGCGAGAAGAGCGCGCTAGGCTTCGGCGCCTCAAGATAGAGGAGGTAGAAGAGAAGCTGAAACAGATCAAGAAGGTGGCCGGGTTTGGCGGCAAGAAGCTCAACGAGGAGGAATGGGCCAAGCTTCTGGACGACAACTGGGACGACGAGAAGTGGGAAGCCGAGATGCGCAAGCAATTCGGCGACGACTACTATGCCGAGGGCGAGGCCGACGCCAACAGCTCGGGCGACGAGGAGGCCAGCTCTTCCAAGAAGCGGAAGCCCAAGAAGCCCAAGTGGGACGACGACATTGATATCAAAGACATCGTACCGGACTTTGACGATTCGCTCCCGCCCAACATCACCCTTACCGACGATGAGGGAGAGGACGACGGTGCCGAGGCGTCAAGGGATGACGATGACGACAACGGCGACGAAGGAGAGAACCCGGCCAAGAAGCGCAAAACGTCCAAAGATCACAAAAAGGACCGTGCGGCCGCCAGACGTGCCGCACGACAGGAGCGAGCCAAGATCGAGGCGCTGGTGGACAAGCAGCTGGAGCTGGACGACCCAAACGCGCTCGCGTCGCCCAAGGGCAGGAAGAAGCAGGGGTCGGGCGGGTTCCGGTACCGGGAGACATCGCCCACATCGTTCGGGCTCACGGCGCACGACATCCTGCTGGCGCCGTCGGACGCGGCCCTCAACGAGTTCGCGGGCCTCAAGAAGCTCGCCACCTTCCGGGACGCCGAGAAGAAGCGCAAGGACAAGAAGCACCTGGGCAAGAAGGCCCGCCTGCGCCAGTGGCGCCGCGACAACTTTGGCCACGAGTTTGAGCACACGGGCCCCACGTACGGCTTCGAGCGCCCCGCCGCGGCGGCTGCCGAGGACGCGGACGGCGGCGCCGCGGACCACGGGGGGAGACACGGCAAGAGCAGGGACAAGGGGAAAGGGAAGGACAAGGGCAAGGCAAAAGAGGAGGAGGAGGCGGCGGCGCCAGAAGAGGGCGAGAAGAGCAAAAAGAGAAAACGATCTAGGGGGAAGGCCAGCGCTTAGGTTAATGTAGATCAGGGGATACCCGAAAAAGGATGAAAGCTTTTTTGCTGTCACGTTTTTATTCATTTGCATATTTGTCCATGCAAGCACCAACCGGTATATTTCATCAAGTAGTTGCAAAGTTGGAATGGATGACAAGATGTGATCACCGCGGGGTGGAGCCACAGATCAACGACCCCCTTTTTGGAGGCTGGCATGTTAACAGCACTTGAAGATATACTACCCTCGAGGCAACCAGCAAGTGCTCCTTACAGAAGCGAGACCAAAACAGCGATTCATCGTTCAATACACAGTCATTATTCAAAAAAAAGTGTTCCCAACTCCGTTCCCCCCAAACTCTCTCTTGGATAAGAGCAAACAGGTATTCCCAACCCACCGAAACCCCTATGATGACGGTTTCTTTTTTTTTTTTTTTCCTTTTTTCTCTGTCTCTTCATCTCTCTCTCAAGCACAAACGAGCGATATCAGGCAGTGGTATAAACCGCACCTCCCCAGCCATACTCAAACATGGGATCGCAGAAACGAGCGCAACCTCCAGAGGTTAGTAACCAAAACGTCCTTGTTTTCCGCGTAGAAACCCAAAGAAGAAAAAATCCCAGCATATTTACCAACCATGCCACTCCCTGGTATGGGTATCTAACAGGGCGCGTGCTCCAAATTCGTCCATAAATGTTGTAAAAAAAAGATAAGGTTTTGTAGGCCTTGAGTTCCGACAAGGCGGGAGAGAAGGGGAAGCGAAAGTAATGATGGAACAGAGGAGGCGCGTTGCTGCTTTGGTGTGAGCCCGCGGCTTCCTAGTGGCCGTTGTGATGCAAGCCGTTCATGCCGACACCCCCGCCAGGTGTTGTTGTCATGCCGCCGCCGCCTCCTCCGCCAAACATGTTGGCCAGGCCGTCGAGGCCACCCATACCACCACCGAGTTCGTGACCGATCTCTGGGGGCTCCATGTTAAAGGGCATGAACCAGGCCGAGGACGCGCCTTCGTGGTGGTGATGGTGGCCAAACGCGGCATAGAGCGGATCCGGAGCGGTCGGGTTCCCACCGCCGCCACCAGCGGCTTCGGCGGCAGTCGAGGGCTGCCGACCCCTCCTCGGGCCCGCGCCACCGCCGCCGCCCTCGGGCCCATGTCGACCCGGCATACCTTCCCACATGGAATCCAGGGCATTCTGGCCCCCGCGACCGCCACCCATGCCTGGATCCATGCCCCCATACGCGCCAAAAACGAGCTGGCGGTCTAGCTGTGGAAGGATACCGTTCGCCTGGTGGGACAAAGACAATGAAAGCAGCTCGGGCGAGTAAAAGGGCCCGCCGCCGGGGTGGTGGTGATGGTGGTGATGATGATGCGGGAAACCCCCCATAGTGATGGGACTTATGGGCGACAAGGCGTGGTAGGACGTGGGGTTTGCCGACTGCGGTATCGTCAAGGGGCTGAAGCTGGGGGCGCTCGTCTGCCCACCGATGGGGCCCGAGAAGCTGCTACGCCCAGGATTGTGGTGGGGGCGCTGTGGCGGGCGGTCGTTGGGCCCGCCTGCGCCCAAGGGAACATCTGTGAGAATGGGTTCAAGCTGGCTCGAGTCGGCTCGTGAGGACACACTGCCGCCGCCGCCGCCGCCGCCGCCGCCGCCGCCCTTCCTGGCCATGGATTTCCTCTTGACTGGCTGTGGTCTTGCTGTTGCCGCTGAAGATGACGTAGCTGATGCTTGATTGCTGGCCGTCGTGGGGGTCTCGTTGCTCGGGGGCGACAGCTTCGTCATGAACTCCTCAACCGTGGCGAGCTCTGGCTTCTGCTCCAGCACGGCGTCGTCGCCCTTCTCCTTCTTTTTGTACTTGGCCGGGTCCAGAAAGTCGGACTGTGAGACGCCGTGGGGGTAGCGGTCGAACCAGTCGCCATATTGGAATATCGGAGATGCCGTGCTCTCGTTTGCAGGGTTGCCTTGGCGGGCGGCATCGGCGCAGGTCCGGTACTGCTCGCGCAGGTTTTCCGTCATGAAGTGGAACATGCCCCAAAAGCGCTTCATCTTGGACAGGAAGCGGACGTTGGTGGCGAGGTTCCGTTTCGACGTCGCCTCCATGGCCGGGTTGCCCGAGAAGATGCCGAATATGTGCACCGTGCTCGACAGGAAGACGCAGTAGCCAACAAAGGGGGCGGCGACGAGGTGGGACTCGGCGTCCTTGAGCAGATCCGACATGCGGTTTGCGGCGGCAAAGGCCTTGGCGCCCGCCTTTGTTATGAATGACTTGGGCACATCCTGGTTAGGGATGCTGCCGGGCGAAGAGACGGCGAAGCGGTTCATGAAGAGTATGTTTTGCTGGATGGAGATGTGGAGGAAGAGAAACTGGTTGGCCATGTTTTCCGTGTCGTGCAGCTTGAGGTTCTCCTTGGAGTACCGCAGCTGTTCGGGGAGGCTCGCGGGCAGGTCCTCGGACTGCTTGATGAGCTTGGTGTACTCGGCCTCGGGGCTCCACATTGGGTGCGGATCTAGTTCTTTGCCTCCCTGGTTGAGGTAGTTGATGATGCGACCCCAGACGGCGATGGACCGGACCATGTAGGCGGCGACGCCCATGTTTTCCTTGACGTCGGACAGCTGGCCGTCGTCGGCCGACACGGGGTGCAGGACGTCGCCCTGCAGGGTCTCGGTTGGGCCGGGGATGTCGAGCTGGAAGTACTTCTCCATGATGGGCAGCTGTATCTTGAGCGTCTCCTCCTTGATAAAGGTCGGGCGCTCGGTACCCGACGAGTTGAAGCGGTCCATCAGGAAGCATGCCCACATGGTCCTCCGGCGGATCTCGCGGTCGATGAAGCTCAGCTGAACGCTGCCCGAGTTTGGGTCGTACTCGAGGTCCTTGTGTAACTGCAGGGCAAAGGCCATGCGGATGGCCTGGCCGCCGAGCGCCCAGCTCCGGCCGCCGTGGCACGTGCCGAATTCGTGTAGGCCGAGGATGAGAAGACATGTGAGGATGGTGATGTTGGGCCATTCGTATCTCCTCATGACGATGTCGCGGGCCAAAGAAGCCCACTCTTCTCCGCGGAGGAAGTTGGGGTTGCTGTTGAGTTTGGGGTGTGTCGAAAAGCGCGCCGACACGGCGCACACGGAGAGGATCAGGACGGGCGGCAAGGAGCCGGCCCTGAAACGGAGGGAAACACAGCACGGACCAGTCAGCATATCGTTGTGTATCCCGCGCACACATTAGGTGACGTGACGGGGGACTCGCCGGGCGAGACGTGGGACCGGACTTCCTCCTGGCTCTTTGGCTAGCTCACCTGAGTTTCCTCATATAGCTCGGTTTGTGCAGGATGTGATAGGCCTGGCCGTATATGTTTTCAAAGAAGACTTCAGCCAGATGCTCCTGTATCTCTCTTGGCGGAAGGGCCTCGGCGCCCTCCTGCAGCAGCTTGTTCTCCTCGGCCTCGTGGATCAGCAGGGTGGCTGGGCGGCTCGACTTGCCCGGCTCCAAGGCGGACTTGGTGGAGGCGCGGGCCCAGTTTTCGAGCTCGGGACCAAAGGCCTCGTCGGCACCGCGCTTTTTGGCGGCGGACTTGGCAGCGGCAACGGTTCCAGGAATGGCGGGCTTGACCACGGCCCTCGGGATGGATGACGATATGGTGTCGTGGTCTGCCTTGGGGACGATCTTGATGATGCGCTCCTCCATGCGCTTGAGGCGCTTGTCGAGCATGGCCATGTAGTCGGTCCTGGGGGCGGCCTTGCGGGCGGTAACCTTGTAGACGCACGGGATGCGGGAGCGCAGGCAGTGCTTGCAGGCGGGCTTTTCGCCGGAGCAGCGGATCTTCTTCCGCCTGCATGCTATGCAGGCGAGAGGCAGGCGCTTGCGCTCCTTGCCGGCCTTGGTCTTGAGCTCGCTCCAGGCGGGGATGGCGTCGGACTCCTTCTCCTTGAACTTGGAGCCTTGGCCGCCAGCCGCGTCGCCGTGGCCGTTGGATATCAGGCCGAACTCGTCCGACACGGGGTCCTCCAGCAGCAGGCCATTGCCGCCAGGGCTGTCGCGGCTGCCGTCGTCCGACGAGAGGCTGGAGCGCCTCTGGGAACCCGGTGGGCCCGCACCGTAGGCGGCCGGGATATGGGCAGTGATGGAAACCACGGAGCCGTTGCGCTCGGGCGGGATCGAGGAGACGGACTGGCGGTGTCGCGGGGGCGCGAATACGTCGAGCGAGGCGGACTCTTCTGGCGGCAGCGCGACGATTGTGCTGTCGTCGTTCATGGCAGTGTAGGGGAACTGGAAGTCGCCAAAATGGGAGGCGTCCATGAGGGCATGTGGCGACGCATCGTCGTGGTGGTCGTCGAGCAGGTATCCGTGGAGGTCAACGGGATCCTGGTGCAGCAACTGCATCTCAGCGTCCAGCTCAAGTGTCGAGAACTTGACGTCAGTTTGGGGCTGGCTGGAAGACATGGAAGGCAACGCCCGCTGCACGGGAGCCGTGACAGGCGCTCAGGAGGCGAGCGAACCCGCAGCAGGTCAATCAATGGCCAAAAGCACACGAATGGCAACAAGACGACAGCTTCACCACCGATGCCGGTGGAGGGCTCGATGCATATGCGGAGCAGTTGTTGGCGCGCTGGGTGCTGCAGCGCTCCGCAGTTCTCCAACGGGGGCTCGGCTGCGGCGGGCTGGCGGGCTGGTGGGCTGGTGGGCTGGTGGGCGCTTGCTTTTACTTGCTTGCTTGCTTTTATTTGGGCAGGTTGTCTCCAGTCGCGGCACAGAGGCAAGGATTCGGGGCCGGCGACGGTCTCATGCGGCGGCTGCTGAAGAGCGATGTGCCCGGGGAGACCAGGCAGTCATGGTCTGTTGTGCTTTTCTTCTTTTGTCGCTTTTCGTCTCCTTTTTGCGCGATGCTCAAGCTGTTGCGATAGCGGAGACGATTCCGGGCCGAGCACCAACCCAACTGGACCCAACTGAACCCAAGGCAAGAAGCCGGCTGTCGATTTGGCGAGATTGTGGGAGAATCGGGCTGGGAAGGAGCGGCCTTGACGGGAGACAGTCGAAGCCGAGTCGTCGGCGAGAACAAAAAGCGTCAAGTGGTTGGTTGACCAATGCGCGTTAAAGCAGAGTAAGGCTCGCCGCTTCCACTTTCTCCAGGAACCAGGGGGGGGGGGCGTGTGGGAACTCGAAGGTCCCAGGACAGGAAAGGTCCCAGGCCAGGATGAACAACAGGTCGGGGTCGTGCTGTCTGTGGAGGCCCACCCTGCTGGAGAAAGCCTTCGCTGCTGCTGCGCATGCGTGCAAAACGCTGTTACAGGACGGAGACGGACGCTGCTATGTTGGACCGTAGATTCAAGACAAGCCGTTTTTTTTATTGTCTTATCCCCGGCTTGGGACCAAAGTGTGGGGTTGGTTTGCGCTACCCCCCGACTTGGGCAAGAGCGCGTGATATATGAAGCCGCCTCCCTTTTCTTTCCGCCATCGCTGGCACGCGGTCGTCCTGTCGTGCAGCGCTAGTCCATGGCGTGTGTGGAACAGGTACAGGCTGTACAGTACGTACCGCCCCCGATACAAGCGGTAAGTACCGTCTGCCCCAGCCTTCGTCCCAGTCCAGCCTGGGCGGGAAGGTTAGTTCATGTTGACACCCGGTGAACAGCCCCCATGGCACACAGAAAACGGCGGAGACTACCCGCACCTGGTGGTAACGCACCCTGGGGGGGTCTGCGACGGCCACCCCCGTCAGCCCAGCAGAAACTCCAAGCTCCAACCCCTTAGCGTAGGGGGATGACTACGAGCTGGGTAAGCACGCACAGGGCAGGATCCCCAAGGCACACCCATGTCCATACGCCCATGCCACCGCCTGCCGTGTGTGCGTGTGTCTTCTTGCTTGGGGTATTTGGATTTTCAACTTTCACCTTCTCTTTTCCTTGTGCCCGAGGCCCTATTAGGCGTGGGGTCTGGTGGGTGGGCGCCCAGCCTGTTAGGGCAACCGCCCGCTTCCAATCTCGATGGAAGCATGAGAAGAAGACGCACAACAGAATTGCATCATGGGCAGAAACATAGAAACAGAAACACGAGGCAAGCCTTGTCCTGGCCTGAAGCGGTGGCCCCACGTCCCGGCCGCCGTTTCCATCGCGCTGGCGACGTGCGGGCTCGGCGGCGATAATTTTCAAGGAGCAGCACGTATTGTCCTGCCACCAGGGTTCGGAATTTAGTCAGTAGTCAAGTCACCCCCTTGACTATGACTGACTAATTTAGTCGAGGCGGTGACTGACTAAATGTGACTGACTAATGAATGACTGACTAAAGTAAATAATTAAGTAAAAGCGTGTTTGAATAACTAAATAAATAATTACTTAAATACGTAAATAATTAAATATATAATTTATGGCAAATATAGTAATTTAATATATTAAATAAATAAATTTATCTTTTTTTATTCCTATTTTTACTAATTTTACTTTTATTAATTTTATTACTTATCTTATTATTTATATTTTGTATTACTTATTTATTTAATTTTACTTTTACTTAAAACAATTTAAATTTTCATAAAAAATGTACAAAATTCATTAAAACCTTATGCAAAAGTGATAAAAGTGCCTGGTTTAGTCAATTTAGTCAGTCCAAAAAAATTAGTCAGTCATTAGTTAGTCATACCAGTGACTGGGACTGACTAGACTAAATGACTAAATTCGGAACCCTGTCTGCCACCCACCCAGGCCCGAGCGCCACCCACCTAGGCCTCGGGCCTGGAGCCCAAGACCCCAGACTCTAGCACTGCCTCCACCGCCAGATTATAGCTCCGTCCCCAGCAAGCTAGCTAGGTAGGGAAGGATGTCGACGCCATCAGTCTGATGCGCTGCAACGAACCCAAGTGGGCTGTTATGTCGCAGCAGAGTTTGCGACACGCTCGGATGTCACCGTTTGGGCTGGTGGCTGCTGATGAGCTGTGCTTGCCTTGATTGTTGCCGTTGCAGTCAATGGAGAGTTTTGGGGTTGGGAGGGAGCACTTCATGCTCACACCTCCCACAGCAGGTACTCCAGCAGGACTCCAGGGGATTGGGTCTACGTACCCCCCCTAGCCCCATCTGGCTAGAAGCACCACACGAGTCACTTTGGGGTGCCCACCATGCAGGCCTTGTGCTTGCCCCATAGCCAAAGGGCGCTCGAATGGATGAGGCGACATTTCAAAGTCTAGCCCGTCCCTTTTCCTCGACCTGCCATTCGGCGTAATTGCTACCAATATGTGGCGGATGCTATACTAGGTAGAATACAGGCGCGGAGATACCGATCTGCCCCATTCTTCATGCCATCTGCGCTGCTCTTTCCTTTTCCTCCGAGTCCGTCAAAACAGGTACAGTACTGTATACTTGGTCATTATTGTACCTATCCTCCAATAAGGCTGATCAGCACAACCGCCATCGCCGTCTTATTCTCCGACTCGGCTGGTGACTTCCATTGGTGGGGTTCGCACGGCCCACACACCACAGTCGCTGCAAGAAGCGGGACAACGGCCAAGCTCAGCTGCCATGGAACTCTAAAAACCTAACTTTGCCACGCTGAGGGAGAGAGCCCTGCCTCAAGGGAGACACTCTAGACACTCTGGATACTCTAGACACTGCTGCCTGTCCGCCCGATCTTGGCCCATTTTCCTCTTTCAGACTTGAAAAGACTCGAAAACAGGGTCCAATCTAGCTTAATCTCGGAAGCGGCAGTGTTTTAATGCAAGACAAGCTGGCCGTCTCGGAATGCCCCGTCCAAAGTGGCTAGAGAGCATCGTCTTCTTAATGTCCAGCCATGGCAAGAAAGGAAAAGAACGGTATGCTCAGACGCCACCTATGCAAGGAAGAATGAAGGCCACTTCCAAGGCATAGTGGGTGGCTTGTTTCTCCTCCCATTTCTGCTCCCATTCCATCCTCGTCGTCAATGCCCTCCCACTTGGCTTCCTCATTGGACGCTCCTCGGGACTGAGCCGCTCCGTGTCACCGCGACTATCTCTGGAGATGCACCCCTCGAAAAGATGGGACGCGGCTGGCTGCATGGTCGCACACCCAGAAGTCAGCCTGCCGACTCCCCGGGCTCGGTCTTGTGTCCTGCGTCCTGCGCCCCTGCGTCCAACCTGGGCCGGGGCCGGGGCGACATGGTACTGGCATTGCCCTTGTTTGCTTGGCCTCTGTTGGGCCATGTAACTCGAGGCAGAGCCCACGGCGTGACAGGACGATGGCCTCGACGGTATCCGACCCGGTTGGATCAAAGGCCATGGCACAAGTGACACGTCGAATCCATCTGCAAACAGCAACATCTAGCGAGAAGCAAGCACGTCCAAACGTCTCCTTGGGCCTCTGCATCATGGCCGACCACACCGGACACCTGGGGCCTGGGGGCCCAGTTCTCTGGGGGGCAGGCAGGCAGGCGAACTGCCCGGCGTATAACCCGAGCTGGACACAGCGGCTGGCGCCACACAACTTCCCGTCGAGTTCGGGTCATCAAGCCGACCGGCTCCTCCCCAAGACGCGCGGTTTTCCTTTGGGCTGTCTGTGTGCCGAGGGGGCGGCCTCTTGGCCCTGTCCTGCATGCTCTCCATCTTCTGCCATCTAGACAACAGTAGTGGACTCGGACTCCAAGTACATACGATGACTCCGAGGCTCGTGTGGCAGTTGGGACGCGGGGACGCGGGGACGCGGGGACGATGCACTGTCAGCACAGATTCCTGCTGCCCGTGGAATAGGTATCCTCCTCATACTCCCCCTCCCCTTCCTCGTGCCTCCTCCCACCTTCCTTCCCCGTCCCTCCTCCCCCTCCTTGTGCCTCCTCGACACGTCGCTAGCGCGCCTGGGTCAGGACATATGACGATAGAGGCAAACGCCAGGGGTGTGACGGGCGAGACGCAACCGCACATATGCAATGCAGCCCGTGTTGATCTCGGTCCCCACGCCCGCCCCGGAGCGCAACCCTCCCGCTGGCAAAGGCCCGATGAGGGAATGTGGGCTGCCTGCTGGCCATGGGCTGTGGTGCAAGAACGGCCGCCCGCCCGTCAAGCCCATCGCGGGTGCCCACCATCACCATAAACCACCACCACCACACCCCCTTTTTTTCTTTCATTCCATATATATTAGATTGGCACACCCTAGCAATCCCATCTGGCAAATCTGGAGGGCTAAATTACCCGGCTCTGTCTGGAAGCCAGCTAGAATCGACGCAGAAGCGGCCTGGCAGGGAGAACACACCCAGCCAATCAGGCGGCGGCCCTGTATGGTCTCATTACGTTTTATTGGCTGGTGGGTTACGGGTTTGGTTTTGTGATGTGGCTCACCCGCTCGTCCCGCGCATGTACACCGGTGACCCCATCTTCAACTTGTAGCCTCTTTTCTGTTCCCTCCTCTTTTCGCATATCTATGCCTACCTGCCCTGCCTAGGTATATGGCTCCCTCCACTCCCTGACCGTCTGCCCACCCCCTCCCTGCCCCTCCTTGGGTCACCTATCAGTGTTGCACCAAAGGGCCCGGTGGTGGTCGGGGGGGCTGCACAAGCACCAAACCTGGGTCGAGTTTTCCGGTCATTTTGGCTGTCGGTTTGTTTGGAGGAGGAGGGGGGTGCATTTACAAGCTGGGGTGGCATTCGAGATATCCCGTCATAGCGCCGCCGGATTGGTCCCCTCCATAATTACCCGCTTGCAACCAAGGAAAAAAAAAGTGCCTTCCTAATCCACCCTCGCTTCTCTCTGCTTTGTTTCCTTTTGCTCTTGTTTCGTTTCCTGCACTATCCTATAAGGGCCAATCAGGAAGGGTGCTCGGAACCAGTGGCCGGCCGCGTCACACACAACATACATGTACGACACTGTACCAAGTCCCGCCCCGAATCCTATGCGGCGGGCTTCCGCGGCTGATAAACGGCGATGCGTGATATGTATGTATATAAGGAGGGTTAGTAGGTAGATATCTACCTAGGTAGTAGGTAAGGTGCCTATGCAAGGCAAGTAAAGTGTTTCCAAAACAACACAACCTCGGGTCTGCATCCGGCCTGGGCTCCGACATCTCCCTGCACGTTTCGCTCCTTTGGAACTCGCCAAGTGGACCGTCGGTTCGGAGTTGTCCTCCTTTGTACAGGCAGCGAGCGCATGACCGCTGCCCGAGCTGGGCGGGCGCCTACAAACTGGGTATTGTATGTTACCTATGCGAGTGACGGCGGGGAGAGACGGGATTTGGCCCGAGTCCTTGAGCCTAACGGTGGAGGGAGCGCGGGGCCCCCCACTATGCTATGTACATCCATCCATCCATCCATCCATCCACATTGCCCTCTTCTCATGACAATGGCAGCAGCAGCATTATCCCGGGAAACCACCCCGAGATGGGAGGGGAGGCCCCACCGCCGGACGGAGAAAAACAAAAGCAACATCGCATCGTACATGAATGACGGTGGGGAAAGTGGCAGTGCGAAGAGTATATGGCGTGACCGCCTACATACCCGGGGGCTTGCAGTCTCTCTCTCTCCGCTGGGGAGGGAATGGCGAAACCTTGATCTTGACCGCTGTCGGGTGGGGGGCACTCCCCCGCGTGGGATATAGACGGTATGTATACGCTGCTGTATTGGCGCGGAGGGCCATATTTCCGGCTGCTTGATTTGCCCCCGAGGGCATGCATTGTATTGATGCTCACTCGGATGACAATTTTCCCTCCCATCTTCTTGCTCTCTTCTCCCAACTTGTTTTGTTTGCCTTTTTATACTTGACCGAAGCATTCCTTTGCATTGGAGGTGATAGAGCCAACTCGAGGTCACGCCTCCGCTTCAACGAAACATAGAGACCACAAATGCGGAGAAGGAATAGAACTAGTGGGTTGAGAAGAAGGGTGATTAAATCGTGACGCATGTGTCTACCTAAATATCTAGAAAGCCGTCCATCCGCCCAAAGTGTGCATTCGTCGTTGGTCCATACAGAAAATAAACAAGTCAGAAAAGAAAAAAAAAGACAGTGGCTTTCCAAATCCGCAGATTTGATACCTACCAATGCTTCTAAACCAACAGCCAATAACAAACGCCCTTGCGATGCATCATGATAAAAAAAAAAAAAGGATGATAGGGAATAGAAATAGACATGAAGCGAAAAAGAGTCCCCTTGCAAATCCAATACGAGCTAGGCAGTTGTCTGTGGTCCCTTGGCGCCCCCCTCAATGAGGTGGCCCTGGACACACAGAGCAGAAAACCGTTAAGAGATATGGGGAAGCACACCGGAGGGATGACGACGCTGCCCTCCCTTATAGTACGGTAGAGCCAACGTCCCCCGCAGAAAAAGAAAAAATGGTTGGTAGCAGTGGCGCCCTGTGCCTTGTACCTCGCGTATGTCAAGGAGGGGGGTGGGTGCCCGTCCGCCCTCGCCCGACCGACGCATCGACCGACCGACCGACCGACCGACCGACCGGACTGGGTTTCGCGAGGGGCCACACAAACCCCTTCCCACCATCGCATGACGAAGAGGTTCGTGCCATCTCTTGGGGGTTACCCTCCCTTGTTTCAGGCAGTCGTCGTCGCTGTCGTCGTCGTCTCGCCGTCGGTCAGGTACACCGGGATGCCGTAGACGCACACGGCGGCGGCAGTCAGGTAGCGGAAGCGACACACATCCCTGGCGGTGGCCACGGCCTGGGCGAGCGACGAAGCTGCTGACGACGACGACTTGCCACCCGCAGCAGCAGTAGCAGCACCACTACCGGTGGCACCAGACGACGACGACGACGACGACGACGACAAAGCCTTCTTGCCCTTGTCCTCGGCAGGGAACGTTCCGGCCCCGACGAGCCCCCACTCCTCGAGGGCGCGCGCGGCGAGGCGGTCAATGTCGCGGTCCGTCACGTCCCACAGCGTGCCCGCGACCGACGGGCAGCCGGCCATGAGGTAGTTCCACACGGGGCCGTGCGTCTCAAAGTCGCCCACGTCGGCCAGCGACGCCGAGCTGCAGCCCCAGAGGAGCACCGCGGCCCGGCACCCGCCCTCGAGCCGCCGCACCGTGCGCCCGCGCACGTACTGCGCCCCGCTGCCGTGCCCAAAGTAGAGCAGCACGTCGCGCGTCCGGAGCGCCTGCTCGAACTCGGCGTCGGTCGGCGCCCTGCCCACGGTGCCCACCCAGTTGTTGTTGTTGTTGTTGTTGTTGTTGTTGCTGTTATTGTTGTTGTTATCTGCCTCGAGCAGGGCCGACGCCAGGGGCTCCTCAAACGTCCCCTGCGTGTTCATGAGGTCTCCCGAGGGGTTGAGCATGTACGCCCCCGAGCGTTTGCAGGCGTGGTGGCCGCTCGGCGCCGACGCGTCGTCCTTGGGCCTCCGCTGCTCGAGGATCAGGCGGCGCAGGCACTCGAGCGACGGCACGCGCGACACCGCCTGCCCCTGCATGCAGGGGAGTGACTCCCAAGGGAAAATGTGCAGCGCCTTGTCCAGCACCAGCACCGTGTGCTGCTGCTGCTGCTGCTGCTGCCCGCCCGTCGCGTTGCCGCTCTTCTTGGCGCCGCTCTTCTTCTTTTCCGCCGCCGTCGTGTGGTACGAGTGCAGCGCGTCAAACGTCTCGACGCACATCGAGTCAAAGTCGATCTCGTCGTAGGCGTTGCGCTCGCCGTGGAACTGTAGGATGTCCACCACAAAGTACAGCAGGTCGTTCAGTGCGTCGTCGAGGTCGCCGCACTCGGGGCCCGTCACGTCGCCCAGACCGACAAACAGCTCCAGGATGCGCGGGTCCAGCGTCACCTTGACGGGCGCCGGTGCAGCGGCGGCTGCCTTGATGCGGCGGCCCCGGACCTGTCGACGGGACGGCAGGTGCTTGTCCAGGATGTCGTGGAAGCTCTTCTGGAACCGGGCCAACAGGTCGGGGCTGCGCCTCTGCTGAGAGAAGATGCCCTTGAAGCCGCCGAGCCAGACCTGCTCGACGTTTTCCAGCAGCTCGCCAAGGCGCTTGTCGAGCTCCTCCCTCTCGGCCCACCACTCCGACTTGAGCCGCTTTTTCGCCATATCCTTGGCCCTGTGCGCGCTTCCGTCAGCGAGCCCGATAATCTCCTGCAGCTCAGCGCGGCCCTGGTGGTAGTTGAACGAGTCGTTGGCCGAGTCCCGCGAACTGCCGCGCTCGAGCGGCAGTCTGATGACGAACGGGCTGTGTCCGGCCTGAAGCCGCGAGACGCAGAGGTCGTGCTTGTTGTCGCTGAGAGACACGGAAATGACAGTCCAATCCTTGGGGATTATGTCGATAAAGTCCTTCTGGAACCGGCCCATGTCTGCCGTAGGCGCGCCAGCTCGGGCAGGAGACAAACTCGGGTCTGCCTGGCCCATGGGGATGGGCCACTCGAGGCCATCACTCTTGTAGCCACTCATCTCCAGGAGCAGAGCCTTCCGCTCCCTGCGCCATGTGAGGTTCTGCGCTGCCTCTACTGAGCATGTTGCAAAGGCTTGGCTGCCCGTGATGCGAGGCCGAGACGGACAGGCGGCAGAGAGCAGAAGCATGGTGCTTTGCAGCATCCCGGCGATCCGGTGCACCATGGCGCCGTCGCCCGAGACCATAGCCACGGCGTGAGCCTGCACGAGACAGTCGTGTGCGGCTTGGAGGTTCTCGATGAAATCGGGCAGCCGCGCCGCCGACGCTGCCGCTGCAGCACCCCTCCCCTTCTTGGGCGGCGATGCCTTGACAAGCGCGAGACGCTCAGCGACAGCCTCGGAGCTCGCGCTGCAGACTGCGGGGAAGGACAAGGTCGAGTCCTGGATGACCGAGAAGACGGCGTCTCTCATCATCTGGTCCTGGCATTGCCCAAAGAAGCAAGTGGCTCGCGCAACCATCTCGCCCAGCTTGCTCTTGCCCAGCTTTGTCAAAACCTGTGACTGCTGCAACAGTTCCATGGCGGCGGTCCAGTCTCTACTGTTGAGCAGAGAGATGGCTCTGTGCATCATTAGCGACCTTTGGAGGCCAGAAATGACAATATCGCTGATGATAGGGGCGGGCGCCTCGACTTTCGGAGCTGGAGCCTTGGCCTTGGAGACAGTGACTGCTTTTCTCGTTGTCTTTCTGGCCGTGCTCGCAGCACTAGCCGCTCGTTTGGCCGGCTGCCTCTTTGCTTTCTCCTCAGGGCCTGCCTTGACCGTGGCGGGCGCTTCCTGTACATCCCCACTGTCCACATCTCCAGGCGTCTCTTTGAGATACTTCATGGCGGCCTCGGCGCGGTTGATCATATCCTGTTCCAAGTCAGGCTCCTTCAGATCCCGGTACAGTCCGGCAAGTTGGCAGGCCAGAGTCACGGCGGTGCATGTGCCGTCTCCGCCGCTGAGTCTGGAGCTGGACTGGTTGGCCAGTTCAAGCGACTTGTCCAAGTTGCCAGCCTTGAAATGGACCAATGCCAGCCAGGCCTCACACTGCGCCAGATAGAGGCGCGCGTTGGTGCCCTGGGCCATCTTTTGTGCCTGTTCCGCGTAGTACACTGTCTCCTGGAACATTCCCAGGTGCGCGTAAACTGACGAAAGGTGAGACATGCTGCGGAAGAGTGAGTGGAATAGCTTCCAGAATTCGGGCCCAGCAGCAATCATGGCCGATGACGGAGTGAGAGGGGAGTCTCCATCACTGAGATCAGCAGCGTCCTTGGCCTTCTGCTTTGCTTTGACCCTATCTTCGAGCTTTGCCCAGTCACTGAAAAGCACCCGCACCGTCTCTCGCGCATGAACCAGCGCGTGGTGGGCCTCTCCCTTCTTAGAGGCGATCATGGACTGCAACAGTGACGCATAGCTGATGAGATCTCGCCGCCGTGTTTTTGAAGACTGCGAGCTCCTGTCTGATACGGCATGGCCGCGCGCCTGGTTGAAGTGACTCTCTGCCTTGTCCAGATCTCCTGTTAGGATGTAGTATTCGGCGTAGGCGAGGTGCATGTCAGCGACAGCCCCTCCCGGGATCGACCCAGACTCTTTCAGAACAAACTCCTGGCAAGCATCGAGGGCCTTCTCGGCCATGGCGCACCGTCCGGTATTAGCGTAAAGCAAGGCCAGGCTCGAGTATGACCTGATCCTGTCCTCTGGGCCCCATTTGGATGAGATATTCGAGATCATTGACGAAAGCTCCAGCGCCGCCAGCTGGACAGGGTCGTGGCTCATCGTGCGCCCGAAGTCGCCCAGCGACTGGAGGTGGCTCAACAGGGCGGCCGGGTTGTCGATGACTCGGTCGAGTTCCTCCAGCGTGTTGCAATCTTTGAGCACCTTATTCCACTGAGCCAGAGCACTGTCGATTCGGTCAAGATCGGGTGCCGCGGATTTGAGGCCTACCAGCGAGTTGTGGTAGGCATAGTAATGCTGTAGGTATGGCTCCAAAGGCCTGTCTTCGGCGCAGCCACCACCCTTGATGAGGCCAACGACGGCATCAATCTGCGACTCTATTGCTGCGAACTGATCCTGGTCGTCTAGGTTTACTGTTAGAAGGCTTAGAAGAGTGCGTATTCGCTTGATGGGGAAGCGTGTCGGATAGTAAGTCTTGAGCAGTGACTCGACGCATTCGTCAGCAAGCGTCGGACGCTTGCGGTCCTTGGAGCCACCGAGGATGACGAAGTGTAGCCAATGCTCACGGACGGCCAGCTGCTGGGCCTCAGGCAGATCAACCGACCAGTTCATGGGAACCTGCTCCAGCCCTGCGATGGACACGAGCGTCCGCGACAACGTGCTAGCCTGGCTGGTGCGAGTCCAGGCGAGAACCGGGGGGCGCTCTTCTAGGCACTGCACGACCTCGGCGAGAACTCCATCATCAACGAGACTAGACCGAATGGACTGGAGGGCTCCGAGGGCCTCGCCGACGCGTCCTAGAGAGTTGTACGCCTCGGCTAGCCGCTCTAGCTTCATGATAAGCTGCGACTTCTCCTTCTCTCGTGCGGATCGTTGCTTAACGCACTCGATGGACCGGCGAAGCGCGCGCATGGGCTCCGGGCTCTTGGGATCCTTGGAGGATTGCCGCAGGAGGGTGTACTGCATGAAGTAAAAGTGCGATATCTTGACGTGGTGTGACGTGGAGGACTCGGCATTCCCACTGTCACCCATGTAGTCGAGTAGGGTGAGGCAGTCGCCCAGCACAATGTCCATCTGCGCCCAGAACATGCGCCGCTCGTCGATCAGGGCCTTGATGACCATAAAGGCTGAATCGAGAAATAGATGTATCGATTTTGTAAGCATCTGTCGTCTCTGCTCGTATCGTAGAAAGTCCTTGGTGCTGCCGTTGGACGCCGGTGGTTTGCCCAGCCACCGCAGGCAGAAACGGGGGCACTGGACGACGAAGGATTCCAGGGAACGTAGCGTGTCCTTGGGGGCCAACGCGCTCCTATCTTGCGCGACAAGGACGTTCATAGCAGACCTCCGCGCAAGGCCCACGTTAACCAGAAGGTCCTCCAGCTCGGCGCTGTCCCCTTTCAGCACCCCCTGCATGCCGTCGATGACGCCATCGACCAGCGTATTGTCCTCAAGATACTCAGCAGGGTTTTTAAGCTGCAAAGATAGCAGGAGAGCGTCAACTGCGCAGCGGCTTGCTTCTGAATCGATCCCCTCCTTCATAAGTCCCCTGGCGAGTTTTGTCCATTTGATAGCCTCGGAGTACTTTCGGGTCTCTCGAGCAACCGCGCCGAGAGCTTGGTACAGTGTCGCGATCGGTGACTTGAAAGACGTGCCCGGGCTCGTGACGCTGCTCCCGACAAGTTCCTGGATCCGCTCGAAGGCATTGACGCACGTGTTGTACAGGGACTCGTCCCCGGGCCCTGCTCTGCGGATGTACGCGGCTAAACACCTGGAGAAGGGCGAAAGAATGTCCTTGTGGACGTCGCCCTTGTGCCCTGCGATGGCCCACCACCGCAGTCTCGATTCCAGGCCCAGGACCTGCATGTCGAACGCTGCAGACGGGGATATGCTCAGTTTCGGCTCGAGGGCTTCGTCGTCGCTTTTGCTCGACACGCTCGGCGTCAGAGACAGAAGAAGTTGTGAAAGCGTCTCCAGCTGGCGCGAGGCCTTGTCGCGGTGAGTGGTGCTGCTCCCGGCGTAAGCGATCAACAGCCTGAGAGGGGAGGACCCAGTGGAGTCTTTCAGGATGTCGACAACCGACTCGGTATGCTGGGGCTTCTTCATCATGGACAGTATCCTCAGCGCCTGAAGCTGGGTCGTGATGACAAGGTTGGTGAAGGGGCCGTCAGCGGCCTTGAATCCACAAAAGTCCAGTATATCTGAGATCCGATTCGCGGGGGCGGTTTCAATCTGCGCGCCGGCCTTGTTCGGCTTCTTTGCAGTGGCCTGGACCCCAGAGCGACTATCGAGCCGCTGCTTGAGCAGTCGGAGCTCCTTGGCGGCCTGTTCCAGCATGCCCAAGGCTATCAGCCTTGCGACGAGCGAAGACATTCCGCTCTCAAGCTGGAGCTCTGGGAGGGTGATCTCGCCCGCATTGTGAAGTCCCCTCAGAGCGGCGAAAGCGATGCGGGCGCATTCCACAAGGGACAGGCAGCTCGAGGAGCCCGAGCCCGAGGAGGCTGGCCTCGCAGGCTGCTTTACGGTGGCAAGCGGTGAGGTTGCTACCCGGTTCAGGGTTCGCGCCTGTAGTGGGGTCGGAGGCGCCGAGAGGGACCTGCGGAGGGCGTTCCGCGACGCCTTGCGAACGAGATCGCCGGCCTCGGGCTGTGTTAGTCGCGGAGCGGGTAGCGCCGCCGTCGGTTTCGCGGCCTCTCCGAGGGCCTTTAATGAGGCATTGATGACGTGGGTGGCGAGTCCTGCCTTCTCCTTGCTCGAGAGCCCCGCGGTGGTCGCGGCTTTTGTTGACTTTTTGCTAGGCGCTCGACCGCTTGTCGTCGTTTTCGGGGCTCGGCTCGTTTTGGAGGCGCGAGATTCGGTGCCGTCGGCCCTGGCGGAGGCATCGCTGGGTAGGACGAGGTCCTTAAGGAGCACGGCCGTCGCGGGCGAGCATGTCGATATCGAAGTGACGGCGGAGCGGACAGAGTCCGCCTGTTCTTGTAAGGAAGCCATAGCTAAAAAGAGCGATCGCAAAGCAAAAAGCGAGTGTTAAAGCCCCTGACTCCTAATCATATCTCTGACGAAAGCACCTAATAATAGCCTTGACAAGCTATACTCTGATCAAAGACGAGGGTAACGACCAAAACGACGCGCGCATCGGCAATGTTGAGCAGATGTGGCGGTCTCCGGCTTTGGACGCGCCAAAGCCTCCTAAAGCGGGCTGCTTTGGGCAGGGGTTGGCGTGATGTGGACTCTGGATTTTCTGCGAGGTCAGAGGTTGCCCCAGCAACAGAAGCCGACGACCCGCATGGGGCAGAGAATTGATTTTGAGAACCAGCCGCATCGATTGGTTGAAGTTTAGCGTCCAGCAAGCTGATATTCACGACACCAGACTCTCATCGATCTCGAAACCCAGACCCGTCCCGAATAAACGGAGAACAATCTCGACCGACCCAGATATCTCGGCGGTTCACAAGCGGCACTATGCCTCCATTTGGAGCCCCCAAGAGGCTTCCGGTCACGTCATTTGCATCAAAGACCCCCGCCCTGCTTCGACTGCCTGCCTCGTCACGATGCGCTTCGAACAGCAGCAATACGCGGTACGCAAGCACCCCCTCGATCGCGCAAACTTCCTTCTGGAAGTCCCTGATCCCTAAGCCGCTCCGCCGCGACGGGTCCCCAAAAACCGTCAAGCCCAAGTCCAAAGGCTGGAACCCCGCCACCTTTTACATCGTCATCTTCCTTCTGATCGGCTCCATGTCGATCCAGATGATCTCCCTGCGGAAGAACTTTGAGATGTTTATGCGGCAGTCCGAGGTCAGGATCGGTCTCCTGCGGGAGGTTGTCGACAAGCTACACAAGGGCGAAGCCGTCGATGTCGAGGCGACCCTGGGTAGTGGTGATCCCGAGAGTGAGGAACATTGGGAACAAGGTAAGAGTTCTACGCAGGAGTACAGAGAAAAGATACTAGTGAACTAGGTTGCTGAAGACGCCTTGCAGTGCTTCGTGATCTCGAAAAAGGCGAGAGCCCGGACCACGGGAGTGCATCCCAAGGCAAAGAGGCAGGCTCAAAATCAACGAAGAGCCCAGAGGTGCCGACAAAACCGAAAGCTGCAGCTACGTCTGACTTCTATTAAATCAAATATAATATGGCGCCGGTACAGAAAGTACTTCTACGGTACCACCTCTTTAAACACAGCCGCCGCACCGTGACCCTTGACCGCGAACGGGGCATCGTCGGCTTTTGATGGTCGGCCCAGAGCCTCGACAACTGCAGGTAGGATCACCTCTGTAGAGATCTCTACTCTGACGGCATCGCGCCCTGTGTGCTGCGCATCTATGTCTATAAAGAATGCATCTTCCCCTCTCACACCCCCAATATTCACGATTGCAAGCGGCATCCCCCTATCCTTGGCCATTTTAGCAAGGCGCCAGGCCGAGTAGGTGGCCAGGGATGTGCCGATCACCAGGAGCTTGCCGGCGCCGGCCACGGCCTCTTCGGCGGCGAGTTTGACGGACGGTGAGATGCTCTCCCCAAACATTATGACGGCTGGCTTGAGGATTCCGGCATTGCTTGCTGGCTCCCACGCACCATCGCCGTCGACCTCGACCCTTGAGAGGCTCCCGCTTGCTAAAGGCGGGGGATTTGCGAGGCATTTGGGGCAGGCAGGGTACCTGAAAGTAGAGTATGGAGCCTCGGGCAGGTCGACGTCGCCGTCTGGGTTTGATCGTATGCCCTTGGCGCGTCTTTCGTCGGGGTTCTCCGTCTCCAGCGCCCCCGAAGCGACAGCCTCGGCGAGGAATGCCGCCCACGCAGGATTCAGCCTGGCCAGGGCCTTTTGGAAGTCGTCCCTGGGATACTCGGTGCGGCACGACGTACACACCAAGGTCCTGAGATAGCCATGGAGCTCTACGATGTTCGGCCGTGTTGCAAGCGTCCGCGCGGGGGACCCGGGCTGATCTGGAGCCCAGTGTAAAGAATCGACGTTTTGTGTGACGATGGACGAGATCACGCCGAGGTCCGCAAGGTCCCTGATGGCGCGATGAGCTACGTTCGGCTTTGCCTTTTGCAGGGTGGTCCAGCCTATGAAGGACCTGGCCCAGTATCTCCGCCTCGCGGCGTGGCTAGCCAGGAACTCGTGGTAGTATATGGGCCTGTATGTCTTGTTGAGTCGATAGGTGCCCTTGTCTCCTCGGTAGTCGGCAAGCCCAGAGGCGACGGACAGGCCGGCGCCGGAAAGGCAGACGGTAGAGGCAGGCAGGCCCCGACGAGACGGCGCCGTGATGAAGTCGACGAGGGCGCCCACTGCCCCCGGAAAGTTGCTGGCTGTTACGGGGAAGATGCGCGGAGAGGGGAAAACGTCCGTGTAGGGGACGCGCATCAGGGGAGCGCGCATCGGAGCAGCCATATTGGGCAAGATGTCATGTGACCCCCGTTGGGTGCACACTGCAATCTCCTGGGTCGGTGGTGTTGAAGTTGTGTCTTGGCCAATGACCAACGGCGGAATAACAAGCAGTATGGTATGCTGAAGCCCGGCCGGATCGTGTCCAAAAGGGGTCTCGTCGATTGGGTTGGGTTGGATGCTCACTCAGCGCCTTGGCAGATCTCTTGGCTCACGCACTGTCCAGAAGCCTAATCCCAAAGGAGCATTGCCGTCATTGGCTCCACAGACGGGAGTCGGTCTCGATTTAAGGACGAGGATGAAAACGAAGAGACGCCGTTCCTTTTTGCTCGATTCCTAGCCAAACAACCCAACGGACAAGCAGCTTTTCTAGGATATTCTAGCTTGTGACACATACGTAATGCATCTGTCAGGTACAGCACCTGTTCAGATACCTACCACTAGATAGTTGAGCTGGTGTATGCAGAGCGGGAAGCGTCGCATCTGCGGCCCCGTCACCAGCCCCTGTGCCTTGGAACCTGGGGCACCTGGCTGCTGAAGCTCGCTGCCGGATTCAGCAGAATGGGCTGATCCGAGTGGGCCAGTGGCCGATTTCCGGACTCCATCATTGCGCGACAGCGCTGGAGGAGGGGACTTGGATGCCCGGTTCGATGGTGCAATCGGCCAACATCAGGCTCAGGGGCACCAGCGAATGCGGTGGTTGAGGGAGAGAGAAAAAAAAACCAACATCGCAGCTTGAGCCCAAGAAATCAACACCCGGCTTCATCCAAAAAGCAAGCACCTGCCATATAACTCCCCCGCCTCGGCAGGCTATTCCCGGCTCGGCAGACTTGTTCCGCTTGCGCTGAGAACCCTGGCTGGGCAGTTCGCAGCTGACGCAGAGGGCAGCCCCTCGGCGCTTTCCCTTCCCAATTTCTTTGTTGTGCGCCATGCCGCCGTTCCATGGTGCCCATCACCCAGGGCCCTCTCTGGGGCGCCGGGTACTTCTGGAGTGGTACCTTTTGGGACGCAGGATGAGAACACCTTGTCACCACCACAACCAACGACGCGTATTATATCAGACGGCGCTGCGACCCCCAACTCTGCTGTCGCAACTGCCACCTGCCCTCTCCTCGCCCAGCTGTCGTATTGACCCCCGACCGACACCCACGAAGCGCACAGCCAGCATCACCACTACCACTCCCGCCATGGCGGCCACCCAGACTCGAGGCCACGCCGGCCACGGCCACCACCACCACCACCACCACGACAATGTCTACCTCACGTCGCGCAACAAGAATGATGCCGGCGTCCGCATCACCCGCATCGGTCTCGCCTCCAACCTAGGCATGGCCATCGCCAAGGGCGCCGGCGGCTACATGTTCAATTCGCAGGCTATGGTGGCCGACGCCTGGCACAGCCTGTCGGACCTGGGCTCCGACATCCTGACACTCACCACCATCACCTGGAGCCTGCGCCCGCCCTCGGACCGCTTCCCGACCGGCTTCGGCAAGGTCGAGAGCCTTGGCTCGCTCGGCGTCTCGGGCATGCTCCTCTTCGGCGGCCTCTTCATGTGCTACAGCAGCCTCGGTACCCTCTACGCCCACTTCTTTCTCGACCCTGCCGCCGCCGCCGAGTTCATGGCGCACGCCCACCACGGCCACTCGCACGGCGCCCTTGGTCACGACCACGGTCACGGTCACGGTCATGGCCACATCGGCCCGAGTCTGAACGCGGCCTGGCTTGCCGCCGGAACCGTGGTGGTCAAGGAGTGGCTTTACCATGCCAGTACGTTGTGTCCCTGTCGCTTTTCTCTCTATTCACAGGCAGTTTTGTGCAACCCATGCTGACCGTCTGCTTCCTCGCTTCCTCCTTGCAGCCATGAAGGTCGCCCGCGAACGAAAATCCTCTGTCCTCGCGTCCAATGCCGTGCACCACCGAGTCGACAGCCTCACTGGCATCGTGACCTTGTTGGTGGTCCTGGGCGCCAACTTCTGGCACAGCGCCCAGTGGCTAGACCCGACGGGCGGCCTGCTGATCTCGCTCCTCGTCATCCGCGCCGGGGTCGGCAACACGATCTCTGCGGTGCAGGAGCTTGCGGACCGCAGCATCGACGGCGAGATCAAGCAGTCGGTGCGCAAACAGGCGATCAAGGCGGTCGATGCTCTCGAGGAGAGCCTGGTCCTGACGGCAGAGAGGCGGAGCGAGGTCGAGCTGAGGGAAGTTGCGGGCGTCAAGTCTGGCCAGAACTACCTGGTCGACCTCGAGCTCTCGGTGCCCGGGCGCTGGACCGTCGAGGAGTGTCGCGCGGTCGAGGACGCCATAAGGACGCGCGTCGGCGGCAAGGTGCGCGGCGTCCGGCGCGTGCGCGTGCGGTTCGTGCAGAGCGAGGTCGTCGAGAGGCGCAAGTTTGATGAGTTCATCCCGGGCGAGGTCAGCCCCAGGGCCAGCCCGGAACCCGAGGACGAGCACGAGCACGGCCATGCCAACGGCAAGGGCGACAACAGCCACCCTAAGTCAAACTGAACAGACTACCCGACGTACATATTGTATACAACTGGCGTTTGTGGCGCAACCTGGCAACAAGTGGAATCTGGGCGGGAGTTTCTGAGGATAAAAGGTGTTCCAAGGTCTAGAATTATTTGGATTTGTATCTAGAATGCGTGGCTAGGTTTCTTGTCATACCACCTATCTTTTTCGGTATATGTTTTTGTGCTTGGCAGCGGAATTCAGCGGCTTAAAAGCATGCCATTGCGTGCCATGATGCGAAGGCTTCGTCTTTTGAGGCAAGAGAAAAAAAAAAGCAGAAAAATCTAGAACGGCACGGGAACAACAGATGCATGGCATGGCGCCGAAAGCGGTCTCGACCGGCCGTTGCACAGGTGGTAGTGGTACCGGCTCTAGGGTTCTGCGGCAAAACGTGATAATTCGGCTGGCGATTGCGGTCCCATTGGTGCGGTAAGCAAAACGCCCGTCGATACGTGGGCTCTCAGCCGGCAACGACATTGGCTGGGCCGAGATTAGGCTAAATACGTCACGTAAGGCTGCTGGTGACGGCACAATGGGGAAACACAGCTGTCGGAGCTCAGAAGCTGCCCCACGTTCTTGTGTCGTGCGCCAGGGGATGGAGACTCGATGGGACACGAGGACCCCTTTGCGCCCGCGGTGGGATGAGGGGAGGAGGTCTTGTTGGCATGGTGTGCCGATCGAGCAGCTGTTGCAATACCAAGGGGCAAGAATTCAAAAAGCTAAAGGCGTCGTTGTTTCTCAACCGTGACGTCTTTTTGGGAGCTCGGGAGAACTCCATGACAAGTGCCGAGACGAGACGTGCTCAACAAGGAAGCGTGGGGGCATCTCTCTGTGATAAACTTGCTACTCATTGAAGCAACCTTAACCACAATCCTGCCGGCAGCAACGTTCGAAACGTATCTATACTTGTGGAGAGACCTCGAACCGCAACAAAAGATTTGACCATCGATTGGGTTTCTAAATCGAGATGGACTCAGGCCCACTGTACCTGGGGCTCGACCTCTCGACCCAGCAGCTTAAAGGTAGGCTAACCTCTCACAAGCCTCTCACAAGCCTCTCACAAGCCTCTCACAAGCCTCTCACCAAAAACCTCACTGACTCCCGATCCCGGTCCCCAGCCATCATCGTCTCCTCAGACCTCCGGGTCGTGTCCGAGGCCAAGGTCGACTTCGACGCCGACTTTGGCGACAAGTATGGCGTGAAAAAGGGCGTGCTGGTCAACGGCGCCGAGAACGAGGTGTTCGCGCCCGTGGCCATGTGGCTCGAGTCGCTCGACCTCGTGCTCGGCCGCCTGCGCGACAAGGAGGCCCCCCTAGGCCGCGTCCGCGGCGTCAGCGGCGCCTGCCAGCAGCACGGCTCCGTCTTCTGGGGCGCCGCCGCCGAGGCCCGGCTGGCGGCCCTCGAGCCCGGCCGGCCCCTGGTCGAGCAGCTGGCCGACGCGCTCGCGCACCCGTTTGCGCCAAACTGGCAGGACGGCAGCACGCAGAGCCAGTGCGACGAGTTTGACGCCGCCCTGGGCGGGAACGGGCGCCTGGCCGACGTGACGGGGAGCGCTGCTCACCACGTAAGGATCCCGGAGGCTATCAGGTTGCCAATTAAACAAAAACCAAAAAAAAAAAAAAAAATTTTTTGCTAACTACGTTGATGTATCAAATATAGCGATTCACTGGCCCTCAGATTATGCGCATGCGGCAAAAGAGACCCGAGGTTTACGACAAGACGGCGCGCATCTCGCTCGTCTCGTCCTTCCTCGCCTCGCTGTTCCTCGGCAAGATCGCGCCCATGGACATCAGCGACGCCTGCGGTATGAACCTGTGGGACATGGCCGGCGGCGACTGGAGCGCCCCCTTGCTGGACCTCGCCGCGGGCGGTGCCGGCGCCGCCTCGGACGCCCTGCGCGCCCGGCTCGGCGAGGTGCGGCGCGACGGCGGCGGCAGCATGGGCGCGGTGCACCCCTACTTTGCGGGCCGGTACGGGCTGGGCGCCGACTGCCAGGTGGTGCCCTTCACGGGCGACAACCCGGCCACCATCCTGGCGCTGCCGCTGCGGCCCGGCGACGCCATCGTCAGCCTGGGCACGTCCACCACCTTCCTCATGGTCACGCCGCGCTACGTGCCGCACCCGCACTACCACTTCTTCAACCACCCCTGCACCCCGGGCCAGTACATGTTCATGCTGTGCTACAAGAACGGCGGCCTGGCGCGCGAGAGGGTCCGCGACGCCCTGCCCGCGGCGGCGGCCACCGCCGACAAGGCTAGCCCTTGGGTGGCCTTTAACAAAGCCGTCCTCGACACCCCACCCCTCGGCGTGCCCGAGGGCGACCAAACCAAAGAGGCCAGGCTGGGGCTGTACTTTTACCTCCCCGAGATTGTCCCCAACGTGCGCGCGGGCACGTGGCGGTACGCCTGCAACCCCACCGACGGCAGCGCGCTGCGCGAGGTGTCGGCCTCGGCCGACCCCGGCGCGGCATCGACAGACCCGTCGTGGTGGGGGCGCGCCGAGGACGCGCGCGCCATCGTCGAGTCGCAGGCGCTGTCCCTGCGGCTCCGCTCCCGGTCCCTCGTGGACGCGCCGTCGTCCCCGCTCCCGCTGCCGGCGCAGCCGCGCCGCGTCTACCTGGTGGGCGGCGGGTCGGGCAACGCGGCCATCGCGCGCGTCGTCGGCGACGTGCTGGGCGGCGCCGAGGGCGTCTACCGCCTCGACGTCGGCGGCAACGCCTGCGCCCTCGGCGGCGCCTACAAGGCCGTCTGGGCCCTCGAGCGCCGCGACGAGGCCGAGACGTTTGACGAGCTCATTGGCGCCCGCTGGCGCGAGGACGAGGCCACGTCCAAAATCGGGCAGGGCTACCGCGAGGGCGTGTTTGAGCGCTACGGCGCCGTGCTCGGCGCCTTTGAGAAGATGGAGCGAGAGGTCCTGGCTGAGGAGGGCCGGTGATGGACGGAGGGGGGAGGGGGCTTCGTGACATGCGAATAGAAAAAAAGGCAAAATGGAATGACAATAAAAAAAAACGAAATGAATAGAAAGACACAGGCGTTGTCCTCTCGGCTTTCTTCAACTCTGAACCATCCCAGATCTGTCGAAATACCTACCTACACCAACACAGCACTCTCAGCCCTCAGCAGATTCATCTGGCCTTTCTCAACTGCCGGCGGAGCAAACACATCGGCACCCGGCCGCAATGCCGCTATCATGCAGTCCGTTCGCGATGCCTCCCCTTCCACCGAAACCATTGGCCATTTTCGGGATGAGTTTGGTTATCGGCATGTTCATCAAACCGAAGGATCGGGGATGAGAATCTATGCTAGCGCCAGATTACCTAATTTTCCGAATCCTAGCCAGTCCCTTTCTTGGTTCTCATGTGCACCAGCACCTTCCTGGGACTTGGCAATGGCCCCGGGTAAGTTGCAGTGGCTCGACCTGTCCGCTGCGCGACGGTTCCCTTTCACTTGAAGCTCGTCTCGCATACACTTTACCCCAGTCCCAAAGTTTAACGCCATGACCTCGCACCGGACGGCACGACCCCTTTGTGATCGCACTACATACGCCTAGCACCGGGCGCGACATGTAAGCTTCCATCGGCTGATCGGGAGGCTCGCTACCACGAATCGAGGGGGTATAATTGCGGGCGGCACCGCTCGACCTTGGCAGCAGGTCCGCCACGGTGCCACACATCTTGCCCGTGCTTTCTAGAGACACGACCAGGGCCTTGTGCAGCAGCAGCAGCAGCAGCAGCAGCAAAAACAAGTACCAAAACACAGCAGAGGGAAAAAACCCCTCGAACTAGGCAACCATGCTCCTCGGTCCAGTATCCTACCTGGACTGCCTGGTATTCTGCGTGTTCTTGGCGCCGCAGCTCATCTACCAGGCCGGCCTGGCCGACACCGTCGCGTGCGCGCTGCGGTGCCTCCCGTTCATATTGTACCGACTGCCGCGGGACTTTCTCCGCGACCGGTTCGCATCTTCAGGCCGCCTGACCCCCTTCGCACAGCGGGCCGATGGCTTCGAAGACTTTGTGATCCGTTGCGTCCGCTACGCTTTTGCCAACGTACCACCCCGCATCGCCCGCATTTTCTTTGACCGCAATGTCGCACTCCCGTTCCTGAGATGGCGCATGCTCCGCCACGGATACGTCAGGTCGCCTGTTCACTGGCGTGAATATGAAGAGGTGCGTGTTGGTGTGCTCGGTATCTGTATCTTGATGCTAACATTTGGCGCCAGAAACACTTCAAAGGAGTCTGGATCGTTTCGGACCCTTCGAGGCGTCCCGATGTGGTCTTGTACTACCTGCACGGTAAATGACCCCCCGAGGATTGAATCAGAGCTGTAGTTGAGCATGCATGTCTGACGCGAGCTTCGGATATCCTCTCCTGGTGCAGGTGGCGGATTCTCCATGGGATCGGCGTATTTCTACCTCGACTTCCTGCTCGCCTGGCATCATATCCTGGTAGAGTCCGGGTACAGCAACCCGGCCATATTCGGCCTCGAGTACACCCTAGTGCCAGATGCGTGCTTCCCAACCCAGCTGGACGAAGCGATCCGCGGCTACAACCACGTCCTGTCAATGGCCGAAGACCCGTCCATCGTGGTTCTGGGCGGCGACTCTGCGGGTGCGGCACTTGCTCTCAGCCTCTTGCTTCACCTCGGCCGGGACAAGTCCTATACGCCCGGGAAGGGCGGGACACCTTCGGGTGCAGCGGAGGTCTGGACGGAGCTTCCGGCCATGGCGGTGCTGATATCGCCGTGGACAACGCTCGTGTCACAAAGCCAGCACAACACAGAAAGCGACTATCTTGATGTGGATACGCTGCACCGATTTGGCACCAACTACTGTGGGCCAAACCACTCGGTCGATGAGCCGCTCGTGTCGCCAGGCAGGTGCGAGGATCGACAGTGGTTGCAGCGGGCAGGGCCGGCCAAAGGAGTTTTTGTGACATATGGCGAGGACGAAGTGTTCGCGCCGGAAACAAAGAGGCTCGTCAAGACATGGCAGGACGCGGGCGTCAAGGTTAGTAGCCTGGGGGAGGAGGCGGGTGTCCATGCGTGGCCCGTCGCGTCTATTTTTATCAGTACACAGAAGGAGCGGCGACTCAAGAGCTTGCGGAGCATCGTCGCTATGATGCGGGAGCAGATTTCGTAACTCGTATCATGCGCGGGTATTCCACGGGAGGGCGGGGTGAGGGCAGAGGAGGCAGCAGGGGAAGATGGCATGAAAAGATGGTGGGCACGTCAGATTAGATCAAGTAATTCGCCATCATCGACGTGACGATGAAGAGGGAACCTTAGCGAGGCTAGTTCAAGAACCGCCATCGCTCGGCTTCCAAAACATCGCTGTTCATGTCTCTGGGCTCGTATATCATCATTCGTGCCCAGGTCCAGACATCCCGCTAGGAGTCTGAACGTCCGGGGGAGGAAAGAAAAGAAAAGAAAACAAAAGGAAAAGGATCCAAGAAAAAGAACAAGAGCGGATGAAAACCCAGGGGGCTGTGGCGAGTGAGGCCCTGCCGCAAGACTCGGGGATGCGCTATTCTAGTGCATGAGCCTGAATGTGAAGGCTTGGGTGAGTATCTGGTGGAAGCAGCGCTGGGCAAAACTGTGAAATGAACGTGAGACACGCGACAGGTAGAGCCAGGACTAGGCCTGGAAGCGCCACAATCCGACACTCTTTGGCGTGCATGGAGCCTGGCACCTGGGCGCCTGGGTGCCTGGGTGCCTGGGCAGAGAATGGTGATGCTGGGAAAGGGCATTCGTGGTTTCAAACAAAGGCTTTCGAGCCGTCGGGACAAAGCCGAGCTGAACAAGGCGATTGTGGAAGAGGATGCGATGGAGGATGATCAGTGTAACTGCAGCCGGGCGGCGGGCGAGGACGAGACCCACTCTAACAAAGAATGCCCGAGCAAAGCGAAAAAGGGCGGCGGCGAAGCAACCAGCCCCACTCCAGGCCGTCGCGCTTTCCTCACGGATCAGACCCCACGCCCAATCAGGAAGCAGAGCGACAGGGTTGATCTGGCTCATGGCTGGTGACCGTGTTGACGCATATAAACGGGCTCAATGTCCGCCAGACCTCACTGTCAGGGTCGCGCCCCATTTGATTCAAGAGTTCCCCCGCAAGTCTTGAATCTCTCGCCCGGCAAAGCTTCCTCCTCCCTCCACCCTGCTGGCCCAAGCTCCCATTCCAGCAGCACAACCAATATTTGAGAGGCCATTCCGCTGGCCTTCCATCTGTCCGCCCCCTAAACCGCCCCCAGGCATTTGCTTGATTTAGGTCCCGTCTCAACCGGCCCCCCCGGGCGTTTCGCATCCTTGCGCGCCTCCCGGCACTCGGCACACCGTTTCTGCCCCCCTTTTTGGTGGTCCATCCAAACCAGGAAAGCCGCTATTGGCTTTGGTGTTTACTGTCCTCGATTTGAGCCTCGAATCAACTGCTTCCACGCCACAACGTGCAATCCCAAGCTCTTGCAAAGGGCTCGATTCGCCGCCCAGGGTGAGCGTGCGCAGGTGCCTGAGAGGCATCAGACTGCAGGGAGAAGCTGCTTGCAGGCACTAGAGCCGGAGCCGAGTCTAAAGGCAGCAGCCATCAGCATTCAGTCAGACGTGCATATCCGCCTGCATAGCCCGCTCTCCAGCCATCCTATCAGTTGGTTTGGACACTGACGTCCCATTGCAGCCGAGGCGAACGCCCTCGCCACCAACTGCAGTGACGGTAGAGTGGTTGCGTAGCTCCTTGGCGTGTGACTGATAATTGATTGTTCACAAGGCTGTGCTTTTGCTGGTTTTTTCTTTCCCCCTTGTCGTCCCGTTAGACGAGAGGTGCAAGAAAAGAGACGGCAAAGCCTGCATAAGTGCCATCAACTCAGTCATTCACATATCGCGATTTTTCGCCATTCCTCGTCAGTTGACCCCTCCCCCTCCGCCACCCCTCCAGGCTCGGCGCCCACGCCGAGCGCTGCAAGCTGGAAGCTTCTTTGGGGTCGGGTTGCACCGGCCTGCACTTGCACCCGCTGCTCACTGTAGCTTTCCGCCGCGCAGGCAGGTGGACAGGCTAGGTAGCGTCAGCGCCGCCAGGGTCTGGCAAAAAGGAGCAGCTGCTGGCTGTACCTGGGATCGTGTTCCATTCCCTGTGCCGTCGCTTTTGTATTGACTTTGGCCTCCCTAATTCCCAGCTCAGACATACATAAAGGTCACCACTCTCCACTTTTGGGTGCAAGTTTGCGGTTTTAAACTGTCGCATCCCTCATTCCACCCATCAAATCCAGTCGCATAAGGCATCCACGAGCCACCGCAACTTTTTGGTGCCCCCACCCCAAGGGGTCGCAGCAGACCGCCCTCCTATTGCTGGGTAATTGGCCCGTCACAGTCACAGCCCAGCCGAACAAAGCAGTTCATGGGAGGTCGCAACCTTGCAGCTCTCGAGGACAAACACAGAAGGTTCCCGCCCCGCAGACGCCTGACGGACCCTGTTCAGGCGGCCTTTTGCGGTGCGCGCTGCGTTGATTCGGGCTGATTGGTGCCAAGTCTAGTTCTTTGTCGCCCACGGCGCAGCTGTGATTCGACGACAGCGGGGCCCCTCCCACCTCCACGCCCCTACCACCTGCACCTGCACCACCTGCACACGCGCTTTGTGGTTCCTCCTCCCCTGGCTCCCTCAGCTGTGGACCGTGCAAGCACACGGGATCGAAAGCGTCTGGCGCGAGCTTTTTAACGACTCGACCCCCCCGCCAGGGAATCAGATAAAGCCACACAGAAAAAGCCCCCGGTTAATTCTTGGGTTCGATTTGTTATATTCTGGCCACCCGCCCACCAGCCCAGCCCCCAGCCATGTCTCATGCACCCGCAAGCCCGGATCGAAGCTCGTTTTACGGCGGCGCGACATCCACCCAAACTACAAGTACCACGGCCACCCAGATCGGCCGCACAAGACCGCTTGCAACCAGCGCCCCGTCTGGCTTTTCGCTGCCCGTCAGCCCCACCCCAACCATCCACCACCAACCATACACACATCACTATCCGCACCAGCAATACCAGCTGGAGCTGTCGCCGCAGCACCATCAGCGCCGCGAGTACATTGCAGCACAGTTTCCACCCAATACGTCGCTCTCGCACCTGGACGCCCATCACCAGCCGGCCTATTCGCCCAAGTCACCCGTGTCGCCTCCTTATTCGACGCATCACGCGCCGCACCCGCAACAGGCTCTCACACACTTCAACCCTCACTCGCCACAGTCACCACAGCCACCACGCGCGCCCCAACAGTCGGCGCCACTGAACTTCAACGCGGCACACGTCGCGTCACCAGTGCAAATACAATTTCATTCGTCATACGGCACACCAGGTCAGCCGCAAGGGCAGCTTTATCAGCTGGAGTCCCCCCAAACTCATCCAACGATCTGCGCCGCGCCACAGCAAAATTTTGCGCAGCAGCTCGGTGGCCCCATCCCCACAGGCCACTCGCACTGCTTGGAGCCTCCACCCCACATCAAGTCGGAGAACGACTACCACCACCACGCTCAGGTGGCGCCCAGGGAGCAAATAACGATGCCGCCAAGACGGTCCACCGCGGCGGCCGTGCAGCCGCCCCCCATCGACCCCTCACCGGTCAAGACCAAGTTCCCGACCGCCAGGATCAAGCGGATCATGCAGGCGGACGAGGAGGTGGGCAAGGTTGCCCAGCAGACGCCAATCGCCGTCGGCAAGGCGCTGGAGATGTTCATGATCGCCCTAGTGTCTAAGAGCCACGACATCGCAAAGGACAAGGGCGCAAAGAGGGTGACGGCACAGCACCTCAAGCAGGTCGTCGAGTCAGACGACCAGTGGGATTTCCTGCGCGAGATTGTGGGTAGGGTTTCCGAGACGGAGGACAAGTCCAAGGCCGGGCGGGCCAAGGCCGAAAGCTCGAGTGACGAGGAGCAGCAGGTCGAGGTCAAAAAGAAAGGCCGGGGCGGAAGGAAAAAGAAGACGGCCTGATCTGCTCAGTTGCAGCTTTTGTCACTTTTTTTCTCCTTGATTTCCTTGATATTTGGAGCGCCTTGTTTTTATGTAGTCTTTTTTTTTTTTTGGCGTTTCGTCCTCATGCCCTAACGAAAGCATGATATGTTGACGCTACTAGTCCTTTTGTACTTCACTGGCCCGCACATGAGCGGGGGGTCGGGTATGGCGTTTAGGGGGGCGAGGAAGGAGGGCATGTACAGCGGCGTTGGGCTTCATACCCGACCAAAACAGCCCACCGAAACAAAACGGGACGTGGCATAGTTTAGGTTTCTTTGTCCTTGGGCGTTTGGAGGGGCAGCCTGTCGAACCTCTGCTGGTTTTTGTTTCTTCACCGGGTGCACTTGACCCACATGTGCTGTTGAGTTTATGATAGGTACGTAGAAAAGGCGTGGGTTGGACTGCTCAACTGAACGGGCGAGAATTGGTGGCTGCGAAGCATGGCGCTATATTTTTTCTCCCAAAGTTACGGAGAGAGTAGAAGAGAAGAGTCGGTATCAGGCCGGTTACTACATATATTCTTTACTCATGTATTCCTACTGTATTAGTGTCTAGCTACGGATGGGGCCTGTCAGATCGCCAGCATCATAGCTCAACTTACTTAAGATAGTTGTGGGATATGATATGTCGTATCATCGGGGTATTTCTTATATTTAGGGGCACAGTATAGTGCATGTGTAGATGCGCACGTAGCTTTGTGGTTGCTTTTCTCTGTCTCTTTCCCAAAGAGCTGTGTGTAGATCGTGATTCCGTGGTGGCACAACCATCCAACCGCGGTTGCTGTATTGCGGGAGACATTCCCAGCTTTGGATTCTGGAGCCAGGACATCCAATCAAGACATTCCCATTACGTCCAGCCGGGTACTGGCGAGCGGTCTTACATGGGCGACAGTACCTCCATGGACAGGCTATCTAATCGACACGACGGGGGCTCGCGACCGACTGGCCCGCACAGTATACACGACTTTGGGGCTGAGTTTTGCGGCAAGCAAGAACAGAGTAATCCGTCACGCGACCGCGTTTTAGCTGCGCCGTTGGAAAGCTTCGCGCAACCGAGGCACTGGAACTGGCCAAAGCGTCCCTGCCTAATCCAACCTTGTGCCCAAGCGATGGAACGCCCGTCCCGTCGTCAGACGAGATTTTAGAGGACAGGAACAGAAATGGGCCTTGCAGCAGCAGCGGCGGTTCGCTTCGCTTGCCTTCGGTTACTCCTCTTCTTCCCCTGTTGTCAGCGTCCGGTGCCACCACACCCGCGCTGGTACTATTGCATTGGCGCTTGCTGGGTGTCGCCCACCACACGGTGGTAAACAGGGCTGAATTGCTGGACGGGTGGCCAGTGGCTTGCGGCCTCGCATGCACGGGCGGCCCAGTCCACCCACTCCCTCCCCCCCTTACCACCCCCTCATTCCCAGCTCATGCAGCTGATCCTTCGGTGTGTATCCGTGGCCCCCTCAGAAGGGGGTGTCGACGGATGGAAGGAGTTTGTGCGATGAAGGATATGGGGGAGAAGGGGTGTAGCCGGGTTGAGCTTCAAAGTCGGAGTGATAGAGGGTGCTGGTAGAGATACAGGAGAGGTGGAGGCAAGGAAGGTGTCATGGTTGTCTTTCTGTTCATCTTCTTTTCCGGGGTCGGGCACTGCTTGTTTTCGCCCACTATCTAGTGGGCACCTGGCAGCTGGGGCAAGCAGCACCCAGATCAACAGCACAAGTGCCCTGGCTCCATCCAGCTTCCCCATGCAACACCCCACCATTTGTTTCCACGGCAGGCGTTCGCAGGTTGCAGCGCCGTGAGATTGATTTGATATAATTGAACTAGGCACATGCACCTGGCTCCCCGTGTCTGCTGCCTCTTTTTTTTTTTTTTCCCACACAGCCTCCATCCCCACCCTCTCCAGCTTGGGCGTGTTGCGTGCTGCTTTGCTGCGTGTCTTGCGTTGCTTGTTCTGCCCTCCATTCCCAGGTCGCTGGGGCACACCGGCTTGGCCACCCCATCCTTACTCTACTCCCTCTCCCCATCACCCGTCGTCCCGTCCCATCTGGACTGGACCGACCCCCAGACACACCGCCGCCGGGACTACACGACACGTGCTGGGGGACCATGAGATGGTGCTAACACTTGGTCCCCGACGATCCCCGGGGTAACTCGACATGTCCGCCCAAGACGGAGCGCAACCACTGAGTAGGCTACCCGACATTGAGGAGGACAGGCCCTTCTCGTCGTTGTTTGGGGGCGCCTTTGACATGGCCACCGTCGAGTCGACAGCCCAGCTCGCCGACAGCAGCATCTTCATCACGCCCTCGGGCAGCCGCTTCCGTTTCGAGCGCCTTGCCGACCTTGTCCCTGTCTCGGCGCGCGAGAAACCCCAGTCGTCGACCCTGAAATTGCCGCCGCCGCCACCGCGCGAGAAACCACAACAGCCCCCGTCGCCGCCGCCCGAGGCCCCTGTGCCAATCGTCATTCCCGCGACGGCGCCCCCGAAGCCCCCGCCGACGGCGCCAGCGACCAACTTCATCCAATTACACACCCGCCCTCCACAGCTGCCTCGACCCCGACTCGATCGACGTCCCAACGCCGCCTTCCCGACCCAGCCCGCCGCCGCCGTCTCCTCATCCCCGCCCGCGTCGTCCCCTCGGTTGTCGATTGGCTCCGTCATTTCGCAGCGCCTCGGCGCGCTGGGTGTTGGCCGGAGCGCCAGCAGGAGGGACTCCAACACACAGCACGCCCTTGCTGACCCCAGCCCGACAGCCATGGCCGAGGCGCTCAGTCTCGGAGACCAGGGCTTCGCAGCCTCGGCACTTTACTTTCACTCGGACGGGGGCGTGCAGGCCGCCGAAACCCTGACGGACTCGGAGTCGGCCGACAGGCTAGCACTCGGGTCTAATACGCCAGATACTTACGCTGGCAGCTCCCCGCACCCACACTCGAGCACTTACCACGGATTCTCCGACTACCAGGAGTCGCCGGCCTTCGGCAGCCTCCCCTCAGCCTCGGGCTCCGACCCGCGTCTGCGGCACCCGAGCTTGTTGCATCGCGCAAGCACCACCAGCCGCACACATTCTCGGGCGTCTACCGCCAGTGACCTCGCCGGCCCCGAGTTCACGAGTCTAGACCCCTTCTCACCTCCAGCGTACGCACAAGATGCGCCCCCGGCCGTACAGTCTCGGCAACAGCACGGCGCTGGCTTCCCCCGAGGCAGCTTCCAGTCGACCCCGGAGAAGCCGACAGCGCCAACGTCACCGCGTAGCCAGTCCCTACCCTCGCTGATGGAGTATTCGATAGTGCATACACCACCACCACACCCCCCAGACGGCTCATCTCCGCACCCTTCGATAGCCGGCAGCAGCGCGGCCGCGACGGCCATTGCTCACACCCCCGACATCGGAGGGGACTCGGACCGCGCACACACGTATTTCTACGATACCCAGACCCCCGTCTTCGTGCGAGTCCACTCCCCAGGCCCGCGCCCGCCGCGGTCGTCGTCCTCATCGGTTCCGACGTCGAGCGAGGCGGCACCCTCGTCGCCCCGGGCCACGGTCGCGGCTACCGACACCAGTTCCACCACCGGGAGTCGGGACCGCGACAACGTGCTGCCGGGTGAGGAGGTGCTCTATGATGGCGCTGTCGGGAGTGGGCACGCGCTCTCGGGACCCTTTGAGGACGGCCGCCTTAAAGTGTTTCGCAACGGCCTCTCGCGCGACCTCAGGTTCTACTGCAAGCTGGGCAACAACAGCGAGACGCTGTGGATGAAGGGCGCAAAGGCGCGCCTGGTGCCCCTGTACGGCTACGACCAGCGGTCGCTCACGGTGCAGATCCGGGACGGCGACAGCGATCTGGAGGTGCGGCAGCGGCAGCATCCGCACCAGCAGCAGTACGAGGCGGTACCCAACGGCCCCATCGCCATGTACCAGTTCGCGGCGCTCAAGGACCTGTTTGCGTTCCAGAGCCAGCTGACGGGCGAGCAGGTGGTGCTCGACATCTCGAGCGTCAAGTGGATCAGGCTGGCAAAGGCCGGCAGCCGCTCCGTCGAGATGTACTCGAACGTGCGGCTGCAGATCTGGCACGAGCCCAGGTCGGGCAAGGCGGCCCAGTCGGACGTGGCCTCGTTCGTCACGGCCGGCACGGCGCTCTCGGGCCCGCTGAGGGAGAGGGTGATACCGAACTCGTCGAGGCTCATGATCTTTCTCAGCAGGTCGGAGCAGTATATTACGTCTTTTAGTAAGAACGCTCCCCTGCCGTTCCTTCTCATTGACCCTTGTAAGAAAATGCAGTGTTTTAACAAATGAACCTTGGCAGTCACGGACGATATAGAAATGGAGGCAAAAGGCCACACTTCTGCGAGTCTGAAACCTCGAAAATATGGCGGCGGCTTTCTCGACAGGCGGAGCTCAAGACCTGCTGGAATAAGGGGTAAGTATATCGACCACGTGATTATGGACGAGACCAGGACTAACAATTAAAAATTATCTCTTCAGCACGCCTCGAGAAGAAATCCGGCTCAGAACCCGCCGACTTGTCTATACCCGGCGAGCCGTACAACCCGGATGTTGAGCAGACGTTTGACTTGTACAAAACATTCGAGATTGAGTTTGAAAGCTCTCCCAGTACGTTTACTTTTCTCTCTTCACGGAAATCAGGAAGACACCGCCATGCTAACCAAGACATTGTAACCTCCAGGCCAAATCAATTTCGTGCAGGCTTGGAACGAGGTAATAGAAGCACGGCGGAAACAGCGGGCCAGGCTAGCCCAGATACAAGAGGACATGACCCGGCACACATTTTCGTCAAGAGCGGCGCTGGACATCTGGGCATGACCCAGGGGAAAGCAGGGCGCGGGGAGATATGATTTGCTTACTGGCGGTTATCTTGGGGACTTGGGTCATTTTCTTTTGGGGTATATTTGAAAGCGAGGCGCGTCTGTCATGATTCCCATGGGATTTTTTTTTGTTTCTTGGCCCTTCGTTGGCCTTATCACGCGACATATTGGCATGCCATTTTTGTGCTTAGATTATTGGATAGCGATCAAGCCACCTACGTACTATTACAAGGGGGTTTACCTGGGGCTATTAGACGTCCCTGTCTGCTTCTCGGTTGTAGTAAAACCTTCCTGTCCGGCTTCCCCGTGGTGGACCACCACCGACAAGCCTCCGGATCGACAGGGACGGGCCCTGCTTTTTTTTTTTTTTTTTTTTTTTTTTTTTTTTTTTTGGAATGCTAAGAATAGCCAAGGGGCTGGTCGCTGCCCTTGCATGTCACCCCCCTGCGCGATTCTGGCAGCGTGAGGTTGAAAGGCTGTATGCGGGCCGCATGGGAAACGGCAAACCCCATAGGGCTACTGCGGCGTTAAGGGCGGTGCCGGATCTAGACCGCCGGGCAGGCTGGTGTTGGTGTGTTGCGATTCGAGCTATTATCGTTCCTTCGTGTGATGTCAACCAACTTTCGAGGCCGTGGCCCTCGGGGAAAGGAAGAGGGGAGATGGGAGGGCGTGTGTGGCAAGGCAAAGAGAGATTCACAGGTGCGTACGAGGCGGAATGAGCTTTCACCAGTCATCTCGGGGCGGGGGGTTGAGATGCCTCGACGCAAAAGGAAAACCACATAGCGCCGAGATAGGCTGGAGGTGTATGTGTGGCTGTCCCGATGTGGAAGCGAGGCCGTCCAGCCTTCCATGTCCCCTGATGCAAGATCCTAGAACGGGGTGATCTAGAACCAAGACAGAGAAAAAAACACAGCCATGCCATTGGGTAAGCAATCCTCTGGTCTAGGCTTCTTTTGCTTGTCACGGCCAAGCTCAATACTCTTGCAGAGCTTGCCACAAAATCCGTGTGTAATGGAGGATTGAGGCTTTGTTGGGCGTGCCGAGCTGGCCAGAGCGGCGGTTCGTCTACGCCAATGTTGTCAGATTGAGGAATATCCATATCTTTCTTTTGCTACGCCCCCGGAACTCGGATCGCTCCTACGACGGGAGGGGAAAGGGCGGGATGTGCAGAACGGGCGGGTGCTCTTGTGTGGCACAAGGGGCTGCTGTTACTGCTACCGCGACTGAAAGCTCACAGGTGGCGACAAAGTGTGACACTCGGCGGTGCCTGGATCGGTTGGCTCTACACGGTTAGATGGTGCCTCTGGCTAAGATGGATATTGATCACCATGTGACGGCGCTGCAGGTACCACCTGTTATGATTTGACGCCTAAGCGCGGACTTGGGCTTCAACCGATGGCCCAGTCCCAACTCCTGGGATATATCGTCCCTCAGCATCGAGAGGCTCCTTTTAGACGACATTACCGCCGAGCGCGACACCCCTCTTCTGGCGGCAATCCTTCCAATCATCAAAGAGTCAGATAAGCGCAGGGGAGTTTGGTCTAGGTACGGCGACTGTTGCCGTCGTCGCAGGTTTCCTTTGAGGGTGTGTGCCCGGTTCTGGCCGTGGTATCGTCCATGTAGGGTCTGGACCAGGAGGAATTGCATTGTATCGAAATCCTCTATCGACCCTTTCTAGGGGTTCTCCCATGGGCATTTTCACTAGTGCAATCCCAGCCAGCTTAGTACTCGCTTCCAATCTTGTTTGGAGCCAGAAGATTGGCGACTGGTGACCCCGGGCGGCCCCAGACTGGGGGTTTGGAGTCGGCCGCTGTGATCCATGCTGACGCAAACATACCAGCACATCGAGGTCGATGGCCTGCAGCTTGCAGCGCACGAATTGCAGCAAATGGATTGACTGCTAGTAGATTGCGGCTGAGGAGTGGAACCTGCTCGGCGACGGATCGGGTTGCATTGGGGGGGTGGTGACTTGTGCGAGGCAGAGTGGCAGACTGCTCCGAAAAGCGCGCTGATTTTCGTTTCTCTCTGTCTTTGCTTTGTCTCGCCATCCGTCATCCGTCAATAGCATGGACTTCTTAATCTCGCCGGTGGGACCGTTACTGATGACAGCAGCCCTGCGCGCGGGCCTTTGTTTGATTTTGTCTCCTCTACGTTGTTCAAATTCGTCGGGTGCGGTATTCGTGGGGAGCCAAGGCAGGCAGCGAGTCAGGGTGCGGGTTTTCGTGGCTGGTGCGACACTACTTCGCTTGACGCGTTTCTCGGTACCTGATTTGGAGTAGCTCGCCATGCACGCTGCGGTCGACTGCACCGGTGCAGCTACAGCCGGTTGGCACGTCGTTGAGACCAGCCGGCGACCGAGCTACCAGACAGGCTCGCAGGCTCTGCTCATCCAGCTGGGTAAGGGAGCACGGGAGGTACTTGGCGGTGCAGCAAGGAGGCTTGGTCGGCTGGGGAGGTATGTCACTGACCGATCCGAACCACCCCCGCGACCCGATGCTCACATTTAATTGTCTTGCATCCCATTTGAACCCCAAAAACCAACAAACGTGCTACGTTGTCATCCCCGAGGGTTGTAATGCACAAGAATCCAGGTTAGAGACCAAGAACAACAATAGCAGACCAACAGACTTATCTTGTCATCTCCTGCGCGTCATGTGGTGTTCCCACTCAACCTCCCCATCCTGCGGCCAGCTCCACACGCAACCACCCTAGCTAGCTCGACGCCACTCGCTTGCTGATAGTCAATCGAATCGAACGTTATTTTTTCTCCTCCGCCGTCGCGTGCATTTGTGCTCTTCATGCATGCTAACCTGTGCCGGGGCATTCTTCTGTTCTTTTATCGATTTGAACTGACACAATCCCAAGTCACGGACTGGTGGCCTCGTGTGTGCCCTTGGCGATAGCTCTCGCTTCGACACCACATCCATCTCTGCTGCTGCGGCTGATTCCCACCCACACATCCACCGCCATCCCTGCCCATCGTTGCGAGGGAACCCTTTTTGAATCCATCTTCGTTCCCTTTTTACCTCTTTCACCTTTCCCATCTTTCCCTCGAGAGCACATTCCCACAATTGTTCCGTGTCATTCCGGGACGGGGCTGGCCTTCTCTCCAGGGGACTGAAAGGATCAATATCCGCCTGCCCCCTCTTTTTCCCCAACAACCCCCCCAGCACGCCCGCCGCCTGTCGACCTGTGCTTGTGCTGCTGCCACCACCACCGCCCACTACCGCCTGCGGCTGACCTCATCTGTGCCGGCGCTCAACTGACGGCCTGGACCTCGCGCTGACCGTCGACGACTTGCCTCCGTCTGCATCCGGGAACGTCTTCTCGGCCGACGACTTTCTGCTTTTAGACCCTGCCGAGGGCTTACTCCCACCGCCACGACGATTCCCATTTCTGGCGCGACGCCGCCGCCGCCGCCGCCGCCGCCGCCGTTGCCCGCGTTGTGGTATATACTGCGGCTGCCGACCACCGCCCCCATCGTCGCGTCCGGCGGTGGGAAAAGGGTCGGAGCCAGCTCTTGTCCCGCGCCCTCCTTTGAGTGACGCATGCGACACCACGCAACATCTACCCCAGCAAGGCGCCTGACTTGCCTTTTATTTCTCCTTCCATCTTTCTTTCTTTTTTTATTATTTTTTTTTTTTACGGCCCCGTGTTCTGTGCTCGCGCCTTCCCGGTCCGCGATGCAGGAGCTCACCATATACAGGGCCCCAGTGGCCTCTGTCGACTCGGCCGATGCCCCTGGCGACGATGTCATGGGCATAACCGCGATCCAAAGCATGACCGTCGCCGACCCGGCCGCCGGCAAAACCAGTGATGAATTCCGCGACTTCATCATCCCCGAAGGTCTGTCCTCCCGTCTTGCGGCCTCTTTCAGCCCCTTTTTGACCATCAACTCAGGGCGGTCTGGTCTCGCATGGAAGCCCATCGGGGCCCCGCCGGGGGGTTTCTTCCCCCGCTTGGTTGTCATGTCTTGTCACTTTTTGAGCCATCCTGGGTTCGGCGCGGTTCCTTTTGCACTGTGTCGGAATTCCAACTGACAAGGGATCACCTTCCTGTCTCTTGCAGACCGGAAACTGGGCATCTTCTCAACAACGATCCTGATCATCAACAGAGTCGTGGGAACGGGTCTTTACTCAACGCCGTCTGCCATCATTGCCCGGACAGAGAGCGTCGGCGCCACCCTTCTCTTCTGGGTTTTGGGTGGTCTCATGACTTTTGCGTAAGTTTTCTCAGAGACCTCTATACTGTTGTTGTTGAATGCCGGAAGCGCTAACATTGCTTTTTAGTGGGTGAGTTTGATTCCACCAGCAGTTCTTTCCCATTTGGATCACTACTAATTCGCCCGGACCATAAAAGTATCTTTGTGTATCTCGAGTTTGGAACCGCACTCCCACGGTCTGGTGGAGAGAAGGTCTATGTAAGATCTCTGCCATCAACCTTCACCATCAATGACCTGTGCTTGCGAATCCGAGTTGTATCCTAACATGCATGACCATAGCTGGAGAGGGTGTATCAAAAACCACGATATTTGGCCACCTGCATTTTCGCTGTGCAGTTCGTCGTGTTTGCCGTGTCCACGGCAAACACAATTAGCTTCGCCAACTATGTCATGAAGGCTGCCGCCTATGATCGCCCCTACTCTCCCGAAACGGACTGGCCTACACGTGGAGTTGCGCTCCTTGCCATCACTCTTACGTGTCTCATCCACGCATTTGCCCCCAAGACGGGCATCTGGCTCAGCAACATCCTGGGCTGCCTGAAGCTTATCATCCTGATGCTCGTTGTTTGCACCGGCTTCGCCGTTCTGTCGGGGAGGTCGGCGAGTCCGTCTCCTCACAATTTCTCGACCTTCGACGGCCCCGGGGAGGTCAAGTCGCGCGGCGAAACGCAGATCGCAGGCGGATATGCGTTGGCCCTGCTGCAAGTCCTATACTCGTATAGCGGTTGGGAGAATGCAAACTACGTAAGCTGGCCCGTTCTGATCTTGGCAACATTTTTTGGCCAGATTGGTACCCGGTTTGACTAACACGAGACTCCCGCCGCTCAAAGGTGCTGACAGAAGTCCGAGATGCCCCCAAGACGCTGAAAATCGCTGCGCCCCTGGCCGTGTCGATTGTGACGGTGTTCTATGTCATGGCCAACATTGCTTTTGTACGTTATTCCTCGGTTGAGTCTCTCTGGGGCTTCGAGCTAACACTACCACCACAGTTTGCCGCCATGTCCAAGCAAGAAATTGCAGATGCCAGGGTCACCGTGGCCGCATCTTTCTTTGAAGCGGTAGGCTGCCACTCTGTTCAAGACGCTACCATGAATATCGCTGATAATCTGTCCGCAGGCTTGGGGAAAGAGTGTGTTTGTGACTCGTGTTGTGCCTTTTTTCATCGCATTATCCGCACTAGGGAATATCTTTGCCCAAACTTTTGCGATGCCCCGAGGTATGTCTTCAGACTCGAACATCAAGTTTCGATCCCAAGCACCTCAAATGACGACTGACGCGCACCGGGCACAAAACTAGTCAAACAAGAGCTTGCCAAAGAGGGCATAATCCCATTTTCGAGGTTTTTCGCCAGCGACTGGCCTTTTAACGCACCCTCAGGGGCCATCTTTCTGCACTGGCTCTTCTCGGTTATTCTCATCGTCGCGTTGAGCATGCCAGACGCGTACACCTTCGTCACCAACATCTTCGTCTACACGGGCAACTGGATCAAGCTGCTCTTGGGCGTGGGTCTCCTCTACCTGAGGTTCAAGCCGAACTCGGGCTGGGCCGAACAGCGGACGACATTCAGCAGCTACACGCCCATGACTATATTCTGGATCGTCTCGCTTCTCTACTCGCTGTCGGCCCCGTTCACCCCCAACGATATCTCGGGCAAGATTATCCCCTATTGGGTGATGCCATCTCTGGGCGCGAGCATGCTGGTGATAGGGGTGGCCTACTGGCTGGTATGGGCGAATCTGCTTCCCATGTTTGGGTACCAGATACAGCACGAGGTTGTCCAATTGCCAGACGGTAGCGAGAGAGTCAAATATGTGGTAAGTCATGCCTCTCACAGCCGCGGCAAATCCATTTTAATGGCCGTCTTGAGGGCTGGGTGACTAACACGTTTGTCTACCAGCATGTTCCATCAAAACGGCACCGAAGATCAGCATATTCTACTGATTCATGACGACGCTTCTAATTTCCTTATCATGTAGGGGATTTCTGATCAATGCGTGGCGTTATCAAGCCGTCCTTTATCTGAGCTGTTTATTAGTACTTTTTTTTTTATTCCCCGCGGGCTGGCCACCTGAATGGAAGCCACCTATTTACAGAAATGTTTGTTGCTGCATGCATGAGCAGCTCCAATGATACAACTCGCTATGCATATTACATGGCCGGTTGAGCACTTATCTGGACATACCCATGGAGAGAGTGGATGAATAAATGAATGAACACCTGGCACAGAGAGCGGGATGCTTCAAAAAGGGGCAGCACGACAAGCGAGAGCGGGATGGAGATAGACCCCTAAACTCCACAGGAGGCGGCCCGCGTGGTGGCCTTAGGCACGTAACCTGCAGGACCAATGCCCACTCTGACGGAAGCTCGGCTTTTGGGGGCGCTCGCAGCGGGCAGGCACGGTCAAGAAGCTGCCCCACCTTGGATTAAGCACCTCCAGCTCTGGGGCCAGCACCAGCAATCCACCAGCAATCATGGGAGCGGTGCGGCCAAGGATGTGTTGTGCCAATGCCGAATTGGCCAGACTGGTTTGATCGTAGCCCGATTGCCAGAAAAGAGTGCCCACGCCACATGCCCCGAGCCAGCCTCGCAAACACCACGAAACAAGGCCCGGCCAGCATCATATTGAGTCCCGGCAGCGATGTCGGACGTCTGCTGCTGTAGCATACTTGTCGCTGCCAAGCTCGGATGAGGCCGCCCCGCCTCCAACCTCACCAACCCATCGCTGAGCTATCCCGACGACGAACCCTCCTCCCGACCTGGTGGCGACGACGACGCCGCCAGCCAGCCAGCCAGTCAGCCAGCGCGCCCACTCTCTTTTGCTGCCGAGTCTGCCTTGCTGTCCCTCGAGCCTTCGAGCAGCACGCCATAACCCCGGGAGGAAGACGGCTCCCCGCAAAAAAAAAAAGAGGAGGATACAAACACACGCCCGCCGCCCCTTCACCGCGGCCGTCATTTCGAACAGTTCGAGCAGCCTCCCACATCACATACCGCAAACTACGTTGTCGAGCCGCTGGCCAGGCCGAGCCGGGAGAGCCCAGCTCGGCGCCGAATAAGCAGCTATGTCTTGGGACCTGCTACAGCGGTTTCTCGATAGCGACGTTTTCAATTCGAATCCCTTTCTATCTGTTTCCTACCTCTCGTGAGCGAACCCCCTTTTTTTCCATTCCCCTCCACCGCCCCCTAATTTTTTTTGGTCGATCTGAGGGGCACCTCGCCGCAACCCCCTCCGGTTCGCAATGGAACCCGACTCTCTGGACTGAGCTGTAGAGAACCGGCAGCACCTGCTCCACCAGGCGTGCTGGGAGATCAATGTGTATTCATGTGCCCGCGAGGTGAGCTATAGGCTTGCTGACGCTGCTATTCTGCCCATGTTCGTAGGCGGTACGCAGACCATGTCGGGATCCACTACGTCCTGTGCAACAAGCTCAGGCAGTTTCCCTACGAGGACATCGAGTTCTTCCTCCCGCAGCTTTGTCATCTGATCATCAGCGTGGACAATGAGTCGATGGCCCTGGAGGAATTTCTTCTGGACCTGTGCGAGGAGTCGGTAACCGCAGCGCTCCTGGTTCGTCTTCACTCCGCCCTGCCAACCACAGCCGATGGAGAGGGAGAAGCTGGTGCACGCTCCTCGGTCACCGCACTGCCTGCTAACCCTCTCCTTGATAGACCTTCTGGCTGTTCCAGACGTACCTCTACGATCTCTCGTCCAATCCACAAGCAGAGGCGTTCAAAACATGCAGGAGGGTATACAACAAGGTGCAACACATCGTGTTTGGCCTCGCCGAGGCGGGCAGACATGAGAAGATCAAGGAGAACATCCTGCCGGTCATGGTCCTGGGCAGCTTCATCCTCGCCAGCATCGGCGTCCCGGGCCTTGCCCACTGGGCAGGCCCCTTGGCAGTGGCTCAGGGCAGGAAGCCCCAGCCAGCCGTCGACCTCGTTCCGGAGCACGTGTCACAACCACAGAACAAGGTGACCCGATCACACACCATCAACACGACCAGCACAACGTCGAGGTCGAAGCGCCCCAAAGACTCGGGTCGCCCCAAAGACTCGGGTCGCATCACGAGCGCCCCCGATCCGCCCATACCAGCAGTCGCAGTTTCTCCCGACCAGCCCAAGTCGCCCATGGTGCCCAAGTCGCGGCCAAGCTCGTCCGGGGGCCCTCGCACGCCGGCGGACCCTGAAGGCGGTAATGGCAAGCGGCCTTCGCAGCTGGAAATGCTCTCGGCCGAGGGGAGCCTCAGCTCGTCCTCGCTGCCGCTACCGGAGCTGAGGTCGCCCAGGATGCAGGTCACGCGACCGGCAACGCCCGTATCAGCCGGGCTGAGGCCATCTGAGCAGTCCTCCAGCCTCTCGAGGCGACACTCGCACCACATTAAGAAGGCCCTGGCGAACCAGGCCGAGATGAGCTCGCTGCAGAAGGTGCGGCTACTCAGGCAGAACTACTTCCGGTGTCAGACGGCCTTCCTGACGGCCCTTGAGGATATCTCAAACCGGCTCGTCATTGTTCCGAAGCCGGCCCGGCTCAGCGCCCTCCGCGCCGAGCTGGCTCTCATCACGCAGGACCTGCCGGCCGAGGTAGACATCCCCGTCATCTGCCCGCCGACGCTGGTCAACGGGTCGCCTGGGCGGAGCAAGCACCACCGGATAGTGCGGGTGAACCCCGCCGAGGCGACGGTGCTCAACAGCGCCGAGAAGGTGCCGTACCTCGTCATGGTGGAGATCCTGCGCGACGATTTCACCTTTGACCCGGACTCGCAGGAGAACCAGAGGCTGTTGTCCACACTCTTGGCGGAACAGGGGTCCAGGAAGCGCATCTTTGACCTATCCGAGTCGCCCCGTGGCACCCCCACCACCCGGGGCCCTGGCGGCGGTCTCGGCAATCAGATGCCCGTGGCCGACAGCGTCTTTGAGCCGACGGCTGGCGACCTCGGCTCTTCTCTCCTGATCAGGCCGTTTGATGAAGAGGACCTGCCGGCTGACGGCGGCAACAGCGGCGGTGGTGGGACCGGCAAGGAGGCCCAGGGCGTCCCGCAGCGCATTTCGAGCAGCGCGACGACCCTGACGACCCTGTCCGACCCTACGCCGCGAAGCTCGGCAACGTCGACGTCCCGGTCCAGCAGCCCGCGTCGGAAGACCGGGCTCCCACTTGAGCCGACAGGCATGGTAAGGAGCTACAGCCACAATCTGCGAACGCCAACCGTGGAACAACAGCCCGACTTCTCGGCGCTGGCGACGCACATGCGGGCGGCGTCGCAGATGTTGGCGCAACTCGAGGCCACGAGCGGGAAGCGGCCAAAACACGAGGTGGCGGCGATCCGCGCCAAGATCATCGCCAGCATGCAGAGCCTCGAGGAACAGAGTTTCGATCTAGACGACGGCAACGGGCCGACGTTCGATCTCATAATGGCCAAGGCCAGTGCAGCCGAGGCAGCAGCGGTCGCGGCAACCAACGGGGCTGGCGGTGGTGTAGGGCCGGATGCGGACGACGAGACGGTGGCTGCGGCGGCGGCGGCAGGCCTGGATGGCGAAGCCAATGCCGGGGAGGCGCGGATGGAGAACGACTTCAAGACGGGCGGTCTGCAGCGAAAGGGGGACCGGGACGACCCTAGCGCGGCCGTGTTCGGTGAGGCATGGCAGGCAAAGAAGGAGCGGATCCGGCGGACATCGCCGTACGGGTGGATGAAGAACTGGGACCTGATCAGTGTTATCGTCAAGACGGGGGCGGATCTGCGGCAGGAGGCGTTTGCGTGCCAGCTCATCCAGGTGTGCCACCGCATCTGGATCGACGCCAAGGTCAACGTGTGGGTCAAGATGATGCGCATCCTCGTGACGGGCGAGTCGTCGGGCCTGATCGAGACCATCACCAACGGCGTGTCGCTGCACTCGATCAAGCGAAGCCTGACGCTGGCCGCCGCGGCAGAGGCGGCGGCCGGGGGGCCCGGGCCTGCTGCTGCCGTGGGCGCCACGACGGGGACCAGTGAGCAGCAGGGGCCGCTGAGCCCCGCCCCTCCGCCGCCGACGTCACGGCGTAGCGCGCCGCGCATCGCGACGCTCAAGGACCACTTCCTCAAGGCGTTCGGGCCCGAGACGGGAGATGCGTACAAGGCCGGCGTGGACGCGTTCAAGCGGTCGCTGGCGGCATACAGCGTCATCTCGTACGTGCTGCAGCTCAAGGACCGGCACAACGGCAACGTGCTCATCGACAGCGAGGGCCACATCATTCACATCGACTTTGGCTTTATGCTGTCCAACTCGCCGGGCTCGGTTGGGTTCGAGGCGGCGCCGTTCAAGTTTACGGCCGAGTATCTCGAGGTTCTGGGCGGCGTGGGGTCCCCCGAGTACGACGACTTCAAGCGGCTGTGCAAGCAGGCGTTTCAAGGTATGAGTGGTTCTTTTATCCTTTTATCCATGTCTTCTTTTGTTTCTTTCGCTATTTGATGCTGACAACAAGTCAACACGTGCAGCTCTCCGCCGATCGGCCGACAAGATCATCGACCTCGTCGCCATGATGGGGCGCGATTCCAAGATGCCGTGCTTTGGCGCGGGTGTGACACAGACCACCAACAACCTGCGGCAGCGGTTCCAGCTCCAGCTGAGCGCAGACGAGGCCGAGCAGTTTGTCGAGACAGACATGATCGGCAAGTCCCTGGGCAGCTACTACACACGACTGTAAGTTTCCCCATGAGCTGCTTTTCGTTTTGCGTGCCCCCTGAGAGATGGTTGGCTGACGCCGTCGGCTTTCCAGATATGACACGTTCCAATATAGGACACAGGGCATTTACTAGCCGAGATGGGTCTCTTTGGCACATGTTTGGTTGACCCTTGACGCAGCGACGACCTCTCTTCCGATTCCGCTCCCCGTGGGGTCCTTGGCGATGGTGAATGCGCCTGGACGATAGCAAAAAGTATATAGAAATCTAGATACCTCCCTAACAAGGACAAACCACGTTTTTTTTTTGCGCTCTTCTTTTCTTTAACAAGCCTTGTCTCCATGTAGCATGTCTTTTCGTTCCTCGCATACTAGCGGCGCCAATATTGACAGGATAGAATGTCTCGTCGTAACTTGCATTAGTTCTTTGCTTGGCTGTCTGGGTGGTAAAACATTATCCTGTCTAGAATGCCTGGCTCATTGTTTGCTAGATGGTATTTACTACTGCTGGGTTCCATTAGGCATGGTGGGTACCTGGTAAAAATCTGATAGTGGACTGGATTGGTTGATGAGGGAGTTGCCAAGTTGGATTGTGACAGAGATTGAAAGAGCACGGAAGCTACAACCCACAACCTACCTGCCTTCCCAGGCAACAGCCATCTGAGCCCGGCAACAACCACAGCCAAGAAGGGAAGGCGCAAGTTGCCACCAGAGTTGTCAAAATGCACCTTCGGTTCGCTGACCTTCTAGCAACATGGCTACCTGATATCTCCAATACTTGGCGTGGTCCTGTTGAGCTTTCCATAATTCTCACCTCGCTCTTCTCGGTGCCTTGATCAAACCCCGGCTTCCTTTTACTCTTTCGTCTGACCTGAAGAACAACCAGAACAAGGCTTCGTCTACCTTTGCGTCGGCGCCAATCTTGGGGGGAAACATGGTGGATCGACGCCGCCGCCGGGAGCGGCATAACTGGTCCACCTTTGAGCTAAACGCCGCCATCGCCCTGATATGCAAGGGCAAGCACAAGGTGCGGCCCAGCAGCAACAGCGGGTAAGGACGGCGGCGCGCGCGCCGATGGCGATGGGGGGTAAACCACGGGGCAAGCAGGACACGAACTGATCCAGACGGACGGGGTGACGCGCGCAATACACCCTTGCAGGTTCGCCTTCGAGCTCAACAAGGCGCTCAACTCGCAGCGGGCCAACTTCCACGAGGGCGACATGGACGAGGCCGACATCGAGGACCTGCTGCGGTTCCTGCTGGCCGAGAGCAAGCCGGCCGTCGCCTACGCCGAGCGCGCCGCGCCCGCCTGCATCACGCGCGCCAAGCGCATGGCATTCAAGCGCCGCATCGACTTTTCGGGCTCCGAGGCCGAGTGGGTCGCCGGCGGTCGGAGGGACGCCGTCATGGGCCGCCCGCCGGGCCGGGGCCGCCGTCGGGCCGAGCTGCCGTCGCTGCGGGCCAAGGGGGGCGGCGAGGGCGAGGGCGAGGGCGAGGACGGCGGGGACGAGGCTGGGGGGCCTGATGGGCTTGAGATGGGTAAGCTGGCTTGTCTTGTTTCGTTTTTTTTTTCTGTCTCGGTTGTTCTCTGTGACATTGCCATCACTTTGCCCTTCAGTGGCAGCTGACACCATGGCCTTCTCTGCTTCGCAGGCGAGCTAAGAGAGCGTGGCCCCCAAGGACCCATCATGCTCAACCTCCCGTCCCTGCGCGAGGCTGTTGGTGAAGTCTACCACACGTCCAACCCCGGCAACTCGCACCTGTGGAACACACAGGGCAGCAACATCACCCTTCCCCCGCTGAAGGACCAGCCATGGGCTAGCTACGGTAGTGGAGGTGGGCAGCCTTCCCTCCAGAGGCGTGAGCCCAACCGTGCCACGGAAGCCCTTCCGAGCCTGGCCGCTGCTGTTGCAGGAAATGCCAAAGACGGCCTTGGCGGCAGAGCACAGCAGGGCCTGACGAGTCGTCTAGGTGACGGCCATGCAACAGCGGCAGCGGCTGCTGGTGGGACATATCCCTCGCCATACATGTCGGTGAATACCGACGACCGAATCAGCAGCCGTCACAACAGCCGTCACAGCATGGCCCCAAGCCCTTTGTTCCAAAACATCGGCGTCGGTGATGATGTGTCCGGAGGAGGTATGGGCGGCAGTAGCAGCGGGCGGCGGGCGACCTGGGGCAACGTCATGTCGTTGCCCGTGGGACCAGGTGGCTACGGTGAGAAGTCTCGGCCGGGACCGTCGGGGGCGTCCACTCACGGCGCCCAGGCGACACGGTGGACTTCTGATGCCATGGGCAACGTGATGGGCACCACCTCGGCTGCTTCCACTGGTCATGGGCCCTCTTCGGGCAACGGACAGGGCTTATGGTCAGGCGATGGTACCTCCCACGTAGCCAATGTGGGGGGCCGCCGAGACCAGCCTGATAGACTCTACGACGCCAGCACAGCAGGAGCACATGATCCAGTCGTGCCCGGCAGCAACAGCTTCGACACTCTGCACTCTGCCCAGCCCATGGCGAGGCCCAATGCCGCGGCTGGACCCTCGTCGCCGTCCTTGTCTGCCGATTGGGGCGGCAACGCGCAGTACGACTCCGGCTCATATCGAAACCCAGGAGTGACGAATACCGAGGCGCAGCAGCTGCAGTACAAGCCCGACGGCCGATATGGAAGCAGCGGTGCGACCACGTCCTCTCGCGGTGGCGCATCCGCTGCTGCATGTGGGATCGAAAGCGGCAGGTCGTACCCTGCTGCTGCCCATGCTGCCCATGCTGACCCTCCTCCTCGTCCTCCTGTCGGTGCCGCTGCTGCGGGCCCTAGCGGCGGCAACGTGGCCGAGGCCTCGAGCTCCACCGCTCAGGGAGGAGGCTGGAGACCAGTCACTGGCGCTGGTGGCTACACGGCGGGCGATGAGCAACAGGAGACTGCCTTGCCGGCGTCGCAGGCTGTCACACCCCAGCCCCGGCAGCAGTAGCCTGAAAGGCGCGCGCCCCTCATGAGGAGACACGAGGGACGGCGCCTCGCACAGCAGCAGCGGTGTGTCGCCCCCCCGGGGGCAGATTTTTTTTTTCTGTTCTTTGCGACACCGCCCCGGTAAAAGAGGAGAGGGGGGAGATACGGTTATGCTATCTTCACCATGATTGGCGGCTCTTGGGGGCCCTGTGACGGGGATAATGTAAGGGAGAGGGCAACTACGGATAGAGTTAGGTCGTGATGTATGCAGTCTCTTAACATGCAAGAAGGGCGGTGGCGGGGCGGGCGATGCCGTGAGAGGGCCCTCTATGGTTCTACTCCCTCGAATCAGACGCGAGTCTGCCGGGTTCAGGGGTCTTATGCGAGGGGGGGAGGGGGAGGGAGAACTGCCGACCTAGGTACTGATGTGCCTTGGGTAGGTACATATCTAGGTAGGTACATACTTGGGTATAGGCTCTATGCTGGGCGGATAGATGGACGAAGAAGAAGCGGAACGGCCCGTTGTGTTTTTCACCAATAGCAGGCAGAGGAGAAGCAGGGCGGTGATGGATGGCATCCCAAGCCCCCCCCCCCCCCCCTCACTTGAAGTTATCACCAACCACTTTTTTGTTCTTGGCCAAAGCTATTTAATGCGGGTCATTTATAACCTCATTTGATGGCATATCAACGACAAGAGAAGGAAGAAAAAAGTGAGGCTGGCCCGTCCAAATGGGATGCCCTGCATCTTCTGCACCTTGAGTGGTGGCAGCGGCGATCTTTTTTGCCGAAAGTGCGGGCGCAATACCGGTATCCGCGGCGCGCGCAATGCAGGGCAATGACTGGTGGGGGGGTGGGCTGCCGGAGCCTGTCAGGAAAAGGGGAGAAATCTTGGTTGGACGCAGATCTCATTGCGCGCGACGAGGCTGTATGTGGCAAACAAACTCGGCTTCGAAGCCAAGGCCGTCCAAACCCAAATTGCGAAAGTGATTTGCGTCAAGGTTGTTTGGTTGGCGCGCAACACACGGCAATATCACGGGGACTTAATTATCTCGGGAATCGTCGTATTGTGGCTACATGTCCGGAAACTATGGCGATTTGCGCCCCTAGCGACAGCCTCGTTCTCAAAACAGGTTACCACTCCCAAAAAGAAACTCTCTAGCCAAGAAAAAGGAGAAAGGGGGGAAGGCAGGAATGGGGGGTTCGGATGTCATTTCACTGAATAGGGCATATGATGTGATACACCAACTTATTGATTACTCACAGCAATGGTTGCTGAGTGAGACGAAACCCCCGACGACGGAAGGTCCGGTCGGAAATAAAAAATGGTTGGTTTTAAGAGAATAATCTTCTTTTAGTTTTTTTAGTTTTTTAGTTTTTTTTTTGAAAAGGAGTGACAATCCCAAGGTTTTAGAACAGCGGTCTGCTGTAGGACGGGGAAAAAGAGACGGTGGGAGAGACACAAGGAGAGTTAACCAGAGAAGCAAAAACAAAGCCCCAGACACCGTCGTTATCGTCGGTCACCCGGCTAGGAAATAACACGAGAAACAAACCAAGCCATCCTTCAGTTTGACTGGTCGGGCGGCATCATTCGGGCCGGAGCGAGGCTGAGCTGACAAGACCGGAGATCCTCATTTCCGCCAGCCGCGCGGCACGAACCAAAATCCCCCCAAGTCCACCCACCCCCCCTCTTCCTCCCCATGTGACGGGTTCCGCTAGTTCGTGTTGAAAGACCGAACCAGTAAAGAAAGCCTGATGCCAGCGTGGGCTGGTTTTGCGGCTCGTCCGGAAGTCGCCCTGATGAGAGCTGAATTGACGTCCAATGAGAGGGCAGAGCGCCGGAGGTTCCGGGGCGTGGGGTGAAAAAGAAGGGGAAGCCTGGGATGGAGGAAAGGAAAGGCAAAGAAAGAAATATGGCTCCCCTGATGACTCACTGTATGACTGAGAAAAGAAACACAGAAAGGGGGCGTTCAAGACTCGCGGAGGGTGTTATCATGTTCAAGGAGTGAAGAGACTAAAGCGAAAGACAAATGGGAAAAGAAAAGCCTCACACCACCTGCCATTGCTGCAGACGCCCCATGTCATCCCCCACGTTTCGGCCAGGTACCTGGAGGTAAGAACAAGAGGCGAACCATGTCATTTTCTTTCTCCTACTCTTCGTCAGTAGCGCTTCCCTCGTCGTCGGCCGGTTTGGGGCGGCCAGCCTGCCCCCACCATCCAGGGGGTGGTGGCGGCGGCGAGAGCGAAGCCGGATTGGGCGACTGCGACTGTGACGCAGCAGCAGCAGCGGCGGCAGCAGGCCCGGGCGTGCCAACCACGGTGACTTCGAAGCGCGGCACGGCGCCGGCGGTGCTGACGCTATTGCAGAGCGTCGACATGTCATCCCTCTCGTACCTCTCGAGGCCGTAGGACCTCTCCATGATGGCGCCGCCCCTCGGCGACTTGGTGGGCAGGACCACGCTCTTGAAGAGGCAGACGAGCCAGCCGGGGTTCGGCCCGCGCGAGCGGTCGGGACCGAACTCGTCGGCGTGCGCCGCGACGTAGCGTATGGCCTGCAGGCCGATGACCTGCTTGGACAGCGGGCAGCACACAAATATGGTGGCGCCGTCGTCGTGGCCGGCCCACTTGATGTTGACGACCGCGTCGCGCGGCCGCCGAGCGGAGGGGGGCATCGACATGCCGGGCGGCGGTGGGACGAAAGAAGGCGGGCGGGCTGCGTTTGCGGCTGCGGGACCGGATGGCCCGGCAGCCAGGGCCGTCGTGGCGTTGGCCACGGGCGGGGCCGGCGGCGATGGGATCGTGCCGGACGACGGCAGCGGTAGCATGCCCTTGGGCATCGGCGGCAGCGGCAGTGGCATGGAGCGGGGGACTGCATTGTCGTTGACGGGAGGTCGAAGGCCAGGAATGGCGCCATTGGATGGGACTGGCCCGCGCCCTGGGAAACCAAGGAAGCCAGGCGGGGGAGGGGGGCCGACGCGGTTTTGGGGTGGCCACGCCGGAATAGGCGGGGGCCCTGGCCGCACAGCATTGGGCTTCACGGTCGAGGTCTTCTTCTTCGAGCCCGTCGCTCGAGAGACGAAGACAGCCCCGTCGTCCGAGAGCCCCATCTCGGGGACACGATGAGCCGATCGAGATATATCCGAGGCGCCCGAGTCGGAGTCAGAGGCCTCTGAATCGTCGTTGCTGCTGCTGGTCACGGAATCTTCCCAGGAGTTGCCAGTAAAAGACTTGTGCTTGTGCCGCTTGGGGTCCTTCTTCCTGGGGACAACATCATAGCCCAGGGTGGTAACGTGGTTCTGAACTGCCTCGGCCGACTTGGTGTGCAGAAGTTCGATGGCATCGACCAGCGTGGTGCCAACCTCGGACACAATCACCGTCCGCTTCTTCTGGCGCCCGTAGCCTTCAGTCCGGACCACGGTGGCGCGAAACTTGCCGCTGGCCGGGTCCATACTGGTGATGATGGAGATCTCGGCATCCTCGTGGGACATGAACCGACAGTTCTCTATGCGTGTGCAAAGCGCGGTTCCCCAGAGTTAAGACAAAGCGAAACGTTTACGGTCCAACCGGGCAACCAGGAGGGCCGAGTGGCGGGGGCGGCGGGCATGCGTAGCCAGGAAGGATATGGCGAGCCGTTATCGAGGCTGTTTCCGCGCTCGTCCGCCGAGGAGGAAGCTCACCTATGGTCTGTCCGTAGAAATCAAGCAAGATGTTGGTAGCCGGCGCTATTGCCGGCGCCATTGTGTACTGAGGGTTCGACCCGAGGGCCAGCTGTCTCGTCTCTGGTGCTGGAAGTTGTAACAGGGGAACTAGCATCACAGAAAGGATCTGTGTGCGGGGTGAGGGCGCAGGACTGGATGGATGGGGAAGGAGGAAGAGGCCTTGCTGTTCCTGGGAGAGATGTGTTGTGTGGGGTGAGGTCCTTTATATAGCCCGACATTGGGCAGAGGCATGTTTGGCATGCTGCCATCCGCCTCCGTATTACCTTCTGTGAAGAGGCACAGAACAGCGAAACAACTTGGAGTGCGAGGGGGGCGGGAGGGTGGGAGGAGCGTAGAGTACGGGAAGCCTCTTCCGCCAAATGTGGGAGTAGGTACCAAAGTACCTACGTATCGAGCATCGAACACCCGGGCGGGCGCACAGGGCGGGCTTGCTTGGTAAGGCGAACAAAAAACAGGACGATGTACGGAGCAGCATCTGTCAGTCAAACCCATAGCTTCACCGGTCTGCGAGATGTGACGGGAGACGTGACAACGGAATAAGTCTGCGTTCCGCCAGCCGCTTCGGGCCATATGCAGGCGAAGGGCATGCAGCAGTAGGCCCGGTATGATGGCAACAAGTGGGCACAGGGGATTGCCTGCCCAGCATCCACCCAATATGGCGACGGTGAGGTTGTGGCGTCGTGGGCCCAAGAAGGAGGGTCGGGCGCACATAAAATATTGAGGAAAGAAATAGGCGAGCTTCCCACCCGACAGCTAGGTCGCGAGGTAAGCACTCCCTCTCGGTTGCTGGTGAGGAATTACATACCGTGCCGCATCCCCGCGCAGTGATGAACCCGTCACACAAGACCAACAAACAATCCAGTCGTTTTCTTTAGCGCGGAGGTTGCGCTTGGAGCCGACTTTCGCTACTCGTCACTCCAGAGGCACGGAAGCGTCCCCATAGGTCTGTGACGGCGTTGGGTTGGGAGCGGAAGGCTTGCCGGAGGACGGAGTGAGATAGGTAGATACCTGTAGGTAGATAGATACCTACTACCTACCAGGTAGCACATCTCTTCCACACAAAGGTTCCGAATTGACAAATAATGTGGCTTGCCAGCACACCCTCCTGTGGGCAAGCCGGCCGAAATCGGCTGCCGGCGCGACGTCAGGGGCGGAGGGCGGATGTCGGGGGCGGTTGTAGGCATGGGCGGCTTGCTTTCTGTGCTTTGCCTTGTAGTTGTCGTCCAGCCTGGTTGGAGCTGTTTGAGGGGACGGGACGAAGACCAAAGAAAGGTTGTGGCGATTGTAGGAAGCAATCAATGGCAGCAGTCGCAGCCTAGTCGAGGGACAGAGAAATGAATCCACCTAAGCTAGAGGTAGTGGATTGGAAGTAGACTGGAAGTTCCGAGGGAAGGAGCGAAGGGCGTTTCGGTGCTGGGTGTGACTGCATGACAAGGCCAAGCCGCCACTGCACTGCAGTCGGGCAACGGCGGCGTCCAATTCATGTTGAGTCGGCATATGCACTGCACCGAATGTTACCCCAATCAAATTGAACTAAAACGAAAAAAGAAAAACGCCACGCCGATTGCACTGACTGGTCTATCTGTTGCTCCTCTCTAGTCCCGTCACATATCGCACCATCTATCATCTCTATCCCTTTGTTTCTGCCTTTCTGCCTTTGCATCTCAACCACTCTGTTCTTGCCATATTACATATGCCTGCCTACATCGGTCAAATCGACAACTTGGGTGTCTCTAATGTCGTACAGCAACCCCCCTGGAAAGCCGGGGGCTAAGTAATTGGTGCACATCCACCTCAACAATTCAAAGTGTCTGAACTCTATCTTGACACGCCTTCTCGAAAAAGGCTGTTCAACGCTTGATTTGTTATCTCGTCCACCTTCTCTTTGGGTGCCATCCATCCTTTTTTTTGCCTGCGCCAAAAGCGGCAATACTTAGCCGTTGGTGTGCACACATACATGTATCAAGCTACCTACCTGCCTAGCTAAGTGCGTACATGCAGCACAACCAGCCCTACACACGGGCTCCTAGGTCAGCCCATATTGCCTACAAGGTGCTAACGTATGCAGCTCAGGTTACTTCAATATGCAACCGACCCGCAACATCACGTCGTAGATGGAGACGGGGAGACGTGTACCTTTGCTATTCGGTGCCCGGCAACGGCTCAAGCCTGGGACTGACTCTTGGGAGGCCGGTAGGTAGCGTCACAATCGCGGGTGAAGATCCGAGTCTGCCTATCAGATGTAGTAAAAGTGGTTACATCGAGTTGGATGGAACACCGTACGCGGGCATCCCAAGCCTCGCTCCCGTCACCCCGGTGGAGTTTGGCGGCTGATATGTGGTTCGCGATGCAGCCTGCCAAGAGAAAAAAAAAGGAAGAAAAAAAAAATCAAGCATCGCGTCCTCTATCAATGCTTGGCATATGCAACGCGCGGGTGGTATCCGGGGATAGGCAGAGGAGGCTCGAGTATGTAAGCCTCGGAATAGGGATCGGCTGATTCAAGGGGCGGTTTCTGGCTAGACGTTTCCCTGTATGTCGTGACGATCACGACACTGTGGCCCAATGACCCCACACATCCACCGCCGCGGCACAAGAGCCTCAAAGAGGCCGACACCCAACGGTTTTGGCATCGCCGGGCAGTATAATGAATAAGCTTCACGTAACAGCAAGGATTGCTTGTCCAACAGAGTGTACGATGTGGTCGTGGGCAATTCCGTTTCGTTCAATACTGGGCGTCAACGCCCACAAGAGGACAAGGCGTTGCTACTTGTGAATCTATGAATGTGAGCTATCAGATCACCAGATTGGGAATCGGCATCACAAGGAAGCAGGAGCCAGCAAACCTCATTCACTTAGGCGTCGGTAACTTGAAACAGCCAAGGCACGCAAGGCTCAAAAAGATGCAGTAGTGACATGAATTACTAGACAAAAAAGCAAGCAACTCATGGTAACATGTTCGTGGTAGGTGCTACAATGCGTATTATCGTGACACGGAGCAAAACAAGAACAAAGACACCCTAAGAAAAGACCTTGAG